GTTAATAGGGGATACACAATGGGGGGAGGGGGGAGGTAGTGCTCTGTTCAGTGCTGTGCTGTGCTGTGCAGTGCTCTGTATGGTGTGTGTTGTGTTGTGTTGTGTTGTGCTGTGCTGTGCTGTGTTGTTGCTCTGTGCTGTGTGCTGTGGTGTGCTACCCGTATGTTGCGCTGTACCCTGTAGCAGCCTCGAGGGATAAATTACAGCGTACAGCGGACCGCGGGCTCAGCGCGTGGTCTCCCTGAGCCTTGCTGGTTTGTGGCCCCATGGCGTACATTCGACCCTCCGTCGCATCGAGTGCCCCTGGCGCCCTTCGCACTAGGCGGCGTGCCAGGCCTGGAGGGCCCCTGTCGCGCCCCTGGAGACTCCGCACTGCGCACGCTAAGCAGTCCAACCCTCCCGCAGGCCCCGCGGAACCAGGGACCAGGGCGAAGTGTGCACTGTGCAGAGTGCAGAGTGCAGTGTGCAGAGTGTCCGCGGGCTTGCAGGCTTGCAGACTTGCAGACTTGCAGACCTGACGGGCTCCAGTCCTCTCCAGTACTCGAGTACGGAGAAGGGAAGGTGAGTTAGTGCTGTACGTCAAGTACGAACTGAACTGAACTGAACTGAACTGAACCGAAGCTCACTACTCCGTACTCTTACTCTCTCTCTCTCTTTTCACACCAGAGCGATGCCGCCCCCAGCGTCCTGGAAAAACCACTTTGTCAACTACTCTCCCGATACGTCTCCAGCGCCATTTACCGCTCGGCGGGAGGGAGGGAGGGACGACAACGTAATGATAATAATAATGAGAATAATAATAATGATAATGAGACTTGCTATTGCAACTGGCAAATGGCAACTTGCGGCTGCGGACTGGTGATTTGTGACTGGTGACTTCTCCCCCTCGCGCCCTCTGCTCGCTCATCCCAATTAACTCTCCCCCCTTCCGATTCCTGTTCTCCGCGCGCGCGGCTCGAGTGGCGACTCGGGATGGCGAGATTTTGGTGACTTGGCCAAGGTGGTCTGTCTCTCTGTCGCCCTCTGGAGTCGCGCCCTCCTCCTCTCGCCCTCTCTCGGTGGCCCGTCCTGCCGTGAGCGAACTTGGAAGAGAGCGCTTGGCATCTTGGGGCCTTGAGGACGGCGGAGTGGCTCAGTCATCGCGCCCCCCGTTGACGACGGTCTCGCATTCCGCCCTCGCCGGGACGGACCACTTGGCTGGCGGGCGGGCGGGCTGGCTGGCTGGCTGGCGATGATGGATGGCGGTACCGTATGGAGGACGTGTGTACATGTACCACAGAGCCAGTCCACAGATGATTATTATTCAGAGTCCATACAGTACTGTACAGTCAGTTCACAGCTCCCACCGCCCTCTGCAGGCTGCCGGTGGGGTCACACTGCCTTCGTCCTTCTCCGATAGCAGAATGCTCAGGTACGCGCAAGGATGCCGCAACATGTTAGACAAGTTGGGGAGAGACCAGCAGCAGCCAGCAGCCATCCAGCAGCCATCAAGCAGCCAGCAGCCAGAAGCCGCAGAAGCTCGCCCTTTTCAGCCTGTCCGGGCTGCCTCCTCCCTGCTCAGCACCCCCGATCGGGACCTAGCATCTGCCCTTCTGGCTCGTCTTGGACGGCGACGCCTCCAGAGAGGGCCAGAGACCAGATCACCAGCCAGCCTGATCGACTCTCGCTGGCAGGCTGGCTGCTGGCTGCTGGCGGTCGCCGACTGTCGCTGGAATCGTGCCAGGCTCGGGCCTTGGGGGCGGTCCCTCCCCCCCCCGCGAATGAGATGCCCGCTGCTGCCGACTCGGCCTCGGACTCGCTGTCCGCCGGATCCAGCCAGGCTCGACCGACAGGCTCTAATCTAATCATTTTATACTGCAGGAAGCCTCGTCGTCGTCTTTGCTTCACTTGAGCGCTCGCGCTGCCTCCGCAAACTGCAATTCGCAGAGCTGGCGATCGTATCCGTCGGGGGGCTCGCTGAGGGAACTGCCAAACCAAGGCAATTGTGGTGCACATTTGCTGTGTGCGTTGCTGCTTGCACCCGCATGCTGCCGCTGGTACTGTACGTAGTATGGTAACCCAAGTTTAATTTGGGCAGCGCGTGCAGTGCACCGCCATGAGATAGATGGCGAACTCCACGGAGAATCGCCACTCGAACCTCGAGCATGCAGAATTGAGTCGAATCGAAGGCATCAGCATGAGCATGAGCATCAGCATCGGCATCAGCATCGCTGGGAGCAGTTCCTGCGTCAGGTTCCGATTCCTGCTCTTTCGCCTGCTGGGTGAGGGGGGGTGGGATAAAGTAAAACATGACATGGGATGATGGGATGGAAGACCTACGGCAGATGGGATTGGGTTGGAGCGGCCGCCTGGAGATGAAGTTCGCGTGGTACGACTGTGCGATACGAAATGTACGATATCGCGAGGGGTGCCGGGGGGGCTATTTCTGGCCCTTTTCCCCTGCACCCGCATCAACGACATCGCGCATGCTGCTGCTGCTGCTCGTCCCATGGCGCCAACAACACACACTTTGCTGCAGGGCCACCACCACTTCACCCACACACCATCTCAGCGGGGCAGAAGGCGTTGATTCCGTTGACGACCAGGGCTCCAGAAGTCAAGACAGCCAGAGCCCAGACTGTGCAAAACTGTGCAGAGAGGCGGCGGATTGTGCAGGGCGGGAGACTGGAGACAGTGATCTAGAGTGGAGAGGGTGGTCGTGACGAAGTTCTCTATCGTCCCTCCGTATCCACATCCCAGATCTCGGTAGGATGTTGATCCTACTTGTATAGTAGGCCCCTCTGAGCGGGCCGCCATCTTGGTGCCTTGGGATAATGATAATACCAGTACGAAGTACTATATGGAGTGGTGCTGTACATTCTCCTACCTACGAAGTACCCAGTCATCTCTCTACTCGCGCATCGACTATCAACAACGCACACCGCGACACGCTGGCTGCGAGACACGGTGAGTGGCCGGAGCAAATGCTCCGGCGAGCCATCCAAAAAAAAACCGACATTCCCCAGTCGCTGCAAAGCTCAGAGCAGTGGGCTGTCCCGCCGCGGTGGGCGTGTGCGAGAGCGAGTCACACTGTCAGTCTGTCGGTCTGTCGCCCGTCACCCCGCCCAGTGATGCTCGCCAACTTTCGCCTTTCGCAGCTCTTGGGTTCATAAGATGCGCAGTTAAGAAAATCTCACGACGGTCTCCCCTGTACCGCATGCATAGGCGTGTCAGGCACGGGAGGAGGCGGAGGCGGAGGCTGGGGGCAGCCAGCCAGCCAGCCAGCAGCAGTAGCCGTAGCCGTTCTCCAGCCGGAGAAAGCTGAAGCCGTCAAAACTTCGCTCCCGCACCCTTGGGTTCTAGCCTAGGTGCTGGCCGTCGGCGAAAGCTCGAGTTAACGTCGTATTGTACTTGACCCCTTGGAGTCGTCGACTGCCGAACACCTCGTGGAGAAGTCGACGTTGATGGTTTTAGATAACTCGCGGAAGTCACCACTGGTGCCCGCGTTTGGATCCGTCGCCATCGCCCCTCATGCCCCACTACTGGGCAGTAACAAGTAGTCAGTGGATGTCCTCCCTAAGGCTCCCTTCACGCGGCGCCCTCGTCTCGCAGTATCCAAGCTCCGTCTTATCATTTATCCGCCAGCAGCACAATCCATCTAGGCTCTCGTATCATCGCATATAGCACAAAAAGGCATCGCGCCCGGTGAGTCGGTGAGATAGGAGGATCGTGAAGCCCCATCAAGGGACGCCTCCGCGACGTGCAGTCACTTTGAAAAGCTTCTTTCGCCCCCTTCGCCAGGACCCAATTGCTGGGACTTCCCCACGTGTTTTTCTGCGTCGTATTGGGCGCAAATGGCCTGAGTGGAGACTATTAGGCGGGTGGAAAATTCCAGAATTGGGCTTTCTTTGCGAAAACAGAAGTAAGTCCGGGGATTTGGCGTATGGACGACAAGAGCCTAGATACGCCGCGATCGAGGACCGTCGTCTCGCGGCCGGGTAAGGAGGTATTCTGTACGTACATCTAGACGTGCTGTGTATTTTGATAGGGCATCCGCCGTTGCCGGTCTCCGCAGGTGATCCAGTGCCACAGTGGTGCTCTTCATCCACTCGTGCTGTCGTCGTCCCTGCGGAGGTTGGGGCCAATGATGAGCGCGATATGCGGCCGTGCTTTGCGCCCGGGTCTTCCTAGGAAATCTGTAATTTTCTCCATCTTGTCGTCGGTTCTGTCGCTTCTGTTGGCCGGCGCGAAACGCCTCGTTTTGCTGATTGCTGCTAGCGCGCGCGACGACAGAGCACCGGCTCCCTGGAATCCACGAGTCCACAGGGATCTCACCGCTCCCCGGTGCCTGTCACGCAGTCCCGACAAACCAGAAGCGAAGGTTTATGCCCCCCGACTCCCCGAAGCCATACAGTGCTGTACCAAAGGTTCTTAGCCGGTGGTTCGGTCGTCTTGCTGGGAGACGGCCTCAAAGCATCCACCCCCCCGTCCCCGTCCCCGTCGCTACGGAGCAGATGTACTCTGTAGCGTCGCAGCTGGAAACCCCTCTTGGCAGCGTATGATTGGGTTGTGTACGAGGCCTCGTCAAGTCTCTATTACTTATCAGTTTGTCAGCGTGATACAACGTGTGTGATGTGTGTTCGAGTAGGACACACTGGCCGCGGAAGCTCTTGAGGTGCTTACCGAGTACTGTTATCCTGAGGTTCTGCGGTTCCTGAAGTCAGGGAATCCCACGAAGGGGGACGCCCGGAGGCCCGTCCCGTAAACACTCTCATGGATCGCCAGACGAAAAGGACTCCGGACACATTCGCTGCAGATTGGTGGTTTGTGGTTGATCTCGGGTTCGCCTTCCCCGGCCGTCTCGCCACCAGTTTCCTGGCACCCACCGGGTCCTCCCTCTTCGAATACAACGCTGCTGCGAAAATCGTGAAAATCAGCATGGCAGCCGGGATGGCTTCACAGGGGATAATGCTTTGCAGAATAACGTGCCGTCAAGGTTGGAGATTTGGATTGTTGCAACCTTGGACTATTCCTGGAGGCGGAGGGAATTGGCATATGGTCATGTCGTGTCGTGGGCAACGGCGTGGCCAGAGACCGAGGAACGCACCAGAGCGTGGGAGCATTCCTCACGATGCCGAGAAATGCTCTCCGTTAGCAATTTTAGCCTCCATATCTTCGCTCCAGCATCGCCACCGTTGAATAATCGCAAGTTTTCAGCTTGGCAATGGGGGCCATAACTCGGGGCACCAGACCACCAAGCGCATAAACTTAAACTTAATTTTTAGGAACTCATTATTGGCGGGGCCAACAGAATCAAACAGTCGGCCTCGCCAAGCACTACGCCCGGGCTGGTGGTACCTTGGTACTTGGGTACTTGGGTACTCACTCTACGGAATCCGTACCTGTACACAGTTACTCTTGGAAGCGAGCGATGTCGACAACGCCTGTCTGAGACTGAAGTCTAATCTGCCACGTGGAAACGATGCAAGGGAAAGAAGGGCATCAGACGAATGCAGGTACCTGACAGGCCGGCCTTTGCATAAAAAACACCTTAATGCATTGCTCGACAAAGGCATCAGGAACAATTTTAAAACATTTCTTAGATGAATACGATACGAGCGAACCATCACATTTTCTCCGCCCTCCGCCACCCCCAAAGTGACAGTGGTTTTTGTTTTGCCATAGGGATGCCTGGTACCTGCATCATGCCATCGCAGGCCATGGTGTGATGTACGCTGTGGCCAGTTTCACTCCCTCCTCCCCTCCATGGAAAAGGGGGGGTATCGTCGCTTTGATCCCCCTCGGCTTGTGGTGCAAGGTACGTAGTAGGTTTCAATCAATTTGCAATCCTACCCTCTCCCTCCGCTCAAAAGCAATGAAGCCCTGCCTGCCACGCGCGAACGTTGCGTGTTCCCCACGCCCTCTCGACTGGCTGGTCAATGGCCATGCGTCCTGTGCCAAAATTAAACCACATTTTAAATTGCTACAGGCCATGCGGACAAGGAGTCTCGGCATCTCGACTTTCGCAACTGATCAGTCAATTTCGCCCAAGAGCCGCATTGTTTTGGCAGGGGCGCAGCAGGTGTGACAGCAGCCTCGGGCCCCTCATGCCACCTGACTCCTCCAAAGGATGGATTATTACCATGGGCTTCCAGCCGTAAGGATCGCGAGGATGCCTCACCGATTAAAAATAACCCGCATTACGCGTAGGAAGAATTAAAGTCTTGCATCCCGGCTTCAACAGAATGTGTACGAAGTAGGTACACATCGCATGATATCACCTGCCGTTGGAGCTGTATCTTCCGGCTGAAGCGTCGGACTCGAGGAATGCGCGGCGGCACTGTCAGCCTTGGATAGGGGTTACGTTACAGTGAGCAAACGGAACACGCACTTTGGCGATCCTGATATCATCACGGAAACCGACCCGTACTCCTCGACGGTATGGGTATCATAATAATGGAACACAAACATACTCCGTCCGAGGAGCCCCCCCCCCCCCCCCCAATTCCGAATTGCCATATTAGGCGTGTTACGGAGCTCTTCGTACGGGTCCCTACATCTAGGTAGAACACTGCCACCTACCTAGGTAGCAGGCAAGTATCTATCTAGGTAGGTACTGTAGGTAGTCATTTCTGCCGTGCTCCCTTATCATCGCCACGTTCGTCCGAAGTCGGTCAAGGTTATGGTCATGGTCATGGGTCGCTCGACCAAAGTTTCGGGACCTGTAGGGAGTAGTTACAGTTATTACATGTACGTAGCACCAAGTACGAAAGTACTCGTCCGTCCCTTTCCTTCCATGGAGACGGAAAAATAAGGGTTGTTGTTTCGCCGCAGCTTGGGCCAAGCCAGCCAGGCCAGGCCCATTTTCGCAGGGAAGTCCCCTTGATTTTATTTCCGATCGAGCTGCCATCGCTACTGTATACCGTTATCAGCAAGTCCATCTTGGCTACACTCTTCTATCTACCTGCCTCCGTACTAGCCCATAGAAAACCTCGGTGAGTCGGCGTCACCGGTCTTTTTATTTTTCTCTTGGAATTTACTTATGGCCGATGTACTGTACGAGTGCGGAGCCCTAGACCAACTGGCCAGACGGAGTTTTGCTTGCATGTTTTCGGTGGCGATGGCGGTTGAAGGGTTTGTTCTAGCCCCCCGGGTGGCTTTTTGGTTGTTTTCTTGCCGTCTTGGGCTCGTTTCCGAGAGGCTGGTCCTGAGTGCGGCGAGAGTGATCTCCGGTGGAAACCCCTAGTTCTGTTTGGTGGGATGGCATTCGACATTGTTACTCTGTACCTAGGTACGTAGTAAACAATTCTCCTGACCGAGAAAACTCGGGATTTTGGAATGAGCAATCTTTGATAAGGTTTGGTGTAACTCCTTAGGCTGATTATGAGACATATTAGTACGAAGAACGAAGTAAATGTCTCTGCTTCTTCCGTTAACCCCGTATTCTTGAGAATTAGCGTTAAGCCTATCTATCGGTCTCCACAAAATATATCATACCTTCCGGAAATTACGAATATGAAATTCAAGAGATAGGAATATTAGATACAATCTCGGAGCCACGCACGCCCTCAATCTAGTGGTTCGAAATGGCCATTTGAAGTTACACATTCCTCACCTCGGGAATTCCTGTGTGTAGCTCAACGGCCATTGTCGGGACCCGGCTGGTTCCACAGAAGACGCTGTACCACTGAAGATACATCCTTGCTGGGCTCCAATTGGTAAAATGGACAGGATCACATCCAGTGAGGCAACACAGATTCGGAAGTGTCGTATACCCAAAAGACGTGCGATCTACCTGTACCTACATACCCTCGTTTATGCTCCATCCATACATCCAAACAAGTACGTATGCTATTGCAGTGCTGAGCGGTAATCTCACAGCCGGCAACGAGGCATGCTCCCCTGTTTATCAAATCTCCATAATTTTTTTCATATATTCTTCAAGATTCCTGCACCGTTCCGAACAATATCTTCCTTCCTATTGTAATTTCATATGCACGCAACCTCCAGAAGGAGATTGCCAAATTCCACAAACCCAATTAAGCCGCCTTGCCCCCACCGCAAGCCTCCAGAGTCACACGGATCAGCGCAGCATCTCGGTATTTGCCATTCCTCGACGAGGCTCAAATAGTTAATTTCGGGATTTCTCTCTTTGCTAAACACCTGTCTGGGCACGCCGACTAGGCAGAGAGAGTTGCCAGGTACACTATGGATTTGGCCCCCTTTTTCTACATGCAACACTCAGCCTCACTATCCTTCCGTGACTTCTGCATTACTAGATTATCCTTTCCGTTGAACGGCTGTACTTTGGTCTCTTTTAGGCGGACATGTATTAGGCAACTATAAGATATTTGGCTCATTTAGTCATATCCCTGACCTCCAAAGCAGAGCCCTGGTAATTCAATAATCCGATTAGAGAAAGTATTTCACTCCTAAGCTGTTAAAAGCCGGTATTTGGTCTTGAAAGGACAGATCCTTTGCCTATCTCACTCTTAGCACAGCGGGATTTCAAGCCCTCAAGAGACAAGTACCACTACAAAATATTATATATTTTCTTAAAAATAGTTCTCTTTCTTATTGGCTGCAATACTGCCTTATTATGGAGTGCAATTATTGCTAGCTCTCATTTAGCCCTGGGAGCAGTTTTAAATGATATGTCACGTTTAAGGAATGGTTTCCAGCTGTCATGTTTTTAACGCGCATATTGTGACATAATAAGAGCTCTTGATAAGACCTTCATATTAAAGGTGAGACTTTATCGCATATTACATTGTTAGAGCTTTCTGTTTATTTCTATTGGCCTTATCAGTGTATAATACGAATATAAGTAAGGAAATTATATTTATTGCGTAGCGCATTTTGTAATTGATTCCTTACTGTGGCCACATAACCTCTTGAGACTCGAACATAGTTTCTCTGTATTATTTTATTCCGACTCAACCAAGTTCTTCAATGTCTATTAGTGTCGTGATTATATCTGGCTATGTGAAAGATTTCCCTCACGCGGCTTTTCAAACGATGATAGATAGAAGTGCTATATGCTACTTGTATATTTTACGGATGACAGACAATCCTCGCCGCTACAGTTTGGATGAACATTACACTTGAAATTTAAGTATTTATTATTTCAAATAGAGCAGGCGATATGCTATTGGAAAGGCAGTTATCGTGTGGTAGACATTGAGAATATTATACCTCGAAGTAGAGGTAAACCCAGCCCTCACTCTGCATAGGATGGCGGCTTTCGACAATAGGGATATATTGTGGAGATGGAAGAAATACACATCAAGGAATAGAGCCTGAGAGTTTGGGGTCCTTTGCCGCTGCAAGTGAGTCACAATAAGAGTCCGTTATGTTGGCTTAGGACTTGTATGGCATGTATGGGGCAAATACAGGGAAGAGTAAGGTTGTATTTTAAGGCCATCCATAGGGAGATTTAATGAGGGGCTGCAAGAAAGAAAAATAATCGGTGGTGGGTGGATGTGCATTCGACGAGACTAAGTCATAAACCGTCAGACTTGCTATAGACGAGGGAAATGATATCATAGGAGAGAGCGCCTGCTATAGAATAGACTTGGCACTTGTATCCAGCCTCTTCCCGCCTCAAAGTTGCCGTGGACAGTATGGGGGCGGAGTAGAGGATGGTGGACCGGCACTTCCCGGTAAGGTTGTTCTGCATCGTTAGACATGCCCGCATATCTAAGCCTCAATGAAAAGAGCGTTCGACCATCTACCAATTCTTGATAACACCAACCTTATATCTAATAATAGTAATCTCATCAGCTATGCTGCCGGTATCTTACTGTGCAGTTGATCGAGCATGCCAGGCGTGGAGTCGAGATCAGACGACGACCCCTGAACTGCAACACATAGGACATATAGGCTGTGAGTGTATATGTCAATTATAGGTCTAACTCACTCTAATCTAATGCTGCCTTAGCTGAATGCAACGTCTATATGCAAATGCTAGTATTCAAGAAAATGTGGCCCGTCGGCCGCGCCGATCATTTAACGTTGAGTGCGTTCAGGAACTCCAACTCCACGCCCCGGTTCGAATTGCCCACCATCTTAAGGCTATCCAAGTCCTTGATAATCCAGTCAGGCCTAGCATCAACAATCTGCTCAACAGTATGCGAGGTGACGACCCCCACTACCTTACAGCCAGCGGCCTTGCCCGCCTTGATTCCAGCTGGGCTATCCTCCAGTACGAGGACCTCGGCGTCACTTTGCAACCCTAACTTCTCTCGACCCATGATATAACAGGTGGGGTCAGGCTTGCCATTCTCCACATCTTCTGCAACAACTAGGTGCTCTGGGTGTGGTAGCTTTAAGACGTCAAGCCATCCGGAGACAAGCGGCATGGTACCGGACGTGACGATTGCCCAGGGAACATTTGCCCCTCTAATGGAGTCCAATAACGACCTTGCACCAGGAATCTCGACCGCATCGGAGCCATACTTCAACGGAAGTTGCCCCTCCATATGTTTGACATCTAGTAAGAAAGAAATAATCAGCCCCCAAGTTGCCCCCAAAATTGTGGCTGCGCCCCTGAAAAGAAAACCGAAATATTGAAAACTGCAAAAGCTGAAAACGAGACTATCGTATGCAATCCTGCGATGGAGAAGAGAATGCAGATGATGTGAATAGGAAGGAGAACGGGCAAATATTGAGAGGACCTACACTCCCAGGTCGCCTTTTCGGGACGAAGCAGCTTCAGGACATCGATACTACGTCGCCCATGGGACGTCTGCAATATCACGTTAGGATCTTCTCCTAACTCCTCACCGATCCTATTAAATACCCTGTTAGACATAATAAATTCCCGGGGGGTCACTTTGTAACATACGTGTGCCAATGCTTTTCAACGGCACTGGTTGAATCGATAATGGTACCGTCCATATCAAATAATAAGCCCGCAAATACAGCCCGTTGGGGAGGAAGTGAGAAAGTTGGCGAACTAGAACCCATTTTGGGCAGATAATGGATACTAATTGGGTAGATGTGGTTTGGGAGATTCCGGGCTGCTAAATGCAAGTTGTTGTGATCGAAAGGGTGGGGTGGCTGTGAAGTTGTGTTGAAAAAATGGCCGAGGCAAGTTAGACAAGTAGATTTTTTGCGGATTCTCCTCGAGCGGGTGCGAAATGCAACAAAACTTTTCTGGTAGCCTTATATAAGGGGCTCGATCGTAGGTAAATAAATGCTTTACTATCTGTAAAAGTTAAGTTAAACTTCTGGATTATTTTCGGAGATTTATCAAGAGTAGTTGAGAAATAAAGCGAGATTCTATGAGTCGTTCAAGGGAGTGTTTTGTCTGTGATGGCAATGGGTGAAGGACGCTGGGTAATGGTCCAGTCGAGGACTGATCACGTGCGTGGCGTGCAGATTCCTGTGGCTGAGTCAGTTCGAGTGGCTGCCAAGCACGTGCCAAGCCACATCTCGACGCCCGGACCCTCGACGTCGCTTCTGATAGAAAAAATATTGTGCGCTGCGATAAGAAAATCAACGGGCAGAAGAGTTATCTTCCAACCTCATCTACACCACAAAACTCGAAATGGCGGGCAACAAACCAGGAAGTAAGTGTATTATGCATTGATATAGCTGCGCATTATGCTAATGGAGAATTTCAGAGCCCAAAAGTAAGCGTGTGCCCGTGCGGCTGCGGCATAAAATCGAGAAGGCTTCAGCAGCAAAGCAAAAAAAGGCCCGCAAGCTCGGGAAACAGAATCCAGAATGGCGGTCGAAAGTAAAGAAGGACCCTGGAATCCCCAATTTGTTCCCATACAAGGATAAGATCTTAGCGGAAATTGAGGAAGGCAGGAGGAGAAAGCTTGAAGATGCTGCGAAGAGGAGGGCGGATGCTAAGGCTACGAAGACGGGAGAGCAAGTTGAGCGAGAGGTCGAGGCTAGGATGGAGGGAGTAGATGAGGAGGATATTTTGAATATGGATATGGATATGGATGAGGATGATGATGATTCCAATCCTATGGCAGCCTTGCTTGCGAGTGCAAGGGCCGCAGCAGCAGAATACGATGGAGAATCTGAGAGCGGAGACGAGATGGACGAGGACGATGTATCAGAGTCAGGCTCAGAAGATGGCGGGGCCGAGCTCTCAGGCCTACCGACCAAGAAAGACGGTTCTCGCAAAGCATTCGACAAAGTCTTCAAGCAAGTAGTCGACCAAGCGGACGTCGTCCTGTATGTCCTCGACGCCCGCGACCCCGAAGGCACCCGCTCCAAGGAAGTCGAGCGGATGGTCATGGCCGCAGCAAGCGGCGGCAAACGACTGATTCTCATCCTCAACAAGATTGATCTCGTCCCAGCGCCTGTCCTCAAAGCATGGCTCATCCACCTCCGCCGTTACTTCCCCACCATCCCCCTCCGCGCCTCTGGTCCCGCACCCAACGCACACACCTTCAACCACCGGCAGCTAACCGTCCAAAGCACATCCGCAACCCTCTTCAAGGCATTGAAGTCCTTTGCTGCCTCCAAGCAGCTCAAGCGTGCCATCTCCGTCGGCGTAATCGGCTACCCCAATGTTGGAAAATCCTCCGTCATCAACGCCCTGACATCTCGACTTGGCGGTGCTGGTGCAGCATGTCCAGTAGGCGCTGAAGCGGGCGTGACGACGTCTCTCCGTGAGGTGAAAATCGATAGCAAGCTGAAGCTGCTCGATTCGCCGGGTATCGTATTCCCATCCTCAGGCGGCGAGGGGAGCTCCAAAGCTTCCAAAATCGAGGAACAAGCCCGTCTCATTCTGCTCAATGCCATTCCCCCAAAACAAATCGAGGATTCGGTTCCAGCCGTCAATTTACTCCTCAAACGCCTTTCGGCATCTGAGGATATGCTCAACAAGCTTATGGACGTGTATGGGCTACCCCCTCTGATGATCAGCAACGGGGATTCTACCACCGATTTCCTAGTGCAGGTTGCACGGAAACGAGGCCGATTAGGTAAAGGCGGCGTGCCCAATATTGCGAGTGCCGCCACGACCGTCATCACTGATTGGAGAGATGGGAGGATTCAAGGGTGGATGGACGCGCCTGTGTTGGCTGTTGCTGGTAATGGAGATAAGAAGCTAGCGAATGGGGCGGTGGGTGATCAGAAGGAGGTTGTTACAGAATGGGCGGCTGAGTTCAAACTCGAGGGCTTGTGGGGTGATGGGAAGAATGATGTGCTCGCTGGAGATGAGAAGATGGAAGAGTAAACCACGAAACCGATGGGATTTTGGGCACTATGAATGGTGTTTTGGCGTTAGGAACTACCTATAGTTACTTCTAGTAGGCATCTATGTAGGAATTAAAAAGTTGAACCCAACGTAACTTGACCCCTTTTCTTTTGGAAATTAGACAAAATACGAGATACGAGGGTAGAGACATGTTCAAGACACATTATTAGCTTAACAAAAAAAGGTTCTATATCATAATTCCGTTCCCATCTAGGACGCCACAAAGTTATGGTATAAGTACAACAGAGGCATTCTTCTAAATCCGCTCCTAATCTCGCATTCGCAAAACCCTTCTCTACATCCCCCTTTCCGTCAAACAAATCATTTCGATTTCTTCCCCTTTTCCCCGTTTCCAGCAGCAGTAGCAGCAGGAGCAGGATCAATCAACTCCAACTTAACCTTCCTCTTCCCCGTCTTCTCCTCCACAACATCACAAATCCTAACCACAACCTTCTCAAAAAGGCTAACCTGCACCTCCCTGCTCCCACTCGTCTTCAGAATATAATTCTCCGCATCAAACACGCTCTCCGGTTCCGGCGTCGCCAGATCGCGCAGTCGGATTAAACTCTCAATCCCGAATTTGGGAACGAAGACCACGAAGCCGTTGGAGAAGACTTTCATCACGAAGCCTTCCTCGTCTACTACACGGCCTTTGAGCGCTTGGCCGACGTAGTACTCAATGGATGCGCGGCCGGCTTGTTGGGCGTTGCGGTGGCGGATGTTGATGTTTTTGCATACGGCTTCGAGCTTGCCTTTGCTGCGTACGCTGGCGTCGAGCGGCTCGTAATCGATAGCTGCGGCGAGTTGGCGATGGGCGACTAGGTCGGCGTAGCGACGGATAGGGGAGGTGAAGTGCGTGTAGATCTCGGAGGCTAGACCATAATGGCGGAATTTAGGGTATGCTTGTGTGCCCGAGCAGAAATATGCAGCAGACATCATGCAGCGTGTTGCCATGATACGGACGAGGGTGTTGAAAAACGGCTCTTTGTCATCGACACAGGCGTCTAGTGAGTCGGCGAGCTCTCTTGAGGATGATACTTTCAATTCCAGCCCCTTCTTGACTTTGAGCTGGTTGGCGAGTTCTTCGAAGTTGCTCTTGGGAGGGGCGCCGTGGCGGCGGAGCATGGCGGTTTGAGGGAAGGCCTCGTAGATTTTGGCAGCGACGCTGACATTGGCGAGCAACATGAATTCCTCAACCAAGGACATGGTATCGAGATGCTTTTTCGTCTTGATATCGATAGGATCTGAAGTTTCTGATTCCATCTCGACCCTGACTTCAGGGGACGAAAGGCTCAAGGCTCCAGCGTCCATACGCTTCTGCTTGAGCTTCTTCGAAAGCATAAGCAGAGTCCGCATACCTTGCGTCAGCTCATCTTTTTGAGAAGGATCATCGACTCGGAGTTGGGCCTCTTCGTAGCTGAAAGCTTCTCGGGATTTAATGACCGATTTTGTGAAATTCGACTTGACAATGTCGGCATCAGGAGTAATCTCCCATATAGCAGAAAATGCATAGCGCTCCACATATGGCATCAAAGAGCAAAGATTCGTACCGAGAAGCGGCGGTAACATATCGATACGCTTGTCCACAAGATAAACGGTTGTGCCTCGTATTCCGGCTTCTGCATCCATTGCATTCTGGGGCTTGACGAAATGTGACACATCTGCGATATGAACACCAACCTCGAAATTCCCATTGGGGAGCGGCCTAGCATGCAAAGCGTCGTCGATATCCTGACACCCAATAGGGTCAATACTGCATATATTAAGCTCTCGGAGATCTCGTCGCCCTCTCCAGCCAGGATCTTCCGTGCTGGCGGGGACTTTCCAGTCATGGCCTTCCTTTGGTAAGCAGTCCAGCACGGTTTTGGGAAACGGCCGATACTGAACATCGTATTCGAGTAGTAGAGCTTCGGTCTCGGCACCTTTGGTTTCGAGATCGCCCAGTGACCGGACGAAATGGCCGACAGGATGCCGCGAATCCCTATCCCAGGAATCAACAGTGACCAGAACACGCTTCCCAACGATCTCGCCAGCCTGTCTGGTCCTGATGCGAATCTTCGGTATCCGTTTATCCATGGGTATTAAGAACACCGTTTGTTGTTTCCGGCTCTCCTTCGCCGACTGGCTGACTGACGATTCATCCACATGTCCAACATACTGTCTCCAATTCCGCTTGACAACCCCGACAACCTTAGCCGTAGGTTGTGGCCGGCCTTCTGAGCTTTTGCTATGCACCTTCTTGACCTCCTCCTGCAGCGCCCTCTTCTCCCTCTCCGTAACAACAGCCTCGCCATCGTCAGCATCAGGATTTTCATCCTTATTCATAGATTCCTCCTCAATAATCTTCGTCGACGGTTCCTGCCACTGATCCTTCGGCAGCACCTCGACAACCACGATATCGCCCTGAATCGCCCTATTGATGTTCTCCCTCCCCAAAACCAACAGCGACTTATCAAATGCAGGGACGTGTACCGAGCCCTCTAGGTAATTATACGGCGAGACATTAAACGATCCCTGATGCAGCGTCCCATTCTTAACTCCCGTCATCATCTTTGAAACCGAGAAATACTCCTGATAAAGCGCCTCCGCCGCCCTCGCCTCCCTCATATCCCTCTCCTCCTTAACCGTCGTAAGCATATCAAGCAACTTGTCCGCATGCTCCAAGCCCGCAACATAGTCGCCCAGCGAGCAAGCCTCCACACCATCTTTCTTCGCCTTCTGCAAATTCTCCTTATCATCACTCAGCATGACCACGGCGGGGACTTTCTTCGAACTTCCACCCGCGGCCTTGACAGCCTGTGCGAGATGCTCGCTGTACCACTTCACGGCCCTCCGCACCGCGCGGTCATTCCTGTCATTGATGCTCTCCCCCGCGTCCCGTACCACGTAGGTCTCTAGTCTGAAATCATTGAAGAAGACGTAGAAGCGCTTTTCCTCACTGCGTGTGAGGCCGATTAGGCGGTTGTATAGCGGTAGCGAGCGATTGCGTAGCTCTTCCAGCACGGTCTGGAGGATAATCACATCGTAGAATGCGGCGGTGTTCTCGAAGAGGTCGAGGGCGTTTAGGAGAGCGTTTGTGTCTGGGACGAGGTAGTGACCTTGTGAATATTTCTTTGTGCCTGCAGGCTTTTCAGAGAGGACGAATGGTATTACTATACACCCTCAAATCAGCTTCATTCATTCCATTTATAAAATTTGTAGGGGAGTATGAGGCCTTACAGCTACCGCTGGCATCGCGAGGCGCGTTTGATAAACACCTCGTGCATAGTTTCGACGAGCACGGGATATCTTGACGGAGGTACAGCTCGCGAACTATCTTCTGGACTTTGCCGCTCTTCGTCGACCGCACGTACACCTTGCTGGAGATGTTCGAGGCATATGGATCGGCTGCCAGAGACCGCTTGAGACTCGTCATCGTATCTAGCTGGATGAATGCGTGGCGAGGGTTGTGGGTGGGTGTGGGTTGTGTCGCGGTTTGGTGGGGTGGAACCGCGGAGGGGAGCTTAATAAATTTTGAGGTCGAGATTGGAAATCTTGATGCGAGCGAGCCGCTTTCTGCAGTAAGCGCGTCACCAGATATGAGATGCAAGGTCAATGAGCATATTTTTTGCTAACGTTTATAACCCTTTAGATACGTCTACTATGCTATACTCTCACTTTTACATTTTCTCTATTACTATAAAAAAATTGGTAGAGTAAGTTACCTCCTTATAGTCCACCGCCCGCAAGAAGTATCACCTAGTTGCATGTTAAACAGACACTTCAATACCAGTTTATATGATAATTCTCTTCCGTTCAAAATAAGATTATACGCATAGTATGATTAAGCTAACTACTCCATACAAATCGTAATAGTCGTAATAATCGTAAGCTAGGGGTATCAAATCATCAATCATCAATCGTTAATCGTCAATTTTGCCTTCCTTTTTGCTTCCCATCCCAATATACCTCCTTTCCTCCTCATCGACTTGCAAGCACCACCTACATGCCTGCATGGCAGACTTCACTTCATCCCACCTGCCAGATACATATCACTCCTTCTCTCCCCATCCGGTAAATATACCCATTAACCCACAATACCGAAAACAGCAAAAAGACCACACATAGTCGAATGCCGCAAAATGAGTGGAGTTTCCAGACAAAGTAATATCAAAAGTGGTCGGAAAATAAAACAAGGGGAAACGGAAACGGAAACCGTTCGGTAGCAGTGATTAAGCCGCCGACGGCCCATCAGGGGCATGAGGCGGGACATCGATAACATGATCCCCATCATCGTCCTCTGTCTCCTCCTCCATAAATAATTCTTCAAAAGCATCTGCCGCTATAGGTATATAGTCAGCATTACAGATCTATCAATCTTCATAACCGCAAAATAGGAATTCGATATCGACAGCGAACCTTTCCCGCTGTGCTGCTCAGTGAGGGGTGAATGAGAAGGAAAGATATGGAGAGATGGATGAGACATACCTCGACGATCAACAAAATAAATCTCGAAATCACCATGTTTCATTTGATGTTTTTTCTTGTACGTCGAGCAGAATACATAGGGTGTGATATCCTTCAAGCGGATTCGGTGGCTGCTGCGGCGGTATAACCATTGACTTGAGGCAGATTGGTAGGTTACTACGTGAGTATTCATTAATAACCAAGTTTTGCGTATCTTTATCGAGTTGATGAATTTGAACAGCGCCTGTGGGCATGATTGGATTTCAGTGAGACAAAGGCACATACCGAAAGCTGTCCACACGGGACATCTTCTTAATTCCCCATTCCAGACCGCGGCATGTAATCGAAGACCGCCACATTTTCGGTCTTGGATAACAGCTAGTGAGTGCTCGAAGCCGTCGTCGACAATTTGCCTTGTTATATATGTCAGTAGAGTGATCTAACGGCACGTGCAGAAATGAGACATACCCTCGGAATAGCACATCCTCACCAGCGAGGCCATAATCATTGGGATTGACATTTATAGACAAGGGACAACGGGCCTTTAAGGCTACAAAAGCAGCGTGGAAAAGAACCATCCCTATAGTTTCTGTCAGCGCTTCCCCACAGAATGGATTAGCGGAGGGGTTAGCACATACTTTCCCAGGTTTTAAAGAATAGAGCCATCCATAGTGTAGAATGGGCTTTGTTGTTACTCCATCGACGGAATTGTAGGGATGAGCCTTTGCGCCGGACGCAGAGCTCGTGGACGCCGTAGCAGGAATAGATGGGGTTGTAAAAGCGGTCTGTCCACCGACAGAGGAGCCGTGTTACGTCGGCACCGTCGGCGTGGAGGTAGAGGGTAACTGATAGACGGTTCTTGTCGAATGGTCTGTGAGGTTAGTTAGTTGCGGTGGTGTATTTGTAGCTCTTCGGGGAAGATATTGTTCCATGTATGACTGGATGCCTGAAAGGCCTCTCTCTGGTATCAAGGCTACGAAGGTGCTATCCTGAGGATAGCAGTTTGTTCCCGTGGCAGTTCAAGAAGGGAATGGATATACGAATTGGATAATCTCCGTCCAGAGCCTGGTATCACAAAGTAAACTCACAATTTGAATAACACAGTCGATCCAGGAGGAATCCCCAGCCTCGACTCAACCATAGGCGGGCCAAAACATCTCGACCTATTAAGCAAATCAGCACATCCAATCAACCAACCCGAAAACCCTCCTCAACAAGGCTATGCTATGCTAATCACCAACACACACACCCAAGGCTCGAATCAGAAGCAAAAGCTCACCCTCGTCTGTGCCTTAGCCCTGTCGTCGAATGAGGCTGGTCATTGAAAATCTTCTCTGCCCAATGGCGACGCTTCTTCTGTAAGAACCATTATAAACGTTTATACACGGACTAAGAAAGGCCTACCTCAAGCTCTTTCTGGCTGGGCGCAGCAGGCGCGTGATGGGGGACGATCTGGACCTGGGGGTCTGTCACTCTCAATGGAAGAATAAGCGCGTGGTTCATGCTATCATCCATCTAGGTAAGGTATAGGTAAGGTAAAGGTAGGTACACAATAAGCTCGTACTGCTTTCCGTACACGCTTTTCTCTGTTTACAAATAATTTTCGTACCTGGGATGCCTTGGAGCTTTCTTAAGTGCATGTGCCTCACGCGCAACAGCTCCAGCGAGGTGGGATCGTATAAGGGAGATCTGCTGACTGCATTAGAGGGACCGCCCAATCAAAATCCAAGCAAAGAGGGAATTAATTGATTGAATGGGGCTTTGTTTTTCTGCACCTGCTTAACAGCCGAACGGTTTGTACCAAGGCTTCGCAGTACATCGCGAATCGCTGTGCCAAAGTAATACCTCCTTGGTCGCTCAAGCGCTGGCTCATCAACGTCCATTGCGTCCGGATCGGGAGCTCCTCGTTATCGATATAGATCATCATGTCGCGCATGGACTTGCACAGCGTGGGCAGGATGACGTTGAGGTAGTAGAGGACGACGGGGACCCTGCTGCGGTAGATGGGGAACAGATCGTAGAGATCGCGGAGCAGACGGCTCGCGCTCTCGACTTCCTTCAGCACCGCGGATATGTTCTCGTAGTATTCTGGGTCGAGGGCAGTCCGCACGACAAGCAGCTTGTCGGCCACTTTGTCCGCCCGCCGCGCCTCCTGCCAGCACCCAAACAGCTCCTCCATGCGGACGGCGCAGACATCGGTCAATACGCCTCCTCCTTTGGGGGAAGAAGTATCGACGGGTGGTGTGATAAGCATTCAGAAGAAAACAAGCTGAGAAAGAGGCATAAAAAGCACTTTAACGAGGGTATCTATCCTCTCTCTCTCCGTCCGGGGTGGGAAACACAAAAATAAATAAAACCTGGGGTAGATCGCCAGCAAGTACTGTAGCAGCATTAAGTTGTAGCAGGTAGCTTCGCTCCAGTTTCAGCAATCATCCAGAAAACCCCATGGCCCCGAATCTCTGACGTGTACGTTTTGGCCGTCAAGATTTAACAAAAAAAGAGCTATTCTTGCAAATGCAGTGATATTTGCATAATCGGTGGAAAAACTTCCAATTGCGCGCGGTCCGGCGACCATGGACATGCGACTAACGACGTGCTGCAGCACAGCGGCGAACCACTGCTGCAGTAGGGAGCTGGCGAGAGGGCCGTCGGCGGAGTGCCACGATGCGGAGCATAATATCACGGCATGCACCCTGACGAATCGTGCCCGGCTTCGAGTCTACGGCTGATGATCAGGAGAGCAGATGGTGGGTGGTGAGCGGGAACTTTCTTCCTGCAAAGTATTTACTGTGCTTGCTTCACTGGCGCCAGCGAAGAAGATAGGCAAAAGTGCCGATGGGATGATGGGGGGGGGGGTAAATACCTACAGTACTGGGAACTTGCCAATGGAACTACCTGATATCCCCCGGGAAGGTTTGGGTAACCTTTTGAGTGATCATGGCCGGATGTCCTTGAAAACTGGTCATACTGTAGTGGGCATTGGAATTGCCTCGAACAATCTGAATGAGTGACACAAACCACCGCGGGCCAGCGTGAGACTGACCGACAGCTGCGCTGCGCAGCTTTTTCGAAGACAGATCTAGGTACTGTAGCCATGTACCCGAATGTCATGTACTTCAGTGTAACCTCGTCGCACATCATCGCCGCCAACCCTGTAGTAGACTACGGAGTATAACTTTGCTTGGCGTGATAAGCGCACCATCGAATCTACCTCTTTGTTCATCACCACTCAACATCTATACAGATATGACGATGCCGGAACAGGCGTGATAATGCCTCAAGCTCTCTGCAAGTATCTTTACCAACTTTTTCAAAATCTCTCTTTTCCTAAATCCCCCCCCCTTGCGGGAGCTCCAAGGAGACGATAGCATTTTGATGCCCCTTATCAACGACCCTAATCAATCCGCCCTCGATACAGAGGGTGGGGTTTTGGTTTGTTTGTCTGTATCCAGATATTGAAGTGGTAGCCAGTAAGGGGTAAGCGAAGCGCGAAATATCCCGAACGGTGTCGAATCAACGGGAGGCATTGAAGCTAAGAGGGCTGGCATGTGATGTGGTGGGGGAAGCTGGTAGAGTCTAGAATATAAAATGCTAATGATAAACAGGCCATTTGATAAATCTCATTTGCTGCGTTGCTGCCGAGGAAGTTGTCAGGCAAAATGTCACAGGTATGCCATGAGAGAGACAGGGATGATGGCACTTGTTTAATGAGAGCTAGAATACAGAAGACATCATTGATATGCATGTTCTGGACGTGCCCGACAGATCACCGTCACCATCGGGGGGGCGCCGTTCCAAATCATTATAAAAAAATATGCGCATTCAATGATGATCTTGGGACTCGATCACCTCACCTGTGATCCTCCCCCCGCGTGCCTTTCCCATAAGGTCATAGCAAAAGCCTGGCATAATAACGAAATAACACATAAACTGATGTTTGTCCCATTTCCTTGCAGAAACACCCCCCCCCAACCCAAAGAAAATGTAGAAAAGCAAGCAGGCAAGGCACTCGCGTGAGAGAGCGCAGGTGCACATACAAGCCCAGCACTCAAGAGTCACCGTCTAGGCTGGGAAATAGTCGCAAAGGTGTGGAATGAATAGAAGCGGAGTGGTCCTAGGTGGACTCGTCCTCTTCGGCATCAGCGGCCTGTGGAAGCACCTGGGTTAATATGTTTGTTGTGACAGGTAGGGAGGTAAGGGATGGGGGTAAGGAACTTACAAGGTAAATTGCCTTCTCATCCTCGTAGCGCTTCTTGTCGACCGCGGCCTTGGCCTCATATGGGCCTCGCTGCTTGTCGTTCAGGGCCTTCCATCGCTCACCAAGGACCTTTCCGACCTGGCCTATAACGGAGTATATTAGCACAAGCCAATCAAGGAGGACAACATCAGTAGGCACGTACCGAAGGTGATTCCAGGGTTCTCCTCGCGAACATTGTCTCTCTGCTCGTTGGCGAAGAACATGTATGCGGAAAGACCACGCTTGGGGGCATTGGGGTCTAAGGGGAGAGGGGTCAGCGTCATGATCTCGCGACAAACATATGTTGGGAGGAGATGTCGAGCGACGAACCCTTCTTCTTCTTCTCTCCGCGCTTGGTGGCGGCACGCTTGGTGGTCTTCTCCTTAGGCATATTGAGGGTAGATTAAGATCTGAAGGGAGGTTCTAGTTAGTAAGAGTTGTTTGGACATGGTGGATATGGGTTAATTGAGGATTGCGAATGAAAGAATGTGGATGGCGGTGTTGGTGGTTGTGGTTGGTCACGGCGACCAACGCGATGGGCGATTCATAAATAGCTGTGGTGGTGGTGGTGGTGGTGGTGTATAGTAAGTAGTAGCAGTGGTGGTTGGCGGTGGTGCAGGCGGAAAAGTCTCGAGGTGGGATGCGGGTGCGCCGGTCGCAAAGTGACGACTTTGGGTCGCGATCGCGACATGACATTCTGGAACATCAAAAGAGAGCAATTGACTGACCTGGGGGTGTTTTGAGGCGTGGAAAATGATTAGGAGCCCGAGGTGGACCTAGAAGGCGGGCAGAGCGAGTCAGCGGTGATGCGACAGAAATCGATCAACAAGAGCATCAAGATATCGCGACTGGACGCGACGGGGGACCAAGCAAGAGGAAGGCATTTGGGCGAAAAGCGCCGCGAAGCAGAGCGAATCGGCGCACGATAACGGGGTGAATTTTGGGGGAGAATTGGGCCAATCGCATTTGCGATGCTCTCACCGGAGAGGCGAGAGAGATAGCGATAGAGAGATATTTATTTTGTATGGGGTGAAAGTACTTACTGCGTGGTTTGGGCGGTGCGGTGGGCGAGCAAGAGCGTGTACAGCGGAGTTGTATGAGGGAGGAGTTTGGGTGAGAGGGAGTTTGGGTGAGGGAGGGAGGAGAGGAGAGGAGTGGGAGGAGCAAAGTAATAGAGAGGAGAGGGAGGGAGGGAGAGCTGGCCGGTGGGCGATGGGGTGGGTGGTGGGCGATGGGTGGTGGCCTGTGGCTGCGACTGCTGCTACGACTGCTGCGGGCGCGACGGAGGGCGAGAAGGGCGACCACCGCCGTCCGCCGTCCGCATTGCTCGCTAAGGGCAGGAAAAGTCGTGGTTACTCCGTAGTAGCAGCAAGTCCCGTAGTGCCAGTGGTAAACACTGGGTAAAGGGCTGTTAGCACGGCAAAGGTCTTGCTACGGAGTCGCCCTCGCCCTCGTTACCGCGCACCTCTGCGTGTACCTCCCCCGCCATTTGGCTACCACGGGGTACCTGCTGCCACCTACACACGCACCTCCTGCTCCCATACGCAGCAGCCCATCCTTCGTGCAGTCCCGTCTCATTACCACCGCACTTCGTACTGTACCGGACTATGTTATGATGCTACACTACGGAGCACCACGCACCACGCACCGCGCATCCACGCACCTCATCCTCCCTTTCATCATCATCCCTCCCTTCCCTTGCCCGTCCCCTTCGCTCTCGCGCTTTGTGCCTTGTTCCCTACCACCGCCGCTGTCTCTGGCCCTCTCTGCCTCTAATCAGCGTGGTGCAATAAGGCCCCCCCCCAACCACCACCCCCCAGCATACGAGCACAGGAGCGACGCAGGAAGCAGGAAGAAGAACGAAAAGTACGGGTCTCGGGGCTAGAGGCTACAAAGTCTCTCCGGGGCCAGCCAGCCCCCCTTACAGAGAAATAGCGTGCGGCGTACGTATACTTGCCATCCATCACTCAATTCCACAGGTATCCCATTCCCACGGATACCGCGAACCGCGTACCTAGTACCTAGTACCTACTGCCGCTGCATTACGTCGCCTACGACCTAGGTACCTGGTACCGGCTACACGTACCCTGCGGAGCGGCAGTGATTCAGCAAGCAACCTCTGATTACGGTATACAGTATACAGTATCCAGAGGATGATGATTACCTGGCCCAGTTCCCGCTCTCTCCTCCGAACTTCGTACGCACTCCACCGCGCCCATCAGCCTGCCAAGTTCTAGATCCCCCAGCTCCTCCTAGCCTGTCCTCCTAGGGCCACCGCTGAACGTCAATCAAGTCCATCAAGTCGAGTAAGTGCTCGCAGCTCAGCTGCTCCCCGTCACCACGGCTCCCACCGTCCCACTACGAAGTACTTCCTACTGGGCATTCCACTGCTCCCAGCCGCCCCTACCACCGTAACGACGCTCTCAAGCTCTCAAGCTCTCAAGCGCCGTCCACATCGGCAAGCCAAAGCCAGGCAAAACAAAGTGTGGGTGTTTGTTGGGTATGGCCTCCTGAGTTCCTCCGTACGTACTACGGAGCAGTGGTGCACACTGCGCACTGCGCACCACTCAATCAACCCGCTCATCAAACCCGGCCCCCAGCGCAGCGCATCACAGTGCACCAGCCAGTGCACCACCGGCACCGCGCTCGCTCGCTCACTCTGCCTCGAGCCCATTATCGGCTGCAGCCCATGTTGCCTGTTGGGACCCCCCCGCCGCTTGCATCACGCCGATGGATCTTCATTTCCATTGCCATTATTGCTTGCCAGAGTAGGGCCACCAACCTTCCCCCGCCCGCTAAGGCAAACCGGCCATGTCAAGCGCCACGGGCATGGCAGACAATGGATCCGCACCATGACGATCCGCCGTTTTCAAGATCGATATCACGTGATCTGAGGCTGAACCCGACCCGCCGCCACCAAGCCTCTTTGGGCGCCCCGGACCCCTGCGGCCGTGGGTGTTTGGGTGTTTCATATGACCAGCATGGCCAGCAGCGCTGTTTTGTAAACAATGCCGGGGGGGTCGCGCCGGGAGTCCTGTCAACGTCAACGGTTCCGTAGCCCAGACGCCAGAGAGGAGATCAAGATGGATCCTCTGGGGGCCTGAGGTTCGGATCGATGGCGGAAGAGGAGGAAGTGCTGAGTATGGGCAGAAATAATCACCGATGCAGCATGGACGATATATCATTGCGCCGTTTGAATGCATTCAAGCCTCACCTGTGCTAGGTAGATAAGCAGTTCTGTGTGGAACTTGCAGTCTTACATACGGCTCTCTCCATGGTCCTACTCGAGTACCGCTGACAGACAATGATATTGTTCATATTGAAGATGGCCATACGTTTCTACGGCTCGATCTCATGAAAACCCTTCTTTTCAGCCTCTGAACTACCCTCTTCCCCATACCTATCTGGTACCTCAGGTAGCTAGCTGTACAAGCACGTGTCTCTCATAAACAGCCACCAGCCAGAGGTCATCATGTACAACACACCCAACAATCACGAGACTTGCACTCCATCGTTATCTACCCTCCAGCATCATCATCATCCAGGACAACCTCCAACAACTTGGGATCCCGAACCCAGTCAACTCCACTCCCAACAATAGTGCCGGTTGCCGTGCCCTTCATAATCCTCCACTTCTGCCGACTCGCCTTCAGATTTGCTTCCAACTCCGCCAACTGCTCCCGTTTCTTCGGGTCAACATCTTGCCTTTTCTGAGCATTGGCCTGCTCCGCAAGCACCGTCAACCTTCCCGCCAGCTCGGCGTTCTGGCGAGCAGCAACGATATGTTCCGCCTCGACTTTGGCCAGATCATCCCTTGTAGCACGAACCTTTAAATTTAACTCCGTTAAAGACCCAGAGAGCGTATCCCGCTGCTTAACTAGCGGTAGCAAGTCCCTGTCTAAGATTAGTAAATTGTAGAAGAAAATCCATAGCCGTAGTAAAAACCCTACTGTTCCGCAATAGTAGCATTATTCCCCGAATGAACAGCCTTCAAGATGGGATTTGCCACGAGCACATTTTCGATAATGCTGTTCCGGACCTGATACGCCGCCTTGGCTTTCAAGAGATCTTGCTGCGCGGTGTTGATATCGGCTTGGGATGCCTCTGTTTCTTCATCCATATCTAGGTTTTTCTGTCAGAACACGTTCTCCAAGTGCCAAGGCCAAGTATTGTATATACCTTGTGACAAGACTCCTTGGACCTTCAAAAGAGCAATCTCCAACTGCAGCTCCTCCATCCGCTCATAGAGATCCAGTACACGCTGTTCCTGCTCGCTGAATAGTGGCTGGTTGGGGGCTTCTAGCTGAATAGCACTATCGGCACCCCCCATCATGTCATCTTGATAACTATGAGCCATATTGACAAATGTAATTCGTTTTCCGCCCCAATATCGGGAACCAGCTGCTCGTTCATACAATCCGAAGCGTGACGCGTGGAATTAATGTGAATGTGGCTGGTGATGTACCTCTCCTTCACGTCAGCTACCGAGCTGTGGCGCGTGCATGTACGATGATACAACAAGGATCATGTTCCGGCGTACACTTCCTGACCTAAAACGAGGCCTCCCCGAAGCCTCGCCGTGTGATCACTAACTCACTCACCTAGTATATCACTCCTGACATGTCCCCCTTCAATCACCACCATACCCCCTCCGCGCATTCCAAGGGAAATCCTGCCAGCTCCGCGAAGCTGTAGTGGGAAGCGGCGGGCATGCCTCTTCAAATCCTCCTCGCGCATACGGGCCAGCGCCTGCACACCGATCCCGGGACGTTTGCATCGTAAGTTCAAACAAGAAGCTGTTTATTGCTGCGGGAACGTACGGTAGCGCTGACATTTTCGTTCTGCTGCGTAGGCTGGATGCTTTCAAAACTTGGGTCGCCGGCCATAGCTCCATTTCCCCACAGGATCATATTGCTTTGACTACTCAGGGAAAGCCGGTGCGCTTCCAGGCGTTATCTGTAGAGGTAGGTCTCCCCCGTCTGGATATATATGTAAGGTCCCCTAGACTTATTATCTATGGGCTGTGTAGAAGGAGATTTTCGTATACGATCGACGAATAGTTCAACCCCTATCCCCAACATCTGCGAAGGCCTTTCAGTCCGAGATACCGTTGCCGCCGAAATATAGCCCCGGCAAAGTCCCCGATACGATCGCCGACCAGAATGATCTACAAGCATGGAAGGATTTATTTATGACCCGCAGGTCATGGGCCTTGGAGGTGGTGGACGACTGTGCGGCCATGTCCCAGGAAGCCCAGGAGAGATACAAGGAGACGGAAGTTCTAGTCCGCGGTGTTGATGCTGCAGTGTATAATCTGGAGAAGCATGTCAAGGCGCTGGATCAGAAGAATGCGGATATCCAGGCTTGGTCGAAGGATATTCAGAAGGAGCAGGAACTGGCTGGCACGGATTGGGAGGCGTCCATGGCTAGATTACGCGCCCTGCCAGCTGCTACCGACATGATTAAGTTCATCACCGGACGGGATCCGCGGAGAAACCAGCCGAGCCCTACTTTAGAAGATTTGGTCGATGTAGAAGATGTCAAGAGAGCTGGGAAACTCGTTCGCCATATCAGCACGCAACTAAACCGGAACAGTGCCGACCTCGGGACGAAGGTCGATTCAGTCCTAGGGAAAATCGATGGCTTGTTTGATAAAGTGGAAAGCAATCCTGCGCGGACGGCATTTGGGCGCGTGGCCGAACCTATGCAATTAATGGAAGACATCGAAGCCATTGCCAGGAAGGTTAGTAGTGACTATGAGACTGTCCTAGGATACTCAAATACTGCCAAAAATGTCTCGCAAGCTTCTAGATCTGCCCTGCTTCATACGAAGAACTTCCTTCCGAATATCTTAAAGAGATCTTTGGAGATGGATGGACTTTTGCGGCTGGCTACAGAGGCACGCAATGCCATGGCTTCTGATTCCCTCGATGCAATGCACGAGATTGCCTCCCTGACCGCCCTGGTTGCTGAGGCTAATGCTCAGTTCGCCGCCCTCGAGCTAGATGGCGATGGATTTGATGCTATTCATTTGCTGGGCATGTTAAATACATTACCCGTCACTTATGCTTCGTTCATGGCCGAGGCAGTTAGACGGAGGGAGTGGAACGAGAAAATCAGGTCGGATTCATCTACTCTGGTGAACGAGATGGCAACCTTTCAGGATGAAGAAGCGAGACGTCGCAGGAAATGGCAGAAGTCTACTGGGGCTACGTTGTGGGGCGACAGGATTGAACGGAAAGTCATGGGGCTGGAAGTCAATCTCCATGGAGAGGAGGATGAATGGCCCGAAGTGGCGAGGTCGGATCTGGATGAGCTCCTAGAAACGATGAAGACCCACGATCCAAAATCACTGATTGTTACGGACCTAACCAAGATTATTACCGATCTCAACAACCCTACAAAACAGCAAAGTAAGCGGGCGAGGGCGTTCAAAGCCGGTAGTATCCACGAAGCAGCACTAGGTAGAAGCGCACTCCTAGTTCGCGGCGATGATGAGTTGATGAGGGTTCTACAAGAAGAGAAGCACAAGGTCGAGAATAAGCTCAAGACTGCCGAGAGTCGGGTGCGAAGACTTGAAGACTTACTCCACCGACAGTCTCATCTCAGTCAGAACTCCAGTAGGAATGTCTTTCAGCTGCCGGGTTATACGAGCCCTGATGCTCAGACTAGTGCAAACCCTTTGGCTTCTCCACGCCCGAACGATGACCAATCTCGAAGGTCATCGATGTCGTCTCGGCGGTTTTCAGCGAATCAAGGCGCCGAGGAGAAAGTGTTCCAGCAAAAGCTGCTTTCGCTGGAGACCGAGCTCAATGCAGAGCGTGAAAAGACCGCAGGCATGAAGAAGGAGATCACTTCTCAGAAGACAGCGTCAGACGATATGAAAGCACAAATTGAAGCGGCAAATTCAACCAAGCAGGACCTCTTGGAAAATTTCGAGGCCCAGCAACGTGAATTCATCGAGGAACGTAGGTCTCTGGAAGAGGAGATCAAGCGCTTGAAAGCAAAATTGGAAGAGCTTGAGGACGAGATCGACCGCTATGTTGGATCCCGTGAGCACGAGAAGGCGAGCGTGGATGAGCGTGTGAGAAGTCTGCAAGATGAACTTGAAAGAGTTCGGAAGGAGCATGTAGCAGAAGCTCAGAAGGCCCAGGGTCAAGTAGAGTTCCTCCGGAACGACTCAAAGCTACAACGGGAAACGAACGAGGCTCTCGAAAACCAAATACAAAAGATGCAAGAGGAGAATAGAGAGTTCCAAGCCAGAGCAGAGGAAGCTGAATCGCTAGCTGAAGAGCAGCGCAAGGTTTTACATGATGTGCATTCACATTTGTCTCCTGTTGCTCCTGTTCCTGATGACCTTCCTGCCCTCGCTGAAGCTCTAGCGACCTTGCCTGGAGATTTGATTGCGGAGCTCGAGTCTGTCAAGAGTGATGCGACTATAGCCAGATCAGACCGAGACGCTGCGCAAAATACCATCGCTGAGCTCAAGTCAGAGCTCACAGAAACTAAGGATGGTTTGGCGAAGGAAGAATCTGTGGCTTTGCAGCTTCGTGAAGCGTTGGATGCCGAGAAGGCTAGGTTTGCAGCCTTCGAGGAGGAGCTGGAAGGCGAGCGCTCCGAGCTGACCTCACTGAGGACCAGGATTGCCGATGGCGAGACGGGTTCAGAAGCGCTCCGTAGTCGTCTGGAGGAACGGGAGCGCAAGGTCACAAGCTTGGCAGAGGATCTTGCTTCTCATCAATCTCAAGTAGGAAGTTTAGAAGAAGAGCTCCGAGCTTTCCAGGAGAAGCATCAATCCGTACAGACGAAGCATGAAAGCCTGGCCACTAGATTCGAAGCACGAACGTCACGGGCCAAAGATCTTACACAGCGTGTTTATGCGCAGAACGACCGACTATGCAGGCTCCTTGAGCGGCTTAGTTATTCTGTCACCAGAGATGGTAGTACAATGACTATTCAACGGATACCAAAACCCGAACGGGCTAATGCGAATGATTCTTCTGATCCTGGCTCGTCTTTGCGGAAAAGCATTTCAGGTGCCGTTACTAGAAAGGCGATGGTGGATAGTGGTGATCTTGATTTACTCTACTGGATGCACAACGACGATTCGGAGGCTGAGTCGGAGAAGTATGAAGCGTACCTCAATGCAATTGGGAGTTTCGATGTCGAACAATTTTGCGAGCTCATCACCAAGCGAATCAAGGATATAGAATACACGGCCAAGAAATACTCCAGAGACGCCCGCGCCTATCGGGAGAAGTCACACATGGCCCAGAAAGAGGCGCATGAGAAAATCGCCTATAAGCATTTCAAAGAGGGCGATCTGGCGCTCTTCCTCCCTACCCGTAATCAAGCGACGGGCGCGTGGGCGGCGTTCAACGTCGGGGCACCCCATTACTTCCTCCGTGAGCAAGACTCACATAAACTGCGGACTCGGGACTGGCTGCTTGCTCGTATTCACAAGATCGAGGATCGGGTGGTGGATCTCTCTAAATCGATGTCTGGCAATGCCGCCGATAGAAAGTCACTCGGCGGCGATTCCTTCGAAGACGATAATCCATTTGAGCTCTCTGATGGCTTGCGCTGGTACCTGATCGATGCTTCGGAAGAGAAGCCCGGCGCGCCCTCTACGCCGGGACTAGGAAAGAGCACTGTTGCGAGCGCAAACATCGATGCCACCGGTAGTATACGTCGCTCGAAGAAATCGTCAAGTGGAGGTGTCGAGGGCATCAATAAAACTCTCAGCAAGAGTCTAGACAGTCGACGCAGCAGCAGTAACTCGAAGAAAGCCGTTCCTGGAGCTAGCTCACTTGTCAAGACTACCTCCACAACCGCTGATTCCTCGTCCCTAAAAGCTGTCTCCACGACGAGTATCCAACCTCCGGGCGAAGCCTCCGAAGATCCCCAGCGCGAAAGCGAACAGGGGAATACGAATGGAGTAAGCGAACAGGCTGCAAATCCCCCCGAGGTGCGAAGCCAATCCCAACCAATTGATGACCTCCTGGGTCCGTGAAATTCTTTTCAAGACGCTGATGGTTGGTAGGATCCTCAGGGCAGTCAGACACCAACAGGAACAACCAGTCACCCAGAAGCATCCGCGACAACAACACCCCCCGCGGGAACGAGTCCCGGCAAGAAATCTGTTATCTGGGATTCGCTTTGGAGTCTTGATCTTAGTCTTGAGAGCGGGAGGAATAAGAAGTAATTCATCGGCGTCGTTTTCGAATTTAACACTAGCCCGGGGACATTTTGGGGGCCTTTTATAAACCTATGCTCGGAGAAACGAGGCCGAGGCGTTCTATGGGGGGGGGGCATTTACCCTGCAGTATCGTTATATCATTGTTATTATTACTAGGTAACCTAGGCACGCATGGTGTCCCGGTGGTGGGAAATATAGCATTCGGCTACTTTTCTCTATTAATTTACTAGGCATATTTTACATTATTTTCTATCGACTAGCGAACGGTACGGGACGGGCGCAAGTAGATAAAAAGAGATACCATTTTATGCGTATTTATTTTAAGGGATGTTTATTGTTGATGGTTTATTGGGCTATCTTGCTGTGAGGGCAGGGTGAGGGAGATTTTATATATAGGTTGGAACTTTTAAAGGGGGAATAGGAAATGGATGGATAGAATTGAGAATGATAAACAATTTAAATGGAGGAATTATAGTGAGAATGAATGATAAATTATAATTATAATGTAAGTAGTGAGGGAGGGTTTCTTTTTAACTTTATTAACAAAACTTCCGAGAGGAGTTGTTGAGTTTGGTGGAAAGTAATTTACGATTGTGCTTTATACATTGCTTTGGTAACTTGCTTTTGAAGGGAGTTCAGAGGAGGTAGGAGTATATATGTGTTTTTAGGTATCCATTGAGTTGGGTTTGTAGTGGGCTGTGGATATGGAGGTGGAGGGATGTGTGTGATGTCAGAGCCATTTTTGGAACCCGACTCGGTTATTGGGAATCGAAACCCAATATGTTTACACATCACAACTAGGCTCTATCTGCATAAGTAATATGTATTTCAGTATCATACGCGGAACAATTTCTATTCCATCTGTCTCTGTCTCTGTCTAATAAAAAAAACGAACCCAGACCAACCCGACTTCTACTTGGCCGTGGTTGAATCGCCAGCCAAGTAACGCCATTCGCTTTCAAAATAACATAGGGTTTTTCCATGCAGCCTTTCATTGTTGAAAACTTTTTAAAACCCCCCCAAAGAGAAAAACTGTCATATATGCCGTTGAAGGACAATGCAAAATTTTCCCCAGGTTTTTCATACCGTCATTAATCGTGTTGAAATTTTCCACACCCCGTTACGCGCGCCGCAAGGGAAATACCCAAGTATTAGACATCTAGTATCGGTACCTGCGTAGGCATTAGTAATTGGCTCTGATCTGGGAAAGGGGAAGTGGAACTTACATGTCGCTCTTGTATGGGCCCTCAACCTCAAGGCCAAGGTACTCAGCCTGGACCTTGGTCAAGGTGGTCAACTCAGCGTTGACGTGGTCCAAGTGAAGTGCGGCAACTTGCTCATCCAAAATCTTGGGGAGGACATAGACGCCAACCTCAAGCTTCTGGGTCTTGCCGAACTCAATGTACTTCTTTCCGAAAGCAGGGTCATTGCACTTGAACAACATGATTTGAGCAAGGACTTGGTTGGTGAACGAGCATGACATGACGAATGAAGAGTGGCCAGTGGCACATCCCAAGTTGACAAGACGACCCTCAGCAAGGAGGATGATGTGACGGCCGCTGGGCATGAGGAAACGATCAACCTGGGGCTTGATGTTCTGCACGCTGGTGGCGTTCTTCTTCAACCAGGCAACGTCAATCTCGATATCGAAGTGACCAATGTCTGATTATGTTAGCAACGTAGATACTAGTAGCGGAAGGGTTACTTACTGCAGACAATAGCATCATTGGGCATCTTCTCGAAGTGCTGGCCAGCCAAGATATCTCTGCATCCAGTGGTGGTAACGAAGATTTGACCTTGGGAAGCAGCCTTCTCCATGGTGGTAACCTGGAATCCAGAGACAGCGGCCTGAAGTGCGTTGATAGGGTCAACTTCAGTGACAAGAACACGAGCACCCATTCCGTGGAGAGCCATGGCGCAGCCCTTTCCGACGTCACCGAAACCGGCAACAACAGCAATCTTGCCAGCAATCATAACATCGGTGGCACGCTTGATACCATCAATGAGCGATTCACGGCAACCATACAAGTTGTCGAACTTGGACTTGGTGACGGAGTCGTTGACGTTGACGGATGGGACGAGAAGGCTCTTGTTCTTCAACATCTTGTACAGATGGTGAACACCGGTGGTGGTCTCCTCAGAGACACCATAGCAGTCCTTCAACATCTCAGGGTATTTGTTGTGGATGAGAGCGGTGAGATCTCCACCGTCATCGAGGATCAAGTTCAAGCCCTTGTTCTCCTTGAATGCAACGAGCTGTTGCTCCAAGCACCATTGGTACTCCTCCTCGGTCTCACCCTTCCAGGCGAAAACAGCGACACCTGTCTAGTCAGTTTTAGATTCGAGAGAGGTAACTGGGGAATTGACATACCGGCAGCAGCGATAGCAGCAGCGGCGTGGTCTTGGGTGCTGAAGATGTTGCACGATGACCAGGTAACCTCAGCTCCAAGGAATGTGAGGGTCTCGATCAGGACAGCGGTCTGAATAGTCATATGAAGACATCCAGCAATGCGTGCTCCCTTCAGGGGTTGATCGGCAGCATACTTTGTGCGGGTAGCCATGAGGCCGGGCATCTCATTCTCAGCAAGATCGATTTCCTTGCGGCCGAAGGCTGCAAGACTCAGGTCTGCGACCTAGAAAAAAGGCAATCAGCATATGTTTATGAGGGCTCTGAATGAATACGAACCTTGAACTTGGTTGCTGGAGCTGCCATATTGTAGGAGGATTTTGTTGCGGTGAGGGGTATTGGTGGTCTGTGGGTTGTTTGCGGGGTGATTTTGGAGATGGGAAGGACTACACAGATAGCAGGGTCAGTCAGTATAATGGTGGAAGTAATCAACTGAGTCTGTAGATATCGGATCTCACTTACTTCACGGGAGGATGTTGGATGATGAGAGGAAAAGAGCAAAGAGGTGTGGGGGAAGAAGTGGGAGAGGAAGATCGGAGGGGAGGGCAAGCTGCAAAGTTTCATTAGGGCGATCTTAGTGGCTGGGAGGTATTGCATCCCCTTTGCGGCCTAGCGCAGGTGCTTGACCGCCTACCGTCAACACGAGGTACGGAGATACAAGCACAAGTACAAGAACCCTTATCAGAACGAGGAACGGAGCCGCGTGGAAGATGTTCTCCGGATGCCTCTGTTAGAAAAGGGCCTCTATAACTATTGCTATATAAAACCTGGAATATGGCAACTTCTCCCACCAGAATACTGTAGAGTCCATAAACATCGTGGAAATCTTAATCGGCTCTAATCTCCCTCCTCACAACAGAACCATAAACATTCATTAGCGGCCACAGACGTGTGGGGCCTACAGTAAGGCCGGGTTCGGCTCCCATCCCACGTGTAGCTGGTCCTACAAGTCACATAAAATACGTAGTTCGTTCCCAACAAAGGTATCTGGTTCTTTTGAATTTGCGAAATAACAGAATGGTCATCACTCTCACGCCCTAATCTTTTGCCCATACGACCCGCTTACAGTAGAGTAGGTAGTATTGCCAAAGCCCTTCTGAACGCCAGCCCATGCAAACCAGCAAGTTACACCTCATGAAACAAGAGTCTATTGACCCCTCCTCAATTCCAACCCTACTAATCCCTCATTCACGCTGAGTCTGGCAACAGATTGCTCTTGACTGCAAACATTTTGCTGGTAATACTAGCCGTAAAGCCATCGACCTGTCTTGAGTATTGCTCCACCTGTCGAGCATTTAGCATGCCTTCCAATCTGCTTGGCTCAGTTGGCAGCTTGAACACCCGCTCCCACTCATCCTCCGGTAATGGCGCCAGCTTTTGTTGGACCCTGGTGGCATTCTCTGCCGCACGTTTTGTCTTCCACGCCGTAATTTTGGTCTGCTCGCGCGCAAGTTGCCTTTGGTAATACTGGAAGTTGTTGAGCTCGGTATAATGTGTTTCGATGCTATCCAGAAGCATGTTGCAGGACTTCTCCAGGTATGGGTCGACTGAGAGATCAAGAGAATCAAGGTTAGGGTAGAGAGGGATGGCGGGCTGGTTCCTCTTGAGGTCTGAGAGACTAGTGGGGAATTCGAGGTCCTCCGTTGGAGGTGCAGCGGGTAGCTGGTGTAAGAACGAGGTCAAAAGGTGCGAGTTGTGGATGATGATGGGTAATTCGACCAGAATGTCCTTGTAGGTGAACTTGGTCTTTTGCATGCTATCATAGAGGTTAGCGAGCCGTTTGGCAAAAACCGGAGCTGGGGAACGTACTTCTCCGTAGTGAACTTATTTTCCTTGTACGCAGCCATAAAAGTTGGAGATAACCGGAAAGCCCGTAAGCTCAAAGCACCTTGAGAGCTTCGGCTAACATCATGCACCAACGCAACTGTCTTCTCATTCAGCTCCTTCTGGTAGAAGAACTGGTTTTCAATCAGGCTGGTATTGACGAAGTTGCCCATGTTCGCGCTCGTGTACCATCCGACATTGTTCGCATCCACATTAACCTCTCGTAGGTACTTGATCATCTCATTCTGGTATGTAATATTTGCCTTCGACCGTGGTGCTGCTGCTGCCAGATTCGAGGCAGCCATATGATCGTTGGGATGGGCGTCGGAGGCGGCGACATCTGCCGTAGGGAAGGGGAAGCTGTTGGTGATTTGGAGAGTGCCATTAACATCCATGCCCACGAGGGACCCAGTGGCGGTGGTTGGGAAGGTGGCAGCGCAAGCCTTTACAATCTTCATCACAACCTGTAGATCTCATCAGCATCCATCCATTGTCATCGACTGTACGAGGGGTAGGGGATGGGGATGGGGATTTCGTACCAGCGCCTCCACCTGCACCGAGTTCAAAGGAACATCTTTTAGTACGTCGGCCATGATGTTGTCGACACAAAATATAATATCTGGAGATATTTCTAGATGCGCTCGGGTTCTTGGCAGGGTTCAGTTGACCAGAGTTGGGCGCGTCTCTGTTTCTGGATGTCGCAACTCAGATCGTAAACTTTTCGAGGGCAATCGATTTGTGTGGTGGAAGTCTTGGCGCTCCACTAGCGCGGGCGAGCGTGGGATGGCCTTTATAACACCCCACGAACCCCACGACTTCAAATCCAACCTCACAACTACATCTCGAGACTGTTTTCTGATAATTTCGTGTTGGGAATGCATTCTGGCGTTAAATATCCGATTAAATCTCGGATTCCGAGGCCTTATTTTGTGGTTAAACCAAGTGGATATCACACACGGCCCCTAGCTGGCCCATCACGTGCTAGGTACGCTTTTGGAGCTTCGGTAGGAGTGGTACCTGAATGGCGTCCATGAATCGAGTTATCAGTGGGCTGGCGAGAAAATATCATTGGCGAGATGAGGATCAAAGTACGGTCATTTCATAATTGAAAATATTTCCATTAGTCTATAAGGGTGCCATTTGTCTACGGGTATGTGGTGTCGCCTAGTTTTCAGCCCATTCTTCAGCAAGTTTAATAATCGAATCGCCCCAACCCGAAGGGCTCACGTCCAGCACAAAAGTCGTTCCATAACTCCAACCCCAGTTGCAAGCAAAAGTGAGGCCCGGGGTGTTTGAAGGTAGTTCTTCAGTCTTCCCAGTTAGTGATTTCCCAGTCCGTCGCACCGTCCTTGATGATAAGCCTCAAACGCTCAATTTTCCATTCCGTGTACAGGAATCTCGTCGCTGCCGCGGCTTTTCTGTGGGCTTCTCCTATACTTCCGACTCTAGCATCGTGCTGGTTGCGCCAGACGCAAGTTGCGAGGTTCCTTCCCTCAGGGTCGGGTGATCCAAACCAGTATCTGTTTTTCAGGTTAGCGCTTGTCGATTTGGATTTGAGAAAGAAGCGTTGGGGTTACTTACTTGAGGAAGCCGCCGCTCTTAGTCGCCTCTGCGTGTGCTGCCTTATCGAGAACACCGAGGTCGGCATACACCGTCGTTGGCGGGATGCGAGATCTGAAGACCACGATATAGAAGGAAGTCACCTTCCACGTGAAGTCTGAAGCCGTGGCCAGCTTTTGGATCGACTGCGTGACCTCGGACCAGTTGAAGATCTCGGTATAAGGGGCGGTTGCGTAATCGACTCTCAAGCATTTCAGTCCGGTGAGGGCCTTAGCCAGTAGTTGATTGGCAGTGTCTAGTGTACTGAGATCAAGGAGATGCGGTTCCTCATCATACGGGGAGACGATGAGAAAATTTTCTTTTTTGTTTCCACCGTCTATGACCTGTTGGCTTGTGACACTCTCAGGAATGGTGATGCTGGAGTTTTCGGTATTGTCCAACGTGGTGGTGGCAGACCGTTGTATCGTGTCGGATCCCAAAGGAGTGGATAGAGTTACAGCCATGGCTGGAAGATGATACGACAGAACAGAATGGCAGGCAAAGAGAAGGACAGATGTTTTGGAAGGACTGAAAGCGTGCTGAGTAGCACTGTTGAAACTGAAGTGGATGGTGAAATATCGCACCAGAATGTGGGAGGTTTGGGGAGAATTTTATGATGGGAGAATGCGCACCTACATAACCCCCGACTGTCCTGCGGTGAGTCCTTAGTATTACCTAGGCATCTTGCCTGGGCGATGTCGGGAGACCGGTGTGTCAGTTTATGTTATTGTGTGCGCGGTATGGCGCCATGCTCTGTTTGGATGGCGAGATCTGATAAAGGAAAATGGATGTTGCTGGTTGCGGTCTCTGCATTTTGCAATACCGTAACCTTGCAACAAGTGTTCCACGGCTACTTTCCCGAGCATTCACCACATCGATGTTGATAACGGCCGATATTCAAATCCACAACGGCAATCGAATTACCGCAGGTTCGGGTTTTTTTTCTTCTAGAAATGTGGGGCTACTAATGCGGGAGATCCCGCTCGTAGGTCCGAAGTACGGTCCAAACAGTTCACCTTTCAAAGGCCTCCACGTCAACAAAGTGATAGCGGAGTTGGCATCGAGCGAACTGTTCCAAGTGCAACATTTTTAGTACTCGTTACCATGCCACTTATTCCTGTGGAGTGCCTAGGGCATCATAGGATGATTACCCCTGAAGACGTGTCTTATCTATTGGCTCTGGATTGAATGGAATGATGGTTTTTCTAGAGGATATCCATACCTCGGACGCATCAATGCCTCCCCTGAGCCTCACCGCCGGATGCACGCTTGAGGCTATATACAGACGAGCTGCATTGGCCAGCAATGCCCAATCTATGTATCTTACGGCATCGCGATTAGCACACCATGGATAGCTGGCTGCCAGATGCTTGGCCCGATAATATGATATATCGGAAACAGCGATTGAGGGATAACGATATGCCTCTAAGGGATCTCTGCTGACCTTGCGGAAGTAGGCCGCGAGATATCCCTGCCAGACAATGCAAGGAAACCCATCCTTAAACCCTCCGGGTGTCCCGAGACACGCAGCTCAGTTACTATTCAGCAGCATTCTCGAAGCCACCGCCTAGCACCGTAGGCTGTTTTCGAGTGGTACGATACAATCCACAACTTCTTCTCATTGGTCCTCTTGATCATCCTCGGTTTCTCGCTCAAGCCATACTCGTCCACCCTCGTATACGCTGAGATATAGCCCACTGCCCAATATTGTCCAGACTGCCCTGAGAACCGCCCCTCGAAATAGTCCTTTGATACCGCTGGTATTAAAGATTTCCCTCGCAATCGATAACTCACTTTTCTTCAATATAGCTTTTTTGCTTGCAAGGTTTGATGCCGACTGATTCTGTTTCTCGGGGTTCTCCTTTGATCCGCCAGAGTTGTTCTCTGAGCCCTCACCTGCAGCGGATAACATAATCCGGGTCTTCACTACATCAACTGGGGTGGTGAGAAAGGCCGCGATAGACCCAGCAGTCCCAGCACTGACCGCTGTGATAAGTGCGGTTTCAAGTAAGCTTCCCGTGGACTTTCCGTGCTCCTTTCTATGCTTCTTAATAGCTGCTCTCATATGCTCATACATAGGAAATTGCATTGCTGTATATGGCAAGTTGCGAGCTGCAAGCGCAGTGTAGCCGCTCCATAGTTGTGACGGCGTTTTGAACCGCTTGAGAGTTTGCAAAGTTACCGATGGTTGAAATGCAGCAGAGCCTCTGGATGCCGAAGACACGACAGTCTTACGGACCATTTGAGCATTCTGCTTCAAAACTTCAGCAGGAGTGAGAATAAAACAGGAGACAAGTTCGGCGGCGGATGATGCTGCACTGTTTATGAAAGGTTGGGGAATGAGTGGCGAAGCTGGACCGCCTAGTTCCTTATTGGCCTTCGTAAGTTGGCTCTTCACGGCCTCATATGTTGTAAAAAATGCTCCTGCTATCCCACTGTTAGCCGAAAACCAAGCTTGGGAGGATAACAATTCTAGGCAATTCCCGTTATCAAATTGCTTCCTGCGTCCCGGAAGAAATAAATGATAAAATTAGGAACACTCCATAGGGAGCCATTGGCACGTTACTTTTCGATCTCGAATGAAATCCGCATTTTAAACGATTAATAGGTCAGGTAACTTACACGAAGGGATGGTAACTAAAATGACACTCCCGACACCCTGATAAAGGCCTCGAAAGAGCACCCGTCGGTTGATAGCTTTTTTTGATGCATCGTAATAAAACTTGTTATAGTCCGGGCTCTGAAATCGAGTTTTCAGCGTATCGAGGGGATAGACAAGGAGGTCGACGGAAAACGCTGCAACGGCTCCCGCCGAAGTGCGTTAGCTAGTGACAATTCTACTAGGAAGATCGTATCGTAGAAGATGGAATGTGCGTAGCTTACTAGGAGGATATCAGTATGAGTATTAGACATCTATAAAACATCATAAAAGCCAACAGAAAGGAGAAGGGAGATAATCAAGGATATCTCGATTGGTTTTGAAGTTCGTGGATTCAGGGTTGTTCCAGACGCATTATGTCATTGCGAGGCCTTCATAGCTTGTCAAGACGCTAAGGGTCGAACCCCTGTCGAAGCCCAGAAAGCTGTCTATTGCAACCTCGGGCGCTGTACGGTACGCGGCCTTTTTCACATCAAGATAAAACCTTCACATATTTCCAAAGCGAATTTAAACCTGTCCCAACTTCATCCTGGCGAATTATTTCTGGTCAGGGCGCGCTCGTGAAGAGGCACGGAGCTTAGCTCCCCCAAGACAAACCATGGTCGAACCCCAACTTCCCCCTCGCCCGCCACTCACCCCTCAATTCTGTTTCGACACAGGTGCCCTAAGAGGTATGCACCCACAGAAAATTTATCCCGCTCTTTATATATTAAGAGATAATTGACCTGTTTATCTAGATTTCCTGCGTCTTTCACGCGCTGCTATAGACGATAGTATAACACAGAATCTAAATGCCCTTCTAACTCCCTCGGAGGCAGGCTGGGACCCTTCCTCGACATCTACACGAAAGTCAACCTCTCCTTATTCCAGGCGGATATCCCCACAATCATGCCGAGCGTTCAAAAAACAGGTCTTGTTCCCGTCCTGGCAAGTTCGCTCGGATGTCCTGAACTTTTGCGCGTCTGTGGCGACGAGTCCGGACCCCAATGACCCTGACTCGGTGCTACGGCAGGTGGAGAGCGAGAGGGATAGGGAAAGAGTTGTAGATGAAAGGTTAGATCCTTATTCGGCGAGATTCTTTCCCATGGAGCCGAGGACGGAGAGACTGGCAGCTCTTATTAGGCAAGAGAGGGGCGTCGAGACTATCGTACGAGCGAGAAGTTGGAACTTGGTCGTGGAGAGATGCGGGAAGGATTGGAGGGAGTGGGAGGAGGCTTTGAGTGAGTGGCGGAAAGAGCGGGAGAAAAAAAGTAATGTGGAAAAGCAATGAGCACAAATGCAAATAGACGCCGTGTGGCTTCTTCTCACGAGGGCCATCTACGAAACGAATGATGGCAAGCAGGCGTTTGGACCACTCTTGGACCGCATGCTTGGGTGTAAGCAAGAAAGAAAGCATTCGATTATATGTAGTATTATGTAAATAGGGCTATTGGTGGTCTTTCACAAAACCGACATCTTGGGATGCAAAATGCCTGTCACGAATTCCAACACATTACGGATGTATAGGGGCAATATATTACTTTTAAGTGAGGCATAACTTGGTCGAGCTTCCAAAAGAATAAGCCTTCCGGCACATCAAGTTCCCAATGTACTGGGATGTTAGCTCCTAGGACCTGACAAAGACTGAAGCCATTGCATAGATTGAACTATGAGACCAGCCAATATATGACCACTCTGCCAAATTTCATTATGGCCACCAGAAGCTGCTAGACTGTGGATCTGCTGGTGGCCGTCAAGTCGGCTTTTGACTCGTTTCAGCATATACGAGTCCTGTTCCTTTTCGACTAGCTGGTCTTCGTCAGAGTTTGATATGACGATGATTTTCGCACGTTCCCAAAGAGGATCATATCCAGTGAGCCCTGTCGAGGGCGAGACCTGATGCCATGCGCTTCTTTCAGGGAACGCACTCTCCATAAACTGCTGGTAGACGGGTATACTTTTGTGCGCTTCCACAAATGCATCAAAATCGTATATTCCAGCAATACCAAGCACACATGCAGGCCGAGGAAGAGGGCGGTCTGGTAGAAGCGACAAGTAAAGCCCGAAAGCCATTGTTGCGCCTGCGCTGTGTCCCACAAGCATATAGCGGTCCTCGATTCCATATTTCCCATCCAGGTAAAGAAGAGCATGTCCTACATCTTCTAAATGGCAGGGATGTTGCACATTCCTTGAAGGGTCATCGGGGGGGCTTGGATATTTTGAATGTGAAGGGTAGGGCGAGAGTCGATAGTTAATGGATACGAATCCAGCAATTGAGCTCCTTATAGGCAGGTTTGAAAGAGCAGTAACAGCGGGCTCAAAAGACATCGAATCTACCTCAGGATCGCGCCATGCTCCCCCGTGAATGAAACTAACTATTGCTCAGCGAATTTCAATGGAAACGGGTGGAGACTAACATGATCCATGTTTTTCCGAGGTCTGTCGACGGCGATGCAGGTCCATATGTCCAGATGTCTACTGTATGAAGCTCAGTGGCGCCCACTCCCTCGAGATAACGCTCTCTGTGGTGTTGAAGTTCAGGGCCAGCCATTGTGTCGAGACGAGGTTGAGCTGCTTCGAGATCGGAGCGGAATATATTCTCGCCAATTGCCGAAAGTGACGGGCCCTTGGGACGGACGAACGCGATGTTTCTCCGACTCTGAACTCCTGCTCAGTATTTGCACACACGACCTGGAGCTTCAATTTCTGCCACCACTTTTGTTGCCCATTCTATTCTGCCTGAACTGCATCTTCCTTGGGCGAGGCATTTGCGCATCCTGCGGCTTGGCCAAAGTTTCCACCGCTCTGCGGCTCCGACAATAGCTAGCACCCCTCCAGATCTTGAACTCTGAATCGGAAGACTGCGAAGCCTTTCGCTGCTATCTTCTGTCTGTTGGAGACTTACAGTTGAATCGCAATGCCTCAACTATTAAGTGCGAAAGAGCAGTCGCTCTTTCGCACAGTTGTGCGCAACTATGAGGACAAGCAATACAAAAAAGGTTTAGATCTCCAACCCCAAACTGCGCTGAATAGATTGTTAACTACTGCTAGGTATTAAGGCTGCCGATCAGATATTGAAGAAGAATCCGAAGCATGGAGATACACTGGCTATGAAAGCCCTCATTATGAACTCCCAGGGGAAGACCGACGAAGCTTTTGCGCTGGCAAAAGTAGCCCTCCAATGCGACATGAAGTCGCATGTCTGCTGGCATGTGTATGGATTACTCTATAGGGCGGTCAAGAACTTTGAGGAGGCAATTAAGGCCTACAAATTTGCATTGAGACTAGAGCCAGACTCTCAACAGATTCAGCGAGATTTGGCTCTGCTCCAGGTGCAAATGCGAGACTACCAAGGATATCTCGTCAGTCGCAAAGCCATGCTAACAGCACGATCTGGCATGCGGCAAAATTGGACAGCATTGGCAGTGGCTCATCACCTAATTGGGGATTTTGCTGAGGCTGAGGGAGTTCTGACAACTTACGAAGAGACGCTGAAGAACCCACCAGCAAAAACAGATTTCGAGAACTCTGAGGCTGTCATGTACAAGAACACTTTGATTGCTGAGCAAGGGAACTACCAAAAAGCTTTGGATCACTTAGAATCTGCTGGCAAACATAATCTGGATAGGCTTGCTGTTTTGGAGCTGCGGGCTACCTACCTTGCGAAGCTTGGCCGGAAAGACCAGGCTGAGAAAGCGTACCGCGCTCTCATTGACCGCAATTCGGAACACAAGGAATACTATGATGATCTTATAGAAGTGATGGGAATTGCATCAACGGATCATAAGGCCATGAAGGCAATTTATGATGAATATGCGGAAAAGTATCCTCGGTGTGATGCCGCGCGGCGATTGCCTTTGAATTTCTTGGAAGGTATAAATAATATCCCTACTTGGGTATAAATTTCTTCTAACGTTTAGATTAGGTGACGAGTTTCGAGACGTGGCCGAGAAGTATATCCATCGGATGTTGGACAAAGGCGTTCCTTCAACCTTTGCAAATCTCAAGCATCTCTATGCGAGCTCTTCCAAGAAAGAAACTCTTCCTGCTTTGGTCCGACAATACATTGATAGCGGCAAGAGCGAAGCTAATGAAGAGCCGAAGAGGCACGGCGATACATCCAAGGGGGCCTCCGCCGCATATTATTTCCTTGCTCAGCATTATAGCTATCACCTGAGCCGGGATCTAGACAAAGCTATGGAGTATATCGACAAGGCCATTGAACTAGAACCCGAAAGTGTTGACTTTTACATGACAAAAGCACGGATCTGGAAACATTATGGAAATACACAGAAGGCTTCTGAGACCATGGAGCATGCACGCACTCTTGATACCAGAGATCGACACATCAACACGAAAACCGCCAAGTACCAGTTAAGGAATAACGAAACCGAAGCCGCTATTAAGACGATGGGTCTGTTCACTCGAGCAGAGACACCTGGAGGGCCACTGGCCGATTTACATGACATGCAATGCGTGTGGTATTTGACCGAAGATGGACAGTCTCATGTGCGCCAGGGACATATTGGCCTTGCTCTCAAAAGATTTACGGCCATATACAACATTTTTGATGTATGGCAAGAGGATCAATTTGACTTCCATAGCTTCTCATTGCGCAAAGGTCAAATACGGGCTTATATAGATATGATCAAGTGGGAGGATCGTTTACGGGAACACCCATTCTATTCTCGCGCAGCGCTCTCCGCGATCGAAGTATATCTCAAAATGCACGACAAGCCAATAACGAATGGGGCAAATGGAACTGCAGACGTAAACGGCGAGGACGCCGCTGAACGGAAAAGAGCCGCCAAAAAAGCGCGGAAAGAGGCACAAAAGGCTGAGCGCGAAGCTCTTGCCAAGAAGAACGAGCCGAATAAATCCACAAAAGAAGGAGACAATGACCCAAAGAAAAAGGATGATGATCCAGATGGAGCAAAACTGGCAGCCACGACGGAGCCCATCAACGATGCGATGAAGTTCTTGACACCGCTTTTGCAATTCAGCCCAAAGAGCATTGACGCACAACTGGCCGGTTTTGAGGTGTACATTCGACGAAGTATATCTGCCTATCAATCGTTCTACCGAGTACATGTGCTAACACTTTAATTTAGAGAAGTATATCCTTGCGCTGAGATGCTTGCTAGCAGCTGCAGGACTCGACCGGGAACACTCTAAAGTGCACCAACAAATCATCCGGTTCAAACTGGCCGTTGACAAAGATTTGGAAACACTTGCCCCACAAGTCGCTGAAGTTATCAAGTCCGAGTTCAACCTCCTGCCAGCATCCGTTTCCCTCACGCAGTACAATGATGAGTACCTCTCGAAGAACAAGGACTGTGCGCGGCGAACTCTTGCCGCACTAAGTGCGCGGAAGTTGCTGTCGCCTGAGTCGTCGCCCAATTTCGAGAAAGATGCCATGGCTACTCTTAAGCTGCCCGGTACCACTTTTGAGGAAGCGAAGGAGGGCTTAGAACTCTTGCTCTCGTGGAATAGTGGCCAGGTCGATGCGTTCCGGTCCAGCGCCGCAGAGAAGTGGCCCAAAGCTACTATCTTTGCATCGCCGTCTGCGTGATCTTAGAGTCTAGTATCGAGAATTGAACTTGTTGTCGATTGGACGGATCTTTGCCGTAGAGGCATTTCGATGTTGGGCGCCATTGAGAGGTAGTGGTGTCAAGGTGCATGATGTATGTTTGATTTGGAGATACAGTGGCGGCATTGCAAAACATAGCATTGGCATGAAGTTACGAGGTATAGGTCGTAGATAGACAAAAGTTGAAAACAATGTATGGTAGGGCCTCAAGTTCTAGGTTAAAATTGCAGAGGAGATTATGTATCTTTAATCCGTACACCGACATCCAATCCATGCTATGCTTTCTTGGGCCATCTTTTGGCTTCGTCTGATATATTGTACAAGTACATCCATTAATCAATCCGAAATATGTGCCACTTATCCACTACATATTGTACAAATGGTAGTATCACAGATCATTAATCTTCATCCTCAACCAAGCCTTCCGCCACAGGCTTCTTCTTCTCCTCCGTAATATATTTCCACCCTGTCCTGCCCAAAGACCTCAACCCCCCTTTAATCCATCCCTCAACCTCCTCTTCAGGGATCACAAAAGTCTTCGACCTCTCCTCATCCTCGGCAGTCAGCTCAGCTTTCCGCATCCGGCTTGAGATGCGTGGGTCTAGTACTATGGGTTCTAACCATGTACGCTCTGGTTCTCCTTCCTTGCGCACGCGGACGCTCTTATGCCATTCTTTCTCCTCTTCTATTAGTGCAGTTTGCTGCTCTGCTGCTTGGGCAATGTTGCCGCCGTCGGACTGAGACGAGTCCGCCACGGTATCGGGTGGGAACTCCGAAGAAGATCCAGATTCCGTGGTGGTGTGGTAGGGGCGGTAGGTGGAGAGTATTATGGCGGCTGTCTCGCGGCCGATAGAGTCTGCCACGGCGCGCCTGTTCAAGAACCGGTAGATGCGTTTGGGGGTGTTCAAGAATCCTAGGATGTGAGGGAATGAGATGGGTATAGAAGGGTCGAATTCGTTGGGAAGTTGTGGTGTAGGTGCGGTTTTGTAGTCTGCCGTTGAAATGAAGGCAGCTAGTTTCTTAGGCTTCTCGGGCTTCTCCTCTGGTTGTGGAGTAGGCTCGGGTTCCACGGGCTCCACAGGAGGCTTTTCTATTTCTCCCGGGGATGTGTCGCTGCTTCCTGGGAGAGCATCAATTGGGTTTTCTGCAGGAGTTGGCTCCTCGGGGTTTTTGATGTCCTCAGGCTTTGCTGGCTCTACCAGAGGCCCTAACCAACCCTCATGCAACCCTCTGACATATTCTTTCCACGTGTGCCGCCCGATAACAATATCACCGCATGGCCCCTCGAATTCGTTGATACCATTTTTCCTACGTGTGTCCATAGCTGGATCATCTTCTGTTCTCTGGTCGGGAGGCAACCTCGAATTCCGGATCTTCGCCGCAAGTTCCGCTCGGATATCGCCCTCCTTTCTCCCTTGAATGAATTCCCAATCCAGACCAGAGGCAACGAGCACCGGCTTCACGTATTCCTTGAAATGGTCCTGCGCCGACCGGAGTCCATCGGAAGGGGGCGCTTCGAGGAATACTGTAAGTTTCCGCGGCATGGCTCGCGGGTCTAGTGGCTCTTTGCCGATATGCTCAACAAGCCTACACCATTTCCGCTGAACACGTTTCTTCTCCCTCTTGTCATAAATGACCGCGGCAGCGAACGAGCCGGTGATGGTAAGGAATATCGTCCAGTTTCGAGAGGGAAGCTTTGGCCGGAAATTCTCCCCCAATCCCATGTATTTATATATTGGATTCGGTTTTGGAGCTTTAGGAAGCTTTGCCTCGGGTTTGGCCTCTGGCTTCGCAGCGGGTGCCGCATTCTGAATTCACATCAGATACTATGACAACTACTATGCGCCAGAATAGGGAGTACTTACATCCGCTGGGGGTTTGGTGTCGGCCATTGCTGGTAGCTGTTTCTGCGCCGAGCCTGTGAAGTCTCCAGGTAGGGCCAAAAAAACTCAGCTCAGCTACTGCAACTCTCCTTAGTTTTCAGGGTGAATACCACCAAACGCTCCTGCTGGTGTCTTGGTGAAGTTTATCACAGGCTCTTGCAGTTTCTCTCTGGTTTCCCTTGGCGAGACTTTTCCCATCCATGCCCCGACATGTTAATCCGGCCCGGATGTCATATCCCTGCTAGCAACTCCTGCACTTCCAGAATTGCACGTGGTAGGCACATGATCGCCATCCTCTAAGTTCTTGCCGAACTTTCTCCGTATTCTACTTCGAGATTCCCATGCTCCTGTGACAGTATTTCTGTTATTGTAGCACCAACTCTGTCATGCATTGTTCACTGAGTGTTGTTGGTGCTTAGTAGCCTACTTCGCATACGAGATGCATAGCTGCATCTACATCACCCCGAAGTTCCTGCGATATCTGTAGGGATGTCTTATGACAAAGAAACGGTGCGTCAAGAACGGCCAATTGTGAGGCTGGGTCAAGACTAGTAACACTCTAGGTTAACAAATATTACTTACTGTTGCCAGAGCATGGAGGCTTGTCTTTCCCTAGCACTTGAGCCCTAAGCCTGAATTGTAGGCTACGAACCAGAGTGAACCAGGATATACATTCAATTTGGCATCGACGAGTACAGTATCTCCGAAAAGTCCACGAAGTCCAACTCCCATAACTTCATTCTAGTCCCAGGGTGGGTGCCTTAGCACGATGGGGCAATACAATGCTCCTAAACGATAGGAGGCGGTTGATGGGACGCTCCCATCATATATACGCGTAATCTAAAAGTTGCTTCCAGTGCGGACTGAGCCAAACTCTCCCGAATGGTGCTTCTACCCAGGCAATATTCCATATTCGAGCCGGTTATGAGAAAGGGGGGACAGCCCTCGCCTAGTCCTACTAGCTGGCCGGCCCCTGATTGATTAATAAAGTATACGAAGTAGATGGAGTTTAAAGCCTTGTGTACCTCATATATGGGTACGAGGATGGCAACCCTCAATGCCAGTGCATGCGGCTCGCTGATATTCCTGAGCCACTAGAACCTGCAGTTAATGTCTGGCCTCCGACCTCTCCATGCGCTTGAGATTGTTCATTGGGACCGGCGTGTTGACAATTATATATATAGAATATAAAAGCAAGATTACTATAAAAATCAGTGAAGCGGGCGGGGCCACCCGCTCGGGGGGCTAAGGGTGTTGCCGTCAGATTGTCAGTGCTTCTAGGCACTGGCGGGGAACAAGTTGGCACGCCATATATGTGCTTTGAGGACAACCGAATGTGCCTTTGAATTGATAATTATCGTCACTTAGGTAAATCTTGGGGAGACTCGAGTTTGGCCTTTTAAGCTGAGACTAGACTAGACTTGTGACTTTCAACACAGACATTATCCAGGAGCCAACCTCAATTCACCCCCGAGACCCGTCCCCCTTTTTGACCCCTGAGCCTGCACACACGCATGGTCCCTGCCTGGACTCCGGCGTTTCGCTTCTCCAGCCAAATCCGACAACCCCATCGTCAATAATCTGTAGGCTGTGGCCCTTTCTTCCTGGCCCTCCCTTCGTCCTTCACAACATCGACAGCATTCATAAGGGGCAAACGGAGATCGTATTCGAACTGTCTCTGTGTGCGAGACTCCAAAGTTGCAAGACAACGTTGTGCGACCCTGTATCGAGGGCGGTGTGTCTATCGAGGAGAATAATTCCCCCCCAAGCTTCGCTTGCACATCGATAAGACCGACCTCACTTTTGCCCACCTTCACCCTTCGCCACGAAAACCAAGGAGACTCGATCTCTCCTCTCGACCTCCCCCATTCGCCTTGAAGATCCTATATCCACAGCCTCAAGCCGAAGCCGCGAAGATGGATAGCAGCAATCGGTTCCATCTGAACCTCAATAATGGCGAGCGCGCTCCGCCTTTCAACGATCGAGCCTATCCAACCACGCCTTCCACCTTTCCGAATCCCATATTCCCATCTCAGCAACAAGGAGGTCAAGGACAAGCTCAAAACGCCCAGCAGCAGCCGTACTCTACTGGCTTTGCGCCCTCGGGATACTTCGCGAACAGCCAATACCCAGCTGCATACCCTCAACCTCCAGCTACTTCTTACGTCCAGGGACAGCAGGCACCTCAAGCACCGCCTGCCTCCTACCAACAACAGCGTCAAGCCCCTTACCAGACGAATGACGCGACGAACGGACTAGTCCATCAATTTTCTCACCAGAATCTCGGCGGCAGAGTTTCACCTTACGGTACTCGTCAACCCTCGCCAGGCCAGCGGCCACGGACAGCTGGTGCCACAGGACAGCAACAAGGGTACGGCAGCTACTTGAACGCCCCAATGCCCTCCCAGGCAGGTCAGCAGCAGAGCTGGCCTGAATTCCAGCCTGCTCCTGACCGCAACCCTGATAAGTACGGACCAGTCGCACATGCCAACCAGACAAAGTGCGGTCAATTGGCGGAGACGTTCTTTAAGGACAGTGTGAAGCGGGCCCGGGACAGGAATGTCAGGTAAGTAACATCTTGTGTTTGAGAGACCCCAATGCTAGCACGGCCAATGAGTGCCGCCAGGCTAACAACCTGGCCACAGACAAAGCGAGATGGAACAGCGTCTGGCAGACCCCAACCAGTCACAATCGAGACGAGAGCAAACATGGTGCAATGCTGGAAAACAGGAGGGCAAGTATCTCCGGTTCTTACGAACCAGGGATAAGCCAGAGAACTACCAGACGCTGAAGATCATTGGCAAGGGTGCCTTTGGTGAGGTGAAGCTCGTTCAGAAAAAGCAGGATGGTAAAGTCTACGCCATGAAATCGCTCATCAAGAGTGAAATGTTCAAGAAGGATCAACTGGCTCACGTTCGGGCTGAGCGAGATATTCTTGCCGAGTCGGACAGCCCCTGGGTTGTGAAGCTTTACACTACTTTCCAAGACTCCGACTTCCTCTACATGTTGATGGAGTTCCTTCCAGGAGGTGATCTCATGACTATGCTTATCAAGTATGAGATCTTCTCTGAGGATATCACCCGTTTCTACATTGCTGAGATTGTCTTGGCAATTGAAGCGGTCCACAAATATGGTTATATCCATCGGTAAGTCATTAATCCATCCCTCATGCGTCCGTGCCGTGCTGATATCCCCAGTGATATCAAACCTGACAACATCTTGCTTGATCGTGGTGGCCATGTCAAGCTTACCGATTTCGGTCTGTCAACTGGCTTCCATAAGCTCCACGACAATTCCTATTACCAGCAGCTCCTCCAGGGCAAGTCCAACAAACCACGAGACCGCAACTCCGTCAACCTTGATCAGATTAACCTTACTGTGAGCAATCGAAGTGTGATCAACGATTGGCGAAAGTCCCGTAGGGTAATGGCGTATTCGACGGTTGGTACTCCTGATTACATTGCACCGGAGATCTTTACGGGTCATGGATACGGCTTCGACTGCGATTGGTGGAGCTTGGGTACGATCATGTTTGAGTGCCAAGTTGGCTGGCCTCCTTTCTGTGCCGAGGATGCCCATGACACATACCGCAAGATCGTCAACTGGCGCCAGTCGCTCTACTTCCCGGAGGATATACAGCTGGGCCCAGAGGCTGAGAATCTAATTCGAAGGTAAGCTTCACTATCCAACCATCCCGTTTCTTTTCCAAAGGAACACAGCTAATGAGACCCGTCTAGCCTGGTCTGCAACTCGGAGAACCGTCTTGGTCGCGGAGGCGCCGACGAGATCAAGAACCACAAGTTCTTCCGTGGCGTTGAGTTTGATAAGCTTCGCCGTATTCGTGCACCATTTGAACCGAAGTTGCAATCTAATATCGACACAACCTACTTCCCAACTGATGAAATCGATCAAACGGACAATGCCACGCATCTGAAAGCAGCTACCGCTGCTAACGGAGGCCAAGCACGCACTGAAGCACCAGAGATGAGCTTGCCGTTTATTGGTTATACCTTCAAACGATTTGAGACCAACTTCAACAGATGATCGTATTTCCCACCAATTCATTCATGCTGTGTTGTCCGGACTGTGGGAAATAGCTATATCAGTCACGCTTCATAGCTTTTCAAGTTATTCCGTCCTATCCGTCGGTGCGGCGCTTGGAGCCTTGTTCACTGGACACTGGTTTACTTTATCTCATAATGGAGCTTGGGAGCGTGGACACCTTTGTTAAATGAATGGTATATGGTTCTGGTAATACATGATGAACAGTTGAAAGTTGACCCAGTCTCTGAGCTCTAGCGTAGCTCTGCTCTAGATAGAGATACTGATTTGCATTCTGCGTAGGTCATGCGCTTCATGTACCCGGCCAACTAGCAGAATCACAGTATCAACTAGAATAAAGAACCAATTTCCCCGCCTTTCCGTGAAATCCTAATCAGTCTTGTTTGTGAACTCCTTAAAACTCCGACCATGCCTTTACCACTATCGCCTGGGAAGACCCGCAGGCGCCAGACCTGGAACGCCGCTATATCTCTCTTCTCTCTCCGTCTTGAACATAACCTGTACCCAGAACTCATTCAAATCCTCATCCCACCATGTCCAGAACCTATCGTTGGTACGGTCTACCTCCCTTGCCTGTAATTTGAATCCGCAGGTCTCGTACGGCTCCGCCGCCACCAGCATATACTGGAAGTTCTTGTCGGGAGGGTCATCCACCTTTTGCTCATACGCACTCATGAATCGGACCTTTGGCTGAACGTCTGGCGATATCTCGGGATACTGCAGTTGAAATAGCAAGCCCTGTTGTCTTGTGACGGGATCCCTAATCTTCGTAATCTTGTAGCCCGGGCGTCCAATCTTTACGACATTCTTCCTAACGCTGACTTGCGCGCCGACCATGCCAATAGGCAACCCGGTCACAGGATCAGTTCCTGCTCTTCCTTCCTTCTGCTCTCGAGCAGCGCGTCGCGCCAGGTTCGTTTGATGCTTTCGCCCTTGGGTGTGAGCGAGGTAGGAGCCATCGTTCTGGTGGACTGTCAGACAGAGGCGACATTCGAAGGAACCGACGTGGTTCTTGAAGAAGTACGGGTCTTTGTCCAAATCGATGGTTTCGAGGGCGAGTTTGCGCAGGCGTTCTCGTCGGTCTGCGTTTGTTGCTGAGGTTGATGCGACGCCTCCGCCACCGAACTTGGAACCTGCGCGGTTCTGATAATCCATCTTGACTAACTATCTAGAGCTGTCCGCGACGAAATATTGTGATCGGATAAGAAGTATAAGCTCGCAATGCCCCTTTATGTCGATGGTTGTGGGCCTTGTGTTGATGACGCCGTGTCGTGCTTGAGTTAAGTTTCTTGAGCTCCAGGAAAAGTCTCGGCTGCAGCCGAGTCGAAGCTCAGCCTTTTCACCCAAGGCTGCGAGCGGCACGTCCGCCACAGGGCAACATAATGCAATGCCTCCCAAGTACCATGTAGGTCAGCGTGTCTCCTTCGGATCTGCACTATGCACTGTCCGATATATTGGTCCGGTAGAAGGAACCGGTGAAGAAAAAGAATGGCTTGGGGTTGAGTGGGATGACCCTACACGTGGGAAGCATAATGGGGGGCACAAAAGGAGGAAATATTTTACTTGTAGGACACCACATGATGATTATTTGTTTCCTGATTGTGTTAATGCTAATTTTTATGTAGGTCTGAGCGGTTCCCAGACTGCGGGCTCTTTCGTGCGTTCAACTAGGCCCGCGGATCCTGAACAGAGCTTCGTAGAAGCCGTTCACGAGAAGTACGCCACCGAGATCACTACCCAGCTCACCCCGGTGGCTCTGGATAAGCAGATAGAGATCTCTGGTAAGGTTGTAGAAAAAGTAGGCTTCGACAAGATCAGAAAGCAACTCGCGCAGCTCAATGAGTTGAAAATTGTCTTAGTCGATGGACTCCGTATAAACTGCGCGGAGAAACCAAGTAGGACCATTCGGGAAACGTGTCCCAAGATTGTGGAGCTTGATCTCAGTCGAAATCTATTTGAGGACTTTGAAGTGGTTGTGCATGTATGTGGTGGGCTTGACAATCTTCGAACGCTGAAACTCAAGTAAGTATTTCTCCCAAACTTGGCATATGCAGCAATTAACACAATCATAGTGGCAACAGATTTGCTCCTGTTAATTCGAATGAAGGTCCAAGAAGTGAATTTGACGGGGTCAGGGACTTGGAACTGGATGACATACTCGTGCCTTTCCCTGAGTTGGTGGGTATTGCAAGGCAATTCCCATCCTTAAAAACTCTCACGGCGGAGTCCAATTATTTCACCAAAATCCCTTGTCCACTGGAGGCACGGGATTTGGTTTCCTTGACTCTCGACTATAATAAGTTCACTAGTCTTTCGGATTTGTCTCCGTTAGCATGTTTAGATTCTCTTGAAACACTCCACCTTAAGGGAAATGACATATCCAAGATCACGCCTGTGACGGACGGAACTGGCAAGCCTAGTCCTACGACTCCGGAAACATTATGTGTGTTTGGGGCCAAGTTGCAGTATGTCGACTTGTCCTATAACGCTATTGATACGTGGGAATTTGTGGATGCATTGCCATCGATATTCCCTGGGTTGACTGCCTTGCGGCTTTCACACAACCCTATCTATGAAGGAAATGCAAAGGGAAGCAGTTCATCAACGGGTCCCGAAGAGGCCTACATGTTTGCAGTTGCTCGTCTAAAAAACCTTAAGGCACTCAACTTCAGCACCATCTCGACGACAGATCGAACAAACGCTGAGATGTTCTATCTTTCACGCATCGCCAAGGCGATGGCAGAAGTACCAGAAAGCGAGGAATACAGTGTGATTGCTAAACATCCGCGTTACGCGGACCTTTGCGATATATATGGACCTCCGGTCATTGTTCGAAAAGTATCTGGGACAATCGACCCAAATTTCCTCGAGGCCCGGCTGATCAACTTCCAATTTTACATACCGAAAGGCCCAAACCAAGAAGAAGCAATCACCAAGGAGCGGGAAATCCCAATAACGTTTGATATATACCGAGTGAAAGGGATTGTTGGGAAAATGTTTGGCATCCCGCCCCTGAAAACTCGATTGATATGGGAAACTGGACAGTGGGATCCAGTCGCTGGATATGAAGAGGAAGGCGGCAGTGATGATGAGTGGGAAGGGGCAGTAATAGACGCACCACCGGAAGGAGCAGATTCGAATCCGGGCAAATGGATGGAAAGGGAAGTCGAGATTGTGGATTCTACCCGTCAGATCGGCTTTTGTGTGGATGGAAATGAGGTTAAGGTCCGGGTGGAACTTCGACAGGATTATAGCAGCTAGTTGAGTTGAATGCATTGTCATCACGCTGTTTGCTCGACAGCGAATAGATCTCTGCTTGCGATTATCACCGAAGTACTGTTTGTGCACGTTTTAGACGACGCAATCGAGTTGGTTTGCTAGCGGAGATATTTACCGCGATTTGCCATTCTTTTCCATTTACACGTCCCATGAACAAACGATTCTAACAAAAAAAAAATTGATTACAAGTGTTGTCTAGACTTTATATATATCCACTTCATTAAGACTTCTTTCACGGCTATGACCTCCATGAAATTTATTGAGACTCTTTATTCGTTGCTAAAGGCGTCTTCACTTGTTTCCACTGTCTCATTTTAAGATTTCTCAAACACCCACACTACAATATGTCTCCAAAAACCCAACCCCGCAAACCATGGCCAAGTTATTTTATTGTCCGTACCACCGGTGAAGTTGTCCCTCTCATCGCGGTTGATGAGCTACCACAAGACGTTAATATTGCCGGTGTTCCCCGTGAGCTTGACCTCAAGGAGGCCATCGGCATGCTTAACTTGGGCCTCCAAAAGAGCTGTGGGGCATCCTACAAAATCACTCACGAGAAGGCAAAAGTTCAGGGGCAAAGTAATGGATTAGCGGCGGAGCCTACAACCCAGTCGAGGTAAATTCCTTCCTTTGAGAATGTTCTCATAGATGTCAACTGACTAACTCCTGACAGCGCCAACATCGCCGGCCTTTCTACCTCCACACGGCTTCGAACAAGTCCAAATATCAAAGCCCCACTGGTAGTACCCTCTTCAACACCTTCCACTACCATGCAGCAGAAACCACGGCGTCAAATCTGCCGCTACTGGTGCGCGAATGGCATTTGCAAATGGGGTCTACAATGCCGCCACCACCACATGATGCCCATGGACTTGCCAGGCTTGCAAGAAATCGGATTAAATGACTGGCCTATTTGGTATCGACGCTCCAATTCCAGTCATTTTGTCACCGACTTGGGCAGAACTAAGGCCAGTAAAACTAGTCAGAGTGAGGGGAGGATTAGGACTAAGAATGCGAAGGGGAGTGCAAGTGTGAGTAGGGGCGTGGAGAGTGTTGAGCAGGCTCTTAGAAAGTTCAGGGAGCTGGATGTTAGTGGAAAGGGGAAGGGTAGTGCGTTGGCTGGGGCAAAAAGCAAAAGTGGTGGTAGGTATGGGAGTAAGAACACGGTGGATGATCGTCTTGCGACTAGGGATGCTACGGATTGGGGGGATGATGAAATAACTGTTCATGGGGATGAGGGTTCAGATATTAGCAGTGCTTCTGACGGGGAGGCGATAAAGGTTTTTGGCAAGGGGAAGTTAGTTGATGTTTGAATGTATGTTTCGAAAGGACGGCGAAGATTGGGACGACGAGTAATAAAGGCGTTAGAGTAGAGGTCTGGTATTTCTTGACTTTTGGAATGAACGGCCTGCTGGTTTATTTTTTTGGCAACTCCTTTTTGCTCAACAGGCATAAAGCCAACCCTTTACTTAAAATTCCATGCTAGCACTAGTCACGATCTAGGGGAGTTGTAACCATCCGGTACAAAGCACTTTAGTAACCTACCTAGGAGCCTCACAACCCATAACCACCTACCCAAATTTCAGAGGCTTTCAATATCTTCTTATAGGCCAACTGGTGGTATTATTATGCGTAAAACTGATCGCTCCCTCTAAACTCCTATTTGAATGTGTTATACAACAGCATATATCAAGATCCTACAACTCCTGGCCCCAGTTTCTGTCCCTGCTAGAATACCTACTGCTATTATCATGTTTGACTCATAGATGCGAGCACCGCTGCCGCTTCTCTCGTATCCTCCACAGGCTGTCCCTTCACGGGCGCTGGGCTCTCCGACACGCTTCCTCTCGCCGGAGGTGACAAAGCTGCTGCAGCAGCCGCAACCTTAATCTCCTCCGCGGTTGGTAACGTCGCAGCTCCAGCTAGGACCTCCGCTCTCCGCTCATGGTAGCTAACTTCGCTCTTGATAACCTGGTCTAATAGCACCTCTTTCTCCGCCCATTCTTTCGATCGGATTTGCTCCATTTCCTCGCATTGGCGTTTCAATGCCTCTGCCTCTTCCTCTACCCAGGCTAATTCTCGCCGTAAATACCGCCACAGCCCCTCTGGGCCTCGTCCCTCCTCTTCCGGTGTGAAACCAAGTTCGGCAGGGTATGAGGAGGTCCAACGAGCTGGGCTACTGCCATTCGTCGTACCGTTCGTAGCCCCAGCCGATGGATCTTCGGATTGGGATTGAGAGGCCTTGAGGATGAGTTTCAGCCGCCGTGAAGTCTTCGCAGGCTGCATCGATTTAGGTATTGGGTCTGAAGGGCGGAGAGCTTCGGTTTCGTGAACTGTCCGCATGTGCTTTGCCAGCGCATCAGAACGTGTGAAGGCACGATCGCATTCTATAACCGCAGAATTAGCATCGCTGTCCATGTCCATGTTCAAGTATACGGGTCCACTTACCAGGCAGTGCGCAGTAGAAGGGCTTCTCTCTGGTGTGGCTCCTCATATGTGCTTTCAAGGCGTAGCCACTCGCATGCGGCAAGCTCTTCCTATTGCAATCCATCCACTCACAGGTATACTTCTTCTGCCTCGTCTCGATATGCTCATTGTGAATGTGTTCCACCAACCGATCCATATTCTCCAGATCCCCAGCGTCGCAGCCGTCCCAGGCGCATACCGTCACCTGCTCATGGTTTTCGTCATCTTCTGGTCGCAGATTGCTCGGCGAGCTGGGAACTTCGCCTTCAGTATCGGAAGATTCTGAGACGGCGTCCTCTATCTTTTGACGCTTTGCGGGAGGCATGGGCATGTGGGATGCTACATATTCTGCTTCGAAGGCGTCACTGGAGATTGTTGAAAGGGGAGATCCAACGGGAGATTCGTCAGCCATGGTGAGACAGATTCAATCGTTTGCAATCGTATACACTATGGAGTGAATTTCAGTTTGAATGCGGCAGGCTGCAAGTGCAAATGCAATGTACATGTACAGTTGCGCCTTCTTGCTGGCTTCTAGAGTTTCTAGTTGCGGCGTCGCGCCTAGAAGCTGTTGTCGGGATGCGCTCGCGTGTGTTGCCGATGCCACAGCCCATGCGCCACATCTCCACAGAACAAAGCATTTCTTCTGATCAATATTTCACTCGTAAAACAACGCATTCTCCAACTACATCACCAATGTTATCCAGCAACGCCCACTTCTAACCTAGCTTTGTTATGTGCCCAGGGTGACCACTGATATAGTGAGTATTGCATTTCGCCCCTCTTACATCTCCATTTCTTCTTCTTGCTATGATGAATAACCAAAAGAGTTCTGCAATTCGGATGACTGCCATGCGGCGGTCAAAGTCGACTTCTTTTACATTACACACTTTTCCTGAGCATACACATAAAACCATTACATTGATCTATTTACCCTTGATATTATGGCAAAGAAAGCGTCGCTAACAGTTCACCCCTCTAAGAATGTCGAGTGTGTAGCAGGATAACGGGTTCCGGCCACCTCGAACTTCTTCAGTATGGAATAGATGGCAGCAGCCTCCCCATTACTTAGTTCGACAACCTTCGAGTTCTCTAAAACACGGTCTACCTTCGTAGCTCCCGGAATAGGGAAGATTTCTGGATTGCCATCCCTCTTGGAGAGATGCCTGACCCAATTGATGGCGAGTTGTGCTGGTGTGCAGCCCTTCTCCCGTGCAAGTTCCTCCACCTTTTGGACAAGCTCCAAGTTCTTCGCGTAGTTCTCTCCTTGGAACCGTGGGAAATGGTGACGCATATCAGTCTCAGCAAGGTCCGCTGGGGTTTTAATGTCTCCTGTTAACAACCCCCGGGAAAGTGGTGAGTAACTAATCCTCCGTTAGTGGTGGATGAACTTGAATACCTATTATATATACGTACGCAACGATAGGAATATTATGCTCTGCACACGCAGCCGCAACGCCGTTGTTCAATATATCCAATGAGAACATGGAGAGCTCCACTTCGCAAGCTGCAATTTTGGCGACTTTGGCCGCTCTGTGGATGGTAGCTGCTGAAACCTCGCTCAACGAAATACCTCCTATCTTGCCAGCTTTGACATAGTCATCTATCGCCTTGACAGTATCCTCGATCGGAGTCTTCTTATCCATCCTTGCACTCTCGAACAAATCAATTTTCTTTTTCCCGTCCAGTACCTTCAAGCAGTTCTCCACAGATCTCTTGATGCCCTCAGGGCTTGGATCGGGTCCCCCACCAGCATGAGAGAGTGCACCTTTGATAGACAGAATAACTTTATCCGCATCTTCAGGATACTTGGTAAAGTACTGATTAAGAAGATGGAGAGAGTTGTATTCTGGTGTTCCATAAAATTCGCCTCCATTCCAGAAGTTGCACCCAGCGTCCAGGGCGGTCTTCATCACTTGGATTGATTCCTCAACATCTTTGGCGTTTAGCCTCCAGGTCAAGCCTTTGAACCGATAAGTACAAGTATACCCCACACGGATTTTAGAGTTGAAGGTGAGCGACTTACCCATCAAGCCGTAGCCGATAGGACCAATTTCTTTCCCCAGAATTTGAGGCATGTTTTAGTTGTGACTTTAGCTTTTGGCGTTGAAAACCGCTGTGAGGTGATGGCGCTAAATAAACAAGTAAAGTTCGTTGATCTGAGTGTGAGTTGTGAATATCTTGTTGAGAATTCTCTGGACCATGGGATTCGCCTTTGTTTATATTATATCTCAACTAGTCTATCACTATTAGCAGTGGTGTATAGACTATACCCTTGTAGTACTGTGCGGGATTTATTCTAATCCGTGGAGTTAAAGGAGAACTGTAACTCCAGTAACTCCATCGCAGTGGTGTGGCGTGCGGGGGCGGCGCGGGTGAATTAACATTCCGGACATACGACCGCTGCTACGGAGGTAAAGCTCGGCGTCCGTTATGGAGATTCGGGGTCATAGTTGTCCACAGACATTTGAGTTGATCTTTATTCGACGATATTTTCCTTTTAATGATTCTCTACCAAGATGGCGGGGTTTTCGAGGGGTTGTAAGTACCAGCCCCGGTGTTCCTGTTGCTCCTTTACAGTCGGAGCACTCCTCAGGGATTTATCCTTCCGCATAGCAAAACCTATGTTGTTCAAGTTCAATAATCGGTGGGCAATGGGTTTTAGTGGTTTCGAGTTAGGACATTATTATAGCCAGTGCCTTATATCCGAACCTATGGGGGGGGTTAATCCCTATTGTGACCATAGCCCAAGCCAAGGGGTATCTTCCATGTGATGACGCGTTGCTGCAGTCGGCTAAGTGCATCCAATGCAGAAGTCAATGCTCTATACGAATCTCTCATTAGTTCTATTTCAAAAGACTCTTGTTAAGATTCAGTTCAGAAATACTATGAAAGAGAATTTGAGTACAGCAGCACAAATCGATCCTCCAAATACATCCAAAATCCACATACGGATATATAAACCGCTAAAAAATAGAAGACTGGGTTATTATATACCTATATTACCTATATCAAGAGACCACATCGCGTTGCTTCCATTCATCCATACCTCTGATCATCATTCCCCTTAACCCTACTTCTTCCACCCCACAAGCCTCACTACCAAGCTTCCGCAAACGCTCAAATACAGACCCGTCACTTTCAACCCTTCCTTTAACTTCTGCGGCAGAGATTCTGACTCGGGAATCCAATGCGATGCTAAAGCTCTAGTATCGTCCGGATATACTTCCTCCTTAACTTGTGCGCTCTCCCTCTCCGCAAACCCTTCATAAAATTTCCTTAAGTTGTGTAGTTTCTCTACTAGATCCCGCTCATAGAACCTCTTGGAAAACTGCAAGAGCGAAAACAAAACGCAATCCCCAATCGTAACTCCGCTTCCCTCGCTGTCCGTGGTATTTTTCGGTCCCTCAAAGCGTCGATCATCTTGATAATACTCTTCAAGAACCTTAAGGGTCTTGCGGCAAGATTCCATCGCAAGCCTTGAAGACTTTGGGTCTTGCTCTTCCATGAGGGCAAACATTGCATTCCCCTTATGAGCCGCAGTTGAGAAATACGTCGTTGCTTCTTCGGCTAGCAAGACGATCTCTCTCGTCCGAGCCCTTTCTTCCGGCGTTTTGCCACGCATGCTTGGTGCTGCTTGTTGGAATCGGCTCTCAGGATTATCGCAGACATCTTCGAAGTATTCCATTATAGCGATGGATTGCTTAATATGTTCATCAGGTCCAGTGACAAGGATAGGTAGCGTCCCAGGAGGTTTCCCCGGAGCAACCATTTTTAACCCAGACATTGTACATGTGGTGATCTTCAAATCTGGGGAATTGAGTAGGCGTTTTTCTGAGAGGTAGAGGAGGAGGCGTTGGGGGTAGAGCCCGCCGTGGATGACGAACAGTTCTTGGGGCATTTTGGCTCTGATTTGCGGATAATGGATATATGAAAACCAAGGCTGTGTGGATGGAATTTATAGATATATATCTACATATTAAAAATTAAGGTGCTGTGAGAGTAGTTAAGGGGTAATTATCTAGGGTTAAGTAGTGTTGGGCTCAGGGGAGGAGTTTTGGACAAGAGAAAATGTCTCCGAAAAGTCCCCACGTCGTAAGCCTTGACCATTTTATTTTATTTGAACACGAATAATAGCAAGGGACACCAATCGGAAGCCTACATTTAGTCCATCTACAATCTAATGGTTAAACCTAGGGTACTGGCCTAGTGCCATTGGATAACATACATAGGAGCCAGTGGGAAACCAAATATTCTCGGTCCACATGTCCTATTTGGGCCTGAGCAACTAGTACCCTAGCAACCATAATTTGAAGCCCATCTTGAACTCGTTAGGCCGAATGTCCATTTACTCTCCTGTACTCTACATTTCCCCATCAGAAACTGTAGTGGGAACCCCCCAATATTCTGCATTTTTCCCAATCAGCTTGCCTTCTTCATTTGCCTTTTCTTCTCACTCGCAGCCTCCTTATTGCTGAAAGGAAACCCGCTGGTTCTCTTATCAGCGCCCGTCTTTCTGCTAATCCGGCCGCTACTGCTCGCAAATAGAAGACACCATAAACCAACACTCGCAAGCGCCCCTGAACCCACAGCTCCTAGCATGTAAGGCATTTCACCCACGGTAGTATATTTCATGTAGCAGTATAAAGTCGCGGCAGAGTGGTATATTAGGCTTATTGTCAAAGTAGGCACCGCGTAGGGTGCTTTTGGATCGGCCTTGTCGGTCGTGACCCCTGCGTCGGTGGCTGAAGGAAAGTTAGCTTCATGTCTAATTACTTGCATTGAGTGAGCAGAGCCAACATACTATCGGAAAATGTGGATGTTAGAGGGACAGAGCCGGTAAGGAGAACAACCATCACGCCCAAGGCGAGGAGGGCCATTCCCAACGACCGCGAGAAATACTCTTCAAGAGCTGTTCCTACTGTTAGAGATGGATGTATTGAGAATAGTAATTGTAGTTGTATAGACTAACGTGTCGAGTCTCGGACCTCTGGTGACAGAAGAGCAATCACTATCTTCGGAGACAGGATTAATGGAGCCGCTTGGAGGGCAAGCCACCCTGCTGTTCCATAGGTATACGAGTAGAAGACCTTTGAATGGGGTGTTAGTATTAGTTCCCATATCTAGTAGACGTAGATGCAGTTAGGGGATACGTACATCCATCTTGTACTTAATGTACGGAGCCAGTTCCTATTTTTATTGGTAACTTTAGGAAGAATTTGTTGGTGGTAGAAAGAAGAATGCGGCTGGATTTGAGAGGAATATAAAGCTGTCGAGAAAGCCGACGTGAGCAAGTAGATTCAGGTACGAAGCTCAAGGCACTTTAGAGGTTCACAAGAATCAGTATTCAAGGATCATACGTCATACTCAGTCCTTATCCATTACTGCCCCAGGCACACACATTATTAGCGCGGGGCAAACGAGGCTGAAATCTTGATCCTTGCTAGCGCACCCCTGCAGCTTGGACATTTCCGAGCGCAATCGGAGATGCTTGATTAGCAATATCAACTCCGATAAAGTAAACTCCAAAAATATATATGGACTGACTCTTGCATCTTCAGGACGGGAGCCGTCGGAAACTCCCAAAACCAACCTCAATCCCAATACGCACTGCGATAGTTTATTGTTTATAGCAATAATTTCTTCATATACAACTATCAGAAAAGGGATACAGTTTTCCCAAACCAGAGCGGCGCACTGCGCTCGCTCCCCCACTCGCCACCCCGCCAACCGCAATCATGAGCGCCATCCTCTCCGCAGACGATCTCAACGACTTCATTTCCCCAGGCGTTGCATGTATTAAGCCGGTCGAAACTCTCCCGGCAGCAGAGCCTGCGGTTCCCACTGATAACGTACTTTTCCCTTCCTTTTTTCCTTGCCATTGTTCCCCCGCCAAACACCAGCCTTATACTAACAACCATGCTCAGCAGGAAGATGCATACGAAGTATCCTTTAACACTGAACCACCACCACCACAAGCTGATCTTCCACCCGCCCAAATATCCCTAACAGACTGCCTTGCATGTTCCGGCTGCGTTACATCCGCCGAAGCTGTGCTCGTCTCTCTACAATCACATGCCGAAGTACTCTCCGAACTGGATTCCGGGCCAGGACTGCGCTTATCTGCCGATGGGACTAGAGTTGAGAATCTGGATACAGGCGGGAAATTATACGTTGCGAGCGTCAGCCCACAGTCGCGTGCAAGTATTGCTGCTGCGTATGGGGTGACGGAGAAAGAGGCTGGGTATATGATCGACCAGTTACTCAGCGGACCGAGAGGACTGAAGAGCCGTGCTGTTTATAGAAATGGGTTTCAATGGGTGGTGGATACGAATATAACAAGGGAGGCATGTTTAGTACTTGGGACGGAGGAGGTAATGGCCTCACTGACGGCTGCCTCCGGGAATGTGGATGATCTTGAGAACGGGGATGCAAAGAAACAACCCACAAAACCGATATTGACGTCTTCATGTCCCGGGTGGATATGTTACGCCGAGAAGACACACCCTCACATTTTACCACACCTATCACGATTAAAATCACCACAGGCATTGATGGGAACATTGCTGAAGACGGCTCTCAGTCGGAAACTTGGCATTTCCCCAGATAGAATATGGCATGTAGCTATCATGCCATGTTTTGACAAGAAGTTGGAGGCCAGTCGTGAAGAGCTCACGGATGCTGTGTGGGAAGGCACGGGCACTCGTGGCGTTCGAGATGTCGACTGTGTCATCACCAGCAAGGAGCTACTTATGCTGGCAGATTCCAGACGAGTCGACTTTGCCAAACTTCCTCGTACACCTATTCCTCGGCGAATACCATTCCTGGATCCAAAGCTGGATTCATTTCTCTTCCCTACCCGGCGGGCCACAAATGGCAACTCAGCCGCTGGTACTTCAGGGGGTAACCTCCACTACATCCTCCAGTATTTTGCATCCCAGCATGAAGGTGCTTCGATCCAAACAACGCGTGGACGAAATGCGGATGTACTGGATTGTTCAGTTACATCGGCAGACGGCGAAACTCTTTTCAAGGCTGCAAGATACTATGGGTTCCGGAATATCCAGAATCTTGTTCGGCGGCTGAAACCCGTCAGACCATCCCGAATGCCGGGTGGCAAGCCAATTGGCAGCGCCAGGAAAGGAGGAGCCAAGGCTAATGGCCCAGACTATGCCTACGTCGAGGTCATGGCGTGCCCGGGCGGGTGTACGAATGGTGGTGGGCAGATAAAAGTTGACGACCCAGTGATTACTGGGGTTGAGACTTCAGAGGTCAACCCTGGACCTCCAGAGCAGAAGCAGTGGTTGGCCAAAGTAGATGAGGCGTATTTCTCCGGTGAGGACGTTTTTGGTGAGGACATTACCATGGAGGATCGGCATGATATGGTAGACGGAATTTCTCCTTCGTATATTAAAGATACCCTGGCGTATTGGGCGGCCACGACAGGCATAGGTTTGGATAGATTGGCGTACACGAGTTACCGCGAGGTAATTAGCGACGTTGGAAAGAATGTTGGCGATGCCGAGAGGGTGATTGAGATCGCTGGGAAGATTGGTGGCGGATGGTGATATAGGGTAGTTATAATCAACTCTTGTTCCCGCCTCTTTTTGTGAACACAAACCCTCCTCTACCACTACCGTCTGGTCCTCTAGGTGCTCGAATAATCTGTTCGTCATCCCGAGGCGTCGAGGTGCCTGAACGTGAACCCTCCCCACTGCGCTTCTCTATCCTAACTCCTGGCTTCGGTGTGTAATTGGGATCGTAGAGCTCCTTAGGCCCCGATTGACTATCTGGTCGCCGGTGCTCATGTCGCCCTACGTCCCTCCCACGACCCTTCCCCCTATTTCCCTTGCCATTGCCATCTTCTGCACCGGCAGAGGTAGGGGGAGTAATAGTGCCGGGTGACGATCCCCTAGCTGGGCTCCCTAAGATCCTCGCGCGAGCTTCATCATATCGCTTCTGCCTCTCCTCCCTTTCTCGCTGCGCTTTCAACCGTAGCTCTTCAGGCGTTGGCCGGTCCTTCTTCTCATCCTCCTCATCCTTATCATCCTCTATTGTCATTTTAGATAATCCAGTAATAGGGTCAATCTTCTGAATCACTTTCGGTGACGGCTTGCGACTGAGGACTTTGAGAGCTGGTTTGAACTCGGTCTTGAGCGGGACATTGTCATTCGCCGCGAGGAAGTGGAATGTCTCGGGTTCATCGCTGTAAATGTTTAATTAATGGTTTAATAGCAGGATTAAATGACATATATAATAACGTACGCTGATTCCCATATCTTCTTATTCGTTTCAGCATGTCTGGCTAAACGGTCTGCTTTGGAGATCTTGACCTCCTCTTCCACCTTTGCGACTTCTGCTTCTTTATCTGCTTTGTCGGCCTCGGCTTCCCAATCATCATCCCATGCATCCGGAACGGCAGCCTTCTTAGGCATTTCGGGGGTTGTTGATTGTCTTGGGAGATTGATAGAAGGAGGGGAAGATTTGGATGATGGATCCTCCGAGTTGATCGCGAGTTCGGAGTAGGCAGCAAAAGGTGGGGATGGGGAAACCCCGGCGCGAGCGCTCAACTTCGTCCATGTACATGTAGTATCACTGAACATAGAGGTACCTTATATAATAACTGCCCACGAGAAGCGCTTCCACCATAACATAAAGTACCTACCTAATATATCGACGAAGCCCAAATTACCAACTCCGTGCACATAACACATCTACAGTGCGAGAAAAATGGCTTGTAAGTCAAGGACAGCTCTGCCTTCAGCATAAAGCCACAGTAGCTAACAACTCCCAGCTTCACAGCAACCAGCAGACACCTCCGACGCTGTTATGATGGAAGCGGACGCCCCCGACTCCCCTCCAACGTCCCAAACCCAAAGCCCCTCTGCGTCCTTCCATAGGCATCAGCAATCAAACCCCCAGCAATCACAGTCAAACACAAGCGCAAGTCGCACCAATGGCGACGGCATGAAATCCAACTTTGGCACTCCGGGCTCGAGCTGGCTGTCTAAGAAGTTCACCGAGGAGTACGATCGCGCCCAAAGTAACGTGGTGGATAAGAACTGGGACCATAGTTAGTATCCCGGTCTTTGTGATTGCTTAGGTATGCTAACAGATTTGGATAGCGGAGTTTGGTGATCCGCTGATGCAGGACTGAGCGGTTTCGATGATCACAGTGGGAAATTTATGATTATATGAGATTGAAACGATGGGATAACTGGACGGTCTCGGGCGTTGGCTGGTCAGATTCGGGTCCTTATGAGGCTCCTATGGCGTCGAAAGAGGCATAACTATGGATAATTCTCTATCAGCGCATCTGTTTGCAACCTTCCTAATTAAAGTGGAGGATGGACATCAGGAAATAATCGTGAAGAACTATCTATGAGTGGCATATCGGAGAAACAAGCATACTCAAGGGGCATGATGGAGTCAACGGGGCCAGAATGCCGTATTCACCCTATTTGTTCCTTACCTTACATTCTATATGATCTCCGACTGCTTCCGAGTGACCCATCTTTGATTCTTTCTATGAGGCCTTATTTTAGTGGTTCTGGCTGCGTTTTGTATCATGGATTGCATCAACTTCTGGAATCAAGCATGATATCCTCGACTGCTGATGCTAATGGAAAACACCATTTGAAGCCCTGGGGAAACATTATTAGGCCCGCCTGAAGCATGTATGATGCGAATTTATTCAGATGCTTCTATTGATTAGAGTGGTATCTTTTCTAGCAATGCTTACACAATAAGTAAGATCTTCTACTCAATCCCGTAAGTGAGTCCTGCCATGATCGACTCGAATGACTTTCGGTCTCTATGCTGGCCAAATATCTCCCCTCGTTCTTGAAAAGTTGCCTTGACAACATCATCAACGATCCGACGATCCCTTATAGCTAACTCGCGAATAAACGACCTTGACTACACCATCAACAACAAGACGATCCTGTATAGCCACCTCGCCGATGCCAGTATCATCACCACTTCCATGCTCCAGCCATCTTTTCAACAAATCGTTGCTCTCCTTCGGCTTGACATCATCGCCCCTGGTTCCCACAGTGACATGAGCGACCTCATTCACAGATTCCCAGTTCTCGCTCACAAGTCTAGCCACAATAGCCATGATACGGTCATCCCACACGATCTGGAATAATAGTTAGTGAAGTTCATTGCACCTAGAAGCTTCAAATGGAACTTACCCTCTCAAGTTGGACCTTGCAATCGCCTAACTTATTATCCCAGGGGTCGGCTGAAGAAAGCATATCACAGTACTTTTGCCAGAGCTCTGGATGAGCTTTCGAGGACGCACGATGAATGAGCGTAACGTGGAAATCGGGTTGGACACGGCGATTTTCCTGTAGCTGTTTGAAGAATCTACCCTTGTTTGACGAGATGGAAGCAAAAGCTGTCTCAATTGCATCTAGGGTAACTTCCTTAGGCAGAGCAACAGAAATATACTCTACTGGGCGAGGCTTCTTTACTGCTATCGGCTGCTGCTTGGGCTGTTGTTCATCACACAATATTAGCGGAGTGGTTGGATAGCGCGAATCGCTTCCCTTGCGGTACTTCCATACCTCTTGTTGCTTTTGCTTCTTCTCCCTCTTTTTGCTCCCCCCAACTTCATGCCTAAGGTCGGGCTTGTATTCGCTCAGAGCAAATTTGATAGCTTCGTCAAGATCATCGCTCGACGGCATGGTTGTAAATAGCTTCGGATATTTGGAGTATAATTGCGCGACTGTGGTTTCCAAGTTGTCACGCGAGTCCTGGGTAGGATCAAGATCAATTACAAAGTCGAATCCGTCATCTGGTCCCGAATATGGATTTAGTTCCTCAAAACGATGGATAAACCCTTCCATAATTCCAAGAACTTTATTCACATCCGTCGCTGCCTGAATGGTTTGATGATTGTCGCCGCGGGCAAGAACTCTATTCTGAGTGACTTCTCGAATCTTGTCGAGTCCCTCCTTGGAATGCACAAAGTTCAGGGCAACGAGTCGTACATGAGGATGTGTTGCATGGACATCGTCTATGAGCTGTTGTCTTTCATGTCGTGAGGCATTATTTCGATCGGCGAACACAGCAGGGGCCTCTTCTAGCTGCCACAAGACCTCTCTTGTAAATCGAGGAGGTCGACCCTTTCCAGTAATGTTATCATTCTGGATGTGGCCCCAGCCGAAGAGATGCACCAGTGCGAGCGCAATTGTTGTCTTTCCGCATCCGAGGGTCGCAATGGGGACCAAGATGATATCCTTAGACACATCGGCAGGAGCACCACCACCGCCTTCTTCATATTCCTGTCGGATGATATCAGAGCCTCGCAGGTTCTTTTCTTTCAAGAAGTCATTCCGTAGTTTGATGATGCCATGGTTATGCTGGTATTGCTGGCCTAACTGTGAGTTTTCGGCAAGCCTCTTCTTTGCGTAGTGTAAGTATTCCTCCGTGATTTTTATATGCTTCTTGAACCGAGGTGGCCGAGCAGAAATGATTGCCTTCGTGCATTCGCGCCATTGCCGGTACATCAAATAGGGTTCTTCGAATTTGTATTTGAAAAACCAATCTGCGTAAGGACCTCCCGAAGCAACACGAGACTTGCATCGGATGACGAAGCCTTCGACATCACGTCCATCATAATGGCCAGTTTCAGCGACTTCGTCCAAGAAAGCCTTTGTGCTTTGGATATCTTCCTTGACAAGAAAGTCGGTTTTCCGAAAGCCCCACTCCTCCGCGTAAGCTTGTACTTGAGCACCAGAGTATGTCATGAATTCCGGAAGATTAATGTTGACCCCGTGCAGATAGAGTCCTGCATCATCCTTTCCATAGGCTAGAATGTGCTCTTCGAAGTCATCATCGCACAACTCAGCTACCGCGGTAGCATTTCTTCTTCGAAGGTCTTTTGCTAACTCTCCCCGGGTCTTGCCTACGGTGGCGAGATGCTTGTCAACCCATTCCTCAGCAGCTTTTGCATGACTGACGCCGTCAGCTCTAATTCCCGTAGAGTGCTTGCTGCAAACCAGCAGAGTGCCGTCATGGAGGCCACTGAGAAAGATGATGCAGCCGTTCTCTTTCAAGCTGAGCTCGTATGGGCCTTTGGTGTTTTTTTCGACGTTGTCCCACTTGGTGGCGCTGGTTTCGTCTACATTGTGGAATTTGTCATAGCCACGCACTGAAATTTCGGGTTGACCCCTCTCGTTCTTTCCGGTGAAGAGACCGCGAGCGTATGTGGGAAGATCGTCACGCTTGTAATCCCAATCTTGGAACCGCCAGGAGGTAACAACGAGTTTTTCTGGTGAATCGGAAACCTTGAAGTCCGTACTTTTGCAACTGAAGGTCTTCTTTTTGGCGCCTCTACCTCCTTTGGTGCCCTGCTCGAGGCCACGAAGTACGGTCTGCACGTCTTGAACGTCCTGCGGCGCGTATGGGACGTCCGTGGGAGCCGCCATGGTTGCCGCCATAGTTGAAAATTTCCTTGGTGGGGAGAAGAGAAGTGAGATTGATTTTGATATTGAGATGGAAGAAGAGCGGGTCGGGCTGCTGAATGTGCCTCGCCAGGAAAAGAGAAGCCGTGGAAAGATGCAGACCCGGGACATTCAGAGTAGCACGCTGACTGAGTAGCTGTATTTGTACTGGCACGCGTAGCCGGGTACAAGAGATGAGCAGGGGAAGTCAAGTAAGACGCTCAGGTTCAGGTTGGGGTGTGACTGCACGCCGGACTGTGGGATTCAGCCTTGTTGGAGGATGACTCGAACTCCAGCAGAGGCGCCCATGGAAATTGAATTAAATAAATACCTAGGCGCGGTGACAAGGCTGAGTCGGTGACTACAAGGCTAATCTCGATTGTTTCCCAAGGAGATCAGCAACTGTTCGGCGGAAAAGGGCGAACGATGTTGACTTTGTTGATGGTGTTTCCCGATCTACCGTATAATAAAAAGCATCTAGACCTAGGCGCACAAAGCAAAACGCCACAACTTCGACAACTCCCTTATCCACTTATCCTTATCACTATCAGTCGCCCTAGGCCGTGACAATAAAGCGGCGTCCCCAAACATAATTCAGCCCTCAACTTATTCTGCATTTGCCTTCTAAGAAATGCCTTGTTTCGAAGATGTAGATACTTAGACTATAGATTTGCATTTATGAAGAAGGCCTAGCTTAAGTCCTGTGAAATTAGGCATATACTCCTTATTTAAACTAAATGCTGGAAGTCTACTTCACAGTGCCGCTTTTTGCCCTTGCAGGCATCCTAGCTCTATCCCACTCCCATTTATTAATAAGTACGTCAGCCTTGTGTCTTGGGGCTTTAATTTTTTGTTTGCAGCAAGCAGAAGTGCTGTCGACCGCAACATCTGGTACTCGACGTTGTCACCCACGTCGCAATGGCTGCTACTTCTCAATCCCAGACTTCAAACCCTTTCCTACTGGCAGCCGACAACTCGCCCTCCCTCCTGCCGTTGTTGCGATCTGACCCCTCTCTCGCATCCGCCCAAGACGAGCATGGATACTCCCTTTTGCATGCTGCCTGCTCGTACAACCACTTGGACCTGCTCCGGAGCCTAGTAAACGAATTTCATGTCAATGTCAATCTAGTGGATGAGGATGGTGACACAGCACTGTTTGTTGCCGAGACGCTGGACTGTGCAAAGATACTAGTGGAGGAGTTGCATGCGGACATCTCAATCAGGAACATTGACGGCAAGACAGCGAGGGAGACGATCGCTGAGGATGACGACTTCCCCCAGGTTGCCGTATACCTGCGAGTGAAGGAGTTGGAGGCTGGCATACCCCAGACGAATGGCGTCGCTGGTCCACCAGTGACCAATGGCCAAGGACCTCCGCCGCTGGTACCTGAGGGTATGAACATTCAATTCGGCGAAATGGTCCCAGAAGAGGAACTTGGAGAAGTGGTTGATCCAGAGTTCCGGCGGAGGATAGAAGAGCTAGCAGCAAGGGATGACTTCCAGGGCGAAGAAGGGCAAAGACAACTGCGAGAGCTCGTCACGGAGGTGTTGAGAGGCGAAGTCACAGAAAGGGATGTGCGCAGACGGACTAGTTGATGGAAATTTCGTTCATCTACACTATGCCCCACAGAACATACTCGTTCGGTGTATCGGGGAGCTTCAATATGGTACTTGCCCTAGTTTCCCCAGACCACCCATCAGCGAAACCGCCTACACAATAAGCGAACCAGGAGTCTCGAGGGATGTGTGGCAATATCAGGGCGAAGGTCTCATGGGCCCATGAAGGAGCTATGAAGCCTTGCCATGTCAATTTAACCAATCCACCACTTGCAACAGAATCGGCTGGTAGCGCATAACGAGAAAGGAAAGGGTCGATTTTGTCTCCGACTTTGACCCGTGGGCTGTCGAGCAGGATGAGGGATAGCCACTCGTGGAGTTCTACTGCATAGTCTTCGAAGTCGGCATCATATTTGGAATCTTTATCCGCAGTCGGTTTAAGGGGTGGTATGCTGGCTCTAATGTTTTGTGATACCACAGGGGAAACAGTTTTCTTGGTTGGGAAATGTATATCCAGTGGATCAGGCGTCGTCGCTATCCACCAGTTAGTTTATATAGATACGGAACTCTACTTCGGGCCATCGAACCTGTGGTTGCTAAATCATGGAAGAGCCATGTGACTGGTGCTGTGAGGACGTTCTTGAATGCGTAAACGATCCTATCAAACCCCTTTTTGCCATGTAGCATGGATGGAAGACGTAGATTGATCTCAACAACTAAGATGGCATTAATAAACCGGCCTAGTCAACGATTGGTTGTAATGTTACTTACCCCATCGAGGCTTGGTTCCCCGTTTACCTTTAAGACCATCTGGCTTTCCAACCAGACCAGCCCGTTCATACTTTTCCTTTTCCAAATGCAAAGTTAATATTCCTAAATAAAGAATTAATATATATAAGAATAAACCAAGCTATTCAGCCTTACCGTCTCTCAGTTTGTATACATTGTCAACGCCCATGTTTCCCTCCGAGAGCATCAAAATATTCCCTAAAAGATTAATCAACAATTGGTATATCAAATGGACACCGAAAATATTGAACAAACCTCTCTTAATATATTCATTAAAGAAATCCCCTTCTAGAAGAACGCTCAGAGGTAAAATAACACGGCTGAAAACAGGCCACCTTGGCTCGAGCGACTTGATAAGGTCATTTTTAACAATCTCATAGACTTCTTCTGGGAGCACGAGATCAACCTATTCAAATTGTTAGTACCGGAAACGAAAAAGGTCTGAGTCAGCGTACCTTGGAGACGAATGGGTGACTTAAAATGGCTGAGAAAGGCTTTCTCTTGATAGGAGGTTCTTTCGGGTTCACATGACCCATTGTGCCATGTGTAACAAGACATTTAGGCTCGTTCTTAGTGTCCTCAGGGAAATCTAGCATCTTTGAGAGTTTATCCGTTTTTAATGGACTTGGCTTTTGTATTGTTGGGCGTTCGGGGAAGGGCGTGATGTTGTGTCGAAGTTGATGATGGTCCAGAGTTGGGACCAGGGTGTGGCGCTAGTGAAATCGACATGAATATTTCAAAAGCACTTTGCACTTTCCTACTCAATAATAAAGGCAAGAAAATTTCTTTTCACACTTTGATACTCCATGGACTGTAGCCCCCTAGACAGTCTAGGAGGCGCTTATAATGATGATGGAGTACATGATCAGATTTACCCACGTGCATGAGACGTTTCGTCTGCCCGAAATTCAAGCCCTTGCAGTCCTCGAAGGAATCGATCTAGAAGTCAGCTCATACAATTCAGATGTGCGTGAATACTCACCTCTTGATTATCCTCCTGCTTACACGTGGAAGTCACCATTTTGCATTGTGAAATTGCCGTCGGAAGATGCAGCCATCAGGCTCTTGAGGAGAAGTGTACTTGCCAAAGCGATATACGAACACTGGGGCAGTGGAGCCAATTATGAGGAGCTTCATCAAAATGTCCGAGAGACTTCACAGCATCTGTGGCATCTCTACAAAGATAGTTCTTTTAAATTCACCGTCGACTCGTTCCAAGGAACACGGACCATGGCTGAGCAACGACAGTTGATTGAAGACTTCAGTTTCCTTGCTTTTGAGGGGCCGATCAGGATGAAAGGCGCGGATCAACACTTTTGCATCTCCGAGGACTGGCAACGCGATGTTTTCCCTTTTACAATTAAGGATCCCCGAAAAATCCATTTGGGACGGTTTCTTAGCGAGGGCCAGAGAGATATTATCGGCAAGTACGATCTGAAGAAGCGAAAATACATATGTACTACATCTATGGATGCCGAACTTGCTCTGATCACCGCAAATATAACCCTAGCGGCTCCTGGAAAGTTGTTCTATGACCCATTCGTTGGCTCTGGTAGTTTCCCTGTTGCCTGTGCCCACTTTGGCGCCCTCGCCTTTGGGAGTGATATCGATGGCCGCAGCATCAGGGGAAAGGGCAAGTCGAATCTCTTTACTAACTTTGTCCAATATGGTCTCACGAACCAGTACGGTGATAGCTTCATAGCTGATCTTACCCACACACCCCTCAGGGAAGCAAGGCTCTTTGATGGGATTATTTGTGACCCACCCTATGGCGTCCGGGAAGGGCTGAAAGTATTGGGAAGTAGGGATCCCACGAAACCAAAGGTGCCAGTGTACAGAGACGGAAAGGCTCATCATACGTTAGTATCTCGATAATATATCTCAGCCTGGATACTGAAATATCTTTAGGGAAGATGCCTATATGCCGCCAAAACGGCCGTACAGCTTCCTGGCTATGCTAGACGACATATTGGAATTCGCGTCTATATCGCTGGTTGATGGTGGGCGGCTCTCATTCTGGATGCCCACTGCGAATGACGAAGATCAAGAAATTACCATACCCCAGCATCAATGCCTCGAACTGACGAGTGTCTGTACCCAGACTTTTAACAAATGTAAAGGACTCACATTTAATTCTTGATTTTTGGCTAACGGTGTTTGTAGGGTCAAGAAAACTTATAACATATAAGAGAATTCCTAACTCCGAGGTTATTAATACTCCCCGGGAAGAGAGAGTGAAGGAGAGCGGAGTTAGTGCAGATGATCTTAATCCATTCAGGAAGGGGTACTTCAAAGGGTTTAAAACTGCCTTTAGATGAGTAGCATTCTACCGAATGTTTTACTTCCTGCCTCATTCCCGAATTGCTGCAGTCCAGAGCTAACTGGTCCTGGGTCCCAACAACCCGGTCTACATCATATCTCCTGGTCACCAACGAGAAATCCCGAACGCCATGTGCATGCTTAGAACCACGTATCAGTGGCAGAGAGCAAGGCGGAGGGTACGGTTACAAGTGTTTAGGAAAGGGTATCTTTTGCTAGGCATTACTTAATAATGCGCTGCCTACCAAATCAGCAAAAGGTCGAAAAGAGGAAACTAGCTTGCCAGGCATAGTCGTCCCGATGAAATATATTATCTTTGATGACATACATGGTCCCGAACTTCGTTATCTTGACGATTCTTCATTCATCTCCCATCTCACAGTCATGATATTTCATCGTTTGAAACTGCTGTCATCGCCTCGACAGTGTATGGCGTCTTGGTAAATTCCATCCACGCAAATGAGCATGTGCCGATTATCTATCCCACTTCCATGCCGGTTTAAGGACGACCTCTTATGCACAATTCCCCTATAGGTACTAGTAAACTCTCGGACTCTGGAGTCTCCCAATCTCCCGACGCCATAAAATTCGACAGCCCTCTACTTCAGATCCCCTATGAAGCTCCAATGAGCACCATGTAATATACACCAACCCACCAAATATCCCCGCTATAATTTCTCAATCTGCCTAGTAGTTCTCTCCATCTCTCTTTTCACCTCAGCCCTCAACTTGCCAGCCAACTCCGCCGCCTCCTCCTCATCCAAATCCGTCCTCTGGCCGCGTCCAAACATCGTAAATGATCGGTTCCGCAGCTCGGGCGTCAGGGCAGGCCGAGGGATGATGTGGAAATGTACGTGAGGTACCACTTGTGCGGCCGCAGCTCCTATTCGTCCAGATATTAGCTTTCATATGCCATTGGACAATGTAAAACATCTTTTGCCAACTCCCTTCTCGCCGCTAGTTCCTACGTAAAGAACCCCGAAGAGAAACGGCAGGGTCAATTGAGAAATCGCCCATTACCATTGTTTTGCACAATATTCCAATCCCACACTCCAGTAACCCGAGCGAGAATCCGACTCAACCTGGGTAACCATAGCCCTAATTCGGTCGCCTCACTCTCGCTCACGTCCGAGATCTTCTCATGATGGCGTCGCGTCGTGACAAGTAGGTGCCCCCGGGCCAATGGCATGATGTCGAGGAAGGCCATGCATTGTTCTGTGGAGAGGACGACGAACGCGGAGGGGCTTGTGAGCTCGTGGTTTTGATCCGGGGAAGTCGATGGCGACCAGTGAGAGGCGATTGTGCAGAAGGGACACCCTTCTTCCATGGTGGGCTATCGCTGTACTGGATGAGAAGCGGCGGGTGGCTCGAAGGACGTGTTATTGCAGTGAGGTGTTGTCCATGGCGGGTTTTGTTGAAGGTGATGTGATAGTGGGTTAGAAAGCTGCTTGAACTCTTGTCGTTGCGCCAGCCGAGGTTAAACTCCGATAAGCTTTTATGAATCACTTAGTGTACAGTATCACCAGAGCTTATTACCGGGACAAGCTTTGAATTAGATGTTTGGGAAATGGCTGTTTTAATATTCTATTTATACCAACAAGCTTAGCCCTAAAGAGGAAACCGTTAGGAAACAACAATGCTATAGTCTGGATATGAAGCGTCATATTGCTACCTATACACTGATGGCACGAAGTTTCAGGTCTGTGCCAACACGCTGAATCATTGATACTCCGTACAGGTAGGATAAACGCCGCTGCCAAAACAGAATCCCCCCTTGAATTGCCCCTAACACCATAGCTTATTTGAAAAGTCACCAATCGTCATCTTCATCGGATCCGTAATTTACCAGGCTCACTGAGGCTTTCTTCTGAGCTCCAGGCTGTGTAGCTGGAGCAGAATTTGCTATGCTAGTTGTAGCTTTAGCCTGCTGTGTCTGAGCAGGAGCTGGGATTTTGACGGCTTTAGATGGTGTTGCCGCGTCAATCTTCGTTGAAGGAGGATCGATTGACGAAGGCTTCACGGATGGGACTGTACGCTTTTTGTCTTCATTGGCCGTAGATGCCCTCCGAATCCTGACGCCCTTGAACACTTCTTTCTCTTTCGTACGTTTGCGTTTTCGTCCACCCACTACCCAAACCTCTTCTTCCACAGTAGGCGACGTGTCGTCCGCATTTGCTGCATCATCGCTGCCTCTCCGCGCCTTTTTGTCAGCTTCTTCTTGCTGTTGCCTGAATAGAGCAAGCCCCTCTGCGGTCTCCTTCTTCACCCGTGCCTCTTCAGCCCTGGTACTCTCGAGTACGGAATCTAGGAATTCCGCCTCATCCTCGTCGAGGGCGCGGAACTGGTTCTTGAGCCTGTGTGCCTCGTCGAAAGCGTCTTGTTTGGCAGCTAGTCATTCAAAGCACCCCTACGTGATCAGTCCGAGAACCATGGTAAACACTGGGCTGGTATGTCTTATTGCATGAGATACCTTTGTTTGCTTCCAAGGTCTCAAATAAACTCTTGCCGTCGGCCTGGCGAGCTTGTTCCGCCTTTCGTCGGTGGTTGGCCTCGATTTCCTGCTGGGCAGCTAGCCATTCGTCGCTCCTCTCAATAGGCGCATCTGCGGTGCCGCCAGATACAAAGCCGGATGACATGGCGGTGTTTTGGATTGAGCAAATGGAGGTTGATGGGGGATGTTACAGGAGCTTGAACCTGGCGAGACCCAGAAATCCAGCGCTGCGAGCTGTGCTTCGCAACCCGGTCTAGAAGGCCGCGCCAGGTGCCAGGTGCCAAGACGATGCGAGTAATACGAGTACCCCTCATCTCACGCTGCTTTACCACGGGAATTTGGTAAAGTAAAACAGTATCAGTATTAATGACCTTGACATTATCTATGACGGAGAGAAAAGAGGGTTTTCCCCATCTAAGGTATGTCAACCAAACTAAGAGGCTGATATGCCGTAATATGATAGCTGCGGCTATCGTAAAGTGGGCTCTCGATTACTGTTCAAGCTGGAGGCCACAGGTACAAAGCCCTATTCTGGCAGTGAAGCTGCTGATAGGCGCGCATCGAGGGACCCCTCCTCGACACTTGGCTGGCTTTCCGCAATTAAGGTGGAACAGGTATTGGAAGGCTCTCCTTGTAGCAAGCTCTCATATTACTCAATCGCGTATAGTCTGGTGGTCTTCCTCCTACAACGAAAGCTCTACGGAGTAGTTAGATAGGTGGGGTTTAGCCTGCAATACAGACCCCCACGCGTCATTGATTTCCAATCTAGTAAAGGGTTTCGGGACTTCACCTATAAGTAAGGTAGGTGCAGCAGGTTTGGAAAAGAATTTCGAATCTCCCACTTCTCCCTTTTATACAAGTAAACATCCCCTCTTTCCCATCCCTCTCAGCAATTCCAACCGCAATAATGGCTGCTACCACCACCTCGTAAGTTTGCCACAGGCTCCCCAGCTGCGCACCCATTCACGTCAAACGCAGAAGCCTGCGGAGACTAGCCAATGTGGCATCCCACCTCTCATTTTCAAGGCCATTTAGCTCACAGCACAATCTCTCCAGTCAAACGGCCACCCTCAACACCGGTGCCAAGATCCCTATCATTGGTCTCGGAACATGGCAATCCCAGCCAAACGAGGTTGAGAAGGCCGTAGAGATTGCTCTTCGGAAGGGATATCGACACATCGATACCGCGGTATGTGATGTGGAATTGCTTTAAACAAGAGGGAACCATGGCTAATTCCAACCTAGCTTGCCTATGGCAACGAGGCGGAGGTCGGTCGGGGAATCAAGAACTCGGGCGTGCCCCGCAGCGAGATCTGGTTGACAACCAAGCTCGACAACCCATGGCACAAGAGAGTCGAGGAGGGAATCAACTCGTCCCTGGAATCCCTCGGCACCGATTACGTCGACCTATATCTTATGCATTGGCCATCATCAACGGACCCCACCGATTTGAAGAAGCATCTCCCAGACTGGAACTTCATTAAGACGTGGCAAGAGATTCAGAAACTCGCAGCCACTGGCAAGGTTAGGAATATTGGTGTATCCAACTTTGGCAGTGAGTACTACTCTGGAAACGTTTTGTTAAAAGCAAATGGCTAACTTTCTCTCAAGTCAAAAATCTCGAAATTCTACTCAATGATCCCTCGTGCAAGGTTTGTTAATCCGTATCTGGGCTGATGGGCAACATCACTAATATTCCTCTAGATCGTCCCAGCTGTTAACCAAGTCGAACTCCACCCCAACAACCCATCCCCAAAGCTCGTTGAGTACTGCAAAACGAAGGGCATCCACTGCACCGGCTACTCCTGCCTCGGCAGCACCAACTCGCCCCTCTACAGCGACAAGACACTCCTCTCGATGGCAGAGGCCAAGGGCAAGACCCCACAACAGGTCTTGCTTGCGTGGGGTATTCAGAAGGGATGGTCTGTGATTCCAAAATCGGTTAACAAGGAACGTATCGAGAAGAACTTCGAGCTGGATGGATGGCAGTTAACAGACGAGGAGATCAAAAAGTTGGATAGTCTTCCGGATAGATTCAAAGTTTGCGGGGATGCTTGGCTGCCAATCAAGGTATTCTTTGGAGATGACGAGTAGATTTATCATAATAGCAAAAGGTTATATATGAACTCGATATATATATTGAAATAAAAGATATGTATATATATATATTGAAATAATACTCTTTTAGAAGCTTTCGACTTTAGTGAAGTTAAAGACACTTCGTGAGTACTTCCCGAGATATCAAATATAGATAAACATAATTGATGAGTGTTCAGATGATCGTATGTACTACGGCTGGAAATCATTGGAGTGTGGAACGGCAACCTGACGAGCCCAAGAAATGCATCCTTCACCCATCACGTTATTCAATTTGTTCCCGACCATGCCCATAGCGTCCAGCCCCCCATGGTATCCTATTCCCCGATCCCAAATCCCAAACTTAAAAGGCACAAACAAAGGAAAGTAATTTATTGAAACCTCGGCGGGTGATCACACTGTTCAAGGAATCGGTAGATACCTTCCACGCCCTCATAACTGGACGAATTTTGGATCTTACTTGGCTTGCTGAAATAGGCCGATTCATGGTCGCTCGAGTCTTCTTCCATGCTCTCGTAGCTCTCGAGCCAGGGGTTGTCTAGAATATCTTTATCGACCTGTTCAAAATCATGCCCTGTCTGTGATCGTAGTGAGCCACCAGGTGAAGATAAGGTATGTTCGGAAGTGGGCGCGAAGGGGAACATCAAAGCGATTTGGCCTCCGACGCTCTTGTCGAAATCTTCATCCTGGCCGATGATCCCTCGTTGTACGCCGAATTCATCGCAGAGGGCTTCTACGGTTTCGGCGCCACAGCCGGGGAATCGGACCCTGATGATAGACTTCTGTTCCAGAGTGATGGGGAGATCCCCAAGGGGTGCAAGACGCTTGAGATCGTTCATCGTAGCCGCAAAATCTTGCAAAGAGCGAGCGAAATCGACGGACAGGACGTCTAGGAAGCCTTCGGTGTTCAAGTGTGGTGCGGACATTTCCACGTTACCCGAGGGAATTGCGCCGCTAAGGGGTGTAAGAGCGGTGATGGTTGGGCTGATATGGAAATCGATGAATGACCCAGGGATATTCTTTGAGCTCATTGCTCTCATTTTCCGGCCGGTCTCCTCCTGTAGGGCTGTGGCCGCACGGTATCGCTTCTCTCCTTGAGCTGTCGTCCCATCAAATTGGGCTTTCTGACCCGAGAGGAAAAAAGCCCGGACTGCTACGGAGACATTGCTTACTATCTGCGCAGGGGCAGCAGGAGTGTGGGAGAAGTATCGAGCCCCTGTACGGCCTCCACCTAAACCATAACCACCAGCAGCACGAGGCAGAGCTCCGCCTGTGAGGTTCGGACGTAATGTAGATGCAAATGGTGCTCGAGTCGTCAATCCACCAACAGCCCTAGCAGTAGCAGATGAAGGAAATGATGCACGGATATATTTGGCACTATGTTGCCCGGCAGTGCTCGCAAATCGACGAGCGGTGTTAATGCTGTGAGTGGTGTACCATCGTCCTTTAGCTTGACGAAGACGTGCCGCTGGATGGATCGGTTGACGCGGGGATGATCGTACAAGGATTGGTTGAAGCTCACGATGGAGCGGGCGTGATATATCAGTAATTCGTGCTCGAATAATACCTGATGTCTTCTTCAAGGCTTGTCTGTAATATGGCAGTTAGTCCTCGGTCTAGGAACTCCATGAGTCATATCACTATTCTATGATTATAGGAACTTACTTGAATACTCTGAGGGCTATGGGAGCCCATATTCCACTGGCCGGGGCCATCTTGACTGCTATTCAGGATGATATCCTGAGCAACAGGTGTGCAGGTGGAGATGTAGGAGGGAAGTGTAGAGGGGGTTCGCCACTTCCACTTGAAGGTGTTCAGCCACATGTGGCTGGCGCTTATTGAGCTAATCGCTTATGGCTAGCTTATTTTCAAGCACGCTAGCGAGAGTACTTCCAAACAGAATTTCTCGAGCTCGGAGAACTTTTTACAACTACAATTATACATCCTCTTTTCATTCCCTTTCTCAACCAGCCAACCCGCACTGTCGAGGACCTTGATCGACATGGCTGATTGATTCTATCTTACTGATGAACACTTGCTTGTCGCATCATAGCTTCTGATCGTCCTGGCTCATTGACGCATGTCCAATATGGTAGGTCTCAACCGTCCCTTCCCTTCAACCCCACTCAATGATGAGACAAACACATAATTGAACAATCCAACTCTTACATTGCAATGGGGATTTGTATCTATTATTCTGAGCTATTTGTGCGAAAAATATTTTCAACAGCTACTAGTCGTGTCGGATGATACTGACTTTTCACAGCCTATTTTATAGCTTTGCAACTTGCGTCAATATCCCAAGCTCTTCATTACACAAAAGGTTCGTGAAGCTACATTTTATTTTCTTCTATCGCGGGTGTGATGATCATTTGACAATTATAGGAATTCCTCATTCTGAAGTTATCATGTAGATTCTGTCTTTTAAAGTTTCAGCCTTGTCTGACCCTTGTTCTCTACTGCTTTATATATTTCAACTTTGATGTGCTCCTGCTAATCATTGATTCGAAATTCAGGTATAACTTTAATTTCACAAATCCTTCTTCTATGCATACCATGACGAACTTTGAACGAACGGGCGGACAGACTGTGCACTCCCGCCCCTATCCTCGTGAAAGCAAGGCGTACAAACCTTGCGAGGGTAGACGGTTGGGAAGTGAATGTTGAGAACTCGTCAGCTGATCATTGCATGATGACTTCCGGATCTTTTGGGTACCACATTGATCAAAGCATCTGCTAACACATACCTTCTTAGGTAAACAACACTTTTATTTTATTTTATTTGTATCCAAAACCATGGCATCACATGATGAAACTTATTCACACTGTTTGAAGCTTTCGAGCTGCTGAACGCATTATAAAAATCTGATTTAATGAGGTATGTATTCTGCAGTTGGATATTAAAGATCTATAACTAACATACTTCTAGGCTGACATTTGTCTTATGGTTCTTGGCATATTGCGAGATCAATTACATCTCTATTACTATGGACTGTTGCTGACGATTATCATCGCTGCATATAGGTATACACTCGAGTAAGCCCGCAGTTGGCACCCATCCAAAGGTAAGCTCTGCTATTCCTACTTCGTGAAGTTCACTTCCTATACCTCTGATGAAACCAATATATGCTGTTTTCCTGAGCTAGTCATTGAAGAAACAATATTTCACCTTGGAGAACTGAGATGGTTACTCTTACAATATCTTATTTCGATTTGAATTGTCCGAGATTACGTGGGCTAATTCCACTTTTACAGATGCGAAACACATTAGAAATGTCTAGTCTATCTCTCCATGAGATCTTAAATATAAATATACTTATTCATCATCTTGCCTCTAATAATACTATTTTCCTGCTGTGCCTGCTTCTACGTGATATAAAATCTCAGCCTTGCTGCTGTGCTACTATGCAGATCATCAGAAATATTGTGTGTTGCTATATTTCCATACCTAACTTTCAATGCCTAACAGCATGATGAACGTCCTGCCATAGCGACTTAGGAGTTCTTCCGCAAGTACGATCATAAATCCTGTAGTCTGCTGAGAAAACTAAGTATGCCGTCCATGATTATTTGTGAGTATAGGAAATCCCATTGCTTCTCGAACACTCTACATCACCAGGTGGGATGGGACAGTACAGGGGCGTATTTGCTAATTAATTTCGTATTAGATATTGCAATGCCAGCCATGTCAACCGCTAGGTAGAAAACCGCGGGTCAAGTGTCCCAACTCAAATAAAACGCCGGGGGTATTTTCCGCTTGCAAAGATGGGCATATTTCCATCCGTCCCTGCCCTTAGAAGTCGCTCGAAATACACAAGTTCTGCAAATGTACAGCCCTACCTATCCGAACACCAATGCATTTACCACGTGATCATCTTTCCATCCCTGAGCAATCAACGACTGGTTGTCCTTCAGTATTCTGCCCATGTAAGCGATCCGTATATATTTTGGTTGTGTGAGCTGTTCGAAGATTGTCAGTTGGGGGGTGATCTGCATTTTGTCTGTACCGGAACTCACTCCTGATTCCTCAAATACTCTCCGGGTAAGCAATCGTACAGAATCCTCCTTCCCAACACTGACCACGAGATCTGGGCCTGCCCCATCACTCAGTCTCGCCCTCACATTCATCAGATCCTTCGGGTTAACAACCGCCTTCCCTTTCTCTTCTCTCCTCCTCAGAATTTCATCTTCATCTAGCTCATCACTTTCCGCGTCTTTATCCTCTCCATCCCCAGCAGGGGCTGCCCCAGATGGCGAATCTACCATATTCTCCGGGTCTGAGACAACAAATTGATGTAAGGGATAGAACGCTCCGAAGCCATCGTACGCTCCCCCTGCCAAATCGCCCGTCGGTAAGGTAATACCAGCAGCATCTAATATGGTCTGGGCGGTCAAGATGCCGGTATCATCCTCAGGATCCCCCCCAGCCCATAGTACCTCCAAGGCTACTCTTAAAGTCTGCCATATCTCAGGTCGCCCCGCAACTCTAGTCTCAAAGAACTCCGTGCGTTCGCGATCTAACTCGGCACGAGTCCATACTCGAGATCTGCTACTCCATACATGGGGTCTGAGCGGCCGATTGATGTGGGCAGAGAGTGGTTGGGACGATCGGTGGTGAGAGTGCCGCCCGCTGTGGGTAGAAGTTGAAGGGCGGGGGAGAGCTGGAGGTAATTGGGGTTGGGAGGAGGTAATCGCACGGGAGGAGGAATTAGGCTGCTCTGAGGGTGGATACAGCGATCTAGATTGGCAGCAACCCTGGAAGTAGCTGAGCGTCAGTATTTATACAGTTTGATGGAGGGAGACCGGGGAATGCTAACCATGGCTGGCAATATGGTAGGTCTTCGAGGTGAGGCGCGTCGGTGTAGATAGGCAGTTGGATGCCAGCGCGATACCCAGATCGCTGAGAAATAGTGGAAAGCGCTCTGCGAGGGAAGCGGAGGGGCGATGCTGGATAATCACCAAGTAGGTAGCTATTATGAGTACATGTGCAAGACTGTGCAGTGACGGGCGAACGTCCAACTGAGCGGGCAAACGGACGACAGGATCAGAATATTAACGCTTAGGATGTAATTCGCATTTTTGAGTTTGGCTAAACAGGGAGGAGAGGATTATTAGTTGAGAGATATTAGATGGGCACGTCGTAGATCAGTCATGGTGGGGTGTGGTACTGTGGAGTGTGGACGAAGCAGAATATGTCATGTACTTTATAGAGGTTACAGCATGCCGCTTCCCCAAATCAGTCAAGAGGCTTGGGGCTACAGAGCTGCGCCGCATCGACATACTGTATTTCAAACAAACTGTAACTTATCATATGTTTCACAGCCACTTGTACACGGACAATATCATTATTATTGTACCATGCCAGAGTCTGGAATACAAGACATTGTGGACTGTATTATTTCATATATAAGACCACCTGGTTCACCTCCACTTCCCCCTCTGCGCATTCAAGTTCTAGTTACTTCCCCCAGGGATAAGTCTCACGAGTAAAAACGCTTAGTCCCTGGAAGTAGAAAGCTAAGGTAGGTCTCCGATACCTATACCTCCTTGCTTATAAACAATATTCTGGCCCTTTGGGGTCACAAGTTCCTCCCGCGGGGAACGGTATTATAAATAGTACTTAGTACGAAGTGGTTTAGTGGTGGTCGGGGTCTAGACTTCTGCCGCCCGTGACCGCCCGACTTTTCGCGAGATAAAGAAAGTCTCACAGCTTCAAGACCGCCATCCCAACCCTCAAATCTCCAGCCTCTCTCCAACCAGCTCCTCAAATCTAAAGCCGCGCAACATTACCTGTACTCAGAACATAGCCATACGCAACTATGTCTTCCGGAGCATACCAAGTCCCGGTCACCGCGCCCGCTACAACGCGCGATGCCTTCGGCGCAAACGAAAACCCCACCATCACCTACCTGTGTGGCGATTGCAACGCCAAGGTTCCTCTGAAGAGAGGTGATCCTATCCGGTGCAGAGACTGCGGGCATCGTGTCTTGTACAAGGAGCGCACCAAGAGGTAAGGATATTCTAAGGGGGTAGGGTGCTGCGGGGGGCAATATGCTGACTTGGGATACAGGATGGTTCAGTTCGAGGCGAGATAATGAAATGGATGCGATGGGCATGCGATATGAAGCACACCTATAACTGGCGCGGAGAAGCAATGTGGTGTTCAGGGGGGAATTTGGGCTGCAATGATAGACTATGGGTATAACAGGCGTTACGGATCGCAGCGCATCCTCATTGCGATGGGAAGTTGTGACAGACTTCGAAATATATCATCAGTCTTGAATTAATTCTGGTTGTTCAGATCTCAGATACCCACCCTGATTTTGATGTCATACAAGGTATTCTGACATGCAATGCTTTTACCAAAGAACTCCTCCAGCGCCATTTTGACCTCTACCTTTATCCCCGTTCCCTACATTTTCATTTGACTCGCCTTTAGATACCGGGTGAAGCTGTGGTCTTCGCCGGTCGGGCCACCAGATTCCTCAAGCGCCTTGTTGTATCTTGCAGACAAGCCATCCGCACCATCTCCTTCTTCTTCACCCTCTACCGATTCGTCATCGAGGTCGCTCAATGTATCCATATCAGGCTCCACACTTCGCGTGGGTGCCTTTCCGGAAACATCCATATCCTTCATCAACTTCCCCAACTCCTTCTCCCTATTCGCAACTTTGTCGTCTGCTCTTTGCTTCCTCTTCCGTTCTAATTCCGGCTTGTAATCTGTCTCAAATTCCTTCGCTTTTTCGCCCACGGCCTCAAAAAATTCGCTGATGCCAGCCCCGGTCATAGAGCTAACACCTACAACGCTTAGGTGGCTGTAGAACTCCTCCAACACGAGACTCATGCTATTTAGCAACGATCCCATATATCCACTTCCCCCTCCCACCCCCTCCCCTTCCATTCCTCCAAAGCTTCCAGCCTCCTCCTCCTCTCTTAAGGCGGCCTGGAAAGCATCGAAATCCGTCATCCATTCTTTTGCAAATTCCGCATCCTTGACATCCGTCTTGTTCATCACCAGGATCATAGGAAGCTTCGTCTTGTACAGAATACTGCAGGCATACAACATATTGCTCATGAAAGTGCTAGTCGAAGTTGTTCGTGGGGTGTCGATGATATAAGCAATCACTGTCGGAAATGAAGATGCTAACGAATCCAGCAGTATGCTTCCGGATGCGCTCCATACGAAGACTTCGATCTGACCGGGAGTGTCGACCAGGATATTTTTAATGGGTTTTGCGTCTGGCTTTGCAGGATCTGGACCAGTGCGCTTTTCGAGGAGGCTGATAATCTGGTCTATTTTTGTCGCGAAAAGGTTCAGAGATGTGAGGATACCGCCGTTTGGGCCTAGGTTGTAGGATTTCATAACCTCTTTGTAGTTGACCGAGTCACGGATGTCGATGTTGCTATCGAAGGGCACAGTTCGGACTGCGGGGTCGAGGTTTATGACATATGGTGGTTCCTGTTGCGAATGCAGGTAGGAATTTATTCGTTGCATGAAAGTAGTTTTGCCAGAGCCTGTGAGATAGTCAGAGATGCGTAAGTCTTCGCAAAAGGAGAGAGAGATATGCATACCGGCCATGCCTACACACACAATAGCCACAGGCTGTTGAGAGCCTTGAGGCTGGGGAGCTTCCGAAGTCGCCATATCTGAGTTTTACCTGCGAAAATGTGAGGATGCAGACGGGAGAGGATGACGCGGGGCAGGTGGGATGTTTGCGCTTGTGAACCTCAAGGATCCAGGCCGCTTCGATCGCCTCGCGCTTGTGCTGAAGCTGGGGAGACCACTTTAGCTCCCTCAACTACCGATTTCTGCCAACACCACAATGGACGGCCTCGATGAGTTTGAAAAGTCTCTAGCGGAGGAAAAAAAGGCTAGGGAAAATACCGAGAAGGGAAGTGGTCGAGAAAAGGAGCGCAAACATCGACATCATCACCGGTCAAGGCGTCAAAAATCTGGAGAAGATGACGATTCGGATAGAGAGCGCCGTCGGTCAAAGCATCACAGACATCGAGATGATGATGACCCTGTCCGTGACGATCACAGACATAAACGATCGAAACGCTCAGCAGATGACAAAGAAGATGGCCATCGAAGGCATAAATTCGAGAAGACTTCCGATCCTCACGAGGATCTGCCCATTCCCGACGATGAAGAACCTTCAAGGACCCCCAAGCTTACCCGCGATTCTTGGATGGCAGAACCTTCAGCGATAGATATTGATTACACTCAAAAAGGCGCCAAGAAAGTTGTAGAGCCGCCGCCTCCAAAGCCAGATTACGATTTGAAGATCCACAAGAATGAGTTGAACGTCCATTTACAGGATTTGGCAGATGGCAAGAAGCTAGAGGATCTTGAGGAACCCGCGGAGCATGAAGTCTCATACACGTTCGGTGATGCAGGAGCTCAATGGCGCATGACGAAACTCAAGGCTGTTTATACTCAGGCGGAGGAGACTGGCAGGCCAGCCGACGAGGTGGCTATAGAGAGACTCGGGGGCCTACGGGAATTTGATGATGCGCGCGAGGAGCAGACCGAGTTGGACCGTCGGCAGCTTTATGGGCAGGGCTACGTTGGGAAAGATAAACCAAGCGGAGAATTGTTCCAAGAGAGAAAGATGGAGCTGGGTATTAGGAGAAGCCCGAAGGAACCACACGAGGACTATGGAAAGAACCTACCGCAAGGGGCAGTCATGGAGGAGCAACCTTCCCAACCCATCACTGTTCAGTTGGATTCTACAGCGTTGAATCGGATGAGGGCACAGCTCATGAAGGCCAAGTTAAAGAAATCCCCGGACGCGGCAAGACTTGAAGCAGAGTACAACCAAGCCATGGCAAACTTTTCAAATAACTCGGAAGCTACCGTAGTAGTGCTCGGAAAGATGGATAATCGAATGCTTGCCGGAACGCGTGGTGAGGTTAAATCGATCGATAATAAGAGGGGTCGTGAACGGGGGTTAGTTGAGGAGAACGAGGACATGAGCATTGAGGATATGGTCCGAGAAGAGCGAAGAACGAAAGGACAAGCCGGTGGTGACGGAATGAGGGCCGCAGAACGCATCGCAAAGGATGCCAAATTTGAAACAGACCTAGATTACATGGACGACAACGCAAATAAGCTCGCCAAGCGCGTGCAGAAGTCGGAGATCAATCTGAAGAATGCAGCTATCGGCGAGTTCCAGAAGATGAATCGGATCTTGGACTCGTGCCAACTCTGCCATCAGGAGGACAAGAACCAACCCCCGGTTGCGCCGATAATATCTCTGGGTACACGGGTCTATCTTACATTGCCGACAGAGCCAGAACTCAGCGAAGGCGGTGGGGTCATTGTGCCTATCCAGCACCGGACAAATCTTCTAGAGTGTGACGATGATGAGTGGGAAGAGATCAGGAATTTCATGAAGTGCTTGACCCGGATGTATCATGATCAGGGCCGAGACGTGGTGTTCTACGAAAATGCGGCGGCCCCACAGAGGAAGATGCATGCCGCCATGCAAGTTGTACCATTACCATATAGCCTGGGCGAAACCGCTCCAGCCTTCTTCAAGGAAGCGATCCTGTCTTCCGACGAGGAGTGGACACAGCATAAGAAACTGATCAACACGGCTTCCCGGGCAAGAGAAGGCTTGGGCAAACAGGCGTTCAGAAAGTCAATTGCCAAAGAGATGCCATACTTTCATGTCTGGTTTGATATGGACGGAGGTTTAGGCCACATCGTTGAAGACTCGAACCGGTGGCCACGAGGCGATCTATTTGCTCGGGAGATCATTGGCGGCATGCTAGATATTGAGCCTGATGTGATCAAGAAGCAAGGCCGATGGACGCGAGGGGATAAACGACTTGAAGGATTTAAGAAGCGCTGGAGGAAGTTTGACTGGACGAGAGTCCTGACAGATGGATAGGGGTGGACGTCAGCTCCTTCTGAGCCCTATCTAAACTCGGAAAAGCCCGTGAGTGGTTGGACGGGCCGGCCGCCGGCTCGTGAGGCGCTGTACGAGTAGCTGGCTGTATAAAAAAAAGTAGCATCATGTGACATTGAACCTACAGAGTCCAGAGACTACATGTACCACATAACCACTAAAGTAATTCTGAGCAGAGACTTCAAACCTCATTGACATGTGTGTCAAGGAGGTAGTGCGCCGGTTTGTTGAAGCTGCTCAACAAACTTCTACCTAGTTGGTTGAAGACCACGTATCTGTGAGGTCGTACAAATCCTCCTTGCCGTTCTCAACGGTAATACTACACCTGACGGTGACTCTATCCAGCTCCGTGCTATATGCAGCCTGCCAGCTTATTGGTGCGTGTAGTCCCCGAATAGGATGGTATCCAGCTCCTGACGCAGAATGCAGAATGCTAAATTCAGACTGTTGAGAGACATACTGTATCTCTCGCTGTAATATGATTCCAAATGCCGTGCTCCGCACACGTGGCAAACGAGTTTTGCCGTCCTCGTAGTAAATTAACAACACTGTATCAGCTATCAATCCAGGATTCTGGCTATTCACAGCGATCAAGAGTTCGGCGTGTTTTGCTTCCTTGGACTGATCTCGGCTCGGAGTTTTTATAATCCCATATACACCTCGTATGTAAGCCCCCGGACGAGCTCGGCAGCGCTAAAAGCAACCATTGTTGCAGACTCAATTCATGCACTGCGAGTAGCCATCATGCGGCTGCGAATAACTTGGAAGATAGATGTCGTCAATGCTGCACAGCCTTTTCTGCCTTGCCCGTGCGCCTGATTGAAGTTCAAAGTTCTGTAGGAGTGCTCGTACCGTATGTATCGCCGTTACCTGGTTAGGAACGTACCCAGTACTGTACAGTACTATAGCAACGCCTGGATCTGATCCCGTTTTTCTGTACGACCTCAAGGCGCAAGCTTCGCGCTTGGGTTATCTCTTAGCGGACATGGCATCCGACGATGGCGTGCATGCTACAGTACATAGCGCCTGGGCTGGGGATCCTGTAAGCTGCAGCTCCCTTCGCGAGCGCCCGTACCGGCTAGATTAGCTGGGAATAAAGCGTTTCGTGGTGATCTGTTTCAAGTTTCAAATCATCAGACTGCTTTCGTGCTCACGGCCGCCGCTGGCCAGTAGAGTAACAGTGCAAGTTGCAACAGGCAACCTCTTCGGACCGGCCAGATCAGGCATTGTGGTAATCTGACTGAGACTCGGAGATTGAAATCAAGCCGGTCTCTCCCAAAATGACACCCCGTTACCCGAGGAGCGTCCTCTCGGGGCTAACGCATCGACAGCCTATCGTCCTGTTGTTGGCATGGTTGAGCCTTGAGGTCCCAGGAGGAATTGTGAAGCTGAGCTGCCAGATGTAGCTCCAGCTGATGAGAGACTGAGAAGATGCGAGCTGGCACCCTTTAAGGGGCTCGGGGGCCCAACACGTGGTTGGGAATGTAGAGGCTGAATTTCCAGAAGAGTCGTGCAAGCCCACACAGAGTCAGAATCAAGATTATCACCAAAATGCGCTGGCGGGGGGGGGGGGAGGATAAAGTAAATGGTTCGCTTGGATTGGATTGGATTGCATTGGATTGGATTGAATTGCATTGGATTGGATTGAATTGCATTGGATTGGATTGAATTGCATTGGATTGAATTGCATTGGATTGGATTGGATTGCATTATAATTTCCAGGAAATGAAAGATTGCTTGCATCGCGAGCGCTAGGGGAAGCTTCTCTCCTCTTCTATTATTGCTTTTGGGTTGCTTTTCTGACACCTACGAAGTACTCCAGTCGATAGATGACTGATTCGACTACAGTATGGGTCGGGTTGGTTGCGTTTGTTGGTTCCAACAGCACATACTTTTCGTAGTACTCTGAAGTGCTCCCACGAGAGCCTCGTTGATGCTGGCTGCAATTAGCGTGGCGCTCCGTCAGTAATGCATCAATGACTTCAATGACTAGTACGTAGTACTTCCATCGGTGTTCTCTATACTGTGTATAAACACAAGTATATGTCGTCAGTGAGTACTTCGTAAGGTAGGTAGTTACTACGTACGTAGCGTGTTGTCACAGGCGGACATTAGCCCTGAAGCCTCTCCTGCTAGGGGCCCTCGCGAGCCCGGCAGGCAACGCGAGAACGCTCACCTTCGCGTGTCGAGTAGAGTCGAGTTGAGTGCTCGTGCAGCTGCATCTCGCGCTGCAGCAAGCAAAAAAGGCCGCAGGTTGGAATGCTGTAGCCGTCGTCCTGTCTCTCTGGCCTTCTGTCTTTCCGTCTTCTTTTTCCTCAGGTGCCTGCTGCTGCTGAGGCGCAAAGAACGCTAAACCCGAAACACACTGGCCGTTAATAATGTGAATTTTGCAGCGACCAGCGACCAGCCCAGCGACTGAGCGACACAGCGAAACACTGCTCACTGCCACTGCTACGGCACTGGCCTACCTACCTTACCTACTAACGGCGTCCTCAGACCTCAGGCCGTCACCCGTTTCTGCCCCAGCTTCTCGCCTCTCGCTCCCCTTCCTCTGCAATCCCATCATCGATCTCGGTAACCAGCGCGGTCGCTACTTTTCGAGATTCGTCGCTATTGCAGCTTCACCCCCAGAGGGAACCCTCCGAGTCGCCGTGCGCGAGAGCCCATAATACTCCCCCCAAGACCCATTGCTGGTCGTCGCACGCCCCGTCGTCGTCGTCGCGGTCGTCGAAGCCTTCTTGCTGTCTGAGGCCACTGTGCCAGAGCGCGCAGCCCCCGTGTTCTTAGAATCATAATATGGCGCAGCAGAACCATCGGAACAGCCCACATCTCTCTTCTCACCTTCAGAACGGCTCCGCTCCCCCATCGCCATCAATGTCGAACTCCCAGCAGCAGCAGCAGCAGGGCGGCCAGTCGCGCCAGCAGCCGGTCAATTATCCCAGCCCGACCTCGTACCCGTCGCCATCGCTGTCGAATGCGCAATACAACTACCCTCCGCCGAACAACCAACAGGTCAGTGAACCATATCGCGCAAGCCCAACTGGCAGCAACGGCTCGCTCTCGCTGCCCAGCATGCGCACGCTGGACCCGGTGCACCAGCAGCAGCAACAGCAGGCCCAGCAGCAGCACCATCTGGCGTCAGGACTCCCGCCGGTCGCTCCCATGGCAGGCGGACCCTACTATCACAACCAAGGCCAGACGCTGCCTCATCCCCAGCACCAGTATCCCAACGTGACCTCGGACCCGACGGGCCAGAACATGCGATATGCCCTCCCGGTCACCGACTCGAGAGTCATGAGCGGCGGCCGCCATAAGAAGGTGAGTGAGCGTGCGGGTGCCGTCAACCTCGGGTCGTGTTTGCTAACGGGCGCCATCGCGATAGGAAATCAAGCGTCGGACCAAGACGGGATGCCTGACCTGCAGAAAGCGACGGATAAAGGTCAGTACCTGATGTTTCAATTTCGTCGGTTTCGTCGGTTTGATGAGTGTCGGATGAGGTTGAGGTTGTTCGCGATGGGTTCTTTTCGTTTATAGCAAGCGAATCTACCTAAGTAGGCGAAGGCACATGAGCTTGCTCAAGCCGAGTCCACCGCGAGAAAAGAGACGAGAGCGGTCAAAATATATCCCATTTTTCGCCAAATCCCCCGTGGCTCCCTCTCGGTGGACAATCCTGCTAACGTTTGGCGCAGTGCGACGAAGCCCACCCGGCCTGCCGCAACTGCCAAAAGTCCAAGCGTGAGTGCTTGGGCTACGATCCCATCTTCAAGCAGCAGCCTGGCCCTACAGCCATCCAGCCTGCTCCCAGCTCTGCTCCAGCCCAGGGCGGTTCGACTGCGACGGCGAATCCATACGGTCATCAGCCGCAGATGATGCCCGCGGGCTACGGCGTCCCTGTCTCGAGCATGAATTACGAGCCATCCCTCTCGGCCGGCGTCAGTTCGCCTGGCTCGGCGAGTCAACAGTTTGATTATTCCTCGGCGATTGATCCAGCATTGGAGGCTGCTGCCCCGCCGACCACAGTCGGGGGCAATGCCTACCATCAGACAACATCAGGTATGCCAATCTTCCGCGATGATATCAAGAGAGACGTACAGAGTGCCAGCCCATTCTCGTCTGCGGCGTCCGACACCCCGCACCTGAGAGGTGGCGCTGGGTCTCTGTTCTCCCCTTCAGTTGCATCTACAGCAGAACTCTCGGCTTACACGACCACTTCAGCAAAACGCACTGTTAGCGAACTCCTCGCCATGGGCGGCATCGCTCCCCCTCCCTCTGCCGCCGACGTCTCGCAGCTACCCAACCAGCTCGAGGAAACGAAGCACCTCTACTACAGCATCTATGCCCCGGGCCTCGAAAACTTCCTGGAGTCACGGTGGTTCACTACAAAGGGCCTGGCCAAGTTGCTCGGTGACAAGGGATTGCTCGACCAGTTTGGTACTCTACTGCACCAATTCTCCAAGACCCCTCAGAACGATATCAAGGAGATGGCATATACCGCCAGTGTCGAGGCAAGAATTGTCTGGGCGCTCGCCAACACGGTACGCATTGCGGCTGTGGAAGCCTCCGGCAACAGAGAGATCAAGACTGTCCCGCCAAATGATGACCCCGTTGAGGCTGGTAATCGCTTGACCGTCTTCGAGAACTTGTTGACCGGACAGGTTGCTCCCCGGAATTCACTTACCGCTCCTGTGCCCGGAAGCACCGATCACCACAGACTCCGTGAGTTGGAGTTCTGGTACACCCTTGGAAACTTCGTTTGCCTCCGAGACGATGATCCAGCATCGGCCAAAGACATCGATAACACACTTGCAGCCCTCCGCAATCTTCTCGACGGCAGAGAGAATCGAGATGTCCTTTACTCTATTGCGGTCGTCCGTGTTATCGGTCCACGGGTTTCCGAGTACACGGATAACGATACTCCCCTCCACTTCGACGAGAGCGACAACAAGAGCAAACTCCTTGTTGCAAAGAAGTTTGTTATGGACGAGGGATCTGGCGCGGGTACCACCAATGTGATTCGGAGACTATGTGAGCTAGCTGCACGGTCCTGGACTACACCAGCACCGGCACCGCCCTCCGCACCTGTACCGGCAGCTTCTCCTGCACCTGCTGATACTGCCCCTCCTGCTTCTGTGGCTGCCCCGGAAACTTCCACGGCTGCTACGACTTCTCCTGCCCCTGCGGCGGTTCCAGCCTCCACAACCTAATTCGCCCAAAACACTCCTTCATGGCGTTTAGGGCTCTTTCAATTCGGCGTTACTTGCGTATTATTCTTTGTATCCAATGCATTGAAATCGGAAAATGGGGTTTATTCTTGGCATTCGGCTGGTTGCTTCAATAAAAAAGAATGTGTTCCGCATAAATATGGACTGGAGGAAATATTCAATGCGAGCGTGTAACCTTAGGATGGTGAAGGCGGAAAAGCGTCTGCCTTTGCGGGCTTTCCCTTGCGGGAATTTGTCTAGAATGAAGAAAAGAGGAGATCCGAAGCCCCAGAACACCTAACCACATCGAGCAATTATGAGAGCTCGTTTCCTAAGCAATTGGGAAAGTGGCGGTGATAATGCTGGGCGGGGGATCAGATCAAAGTGCATCAATTGCGTCACCACATTTTCCGTTTCTGTAGAATGTAGCCTAGGTCCTTCGCTACTTGCCATGACTAGCTCGAAATAAAGACTTTAGATTTGTTTATCTTCCTCTGTTTTGAATAATCGCCTAGAGAGAAGTTTTCTAGCCAAAGCTGCACCCATATGGATGACATGTCGCTTCGGTACAAGGCGATAACCCATATCCAGATTTTACTCAAGCTACAAGCATAACTGTACCTTACATCTAGGTGTATCAACATGTCACTTTATCACGGAGACGATACGAGACGGTTGAATAATTATATCCTTACATCGTCATAACCAGTCTTAAGTAATTTATAAAATTCTTCAACCTAGGTACGAGCGCCGTTGATTTCCCACCTAACCATGGGTTGTAACATTTAAATCCGTCAATAGCAATCGCACCTCTCGAGTCTAAACCCTCGTATCTCACATATCCTTCTGTTCTGGTACAGGGCTCAACAACTTCCCCTTCTCAACGGCACTCTTCACATTGTCAATACACCAAACCTCCATCTTGGTCTGTGTCTCCACCGTCCAGGTACCCATATGCGGCAGTAACATCACACTTGGGTTCGCAACTAGGCCTGCATGGACCTTTGGCTCCTCCTCGAAAACATCAAGGCCAGCAGACCATACTTGTCCCTTTTCGAGGGCTTTGACGAGTGCTCCTTCATCCATGACAGCGCCACGAGCGGTGTTGATAACTACGACTCCCTTCTTCATCTTCTCGAATTCCTTGGTCGAGATAATGTGGCGGGTATTTTTCTATTCAAAGATTAGTAATTGGTTTTTCTTCCAGCACAATTTAACAGTGGGGGTTGTCTTACATTGAGAGGCAAATTCAGAGACAAAACATCACTGTTTGCTAGTAACTCGTCGAAGCTGACATACTTGGCACCACCACTCAGCTCTTCTGATAAGGGGTTGCGGTTGTGGTATATTGTGGTCATCCCGAATACCGAAGCCTTCTTCATTAGATTCCGGCCAATACCACCCATTCCTAGAATTCCGAGGACTTTTCCTTGTGGGTCGTGGCCGAGAGGTGGGGGAGGGGAGCCTTTCCAGTGGCCGTTTCGGAGGGCCATCATTGCTGTGAGACAAAAGGTTAGCACCCAACTGCACGGGGGAGACAGGAGTGGGGGCTCATGATGGAAACACAGGAACTTACAAGTATTAAATCCTCGCAGAGCTCCTAGGATAAGGAACATAGTTGTATCTGCAGTGGCATCGTCCACGGCAGTAGGAACATTGGAGACACGGATGCCGTGCCTGGTACAAGCAAAAACATCAACTTGGTCATACCCGGCTCCTATCCACAGCATTAGTCCCCAGATTCCCAATGCAAGAATTATAAATCCCATACCATTGTGAGCCATGAACTTCAAGCTCTTGGGCAGAGCAGCCACAAGCTCCTCATTAATCAAGCCGGTGATAGCAACACTTTGGAAGGTCCGGTACGCGGCAACCACCCCGTCAAAAGCCCCTGCCTTGCATTCTTCAATAAACTCTTCCCGCGACCGAGCCTTTGGTTCGATGACTTCTGATATCGAAGCGAGAGATGACCATTCTTTGTGTGCGCTGTGTAGGTAAAGAGAGAGATATCAGCCAATGTAAAGTGGGATGACCTTGAGGGATTGAGGCCTACAGAGAGAGATCGTTTTGAGGGGGGTGTCGAGCACTTACTGGTCAATCTCACCAAGGAGGAGAACGCGTGGTTTCGACATTATGGATATAGAACGGTGTTTAAGAGGGTTGAGAAGAGTTGAAGGACTTTTGAATCTGGGGGCAGTGGGATACGGATTAATTTATTTGTTTATAGAGGGGTAATAGGAGCCCCACCGCCACATCCCGAGCAGGGCAACGAATGTTGGCTGCCGTGCGGGTCACGGCAAGCGTTAAAGTTTCTGGGGATCAAAATGGGCAGCGTCTAGCGCTTTTAGAGGCCGGAATCCGTGAACAGATAAGCAAGCACGCAAGTGGGACGCAAACCTGCAGTACAGGGCGTCTTACGTGCAGTCAATGGCTAGATTATGGCGTTTGACGTACAGCGTTTGACGTTTAACGCTGACTTTGGACTTTGGATGTTGGATGTTTTGCTGATGCTATAACCCCATATGTGATAACGCTCTGCTACTTTAATGTGAGTGGATTCCCTTTCCCGGGATAAGATGCCCCGGATCTGGATCTGAATCGATGGGAACGTTACCAATATGTACGGAGGTACATACAAAGGTATTTCATGCCACCTAAAACCACCCGATGTCGGACCGTCAAAACCCGCCCGTCAAACCCCGCCCGACATTCTATTAACAAAGCCACAGGACCTACCATTAGGCACCAAGACAAATGAACCTAATAAAGAGCACAACTCGAATACAAAGGTAGATAATAACCAATTTAAATAATAACACAAAGCAAAAATAACAAAGGGTTTGACAAGGCACATACCTAGTCTCAAAGAACTGTGGCATTTCTTGATATTTGCTTTTCTATATCTATTTTATATGCCAAAGTAATTATTAATTTAATACTTTGCCGATTTATCATCAATTTATTACTTCTACTTCAACTCTTCTACTTCATAACTACCTAATCCAACGCCACAACGAATCTCACACTAAAAACATCACAGGTGACACCACGGAACCAGGAGAACCGTGTAATACACGCACCTTCAGCTATTTCTAGCCATCATAATGGGCACCGAAAAAGGCGAACCGTATAATGTAAACCCCCTTGGCTATTTTATATGGTGTTCCATCCCTCTCTTCATCTGTTTCTTCTGCTGGACAATGCTCCTATTCGGAGCGTTGACAAAAATAAAAATACTCTTTTGGCCTGCAACTTATCTAATAACCCTGCCAGTTATCATCCCGATCTGTTTGCTACTACAAATCATATTTAGGTCCGTCGATTTGATACCGGTTTTGATCTTCGGTGCTGTTTTAGGCAAGGAATTGGCCCACGTGTACTCGAACGAGATCTCCGAATACTGCAACCAAGTCCTGGATGACTGGAATGAGAAGGGATTACAAGATCAGATCGCCTTTGGAATAAGGGAAGCTGATGATCCATTTTCAAGGATAGCGTAGGCCACAAGGAACGTAAAACCTCCGAGAAGATCTAGGTTATAAAGAGCAAGGAGGAAGTAGTATGGCCAACTTTGACATGCGAACTGGAGTAATTTCAAATCCTTTGTAGAGCTATGAGCTGGTTCTCTAACCTGCAGAATATACAACTATCAATTATCATGCTTAATTTTTCTCTCCAGGCTGGCGAGGCCATTTTGAACAGCGCCTCATTTTGATATAGAAACCAATTTAGCTCTCTCTACCCAAGCTATTGCTGATTTCCACAAATTGTGTGAACTGTCTCCAGGCTTCGCCACTCTCCACAGCCCACCTTGCTCGTCGAACACCCTCTTTCCATCTTCCTCCGCCGGGGCCTCTTTCCGTAATAACCTTTCCATCATCCCCATGGCCCATGTTGCTACTATCAACCTCGCATACCCCGGACACAACAAACATCGCCGCTGTGTTCATGAGGACGAAATCGTAAATTGGATCCTCCCTTGGTAATTGATTTTGCAAAAGCTTTTTCAAAATCTCAGCATTTTCATGTGGTTCCTTGCCACCGGAGACATCTTCCAAGGCATGGGCCGGTAGCCCAAAGTCAGCAGCACACAGAGTGAAACTTTCGATATCAACATCCTCAGGCGACGAGGGGTTGTGCGTTGAGCGATCGGCTAACCTCCAGCAATAAGTTTTCCCTGCGCAACTAATCTCATCAAGATCCTCCTCGCCACACACGACCATGGCTTTTCTTGCTCCGCCCATTTTCAAGGCATCTGCGAAAACGGGTCCAATGTCCCTTCGAGCCACACCTAGAATACGAGCTTCAATACTAGCTTCGACGGGATTGGCAAGTGGGCCGAGTAAATTGAAAATGGTTCTCCATCCGAGCTCTTTGCGAATTGGAGCCACATACTTCATGCCTGGATGAAAGACAGGGGCAAAGAGAAAAGCGTAATTGGTCTTTTCATATACCCTGTGAATAGTCTCAGGGGTGACCGCCATGAGATTAGGGGGGGTTGGAAGAGTGGAAGTAAGCAAGTCCGCCGAGCCTGACTTGGATGTAGAGGCTCGGTTGCCATGTTTGCTTAGGAGAAGAATTGATGATGCCAGAATAGATGAGGTAGTGGAGATATTGAATGTGTTGTGAGAATCACCCCCTGTTCCCGTAATATCGCACTGAAAACAACTTAGTAAATTATACCAATCCTTGGTTTCAGATGACTTACAAGCCCTCCGTTATAATCACCTTCCGGCCTTCCTCGAGCTTTCAGCACCTTTCCCAATGTTTGACTGTCAATTGGGGAAGCCGCCTCTCTCATGGCCTCAGCGCATTTTGCAATGACATCCGCTCTCCGATCCCAGCCAGTGAAATGCAGGCAAGTAAGAAGTGCGCCTATTTGGACTGGAGATAATTGGTCTGTGAAGATATGTGAAATCGCCAAAGCAATCTCTTCTGCCGTGACATTGGCAGCACCTGGTGATGGCCATAATCTTCGTAGTAGTGGGGTAATGGAAATGTTCTGTGGAGCACTTGGCTCGACCCTAGAAGGCATTTTCTCTTTCTCCCTTAACTGGTCAAGCCCGCTTGAGGCTACGAGTGTATAATTTGAAAGTTGGAATTGAGTTTATCGTGTCACTCTTTTGACTCATTGCCGGATTCGGCAATAATAAAATGTAGGCCTTACCCGGTTAATAAGGTGTCGATAATTGCGGCGCTAGTCCTCTTTGGAACTTTTCGAGGTCTACTGTGAAATCGCGAGTTGACACCTTAATTGCTCACTGAGAGCTGCTTTCGAGTGAACAAAGTAAGAGCACTATCCTTATGTTTGAATGATAATCATACTGATTATGCACAGATGCCACCGCGAATACCTCCGCCCTCAAGGGCGATTGCTTCGATCCTGAGATGCAAACACCCCTTCAAGATTCGACGGCAGTATGCAACAGCAGTTGCTCCAGCAGCTTCTCACGAGCAGATGACACAATCATCACCGCCCATAAAACGATACCCCGCTACCCAACCTCCCTCCTACAAGCCGCCTGAGTTCAGGAAATCACAGCTTCTCCGGCAATATGCCTCGCTCCTCCGCTCCACACCTCTGATGATACTCTTCCAACACAACAACCTCACATCAACAGAATGGGCAGGAATAAGGCGGGAACTTACCAAAGCTCTGCGCAAAGTCGATGAAGCTATGGTTGCGGCTGGCCAGCCTCCGCAGAATTTGGCAGAGGGTATTAAGGTCCAGATCATACAGACCGGCATCTTCGCCTCTGCGATTAAGATTGTTGAATTCTACAAGCCGGATTCACAGTCATCTCCGCCTGCCATTGATCCTACAGATCCGGCTACGCCATCTTCTGCCGCGATTCCGATTGTCAGCCCTGATGCGTCCAAGCTTACTCATACTTTGTCCGAGGCAGCCCATCAAGCAATTGCCAGAAAATCACATCCCTTGGACCCGTTACTTTCTGGGCCATTGGCTCTCTTGACCTTTCCCACTGTCTCGCCTCAGCACTTGAAGGCAGCGCTGTCTATACTGTCGCCCTCTAAACCGGATTTCCCAGCTCCAACACGAAAAGCAAACCCAGGCTATTTTGAACTCCCAGTCCAAAGCGGGTTACAGAAGCTGTTACTGCTCGGAGCTCGTGTAGAGGGCAAGATATTCGATAGCGAGGGGACGAAATGGGTGGGAAGTATTGGAGGTGGGTTGGATGGTTTGCGGGGACAATTGGTGTCTATGTTACAAGGTATTGGTGCTGGTGTTACAAATACCCTGGAGAGTGCGGCAAAGAGTCTATATTTCACAGTTGAAGGTAGACGGACTATGTTGGAGGATGAAGAGAAGGGAGTCTCAGAAGAGAAAACAGAGGAGGCTAAAAAACCAGAGTGATTGGAGCTTCTCCGGATGCTGTATTTTATTGTAGACTTTAAACTGTATATCATCAAGCCCGTATCCGCAACTCGCCGCTTGCCATCCAATGATATTATCTATTTCCTTTGCTCAAGCTTGGCATTCATACCAACAATGCATCTCACGAGATCCCAATCTCCATTATTGCCTACCCAGTCACAGACTACGATGCCAGTACTACCGTCTCCCGTGGGCATTTTTCCTTCGCCAGCTGCTGATTCATTATGCCGTCGACAGAGGAAGTCTATTATTGATGGATTGACCTTTGCAGCAATCCTATCCGGCCAACAGTTTGCCCTCCAGAAATTCGACGCAGTCAAGAAATTAATAAAGAAGGGCAGTTTCGCCGCCTCTGCTGCGGCAGCATTCATATCCCCGGGGAGCGGACAGACAACCTGAGCTGCCCTGTCTAGATGATCCGTAGAATATGAGATTTTCTTATCGATATTCTCAGACTCAGCAACCTCATAGAAGTCCTGGACTCGGATCTCGCCACTCGAACACAAGCCATCTGCGCAATTGTCTGGCCAGCTCTCCCCATCCATTGCCCAGCCTTGACCGTTATTTTCTCCTTTCAGACTATCATCTATAGCAAACCGCCTTATGAGCACTATCCGCTTACGAGCTTCGCCGAGGGTGGGGATGTGGTTCTCGGTGAACCACCGGTTGGGATCGTTTGCGTAATGCTTGTGCAAGATCTTGCTTAAGTGCTGGTCCGTGGCTTTCCCAACTCCTTCACGCTTGACTGATATGATGACTGTCTCCGTGGGGTTGGCGTCCAGGAATTCGGAGACGGTTTTGACTAGATCGCGGAAGTACTTATTCCCTGTGAGAGAGACGGGAAAGGCGCTGTGGACTAAAATGAGTCCATCTTTGGACACGTCATCAGGGGTCTCGGGTTGAACACGAATATCCAGAAACCGGATTCCATTGTTCAGTTGCTCTTTCACACCGACTGCTTGGCATCGTACTGAGGGCAGAGCCGTGTAATGGGCTGGGGCATTGTGCGTGCCGGGTATACTGAGGGCAGAGAGGGGGGTTTCGTTCTTCAGTTTGCTCATCCATGATTCGAGTCGCGCCGAAGAATAGAGGGCGAGATGAGGAGATGTTGGTAGATACACTCCTGTGAATTCGAAGCGAGGATCTGGGGAGAGGGGAGTAAGAACATTCGAGCGTTGGTTAGGAGACGGGGTATCGATTCTATATCTCTGGCCCTCCACCTCAAAGGTCAACCGCAGCACTTCGTTCTGGTTGGGCTCTATACCGGTACGTTTCGATGCGAAGGGTCCAATTGTGATAGCGACGGACTCGGTCCTGAAACTTTCTGACTTCAGAGCAAGTTGTGGAGAAGACGGCGTGGTGATATTGTTCATAAGGCCACTAAAGACTTTGGTAATATTGGCAATTCCTTTGCCGTTATTGCTAGGGGCTTGATGTTGAGCGGCCTCGAAGCGCTCTATCATCTTCAACTCCAGCGAACTGGAGGTCAGATTGCGGATCGTCAACGGTGGCGTAGCCATTGTTATTTTTTAGTGTCAGATGGTAGCTAGTTGGAGACAGATATTTAGTTCAGACATTCCCGGGGTGAGGTGAAGATGTACACTTATATCTCTTGCTTAGGGTCTTGGGGCCAAAAGCTCTTCCACGTTGGTGGGGGCTTGGCTTCGGCTTCAACGTGTCTGGGTGATGGGCGGGGCAGAACATTAGGATTGATCGGCAGCGCCAATGAGAATATATCCTAGTGGTTACTACCAACCAGGTTGTAAACGCTTATCTGTATGAAGCTGGACAATTGTGACTGTCAATTGTGTGACAAGTATAACGGTGGACTGATAATTCGGACAAAATACTAAGTACCGCGAAACTGATGTGCTCAACTACAAGTGAGTCCAACAGCAAATCCTGATATCGAAAGGACCAAACTATTGCCGTTCGCAGGAATGATGAAGCCGGTTGTTTGTTTGCACGGAGTATTATGTTCCAGGTTGGCAGCGAAGTGGGTTTGGCGGGTGGGGTCCGTCGTAGTCCGAGACCGGCCGCATACCGAAGGATGCCGTATATATTAGAATAGGCAGATTTGTTTTCAATAACTCAGTAGTTTGCCTCACAAGCAAACAACGAGCAACAAGCAATGTGGCGCAGCGGAAGCGCGCCGGGCTCATAACCCGGAGGGCACTGGATCGAAACCAGTCATTGCTATCATTTTTGTAATTTTTATCTTCTTTTTTTTTCTAGCAGTTGCTTTCGTATAGCGGCCTAGATAATTCGAATAGTATTCTACAGAAATGTTATATATTTTCCTTCTTTTTTTTGACTGAGCAATCGACTTTAAGCGAGTATTTCCTATGCGTACTATTCTAATGGGCCTCTCGACTCTACGAGCTAATAGTATCTACAAGTGTACTACATCCCTACGTCAGTGAAACCAGTTGATTCCCGCTTTCCAATAGTTATGTTAAAACTCTATAATAAATATTAATTCATAGTATCTCATGAATTGCATGGTTCCCGCCCACTAGTTGGATCGGGTTTTGAGAGCTGCTCCCGCTTCCTCAGGCAGCTAAATCGTCCCACCTACTTCGTAGATGTTCAACCCCCAGCTTCCCTAACGGTGATCGAAGTGCTAGTTGACCACGATTTGAAGACCACACCTACCAGGCGATACGAAATCAAATCAAACATGGAACAGAGGCAATCCCAAGAGGCCTCAACATCCTCGTTCCCCACCAGCCCCGAAGAATTCGATGCCGACGATCGAATCTCCTTCTCGAAGCTCGACAACAAATTCCTACTCGTCCAGGAAGACGGCACCGAATTCGAGTTCGACGACGCGCTGAAGAGATGGATCCCCTTATTAGACGAAGCCCTATTAGAAGAACAACAGAAAGCCTACAGAGTATCAGGTGTTGACGAGGATGAACCCGTCGAAGCGATGCGCAAGAAGCGGAAGAAGGTGTATATAAATGGCGAAGATGTAAGCAAGCAAGCTTTCGAAGGCATTGCCTTGTTATAATGCTAAATATGAACAGGAAGGTGGCCGCGCCACTAAAGCACCTAAGAAATCCAAAGCTCCTCTTCCTCCACGACCAAATACAGCAATATACGTAACCGGCCTTCCCTTCGACGCAACCGTTTCCGAAGTACATGAAGTATTCTCGCGCAAATGCGGCGTCATTGCCGAAGAGATCGATAGCGGAAAACCACGCATAAAGCTCTACACCAACGAGAAAGGGGAATTCAAAGGCGATGCGCTCGTTGTATTCTTCAAACCCGCTTCGGTGGAGTTAGCCATCATGTTGCTAGACGACACGGAGTTCAGGCTTGGGGCTGGCGGGGAATCGAGCGGGAGGATGAGAGTTCAGGCCGCGGATTCGAGTTATAAGAAGGTCCAACCTGAAGGAGCTACGACAACAGAGAAGGAAAAACCTAAGACGAGTATGAGGGATAAGCAGAAGATTATCCGGAAGACGCAGAAGCTAGATGCGCGGTTGGCGGATTGGAGTGATGATGAGCCGTCGAGTCTTGTGGATTCAGGTTCGAAATGGGATAAAGTCGTTATCCTGAAGCATATGTTTACGCTTGAGGAGCTGGCTGAAGATCCGGCTGCAATATTAGACATTAAGGAGGATATTAGGGAGGAATGCAGTAAACTGGGCGATGTCACAAATGTGATTCTGTACGATTTGGAACCGGATGGAGTTGCTAGTGTTAGGTTTACGGATGCCGAGGCGGCGAGGGCTTGTGTTGGTGTTATGGATGGGAGAGGTTTTGCGGGACAAAATGTTGAGGCGTATATTTCGGATGGGCCGCACCGTTTCAAGCAGTCAAAGAAGAAAGGCGATGATGACGTGGTTGCCGATGTGCCGGAGCCTTCTGAAGTGTCATGAGTACCTAGGTAGGTAGGCGATGGATGAAAACCCTCATAGATCGATGTGGCATTATGTATTTTATGAGCAAGATATCAAAGATTTTAAAGTGCACTGTAGCGATAAATATAGTAATAGCGATCATCCCTTCATTTACATATATACATTATCAACTTTATCCGGTAAAACAGTTCCCAACCATTGTGTATACCGACCAGATCGCTTAAACGCCGAACCTTATATCCAACATTACATCCAAATGTCGCATCCAAATCAAGCACTTGGGTCACTTTCCTGTACATCTTTCTCTGCAGCAAGCTTCTCGACTGGCATATCCACGGACTTGACTGGATGGATGAGCATAGGTGGAAGGCACATCCTACCCTCACCCCCTGGCATTCCATTGGCCCCTTTCCCATCCTTCCCCTTATCGGCGGTCAGCTCAAACTCCTCACCGCCCGAATTATCCACCTTGAGCCCAAGCCATCTCTTCCATAAGTTCGGCGCAAAACCAGCATTATAATACCATGTCATTCCCAACAGGTTGTGTTCTCTCTCACCAAATACACTTGTTCTTGACGCTCCCGTTGCGCCATTCTTGCCAGCATTCATCACACTGGCGAGGTATGCCGTAGGCCATACGCGGTCGACGAACATTGGGTGTGGGAAATAAACCGCCTTATATCCATGATGTAGAGCAGTTGTGGGGCCCCACATCTCCGAGAAAGCATGGTGCTTCTTGAAGACCGTCTCCCGATGCATCATATTCAATAGCCGTCTCGACATCCTTGATGATGTAACGATGGCTACACGCCGAGGCGGAAGTCCGTCTGTGAGATTGTATCCCGTAACATCCTCTCGTAGGAGCCATGTGGTTCCCTCGGGGTCAAAGAGAGGATTGAAAGTAATGAGATCTGCTTCTTCTCCGACACCCCATGTATACTTGTCTTTCTCGTACGTAGTGGGAGGAACTGGATCGGAATCGGGCTCGAACCAGTCTGCGGGATCCTGAGGCCGTTCTGGTCCCCAAATCGGTTTGTCGCCTTTGGGACCTGGGGGGGGGGTCTTGGCACCTGGCAACCCAGACCAAACATCATCCGGACCTTTAGTACCTATCTCAGTCTGAACCCTAACCATTTGCTTGAAGTCTTCCCATGAACCATGCACGGACGGGATATAGAACCTGCTGCTTCGTTCCCACAGGCCCTTTCGAGGTTGTTTTGAGGTCCAGGAGTCAATCTGCGAAAACAGATTGTAGTAATGACCGGTATAACGGATATCAAGTTCCCAATGCCAGAAAAATTCGTATTCCTGGTGTTTTTGAGCAAACCACTGAATGGCCATCTGGAGGCCCCGGTACGGACCATGAACAGGAAGGTCCCGTGCGAATGTATCATGGATACCTTGATACAACATTAGCATCTGCGTTTGACTCCACAGAGTCGCGATACCGCGAAACTCTTCAGGCACAGATGCATTCAAGTGCTTTTGATACGTCTCTGCATCTGCCCAGACTGGGTTCTTGCCCTCATCCTTAACTTGAACCAGGAGATGCACATCGTACTCTCCTCCTGAGCCAAGTGAAAGTTCCGAGATCATGGATCTGAGGGTAAGAATATTCTCATCCCGGTATTCAAAATCATCCCACGCTCTTATGACAACCGCTGTTCGTGGCAAGGTCTTGCGAGCTAATGTGGCATTCGTGCGACCTGGTTCGGCTCTTTTCCGCAGAGCGGTCCCGTCTCTATCGAGGACTGAAAATGTAGTCGGTAGCTTAGCCTTAGGGACTAGTGGATCAAAGCGCGCGGCATTTGCCTTATAGCATTTCTTCTGCGCATCCGCCCAGTCTACTTTCCGGTAGTCAATTTGATTGAGCCCCGAGCCAGACTTTCCCGCCCAAACAGCCCTCGAACCTTCCATATCCCCCTGCAGGCCAGTCCCCATGCCTCCATATTTGACTCCATAACCATGGCCGTAAGGCCCTAAACGGCCATAACGTTCGAAGCAAATATCTTCTGGTAATCCAAGTATATCATAAGAACCCATTGCATGGTCAGGAAACCCGCTAGGTCTACCGCTGTAGTAATACACGGATGGAACAGGAACTGTTGATTTTGCGTCAATGAAGCATTCCTGGACAGGTGCATATTCACGCAAATAATCTGCCGAAGTAAGGTGTTTGTATGCTTCGAAGGGTTTGCTTGTAGGGATTTCTCGCGCAGGCAAAGTTGCGTCGGCTGAAGTATCGTTTGATAGCGGTAGCTCATCAGCAGGCAATGGATATTCCGGTTTGTTTTCTGACAGCGGCACCAACGATCGTATACCGCCATAATATCTGGATAGAAAAGGGAACGACTCCCACGGAGCCGGAGGCGGTGGCGGTCGCTCCCCTAAATCCCCGACTGCGATTTTATTCGACGAGATAACACTCATGCGTATGAGGAATAATATAAACACGACAATGGTGGAAATCAGCCCGAGGCATAAGTATCGAACCACCCTACTTGGTAGCCTGTACGACGAGGCTTGCCTCTGAGAGCCTGCTGAGGACTTCCTCCGAAGGATCGGCCGGCTCGAGGAGTATAGGCCGGAGATGTCGCGGGATGAAGCTGGGGAGGATGGGTCGGAAGAATAATCGGAGTCCTCATCGTCGTCTTCGTCGTCATCGTCCTCGTGGTACCCATGTTTCTCGACATCAAAATCTTTCTGCCGCGAGGGTTTAGGCGCATGCGAATATCGTGTATGCGAAGACCTTTTGGTGACACTCAAAGGAGTGCGCGAGTCTAAACCCGCCATTCCAGGAGGCGCTCTGTGGAATGCTCGTTACCCTGAAGATATGGAGCCTTGCCGCAATTAGCTTCGCAATGACAAACTGCCGGAACTATGCTACTAACTTTGGTCATAAAATCCCATGCGCGGGTATGTTATGAGAAAGGATATAATATTGACAGAGGTTGATTTGAATCAATGTCTTTAATGGGCGGTTTGAGTCGCGACTCGAGCAAATGTTGTCTTTCGTGGGGCCAGAAAGTCTGGGTCTTATGTTCCATATCAAGCTAGTACGGGGCATCCACGCCACCCAATTACGCTTGAACCCCCTAAAGTTGCAATTACCCTTTATTATCCGCCTTGGCCAGCTGATTACTTCTGGAGCATCGTAGACATCGACTTATATCGTCGGGTTCGTCAATGGCATTTTGAGACCGAGGGAAGTCCTGAGCGTAAGAATAGCGAATGGAGAGGGATCTTAAGTCAAAACCCCTAGGTGCGGTGGATCCCAGCTCAATAATACAAGAGCCTCACGTGCAAACTGTTATTGTTTATATTGATGGCAAGAGTTGCCAGAGCAACGCGGGTCTTGACGAACAACATCTGACTAAGCGGGTTGTCAGCCTTGCACCCAGGTACTCTCGACTCAGCCTTGCAGGAGTTTCTCGCTTCTCGCACCTCGAATTTCTCAGTGTTGCGACTCGCAGATAAATAACTCTCGACAACAACATATTGGCAAGGCTCGCACATATCGCTGAGTGATGGCTTCGGCGTGCGGGGGGCTGAACCGTTCAAATCTACTTCGTGTTGAAGCTCAACCCAGCCTGCACAGCACGGCGGAAGGTATAGCTGGAAACGTTTCATTCTCGAATCGAGTTGCTTTCAACCGTCCTGACCGCAACATGACCGCTGCTCAAATCCTATACGCTGAGAGGTCAATGTCGACGCATGGATGAATATGAATCCCCAGCGCCGTTGTCGGCATCGTCGTGGCATTGTTCTGGATGTCGCTGAAATCGAATCGGCATTAGCACTCCGTATATATTGGGCGATGGCTTGCTGCAGACGCAATGCGGTAATCTAGTCCCTTACCGCCGAAGGCAGCTGCGCCAGATAGACGGCTAGAATGAGGCCACTACTCGTCTGGTCTCGGATGCCGATACTTGTGAGCTTGTTCTGTTGGCTCTCAAGCTCCTCTCTCGTGTTCCGGTTCCGATGTCTTTCATCTGCACGGCTTAAGAGATATGGGATGATGAGAGGCAGCTTCGAGATATGATAGAGACAGGGCTTCGGGCTTGGCTCGAGGGGTATTGGATACTAAGTTTACTTCTACCAGATGTCTTTGCTCTTATTTCCCCGAGGTGTTTTGGACGTTGATCGGCTTGGACATGTCATTGATGGAGATTCACCGGCTCATGTGGTGCTGCTGGTGCCGCTATTTTGTACCAGTCAGCAGGCTATTTACTCTTCAGCTCGCCGCTCCCAGCGCCGCAACACAGGCCGAGAGGCTCCAACTCAGGTTACTTCGTCGCAGTGAACCCCCGAGCAATCATCGACCAACGGACAGACAACGGCACAATTTGGCTTGGTGGTACGACACAGAAGGGAGGCTGATCTCCTGTTGGATCGTCTCATTCTCCGCTCCTGGTTCAGGCAAGCCTAGGGGTACATTTCCTGTTACGATGACTGCGTCCGCCAACGCTTCAGTGGATTGACACAGTGATAATCTGTTTCGCCCTGGTACAGGTAGCTCCCGTTGGCCAGCGCCAATGCTGGATTGGATGTACACGTATCACTAAGCGTATGCCCCCCTCAGACGCTTCTAACAACTGGGACGCAAGTCTAGATCAATCTCTCCTCCCAGCAATGCGTACGCACTGCTCAAATCGAGTCCCATGATGGAGTATTAGCGGAGTACCTCCGTATTCTCTCGTATTCTCTTTCTGGTTATTACAGCGTGTACGGGCGGGATCACGAGATCACCGATTTACATTACCGCATGTGTTCAGGGTGCTGGTAGTCAGCAACGCGTCATTCGTTGGATTCCAGTGCCGAGCGGTGCTGCTTTATTGCTACTCGGCTACCAGAGGTTACGTAGCACACGGCCAACGCCAACCTCGATGTTAATTAAGCTTGCAATTGATTCATGGTGGCGACCATGGTTTCCGTCCCTTTACACTCGTTTTGCGTCACCTATGACCATTGCTGGCCGCCCCGATGGCGGCCGTTGAGGATACTACCCAATACCCTTGCCCGCTCTTGATTCCCGCACTCGATAGAACACGTTGGTCCACTCTCAGCTCGACCCCAAGTGCAACCACCCAAGTGCCAGCTTCCCGCTATTGGATAACACATGGACTGATCGCTTCCCTCCGTAGGGCAAGGAGGCATCTTTATCAGTGATTGGACGTTGTTCACCCCGCTTTCATCGTCTGCCCTCACTTGGAAATACCATAAATAGCTGGAAAGAGACCTCGCTCCTTTGGTTGCCTTCATAACTATACTTCTCTACTCATGCCCGATCTAGTTCGAGACTCTTATTACCTACATAATATCTTGTCTATCCTTTCTATCCTTTCTAATCTTTTGTCTCTCTTCATTCGTCGAGTCGTACTCTCAGACGAACGCATCATTTGGGGTCTCGGAAACCATCAGAGATATCGCTCTCAGTTGTCCTTCAGTCTTCAATAAAAGATCATTTCGTGGTGCAGTGCCAGATTGTCATTGTTGAGACTTTGAGACCTCGTATTGCTGTAGTTGTCAGCTCTGAGACCAGAACCCAAGCATCTTCCCATAAAACCTCTATCGCCCATCATCCATCTCACGCTTCTCTTTGTGACTGCTAAGATCTCTTTCTTCCAGCTCCGCCTGTTCTTTTGAGCATTGAAGCTGCTGAACCTGATAGGGATAGGAGTCACTGAGACTCGTCGTCCTCCTCACACCTAGTGAGTGGGCTCCTCTGCGATAGCTCATTGCAATGATGCCGACTTACTGACTGGCAAAACAACAGATTATGGAGGTCTCTCAATCAATGTCGATGACCACGACGCAGGTCCTAGTTCGAGATTCGGATCAACATCCGGAACAATCTGTGCCATCTATGACACAACAAGCTGTCGTCCAAATCACTCTCACCGGTCCTTTTTTGGTGTTGGCTATCGTCGCCATCATCGTCAGCATCCAAATAATGAAACCGGCTGTAGCATGTGGGCTCCTTATATTACTGCCATTGGCCTCAGTAATATATAATGACTACAATAATTTCCTTGCGCTGGGGCCTGGAGGCACACCAGCAACGTTCCTTGGCTATCTCAAGATCACCTATCTTCGTCTATTTGCGCTTTCCGATCCCTACAGCCCGCCTACTTTCCATGGGAAAGTCTCTCCGTCCACAGGTTATTTTTACCGGACTCGTTCCTGGCTGCCGAAACGAAATGGCCCACGACCTCAAATCGCAGGCATTGCACCGCAGCGGCAGCTGGACCAATCTGGATGTGGCCAGATGTACCGTACACTCCGGACGAGCCTTTCCAACCTTGCTGCGAAGGATGAGGAAACCTTCAGGATCGGCACGTCCTGCTTCGAGAAGAAAGGTCTTGCTCTTTTTGCACGGAATCCGATAAATGCTACATGTCGAGGAGAGGTCTGCCACGTCCATCATAGCGACCGCAGTATGCATATGAACCTGCATCCGGATGATGCGAAAGTTGTCCTGGAGATGGGCTGGGGCGAGAGGCATCCTTTGGCAAGGGGTGGTTGGATGAGCGCATATGTCCCTCGAGAATTCGTTATGGTTTACGCACCACGGGATCGCGGAGAACTGGAAGCCGTGTGTCGGATCATCAAAGCAGCTGGATACTGGGTCACCGGCGACAAAAAATTCGAATTCAAGATTGAAAATAAGGATGTCCATGCTACCGAAGGGGTACAATTGGACCAGAAGAACGGCGCCGTACAGGTGGCTGTTGGCCAGGAGCAAACATGTAGAAATTGTTCTGGTGAGAGCGTGTGGCGTTGATCATTACAGTTTAGTAGATAGAACCCTAGATAGATTGAAATTTATTGTTTTAGTGAAGCTGGCGTTGGTCTAATAGGCTAACAAATAATTCATATGTTGCCTCTCAACGCCGTAATCTTTGTGATGTGACTCGTAAACAGACTGCTGCTCCTATTAGTAGAACATAACGTACCAACTGTTGGTGCACGGAGTACTACTATTTATTTACTCATTCTTAGTCTAGATGGCTTCATGGCTTCCAAAGTTGTCGAATTAGCTATCTTCACGTGTTTACGCGACGCGATCTGAGACGTGGGCAAATTAATTTTAACAGGGGTTCAAATCTACCCCTCAGCACTCCAAGAGCGGACAATATATATTACCTACGAAGTATAGAGGTATACAATATGTATTGTCTTCGTTGTCAGCGGATTTTGCCAGTGCAACGATGGCCACCTTTAGGATACTCGACACTTACAAGGTCAGTGACGGGCGCGTTGTCTACCTAGGGTTTCCAATATTTAAAACTTGCTCCTTACTCCTGAATCTCTCACCTCCCCCCACCTTAGACATTCTTCATCAAGCTGGTACTAATACGTGACATAAGGCATACAAAGTCCGCGAGCAGAAATTCACGGGATGGCTTCGGGAGAAAGCAGGGAAGTTAGGATACTTTGAGTCCAGGCGCAAAACCCAGCCTCAGAATAAGAAGATCAAAGACCGCAAAGAAAGCGTCCTGAACTCCATAAAAGTCAGCGAGATCCCCAATCTCATCCAGTTGATTGTGTCTCGCGGCGAAGACGTTCCCGAATACCTCGGCGATGTTCTCCGCGATGTTATTTCTCAGCGGAAAGAGGCCTCTGCCTACTACAAACCGCAGGGCAAAGCTGATGAAGGCCATGCGCATTACATCGAAGTCCTCGAAGGGGCACTGAAGACTTTCGAGAGCTCAGGAAGGATGTCTGTGTCTGATCTGTCAGTCGCGAAGACAGCAGCGCCTGGACACAGTAAGACCGATCTGGCATTCAACAATGTCTTCGAACTCTTGCAAATGGAGGACGCGAAGAATGAAGCGATCGAAGCGGGCATGAGTGGGAACGAATCTGAAAAGGAGAGTCAAATCACCAATGAGAGCCGCCGGACGAAAGCCAAGCCCAAGAGGAAAGGAAAAGGAAGGAGGCCGCAGAAGCCTGTAAAGCAAAAGGTCGGTGAGAATCCAAAGCCGGTTACCAATTCCGAGCACTTGGACGCCATCCTCGACCAGGGTATGGATTTCGACGACGGCGAAGATGATTTGTATTTCATGATATATTGCTTCTTCAAGGACTTTAATACTACCCGTGAGCTCATCCAAGAGCAATGGTGCGACTATCTGGAGGGTACTCTGGCGCTGAGCACCATCTCCCTCGTTACGAATACTGCCTATGAACTCCTTCAGCGAGCGGAAAAGGAGCTCATCGCTCAAATCCCAAGTCGGAGTGGCCTTCGAAGCTACCATAACATGGCCAATATGCTTTTTATGGATGTCGGATTAGCCCATGTCGACTATGACGAGAAAACGGCCAAGTACGAGGGCGACCAGGCGAAGATGAACAACGCTATTTATGAGGAGGCCGACTGGTTATGCCTCCCGAGATATTGGGACCTCTTCGAGTGGTTGAAAAATGTCCCTCCGAGGAAAGTAACGACCCAACCGGCTTTCCTGCATAAGCCCATCATTTACCAGGCTGAGGGTGCCGAGGAGAAAATGGCCCGTGATAGACAGATTTTGTACGAGATGATTGTGGAGTGCACTCTAATCAAGCCTCTAAAAAGCGACCCTAATTTTCAGATACCGGGCGAAGACGAATTTACAGTAGGCCTTGTGGAAATGCTGGCATCAAGAGATATACCGATATGGCTCGTTCTCGCTTCCCAGATCCATTGCGATGTCAGGGGACTCTTGGAGGAGTATAATTGCCATGATCAAGTATTGGCCATGGGAGAGCGCGTTCAAAGTATTATAGGGGACTATATCACCTTTGCAAAGGATTTTGATATTCCAATCTGGTCTGTGATCGAAACTACCGTTGATGAAGTCTCCTGTTGGATTATCGACGATTGCATGGAGCCACATCGAACAGATCTCCACGTTTCTCATGGGGAGTTAGAGGAGGACCAAGAGAAATATTATTACTTACGACGAAACCCCGTCCTCTGTGGACTTATAATTTTCAGGTTCTCTCTGACCATGAATGAAATCGGTCTGCTGAACTCGAACCAGTGGGGAGCTACTAGTAAGTCCATTTTACCAAACCTTGAATCAAGTCCAGGACTAATAACATGCAGTTGCCGCAACACATACATACAACGCTCTGCGCCACGAGCTCCCATTCTTCCCACGCTGGTTAGACATGGAAGCATTAATTCTAACCCACTCTGTCCAACGCATCTTCTGGCGCGACCACCTCCCTTCAAATCCAGGCCAGTACTCCCGCAGCTACGATCGCTCCACGGGAATGAGTGACATGCTCGCCCAACGCAATAGCGGAACAATGATCATCAAGCCCAAGAAAGTTGAAGAACGAGGCATAGCTCCTGCCTCCGTCGTCTCCCAACAGTATTGGCGGCGTTTCTGCTTCAATCACGATAAACCCATTCGCACACTCCCGAACGTCGAAGTGGTGCTCAACCTAGCGGCCAGATGCGAAATCGAGAAATCTCTCGCAGGATGGCATGATCTCCTCTTAGAAGTCGCTGATTCCGATTCTCCGTTCAACCCTGGTGGTAATCTGGAACTGTCAATATCAGGCCAACAAGCCCAGCTAACAGCTCAATTCCAAACAACCCACACGCTAACAAACGTCCAACTCCTCTCTGCGCTCTGCACCCGCGTCGCGCAGGAAGGCTTCGCTCTGAATTTCGACTACTTCTCCTTCCATATGCGCTGCATGCGCGTTCTAAAAGCCATCTATGACGAATTTGAATCTGAAATTGTAGCGGCTGGAGGGGAACTGGATTGGGGCAGGGCGGAGTTGCCCGTTGTCCCGCATTGGATTTTCATCTGGATGGAGGGCGATGATGAGAAGAAGGCCTTGGTCTTGGAGAGGTTGAGGTCGGCCATGGAGCCGATTGTGAGTAGTGAAGGGGCGAACCAGGTTAAATATTTGCGGGATCTCTTCGGACCTGGAAAGATGTTGAAGGGTGTTGGCCCTACTGGGGATGAGTAAAGCTGGTTGGTGGGTGGTGGTTAGCGTATTAGACTGGATTGGAGTTATATATCTGACGGCTAGCGGATGCTAGATATATACGTAGTATCAAAGCGCCCATTACGGCTGGATACTTGGGAAAATTTGTTGAATTTTAGAGCTGAGATGACTCCAATGGAATGATAATTAACAAAACGAAGATACCATTGCGCGCTTAGAACAAATTGGAATTTTTGGGAATAACGAAAACATCAGCCGTTCCTTACTTTTGCCTCTAGTATCGCCCTTCTACTACTATTATGTATACAATCCAGCTACCCTAGGCATACCGCGGAGGTGCGGCCTATAAATATTTACATAAAAATATCTAGCGGCGCTTCTTAGAACTTATTTGCTGAACTTAGTACCAAATATGGTTTAGTTATATATGTACCTGTCATTCATTTCTTCAAATGTGCCTGCTGTTTAAAAGTCTTACAGTCACGTCTGGTATCACGAATTCAAGTTTCCACCATATAATATAGATATGGGTTAGCTGCATTCGGAGTATACGGTTTCGGATAAAAGCAGTATCACAATAGAGAACGATAGCTCTCTACTCAATTGTGGAAAATACTATATCCTTATGCACTTATGCTCATCTCTTTTCTCTAGCTAATCCACTAGCAGACCCCTTTCAGAATGATCTAGAACCCAATTACTCAATTAGGCCAAGTAAAGCATTGCTTTGTGTTTTGTGTGCAGGAGGCCAATCGAAAAGCTGAGGCTGTAGCGCTATGCATAATAAAGTTGATATTGGCCGGTGGTTTCGTTATCAGGGACTGGTTTGTGCTAAAAGTGCGCTATACGTAGGACGTCGAATTCAAGTATAACTGAAAACACATAACTTATATCTATCTATGAAGGGAATAGGCGAGCAAAGCAAAATTGTTTGGACGGCAGTAAAGGGTATCACATTATGAACTAAATCCAAGCCTCCCCCCATTCCTCTCTATAAATTGCTCCAAGGCCATCGCCTTCACATCCACATTTTTTATCTCAGCCTGCATGTGCTCCTAAAACCCGACAAAAACATGGCCTGAAGCTAGAGGAATATATAAATTAAATGTTTCAAACCAAACCGCCATTTTAGATGAGCTTGTCCAAAGAATTTGTTGCCTTTCCTTAGGTCTGTGCTTCCTTCGCTCCCTCGATCAATACGGTCTCTCCTTCGGAGGATTGAGATTTCTCGTCGAGCTGCGCCTCCGCCTCTGCGATCGGCCCAGTGTAGTACTTGCGGCCACCAGTATACCAGAATACGGCGGCGGCTCCGAGGATGAACATCAAGAAGACGATGGCATAGTTCATCTAGGAGAATGTTAACTTTAAGTCTAGAAGAAGTGGTTGGGGAGACTTACGGTGTCGGCTTGAACAGGCCTGACAGTTGGAAGGATGAAGATGACTGTGACGAATGTAGTCCAGATACAACCCCAAATGTTGACATATTTGCTAGCGCGGCCCATATGCCATGGTCCTGGCTCGAATTTCCCAAACCATAATTTACAGCTGCATCAGGTGTTAGCAATTTGAACATTGTGAGGACGGAGATCGCGGTACTTACATGATAGGGATGATGTAGCTCCAGTCAAGGGTGATGGCACTAGATAAATAGCGTTAGAAGATGGCAGTCAATTGGGGGTCAGGTAGCGAGTTACCAGATGTTGAAAACACCGGAAATGGCAGTGTAAGACCCAAGACCAATCAAGTTGATAGCGACACAGGCGGCCACGGAAATCCATACGGCATACAAAGGAGTTCCGGTGATTGAGTTAACCTTGGTCCAGGTCGATGAGAATGGAAGCAGCCTGTCGCGGGAAAAGGCGAAGACAGTCCTACCCAATGCCTGCATGGCTGTGAAGCAGACGAACTTAATGATGATAAACCCGCAAACCGTATAGAAGATACCTCCGGCTTTTCCAAGACTGTTGAAGAAGATCTGTGCGACAGGTTGAACGATCGGGCTTAGAAGAATTTCATCCTTGTTACCCTGGATGCGGAATTAGTAAATACTCTTGCGGTGATACCAGAATCATCAAGAAATACGTACCATGCAAAAGCACAACACTATGTTATAAAGCCACCCAGCAACATAGGTGAAAGCCATGGCCAGCGAAATCGCCCATGGGGCTTTGAGCTCGGGGTTCGAAATTCTGTCATAATGTCAGCGAGCTGTACTCATCCTAATAGGGCCAATACTGACTCTTCGGTAATATGAGCGGTTGCATCTATTGAATCGCATAGTTAGCGCTTCTGTTGTTCAAAAAATAGAAAGCGCGGGAAATATATACCATAATCTGTCATGGTCCACGAGACGGACAAGAAGCCGAACAAGAAGCTAAAGCCAGTAGGTGTCCATCCCGAAGTCGACTCAACATTAGTAAAGACGTATTTGGCGTCGTGTTTGTTTTCAGTCATAACCAGTAGAGCAATGCAGGCGGATACCAGGACAAGAATGTGGAAGATAACATAGGTTTTGGTCATCTTCTCCATCCAGTAGGTCGACAGCGAGTTTACCAGTCCAGTGAACACAGTCAGGGCGGCCATGACACCGACGGTTGTGTTGGTGGTGATTTCATAGTCGAAATCCGCTCCCATGGACACGGCCGCGAGAAGCATTTGGGCCGCGCCGTACTCCGATGAGGCGACGCCGGCAACCTGGCCTAGCAGGTTAATCCAACCGGTAATCCTGCAGCACGCGTCTTAGCCAAGTGCAATATATCGAGAATTTAACTGCGACATGACCTACCAGCTCAATGAGGGAACCCATTCCTTAGGAGCCAGCCTAGAAATAGTGAAGTACCTATTCGAGGTGTAAGCAATTGAACATGAATACGGATAACGCGGGGGGCTTGATTCGGGCAATCGTACAGTCCTCCCGAAGTGGGATATGCGGAGACCAGCTCGGCAACAGATAACTTAATTATCACATCAATTAGCACAGTGTTACCAAAGGCGCGTAGGGGAGGTTTAAGTCCATCGGGGGCTCCTGGAAAGACTCGACTTGGGACTCACGGCAATGCACAGACAGCCAGCACCAGAGATGAACCAACACCAGACCACCGACGCGGATCCTCCAGCATAGAGAGGATATGAGAAGGTAGTCATGGTCGTTGCGAACAAACCACTGATGCTAACGGCGAAGGAGAAGGTCGAGAGGTATCCAAACTCTCTCTTGAAAACGGGTTTGTAGCCAAACTGGGCTGCTAGTTGGGCATCGGCATCGCTCATTTCTTCGAGGTTCACTCGCTTTGTGTGGCCACTCGCATCGTGGATCTCTACCAGACCGGTGCTCCTTTTGCGATGGCGCGCGTCGGAGCCGTGGGCAGCATGGTGGTCATGAGGGCTATCGGTGACGACCTCTGGCGCATTTGCAGGTACATTTGCAGGTACGACCTCTGGCGCATTGGCAGGGACGACTTCAGGTGCGTTGGACATTGTGTTGCGTAGGGTGGGCGGATCGATTCATCAACTGCTGGGTTCACCACCTGTTCTATACGCAAGATATGGTACCGGTATAAGGATAGACTCAATTCAATAGCAACAGTATGAAGAAGACAAGAGCACTAAGAGTGTGAGTGAAAAGGGGAGAGCGAGAGGAGGGAGAAGGCAAAGATAATAAAGTTCTGAATTCTGCGCGGGCCAGTGATAATCCACCTGCGTCAGAATCCATGGGGGAGGCGGCGAGTAGCGGGGGGGTGGGGAGGGACTGAAGGTACAGGGGAGAGCGCGAGGAAGAGACAGCGAGGGAAACCTAATATCCAAAGAAGAGAGAGTGGTTTGCAGCAAGTCATGGCACAAAACAGCTAGAAAGGCTAGGAAGACCGATAGCCAAGAGAAACCATAGCCACATTGTGGATAGGATATGATTACTCGGGACTCTTTGCCGTCACCTCTCGGATTAATGAGAAACCCGGAGAGCTAGAGAGTCAGGACAGTACGACGACTCTTAAGCCCAAGACTGAAGAGCGCTTCTTGCTGCGAACTGGCGAGGATACGAGATGCGGGCTATGAATGTGGAAGTCAGCTGGAGAAAATGGCTGATTTAGACTCCAGCAATAGGACAATACAACATGCATTATTGGCAGCAGGCAAAACAGAAAAGTACTTCATGAAAAAGGGAAGTGGGCTGGATAGCGCAGATAGCGCAGCGATGAAGGGCCTGCTAATCGGTCTGCTACCATGCGATTAGTACGAGAGCCGTTCTAGCTCCACACATGATCCTCGCTCGGTGAGACCGTTGATTACGGTGGGATAGCCCACCCATGTGGGCTCAAGGGACCTCGGTGGTTTGCCTTCCTAATAGGGCTGTTGGTACTGTACAGAGTACGCTCTGAGCCCACGAGACAGTGGGACTTCCAGCAAGCCCTGGCGTCATGGTTTTGCACATTAGCAGGGAAACCCTCTTCGGGAACCAAGTAGCAACCCTGTGCTTTGGGAACGGGCCCCAGAACGACGGCCGCTGCGCAAGGTACATAGGCTGCTAGCGTGGACTACTTTGGCCTAGCTAGCCCTAAAGCCGAACTAGGTTTGACTACAGCGAAAACTCAGTAGATTAATTCCCTTTCTCCGTAATGTCACGTGTACTCGACCCTATTCCAACTTCCAGGTTTCCAACCACCCAACGGCAGCGGGTTATCATTATGCCGTTATTAGGAGGCGAGGGGCGCCACCATTGGGCTGGACTGGAGTCTGGAGGGCAACAACAAGATGGCGGCGAGTGAGAAGCTGCCGATTGTGCTGACGCGGTGTGGCGTTAGTTAGGCTTGGGGGCACGTGCAAATGATAATTAGGTAAGGTATTTACGTACAAATACCGGTACCTAGGTACTTCTGGGTTGGCCATGGAGGTCATGTGACACCCGCCAATTTCCATTCTGGTACTGTACCACCATCAAGTACTTTGCACAGTGTAAAGCTTAAAAGAGCGGTGTATAATAAATTTAACTTTTTTTGCCAGCGGTTAATAAGAAAATAAACATGGAAACAATATATGGAAACGTATAGAGAATATTGGTTCCGTTTCCGACCAAAGCTTCGAAACCGTCATTTGATCGGCATGCGTGGCTTTTGTATCGAAGATGAACGAGGAATCTCTACCTGTCTATAACGAGACTCGCTACTACTATCTTAATTGTTAATGGATTTCGCTATCAGAAGAGGACTACAAGTTGCTTTTATATCCCCTCGCCACAAATGTATTCCCCACCTCCGTCCAGTTCCTCATCCACCACCAGCTTAACTAGAAAGCCTTTGCAACACATCAAGGTCCATCTTCAAGTTCATCGTATCGTTAAAACCCCACTCCTGCATCGCTTCTTCAATCTCCTCGAACTTCGTCGTGTCGAAATTCAGGCCATACTCAGAAATCTTTTGTGAGCTCTTATCCCTCAACCCCTTTTGGCTCAGATCCGCCTTCCCGACAATCTCCCACCTATCATTCTTCTCATGGCCAATCCTGCGAATGATAACAGCCACATCGGTGCCCCAGAACTGGCACACAGAATCACCAACCCTCGCGCCGGGGGGAGCGAAACCAATGCGCGAGTTCGTCGCTAAGAAACGCCTTGGTTCCTCTTCTTCCTCTCCTACACCCTCTCCTGATTTCCCAGCTTCTTCCAAGCTCAACTCACCAATCCCGTCAGGCAAAGTATCCTCATCACCCGCACTAAATCGGAACCCAAAGCTCGAAGTCGAATGCACATTCTGGATCCGTTTCAGATACGCTTCATCCCAATCCAGGATAAGCTTTGAGTATTCCATGTCATCCTGCCTAAGCTCCTGGGTTGCCTCGCTTTCCATTGAAGCATATATCTTCTCGGATTCAATCTTCCACTTCTTGTTTGCGCGGTGAGAAGAGACAGTGTCAAAGTACGTTGGTCCTAGATAGAGGATCTCGCCTGCTAGGGCACCCCGCGCGTAATAGAACTTCTTCTCATCATTCTTATTACCCTGGTCGCGACGGAGTTTGGCTTCCTCGTCCACAGCACCTTCAAACATCTTCTGTACCAGACTGGAGAAAAAGATCAGCATTTAGGAGGGCAAGGGATTGAATGGCCCCGTCTTAAGCGTTGGCCTCGATCCTGAAAGCCCTAGGATAGCACGATTGAGCCGCAGCCGGGAATTCGCAACATGAAGATAACCAGCCTTAGAGAGACGCTTTTCTTACCTACTAATCTTCATCAACCGAATCGCCCGATCAACTTCTGGTTTAATCTCAGAGGCAAAAAACCCCTCATATATTGGCTTCCCAGCCTGATGGAAATCCAGCAAATTCCTATACAAGTCAAACAACTTCACTTCATAATCAACCTCGATCTCATCATCGACATCGTTTGCCAACCCCAGAAGACCAAAAATCTTATCTCTCTTCTCGAAGCATTGAGCGTTCTGAAACTTGTCAATCAGCATCTCTAATCTGTATTCATCTGTGTCTTTCCTGTCCCTATGTCTAAGCAGAGGGATGGCCAATTTTTCCAACGCGAAGTATTCCTGATCGAGCTTTGATTCAAAAGTCCCCTCGCTGATCTCGAAACTGCCATGCATAAAGAGAAGTTCATGCGCTAAGACGACTTCTTGAATGATCCAAAGCCGGCTCCAGTATGGATGAGTAGCTATCGCCTTGGCATTATCGGCACTCCGGACAATATTCAGCTCTCTATCAACCGCCATGTACTTCTCAGCAGCTAGACCCAGCCACACAAGTACCCTTGTTGCACGTTTGTAGACGAATTCCATCATACTGACTTGGGCGTTTCGTTCCGGGATATCATTCTGATTGATACAGATCGCATCAATCCACAACGCCCTGGGTGTCTTCTGCCGCAGTTGACGCAAGGCAAAAAAGAGATTCTTGCGCACGAGGAATTCCTGTCCGTTCACAGTAATTCGTTTGTCGGCTTCCTCGCTGCCCCAGGTATATGAGAGACATTCATATACAGGTTTACTGGCGAAGGTGCGGGGGACGAGCTCGCAGCTGATAGGATCGTGGGTATCATCCTCATCGTCGTTGTTATCCTCCTCCTCCTCCTCGTCTTGGTCACCATAGCGGTCATCCTGGTCGCTATAGCTGTCGCTATGTTTGCTATAGTCGCTCCCATGGTCGCTATAGCCGTCGTCAACTTTGACTTTGTTGCTCTCCTCGTCCTTGTCGCGATTTCGGTCTTTTGCCCCACCTTTGGGCTCCTTAGATTCTTCGCTTGGGAGAAGAATCAGGAGTCGGAGGGAATCGCCCCTTTTCTCAAACGGAGGGTAAGCAAATGGGGAAGCCATGACCGGGTGAAATCTTCGAGCTTCAAGTTAGATACCTTAACAGTGAAGAGGAAGTTAATGGACCACGCCCAAAATATTGTCGTAGTGCTATTGAGAACTCCGTAAGATCGGGGGATTCCTACCCCGCCATGCCCAGCCATTTCGCACTGGTCCGTGCAATTCATTAATATCGCAAGTTGATTGTGAGATTTGTCTTAGTGCGTTGTACTAGATACTCTCTGTAGAAGGTTGTTGCTGCTGCTTTACCTGCCCGCCTAGAGAGTGTAAGCCGCAACCTTGTCGAGTTCTGGTTTTGCCATGTCCTTATTATTATGTTTATAGCATTGTTTAAACATAAATAATTAGGCATTGCTGATGGATTTAGCACATCCTAGCTACGGCGCTTCCCGTCCATAAGGTTTAGCCCAACCCTACCCGGATGCACGGACGAAATACTACGAGACCCTGAACAGCTCCTGTGCCTGGATCAGCCTACGTATTTTTATAAGGAATCCTTAATGAAAGGACAAATATAAGGTTGAACATTACAAATTATGCTGAAAATTTCATAACCTTGGGAAATAAGTTATTATCTATTATGTGTGCGTAAGCGTTGAACTAGATAGGCACTTCCTGACATATCAGAGAGTATGAGTAAATTTATATGGAAGTTGTACAAAGTTATTTACATTGTGATATTAAATGTATACGTAGTTAGGATATACTCTCAAGGACAGCTGTTTAGAATGAAGGGACTTCAGAATATATTTTATCGCGTTGAAGAATAAAATATAATTTGTACCGGCGAGCTGCGATTCATGGGGGGCGGTTAAACCAAAGGTAACACTGTGCTAGGTAATTCTAGTTGCGGATTTCCCAAATATATTCGAACAATACCTGCTCCCTTAATATGTACAGACGGCGCTCGACGGATGCTCATGATGACCCATCACGGCCCTCGGACCCCAATTAGTTTGCAATTACAGGCGTAGTCCTGTCCCAGTCATTCTTTTCGGCCGCCTCTAATAGAAACCAAGCAACACTCTTCCTTGAGGTTTTTGAAGTCATACCATATCCCTTTCCATTCTCGCCATAGTGCTTAATCGGTTTTGGGCCATCGTCGCTCAGCATAGTTGGTTTGGCCAACACATAGTTGACCCCGCTCGCTTTAATTTCATTCTCCAGCAGATTATGGTCATCAAAAGAGAGCTTCACATTCGAGTGGTGGATCACGGCCTTTAAGACAAGAGGGATGGTTGACCAAGATTCTCCAACCCCAGCAGCGGACAAGATGACAACCTTGGTGGTGTCTACCAAATTCAATTCTTTGATGACAGCAACAAGATTGGCAGCTGAATCAGCCATAAGTCTAGGTGGCGACACCATAGGTGCCCAAAGGCCGTCTGTGGCGCGGACTGAGGCAAGGGTGCTGATGGCTATAGCTGGTTTGACAGTTGCAGAGCCGAAAGCTGCTTCGATGTCTGGTTTATTTAAAGGGTTTCCTGGGACTGTTAGTGACAGTTTTGAATAGTTCTTCTCAGCGTTCATACCTTCCACAATCGTGAGCCCGGATCTCGCTATGAGGCTGGTGCTCTTCCTAACCAGAGCGGTTACGGTATGGCCACGTCGTAAACATTCATCGATGGTTACTTGGCCAGTACGGCCGCTTCCGCCGAGGATGAAGATATGCATGTCAAAGAATTCGAGGGAAATTTGTATGAAGGTGAGCCCGAGGTCAACTTTTGTGAGCAGGCGCTTGAGGTAATAAGGAAGCTATTATCGATTGCTACAATGAGGAAGTTCGAGTGTCGAAGATGAAGAGCTATTTAATAACAGAGCAGGAGTTGGTAAGCCTTCACTGCGGGAGCAGCCACTTATAATACCACTCCCTCCTCGCTCCGCCTTACCCATCTCCGAAAGTTTGTAAGCTGGGAGACATAGTTATATGGGGCCGTTATTAGATTTGCATACAGGTTGCCTTCTATGAATGAGTTACGACGGAAAAGTTGGGTGGTTGATTGTCGGAGCCGGCGTCATTGCACGGATCCGACCGGGACTTGGACATAACGCCGCGCGGAGCCGGTCCGGACTTACAGCTACGCTCGAATAACTGGTGGGAGTACCTGCTTACCTAGGCTGATACTTGATAAGCGCAATTGGTCTGGTCTATGTGGCCTTGCAGAGTAGTGCTCACTCAGCTGATACTTGATATGCGCAAATTGTCTGGTCCGAGATACTAATCCGGAGATAAGCTCGCTGTATCATGGAACAAAACTGCACCCGCGGAAACCAATGCTCGTCAAGCCTCGTGGCTTGGAGAATAAAAAATATATATATCTGTGATGTTCCGAGGGTTAGTATTTTAGATTAGAAACTTTTCCATGACGCTTACTTCTCTATAAACTTATCCATCCATCCTTCTACTCCATCAAATCTAGCTCCAATTGACCTTCCCCATCCCCTCTCTATCCTCTCTATCCTCTCTATCGAACTCAGTGAAAACGGAAAGCTTCTTTATCACATCGTACTTTTACAATATGTCCGAAGTTAAAAATTCCTTCAAACCCATGGAGTCAAAACCCAAACCCATTCTTATCATTGGGGCAGGATTAGCAGTTAGTCTTCCCTCCAGCGCAAGCATCCATGATCACAGACCCCAAGTACTCACTCCACACAGGGTCTCGCTCTTGCCTTATCTTTGCAAAAATTATCAATCCCATGCACAGTATATGAGGCTCGTCCCAAGGACGTCCGCCTCGGTGGAGCCGTAATGTTGTCGCCAAACGCACTCCGAGTTCTCGATACTCTTGGAGCATATGCCCGCATCAAAAGCAAAGGCTACCAGTTCGAAACCCTCAGCATGGAAACTGATGAACGTATACCCATGGGGACCTACTATTTTGGCTCAGAGCAGATGTACGGCTACAAAGGTCTTCGCATTTATAGGAGGGAGCTTGTCCACGAGCTCATAGCCATGGCGGAGGAGGCTGGCGTCCACATGGAATTCGAAAAAAAATACAAGCGCGTCATTTCCGAAAGCGAAGATAATATCGAGGTCGAATTTGATGATGGCACGATTATTGACGCTGCCATGCTCATCGGCACAGATGGCATCCACTCTCAGGTCCGCGAGTACCTTGCCCCAGGTTCCAAGCCCAAATATCTCGGGCAAACCGCCATTGCTGGGGCAGTGAAGACTTCCAATGTCTCCCTACCAGCTGACTATAAGCTCCCAGTTTCCATAGCCGGTAAAGCAGGTGTCTTCATACTGGCGCCTCAAGATATCGATGGCTCGGAGCTGTTGGCAGGGACTCAGTATGCGGTCCCGGAACTCACCTATGCCGAGAGCCGTGCCATTTCGTCGAATCCGGAGAAAATGATCGAGATGCTCCGCCGCGATAAGGCTGACTGGTCGGAGCTCGTTCAGTCGGCGATGGAGAACATGATCCCTCAAAGCATGTACATCTGGCCGTTCTATGCAGTGCCTAAGATCGAAAGCTGGGTGAGCACGCACAGCAAAGTTGTGATCATCGGGGATGCAGCACATGCTATTCCACCTACGATTGGGCAAGGGGCAAATCAGGCGCTGGAGGAGGCGCTCGGATTATCGATTTTGCTGGGGAAGGGAAACCATGTTGGGGATTTGGAGAAGTGGACAGAACATCGGAGCGAGAGAATCGCGAGCTTGATGGAAATGACGAGAAAGATGAATAACAATCGGTTACCGAAGGCACAGAGAGATGCCTTAGAGGAAAGCCAGTTCTGGAAGCCAAATAAGGAGCGACCTGGAGAGGAGATGAGGTGGCTCTATGAGTATGATGTTGCGAAGGAGCTTCATGGCTTGGGCCTTTAATAGGGAGACTCTGCGGCGTTGTGGGCAGCGTAGTTTGGCTTGTGCCGTTGGCATATCTCGATAGTTCCTATGATAAAAGGATGAATTTCAGTAACCCCATAAAACTCAACGATAAGTGCTATCCTGAAAATAGTGGAATTTGACGAGAGGCCCAAGGAAGCGGCATCTATAGAAATGAGAGGCCAATCAATGCTGATATCAGAGCCTCGTTAATTAAGGGACGCTGCAAGTCGTGGAAGTTCTTTTCGAGGGGATAAGGGAAGTTTTACGAACGTACAGATGTCACAAACCATTATATGGGCGATAGATGGAAAACACACTAGCTGTTAAGAAGATCTGATATCTATAGCGCTCATTTAATTTCGAGGTTTCGAGTCCTCTGCGTCATTCTTTGGCACATGCACAAACGCCGGGATAACCATAGAGTTAAGGTTTCTCCAAATCTGTAATCATAAGTCGAAAGTCAGCATGTTCTCTTGAGTTCGCAGGTTTGAAGGGTAAAATGAGATGCACATGAGTTCCAACATATGCCCAGTCGTGTTATTAATTTCACCTGGCACAGCGGGCAAGACTCACAATCGGCGATTAGCTTACCTTTGAAAACGCCCCATGAGGTAACTCATTATTCCACCGATTCTCAACCCGCACGATCCCCTCTCCCATGTCGTCCGTATAAATTTGCACAACGCTGTCAATGATCTGGTCCTTACCAATGCCCTTGATCTTATATCGGGTTTTGACATCCATGGTAATGGGGTTGCCTGCTGAGGTGACGGATTGGTGTAGGCGTTCGATTTCGGAAAAGGCGGTTTCTAGACTATACCACTGAGCCTCGTACTGTTTGCGACCTTGGGCGTTTGTTAGTGGATCTGCGAAAGTCGCATCATCCTGGAAAAAGAAATCAGGTATTTGTAAATCTGAAGGAAGGAACTAATTAATGACCCACAGCCCAGAGCTGAAGCTTCTTTAGAGACGGTCGGCCGGCCAAAAGCTATTATTCCTGGAGTTTTAGCTATTAGACTTTGTGTTGAGGGAGGAAGTAGATCACTCACATCTAAAATACTACCAACCAGGATCTTCTGTTGGACAGAAAGATCCACACCAGGAGCCGTCTCAATATTCGTATTCTCGATGCCCAAGCTACCTGGGTTGACAGTAGACTGTGCCACTGGGACCCCTAGTGACATTTTCCTTATATCATGGAGATACTCCGAATATGATTCCGGTTGATGAGACTTTCCATAGGTTGCAAGAAGAGAGCTCGAAAGAATGGAAGTGGAAACCCATCAAATAGCTTTAGAAGTTAAGAAAAGAGTCCAAGTTATGATCGAAGGTGGGAGTGGATGAAATGATAGATAGTATAGAAAGGTTACGGCGTTGAGTGTTCAGGGACACGTTATGATGCCGTAATCGTGGAGTCCCCTAAATCCGTTGACCGTTGACATCATCACAACTCGGGATATCCTACATTTGCGGGGGAGCTTACGACACGACCTCTAATCTGGGATCCCCAAGTCACTTGACGCGCGATGATCTTATAAGACGAGGGAAATAAAGTTCACAGGGTAGACAAGTATCTAGGTCGCTATCGAGGCGGAAAGTTAGCTGGATTACGGTAGACATCACCCTTTGAAATGGGAACAGCGATTGTGGTCCCCAAGCTTAATAAGAAATAGTGATTGTTGAATATCTCTTCTGTCTACCAGAAGACCCATGACGAATGTTTTCCTTTCTAAAATCAAACTCCTTGCCGTCATGAGCTCGTTTCTTCATTCGCCTTTTTGAATAGAAAATTACCCTCATGCCTTCACGCCTCCCTCCTGCTTGACAACGGCGGCAACTTTGCTAGCCAAATCGTCGGCCTCGCTCCTTGTCGCAGCCTCTGCATACACTCTCACCGCATCCTCTGTTCCGGATGCTCGCGCGAACGATCTTCCATCCTTGTACTTGGCCACTAGAGCATCTATCTGGGCCTGCACTCCTTGGGGCTCGACCAATTTTCTCTCCGCATCAGTTGTCTTGAAGAGATTCCGATCCCCGACCTCAACACGCACCAGTCTGTTCGGAAGATCTGTGTATGTAAGGTCCCACTCCTTCGGTGTCCAGGCCTTATGCGACAAGATCGTCTCGACAAGAAGCATATCTGAAAGCGCGTCACCAACGGTCTGATTGATGAGTTCCGTAAGGGCGCGGAGGGTCTCCAATGCATTGGCTTGGGCTGGTGACTCGGGGACCTTGGTCTGGAACGCCTTCAATGCTTGCTGGGAAAATACGACAGTTCCATGGCCATTAGCTTCGAAGTAGACGCCCACATCAAATTTTGTCGCTGCATGATGCAGCCATTTCACTCCTGTGGGTGTGCAGACGACTGGTAGACCGAGAGTTTTCTCGATATATTTTGTACTAGCTCCATTCGCATATGCTGTTTGTACAACACCAATCTTGAGATCCTGAGAAAGTCCAGCTTCCCGGGCGAGATCGCCGATGAACGATGCCGCAAGTGTGGCAATCCGGTCGCCGTCAAGGAGACGGAAGCCATGATCGGGATCATTAAAGTAGTAAATGAGTCGATCGGCGTCGCCATCCAGAGAGCAGCAACGCTCGTTACCCGCCTTCGATGATGGTGGGGCTCGCTGCTTCGTCTTCACAAAATCTGCACCGCACTGCAATGAAGTTTAGTTATGTAACACGAGTGCGAAGTTACTGACTTACATCATGATTGAGAACTTCTGCCTTCAGGACATCGTCATTGATAATCTTAATCTCCACACCGCCCGTTGAGCCCTTTGGCAAGAACTTCAGCAGCTCAGCTAACTTTGGGCCCCCAACTCCGTTGGCACAGTCGATGGTTACAGGGCCAACCGTCTTCTTCCCCTTCATGGCTCGCGCAAAGGCTTGAGCTAGCTTCTCGTAGTATCCCTTCTCACTGACCTCGCCGTATGATTGCGGTGTACCCTCGGTGTTGGTACATCTCGTCAAGTAATGCAATTGGGGAGTCGTCAAGAGCTTGTAATCTGTGTACTCGGTTCCCGTGGCTTCCAAAGCATGCACCAGCGCGGTCACCAGTTTCGGGCCAGACGGTCTGGTATCTCGGGCGAAGATGACTCTGGCTTGTTCATCCTTGTTGATCTTCAGCCGCTCTTCTAAGCTTCGATACACGGTCACCACGTCCTCATCTTTGGCATTGGCTAGCTCGGTGGAGTAGGCTTCCCAGGAATTCTCCAGCATCTCGCCCATGGGGTCTACCAGCTTGATGCCATTGTCCTCGGGTGGATTGTGCGACGCTGTGATCATAACACCGATTGTCTGACCGCCGAGTTTTCGAGAGCGCAATGCAGCTACAAGGCCGACACGGAAGACCACCGAGTCCAGAAGGTTGGCCTTCATGCGAAAGCCTGCGGTTCCATACTGGAAAACTCGATCAATAGGCTTAGGATGCTTGCTGGCAGCAGCGGCAATATTGGCGTCCATTATTTCGATGGATTGTGTACGCGGAGAGACTTGCGGTGGGAAGAGGGGTATACGGTGAACGGCGTAGCTATCTACTGGGGTAGAATTGAAGGGGACGGAACGAGGACAACGAAGAGGTGACAGATAAGTACTGCGCGTAGTACCTAGGGTAGGCAATGAGCTTCGGCGACCAACTTATTAGGATCTGCCGAAGAAATGAATTGTAGGATGTGTTTATGTTTGTGTTGTGTTCGTGTTGGGCGCAGCTGCCCCGCATGCAAATGCCTCAATTCTATTTCTGGCTCTAAGTCCCCGCGCCGTCCCGTTTCAGGCCAGGAACGTCATGTGACTTGGCGTGCATCTGCCAGGGCCCCCCCGCGGCGCGTCACGTCAATGGATGTGCTTCAATTCCCTCGAGCATCGCGAACACAACAGAAATGCAATTTGCTCTAGTTCTGGCTTCGAGGCTATAAAGCCTCTCATTTTCCTTTTGCGCTTTCTTTTTGGGGAGATTGTCCACTGCTCGCTCTATTGGCCGGTGAATTGGTATAGACAGCTGCGCCCCCCCTTTCCGATCATGACTGAAGCTGAATGCGCGAATCCCCTCCTACTGGGCTGGGTCTCAGAATGGCTGGAGACAGCGCGGGAGCGGAACTCCAAGGGCGTCACTACCTACAAAAAGGCCTATGACTCCATGAAATCCTGTCCCTTACTATTTACGCACCCATCAGAGGCACAGCAACTCACTGGATTTGGACCGAAGCTTTGCAGTCGTCTGACCGATAAGCTCAAAGAATACTGCGATACAAACGGTCTTCCTATGCCAGAAATACCCCAAAAGCGGAAGAAAACAGCTCCCAAGGGTAATGGCGATGGCGATGGCGCTGCAGAACCGGTAAAAAAGACGAGGAAACCGAAACCATATGTGCCTGCGCTGCGTTCTGGTGGTTATGCTATTATTTTGGCTCTGGCGACATTGGATGAGAATTCACATAGTGGTATCACAAAGCAAGAGACAATCGCGCTGGCAGAACCACATTGCGATTCCTCATTTACTGCTCCTACCGATCCTACCAAGTTTTATACCGCGTGGGGTTCTATGAAGACACTAGTTGAAAAGGATTTGGTTTACGAGAAGGGGAGACCTTCACGGAAATATGCCCTGACAGAGGAGGGATGGGAGGTTGCAAAGCGCATTAAGAAGGCGAATGATGGAAATACAGAACGGGTGGTTACATCTGCCCCGAAGAAAAACGCAGCTCCAGAATTGGATGATGATCAGTTCATATCTCTCGACCCAAGTCCATCTCCTCCACGTATGGGAACCTCGGAATCTTTATCCAAACAACAAGCACCTGATATCATCCCACAAGGTGAAGCCATCGCATCGACGGCTTCCCTCCCGGCGTTCACACCCATAATTATTCCACCAGGCTCCTTTGATGTAAAGCTCGTCCTCGATACACGAGAAGTCCGATCCACAGACGACCGAGGCTACATGGAAAGGGAGCTCACCAAGAAAGGTGTAGCACCTATCATGCGTATGACTGCACTTGGGGATGTATTCTGGGTAGCCAAGATGCGAGACTCGGCGTTGCTCCAGAGTCTGGGTGCCGAAGGTGACGAGATCGTTCTGGACTGGATTGTGGAGCGCAAGCGATTAGACGATCTTGTGAGCTCAATCATAGGCGGCCGCTTTCATGAGCAGAAATTTCGTCTGCGAAAAAGCGGCATTAAGAACATTATTTATATTATCGAAGAATTCTCTATCGACATCCCGAAATATGGAGAGGCGGTGGAATCCGCCATTGCCAGTACCCAGGTCGTGAACGGGTTTTTTGTCAAGAAGACGCAAAAGATAGATGATACGATTCGTTACCTAGCGCGCATGACGAGAATGCTTCAGGGCATCTACGAGTCGAAGCCACTGCATCTGATCCCGACTGACATCCTCACGACGCGGAATTACCTCCCGCTCATGGAGCACCTTCGCGAGACGCAGCCTATGAAAGATTTCCACATCACCCACTCGGCGTTTTCGTCGCTGTCTTCGAAATCCGAAACACTGACGTTGAGAGATGTCTATTTGAAGATGTTGATGTGTACTAAGGGTGTGACTGGCGAGAAAGCTCTAGAAATCCAGAAAAGGTGGAAGACGCCAGCCGAGTTTGTGGAGGCTTTTGGGAAGTGTGGAGGAGGAGAGCAGGGGAAGAAGAGGAAGGCTGAGATGGTGTCTAATGAGATGAGCAATTTGATGGGCAGGAAGAAGATTGCTAAGGCATTAAGCGTGAAGATTGCGGAGGTATGGGGAGAAGGGCAATGAGGTATCAATTGTAACGGCCTAAAATCGCGTCAAGGAACGGTGTTTCCGGCCGGAATGATGTAGTTTTATGATGGAGTTGGACTGGAAACTCTGTGTTGACACTTGTATATCATTGGACTATAGGTATGGATGGACATAGCGCATTGGAGTATATATATGCGGGCGTACGCTCGAGAATTCTAGACGGAGTATACCATATAGAAAGCATACAGCGGCAATTACAGCAAGTAGACAACATGCACAAGCGCTATTAGTTCTGCACACATCATAAATTTTGAAGCAAAAGATTCTATTTTTCTTGTTCCTCCTGGGGATCGAAAAATAATGTGATAAAACATTGAATATGCAATGCAGGATAGCGAATATAGAATTCGCTATGCTCAATCATCTGAACGCCATTAAAACCCATCCGTACCATAGCCAGAAGCCCATCGTATCTAGGTCGTCATCATCTAATGCGTGCGCAGAGAAAATGCCGCACACACCACTCAAAAGACAGTGCAAGCTCCAGAGTTCTGCGCTCTCAGCCGCGAAGAAACCCTTCCACCCAACTCCCGCCCACAGACTCACACCACATCATTAGCACATCTTATACGTGCAGGCCCCCTCTGCCTGCCGCATTGGATCATCCGTAATCAGTTTATATGCGATCTTGACGTCCAGGTCCCGCTTGTTCTTCTCATTCGGCTTGTTCTCTAATATACCCTTGATTTGTTCACCTTGTTGAACGGTTAAGACTTCCCTCAGGTAGAACACGGTCTGCTTCCAGTGGGTATACTTGGTGTGTGGTCCAGTGCTGAAGCGAATTGGCTTGTGGCAGGCGGTGAAATCAATATCGAACCATGCGATAAGGGCGTGGACGAAATCGTCGCGGCGGGCGTCGAGGGTGAAGGGTGAAGTGAAAGCAAGATCGGCGGTTGTGCAGGTGTAGAGATCCAGGGTTAGGACGGCGGTGGGGTCTGTAACGACGGCTTTGATCTCGACGGTGTCAACTAAGGGCTCCGTGAGAGCGGTCTTCTTCAGGGGAGAGTAATCGAATCCGTAGACATTGTCCCAGACTGGAAAGGCAGCTGGTTAGCAAAGTGATAATAGATTGTGGGGGTTGCGTCAGACTTACATCCAATCTTCTCGTCCTTGTACTCTCCATCCTCGATACCAGCCATGAAGATGGTGGCCTTGTCGGGGAAGATCAGTCCGTTGGGGGCAAGGTACTTGTCACGAGCATATAGCACGGTGTCAAGCATGGACTCGTACAACAGGAAATAACCCATCCACTCAGATATTATAATGTCGACCTTGGGGAAAGGCACTTCAACCTCCTCCATCTTTCCTTGTAGCAGGGTGATCTTATCGGACATCCCGTTTACCTCGACGATCTCCTTGGCCTTCTCGATGATAGTCGACATGTCGACACCGATTACGTGCTTTGCGCCGGCCTTGACCGCGAACCTATTTCATAAAATTAGTCGTTGAGGCGGTCTAGGGCAAGAATATTACATACATGGAGAGAATGGCGGTACCGCATCCAACATCAAGAACAATCTTGTCTTTGAAAAGATGCTTGTTCTGCACAATAGCATTCATATACGACCGCGTCCGGACCTCATCTTTCTGCTCCAGTCAGTGATTTTGCAAGGGGCAAAGGATTCGCGTTCTGCCGGTACACACCAACATTTCCTCATGGATGCCTTTTTTCCTTCAGTTAGCAATAGGCCTTCAAGAGAGCGTCAAGATACCACACGTACCATGGTGGTTATAGCTATTTCCGATCAGTATTTTGAGTAGTTTTGAGCAAGCCTGGCCGGGCGCAAAACAAACGGACACTCACCTGTTGAAGTAATGGGCCTCGGAATGGTCCAGCCCCTGCATCTTGTCGTCGGCCATGATGGCGGAGAGAATTGAGTTGGATGGAGAACGGGGGAGAAGAGATCGGGTTGTAGTAGGGAAGGGTATTGCGCGGGATAGTGGTGAGAGGAAAGACGGGTTTTATTATCAGTTCGATTAAGTTCGGGAAATTTTTGGGGCGGTCGATTATTCTGCCCCCTTCTTCCGCCTTTGGAGAGGCTGCCGTAGCCACTGATGTCAAGCGAGCCAAACAAGCTTCGAAAAACCAGGGCGAGAACTTCTCCATACTAGCCTTGCGGTCCTTACAAAGTACAAAGGATACTCGTAGGATGAAATTTCAATCCTCGGCGTCGCCACTTCACTCCTGGAATTCGCAGCCAACTATTTCTCATTATAAGTAGCATTAATTATATATTTTGTCCTCAATACAACCCACATGAAGAATGGTTGAATTAGATGGAATGTTTTGTACAAGGGTCACGTGCAGCGCATAGAGGGTCGCAGCCCTGATGCGGAATAGGTGCCAAGGTTTAGCCGAAGCGACATCAGAAAAAAGCTAAAAGTGTCAAAAGTGAGATTGCATCCGAAAAGAAAATATATCGAAATATAATACGTGTTAAAAATAAAGGATCTAAGATACTTGCATGAGGAGTTCCTCGGGAAAGCGATGCTGATTTGTTCAGATTAAATTGGAGGTTAAGTATTGTCGCACGACAACAATAGGCACCGCCATCCTTTCGCTTAGCGTTGGGCGGAGGCGGACGGCAGAAATTCATGACCGAAGCCCCAACTCGACGCTTGCGACAACCCGACCGCGGGGTTTCTCACTTTTCTCCATTATCGCGCTCAACACCACACACCCCTCGCTGCGCTCTGCTCGCCGCCCTCGACCTCAACCTGCCTTCTTCCATCGCCGGTCGATATCCGACGAATCCATCACGTGTTGAGATACGGTTACTAAGTACAGGATTAAACAAGATACAAACAATTCAATTCCTTGCGTTCCACGCTTCGCTTCGCTTTCGAAAGTCAAGAGTCATCATCGCCACTCGCCAATATGGGTCGGCAACCGAAGATCGTCCCGCCTCGTCGTCCGAATCCCCTCAGAGACAGAGAGAAGAGGGCTGAGATCAGGGCGCCTACCATTTTCACCCAGAAGGCGGCTGCAGTCGCCGCCGCCGCTGCAAAGTCAAAGCTGCGGAAGCGCGGCTGTCCAAACCCGACATGTGAGGCTCCTAATATCGAGGATGGCATTTGCCAGGGCTGTGGCCGGGTTGTCGATGATTCCAATATCGTCGCCGAAGTTCAGTTCGGAGAGAGCAGCTCTGGTGCCGCTGTGGTCCAGGGAAGCTTCATGGGTGCCGATCAGGGCGCGGCCAAGAGTATGGGCCCGGGCTTCCGGAGAGCAGGTGGCTCAGAGGAGGGACGAGAGGGAACCATCCGTGAAGGTATGTTGGAGCGAGCCGAAAGCCCTCCCCCCTTTTATTAGTTCTAGGGCTAATATCATTCTAGGAAGACGCATCATGCAGGCCATGGCAAATCAACTTCAAATCCAAGAGACCATTGTTGCTCAAGGCGTTCAAATCTTCAAGCTGGCGGCTATGCACAACTTCATTCAAGGACGGCGGATGGAGATGGTCTGCGCTGTCTGTTTATACAGTGCCTGCCGTCAAACGAAGCCATGTAGAGTAATGCTCATTGATTTTGCGGACAAGATCCAGGTATTTAGACTCGTCCCCGTCACATGATCTTCCCTTGCTAACAACTTACTAGGTCAATGTTTTTAAGTTGGGTCGCACCTTTAAGGCCCTCCATCATGCTGTTACATTTGCGAGAAACGGCATCTTTCCTGTTCTGCCTGAGGATTTGATCTGGCGGTTTGCTGCCAAGCTCGAATTTGGCGATCTTTGCGACAAGGTTGCTGAGGACGCTGTCAGAATGGTCAAGCGTATGAGTCTAGATTGGATGGTGATGGGAAGAAGACCCTCAGGTGTTTGTGGCGCTTGTCTTATTTTGGCAGCACGTATGAACAATTTCCGTCGCACTATTACCGAGGTCGTTTATGTCGTCAAAGTCACAACGCATACGATCCAAAAGCGGCTCGATGAGTTTAAATTGACTCCGAGCAGTGCTCTCACCGTTGACGAATTCCTGAACAACGAGTTCCTGGAGTCGGCTCACGATCCCCCATCCTTCTACGAGAAGTCCGAGGACTTCCAGAAGAACAAGACGAAGAGAAAGCGCAAACGCAAGGGTGAAGATGGTGCGGAGGGAGACGATGAGGACGTAGAGGATGCGGAGGCAGATGGCTCACCAAACAAACGCCGAAAGTCTAACGACCAAGTACTTCCATCGGTCGAGCTCCGGCGCGATGCCGATGGCTTCGCAATCCCCGCAACGCCAGCCCTCTCTCACACGGTGTCCCAGTCTACCGAGTCCTCGGACACAAACCAGACCAATGGGACACCTGATAATATGATCGACCCGGATCTGGTCGATGACGTGATCCGAGAACAGACGGGCACTTCTATGAACTTGCTCGTAGAGACGTTTGGTGATGCGGTGGGTGGGGTGGGTCAGGACGAGGTCTCCGATACTAGCCCTGCTAAAAAGGGCCGCGCAAAAGCAATGAACGTTCGGGTTCCGGCAGAATGGGAGAGAGACGAGAATCAGATGATCGAGGAGGTTTCGGAGATGGTTTCTGATCCTAATAGCGTCCATCATGCCATATCCTATGCTCGGGCTACCAAACGTGCAGCTGAATATTTGCTGCTCGCTGAACAAAATCAGAAATTTGTCAGCATGGATGTCCATATTGGCGAGGATGAGTTTGCGGAGGACCCCGAGGTTCAAAACTGCGTGCTCTCCCCTGATGATGTGGCAAGGAAGGAGAAGGTGTGGGTTAATGAAAACAAGTCTTGGCTCCGACAGGAGCAGATCAAGGCATACAAGAGGAAGCTCGCTGAGAATGGCCCGCCCAAGGCTCGGCGAAACAGGAAGAAGAAGCCACGGATGGGAGAGGGGCAATTGACTCCGGCGGCATCACCGGCTGATGCTGCGGTCGAAGTACTGAAAGCCAGAGCATTCTCCAAGAAAATTAACTATGATGCCATCCGAGGCATGTTTGACGATCCCGACATTCCACAGGCCAGCAACCTTACGAGTGCCGCGACCAGTCAAGTTGGAAGCCGTGCTGGGAGCGAGCTGGAGTCAGTGGCATCTGTCACTCTGGGTGAGAATGGCCTTGCTATCACGGCTGGAACCGCGCAAAGCGAGATGGGCGATACCGTTGCCAGCACCGTGGACGAAGAGTCTGACGAGGATGATCTTGACCATGTTCGTCCTGATGATGACACCAGAAAGGTCGTGGTTGAGGAAGAAGAAGAAGAAGAAGACGACTGGAAAGCCGCATTTAAACGCAAGAGGGGCGACGATGAAGAGGGCTTCGACGACGACGAAGAAGAGTATCCCGACTTGGGATACGGAGACGACGAGCCGAATTTCGACGACGTTGGCGCCTTTGACGGGCCTGAGGATTATGATGAATATTAGATTTTGTACAGTGTATGATTGCGATGGATGGGTGAGCGCGCCTGAGGGGATTTGCGCTATTGTATTTTGGGTTCAGATCTGTTTTTATGGGAAGGATAATAAGGTACGCTGGAGCGTAGGCGCTCAGGCACATGGAGAGCGGTATGCTCACATGGAAGGCAGCATTAGCGACAAATACATGAAGATTTAAGTTTCACTACGATTATTTCTAAATGTGCCATACATTATTGATCAGCCTAACGTAAAAAACCTGTAGCATGGTGAACCCGTACTACCCCGTACCTCTTCCCTCGCCTCCAGTAACCACGGTTACCTACCTCTACCCCTTGCCTCCGTGCATCATCAGAATCCGTGCATCATCAGAACTACGGGTCAATGGCCTTGGTTTCTGGACTGCATACCTTGCACCTGCATAATGATATGCAGGGCCGTAAGGGCGAGACCGCCTACCAGGGTCCGGGCATCTGGGGTTACAGTTCTGATATGAGACAATGGTGTACCCGTAGGTTTCTGGTACGGAAGCACCCCTTTACAGATCCCGGGACTTCATCCGATCAGATGGCTCTGGAACAGTCCTGGCTCCTTGCATTTCGCGGCTAAATTGGCCGATCTTGAAAGTTGAAACTACGAAGTACAAGCACAGGGCAGTATACCCCCCTTTTTTGGGCACCAAGATGCAAGTGCGCTACTATCACGTGATAATTATAGCAACCACGCCCCTTGTCTAGATTCTCTGATTAAGGGGTTGGATGGATGTAAACCCGACGCATGTCTGAGGGTTTGGACTCAGTGTGTACAAAAGTGCAGCCAAACGCGGCGTATTGTCCACCAGAGGGTTATCATCACCTTAGGAGTCTGACCCAAGCAGCCGGACACCTTTGGGCTAGCTTTTAACGACAATCTGTATTTTGGCCAGGGCACTTTTGATCGCGTAACTAGATAGTTTAGTCACACCCCCAATTCGGCTCTTTGCTGTGGCTCTTTCGACATATCATGTTTGCTGCTTTTTTGTCTCATCAACCCCGCCCTCCCAGGTCTCTCCAGCACCTCGATGCCCAATCCAGCTAGCCGAGACCGCTATCAGTGACGTTGAGCGCAAGTTTGGAAGCGAGAACTGATGGCAGCCTTAGGCACTATATTTCCGCTTTCAGGTCGGTTCTTATGTCCTCCGTCGCCTGGAGGAAGCTGAGCTCCCACCTTCCAGCTCCCCCCCAGACACAGCAGCAGCGGCGGCGGTAGTTGAACAGCTGGCTGAGCTGAGCTGCCCTGAGCCAGGCTCATGCTTATGCTCACTCATCTCGCCCCCATCCCATCCGATCCCCATCCTTTCTGCCTTGGAGCTCCCTCTAGGTAAGGTACGTAGTCCCACACCTACCTACTGTACACTGGCGCTTTCCCCCTCCCGTTCCCCTTCCCCCGTACCTCTACTACTTTCCTCTCTCTTCTCTCCATCTCCCTCTACCGCATCTCCAGCTCCAGCTCCATCTCTCAGCTATCCCTATCATCAATTTCACCCCCAGCCCTCGTACACCGCCGCCCTTTTCACACCTAAGCCCCCCCCCAATAGAGTCAATTGATCCAATACCGCCGCCGTAACCCCAATGGCTACCGCTACCCGTAAAAGAAAGCAAGACGAGGAGCTTGTCGCCTTGCCGAGCGACGACAGCGAGGAGGAGGAGGAGTATGTACCTATTCCACATCACTGCTTTTGTGTCTCATCCATTCCAACCTCGGGCTCGGAGCCGCTCTCTATTGTGTTCCAGTTCCAGCTCTAGCCCTGACTTCAGCTGAAGCTTCGGTTGGTGGCTACGCCGTTGCAAGGCAACGGCTACTTTGCATTCGTCCTTGCCATCGGCCTCGATGAATTGAGGTGGCAGCAATGGGCAGAATAATGACAAGTGCCACTTCCAACCAATATGCAAGCGGACTAGATGTGATGCAGCGCTTGAAGAACAGGAGCTAACTGTCCATCTCTTTCACCCACCAGGTATGAGGATTCTGAACCTGAGGTAGCCGCTGGTGAGGATGACGAGTCTGAGGATGAGGAGGAGGACGACGAAGTCGATGAGGAAGACGAAGACGAGGAGCAAGATGTGGAGAAAAGAAAGGGTGATGTTGTAGAAGGTATGTGCACACCCACCATCCGATTGCCCTCTCAGCCCTCCAACAGAGCGCATTAGAGATGCCTTCAAAGCATCCATAAATATCCAACGTTTTGCTATCGCATCAGGACTAACTATGGGGAAATAGACCTGCCAGCCAAGAAAAAGCGCAAGACCAGTGACCCCTCCACAAAAGAAACAGCTGCCTTGCCTGGTAAGGATGGAGGCGCAAAGGGCGAAGACGAGGACAACGATGAGGAAGGAGAAGAAGAAGAAGAAGAAGCGGCTCCTGCAAAAAAGGCCAAGGAAGTCGCACAAAAGGGCGAGGCCGAGAAGCCTACTGCTGCCGATGACGAGGAGGAGGAGGATGACGAATAAGTCCCCTCCGTCTCTGCACTTGCGCACACCAGCAGGGCCTTTTGCGATACCACGATGCCCATTGCACACAGGCACACAGACCTGGGAGGGGAATACATACTTTTGAAGGATCCGATACTTGGATTAGATTGGGTAGACAACAATAAAAGAAGGAACTCGAGACATATACTTATCTCGGGTAGCGCGGCCAAAAACATTTTCATGGTTGTAAACACCCTGGGATTTTGCTCTTTAGATGTGATGGCGGTATTATATTGTGCGCAAGACAAAGGTTCCCTCGCCGTTTTGTTTCCCAACTTCACAGTCGTTTTGTTATCGCTTCTCGCGTGGCATTTCTCCTTGTCTACGAAGTAAATCGCTATTTTTAGACATTATTTCAATGACTATTGAATTTCTTTATGCTGATGTGTTTTTATTTACACTAGGCCTACGGTAGTCCCTTTGCTGCGTAGTGCTTATAAACCTCGGCCTGCGTGGCCATTACTCCGCCGCGGTCCGCCTACAGGGCTGAGACAGAAGACAACGTCGTGTCGCAAGGTGGTTTGATGTTCGACAGGGCAAACGCATAACATTAGGCACACATGGAATTTTTTGGGTAGTCTCTTTTTCTTTATCTCGTCTTCCGTTCCTCCCTACATACACTTGCTCTTCTTGGAATCCTCTGTCTTTGTTCCTGTGTTTGAATTACTCGGTTGCTCCGGCCTCGAGCGAGAGCTGTGAATGGTACAAGGTTACCACCTCAGAAAAAGCAAATCTAGACCCCCGTCGTGCGCATCACATATTTCCATAAAGGGTACAGCCTGGATTATTGAATTTCGATAATAGACTTGAATCTCTCACCTGATACCTTTACGTCTATTATCATATACCCCTGTGGGCCGGGAATCACACCAGAAATGCCCTCCCGACTATCTCAGATGCTGACGCTGTCACTCTCACTATCTCCACACACCAGCGTACCCCAACTCCCATCCAGCCACGACGACAATGCTCAATATCAAAATAAGGCCCCGGTGCTAACGAAGAAGAGGGTATTACCCAAAAAACAAAAGAGCAAGAAGCGCAATTCTATTATAACCACCGCGACTCTACTCTTCACAACTCGATCCAAAGCTCTACCTCCAGCAGAGCCCCCACTCCCTTTAGATACTTCAAGCACAAAAAAACATCATCGTCTTAGCCTCACCACCAAATTTAGAAAAGGGGTCGTCACTGTCCCACCACCACCCCAACTCCTAGCGCACCTAGGAAAAGCCTGCCCACAGCACGATCGCCACGATTCAACATTTAGCTCCGTATCCTCATCATTTACGGACCTTAAATCCTTAACTTTGCCCTCAAACTCACGTGTCCCCGCCTCCATGATACCTCTCACCCGCTCGCAACTGGCCACACTCTCCCCCCTTCTCCGCAGACTGGAAAGATGCCTGGACAAACAGGATCTGTTGTGTCGGAGTTTGTCAGCTAATATGCTGTATTTGATGGCGGTTAAGGAACGGATGATCAGGAGGAATGGGAAGTTGGGCGTAGGTGGAAGGAAAGCTTTCATTGGGGAGTTGGGGGAGGTTAGGGAGGAGTTGGGGAAGGTGTTTGTGAGGAAGGTGGGCATTGAGGGGAGGAGTAGGAATGTTATTGGGGAGGTGGCTGGGAAATTGGGGAAGCTTGAGATGAGAGATCTTGATAGCGCAAAGTGCGCCGGAGAAGTCAAAGAGCGAGAGGAAGGAGTGGGTGATGTCGCTACGGTTGATGCTGAAATGATTTCTAATATTGTTCACATCCTGAAACGGGATATCGAGATACAGCGCCTCCTTAACATCTGTGTCCTCGATGCTATTACTAGGCGATGCTGGAAGGGCCGATGGACGAAGACTGCTGGGCAGCGGACCGAGATGGAGCGATTTGTGGGCTTTGTGGCGGAGAGGGTTGAGAAGCTAGGAGAGATCCAGGAGAGGATGATCAAGACTGTGGGAGTGGTTGAGGGAGTTGTATCTGGACTTGAGGGATGAATGACACCGAACGGATATGCATGGTGCATCCAAACACTTGCTCCCCACGACACGCTTCTTTCTCAATCCCAGAGCCCAACGGTATACTTACGTTCTGGGGTTACGTGTATTCACGAATACGACACTCGCGTCACCATTTATGCAAATCCCAGTCCCCGACCAAAAAGTGCGGGTCTTGTTAAACCGCATTCCTGGACTCAATTGAGTAATTTGGGTATCGGCTCTTATAGGTGTAGCCCGTACCACAATATTGCTAGGTAAGTGAGGCATATTTTCATTAATATTTTCTTTAGTCTTCTCCTACAACGGCTTAATAGGTCTACTATCTATTAAAAATCCTGCCAAGATATTGGGCATAACTAACTATTTCTATTCACAGAATCGCTGATGTTCAATTTGTCCCCAGGATATTGAACATGGATTTAGTGTTTAAACTATTTGCAATTTCCGGATTCGCAATTTGAAAGCTAGCATGGGTTATGGGGAAGGAGCACAATGTCTGGGATAGGGTGAGAGATGGAGTCGGGAAAATGGACGATGTTATAGGACTACAATGTTTGGGATAGGATGAGAGATTAAGTTGGGAAAATGATGATTTTATATCTGGGTATTTTCCGACAAGATAGTAGCTAGTTAGATATGTAGCGGCGCCGTATTTGAATAAACGGCAGAGTATCCGAAATATCTATTTGCAATACATGTGTACGAATTCATGGATAATTAATCGCCTTATAGATTGCCATGAGCCCCATTACATTCAGAACGAAGGACTAGTCGCCACTGAAACCTAGGTGGGCTTCACACAATCTAAACACATTCACTTTCTAGTTCTTCAAGCAAAGGAAGCACCCGGTATCTGATCTGATTTGGATGATTGCTTAACCGACGGTTTATGAGCAAAGACTAGGGGCCAGGTTAATATGATTGCCAATTTGCCAATTAAAGACCTAATAAACAAGGACCCGGTTTAGATGATTGCTAAAGTGGTACTAGAAGGTCCGATTTTGTCCACAACTACTAAAGTGTCAGGGATCCTAGAACTTTCCTTTTCCCCTTCTTGTCAGCTCTTTTCTCAGCCTTTTAATTTCCTCCTTTTAGCCCGTTCTCCCTAAAATCTATCTCTAATCTTCTAAATCCGATCATAAAAGAGAAGATAAACTTTACCATAGTGTTTATTGTATATCTTTAGATGTGTTTTTAGGCACATTTCCCTTCTTAAGCTCACGTGAGATAACTTGGTAATCCTAGTGTCGGCCTATAGGTGTCTTCTGCTTATTCCCCTACATAACTACATAGGGCTATAATTATTAGTATGACCACAGGGTGTGGAGTCGCAAATCGCACGCACAAATTTTTGGGGTAGCTGGGAAAGTTTACTATTGTAACAATTCTAGGGACACGATGGTTGTGTTATGATGAGTGGACTCATACGTACTTTCAATCTAGCGATCAAAACTCCTACCGAGACTGCTGCCGCTTTACTGGACGTAGGCTCGGGAGTATATTGGCTGGAAGCCAGCTCCTGAACGGAAGGGATGCGGCAACAGAAGCCGGATCAAATGACGATGAGGGTACACCTACGCCAGCTAGTGTGATATCGATGAGGACGTCCAACCACCTGGCCCCTCTTCTCGAAGTGTTACTCTAGATCCTACTCTGTCCAACGACAAACCGAGCCCGCCAACCCCGATGAAGACGAGTCTCGACGTTTCCGACTTGTCAATTCCCAACCCTCCCAAGAAGGCACCTTCCCAAAAAGTATCTTCCCAAAAAGTATTTACCAAAAAGTCACCTACCGCCGCATCGGATAGTTTCGATACCTGGGATTCCGACGAGGAATATAATTCACACGAAAGGGTCTATAAGCTTCTTCACCCGGGCGGGTCGATCTAGGCGGATGAAACTCTTTTCTCTCATGCTTACTCGGACTTCCTATTAAACTAATCAATGATGACACCTAGTCGCTACAGGAGATCTGCGAATTAATATGGAAAATTGGATCGACTATGTAGGGATTTGACAGTAGTTTAAACCCGGTGTCGCGATGAAGCTCCTGGGGAAGATGACCGGTTTCGAAAATGTTTGTTATCGGCACGGCAGAATGATGGCCAGCCATATAGGGCTGAGCACAAAGCAGCTTGGGGATGCGGAGCTGGGACCCCGGCTTCGACGAGTGTATGAAGATCGCTTGCAAATTGGCAAGCTTAAGACGGACGAAGAAACCTACAAGTGGTTTCGCGTCGCAAACCGACCCGCGTGCCCGTCAGATGGCCTTGGGCCATATAAATTCATGCACAGCCGTGCACCAGGGGACTTCCGATTCGACCAAGAAGCGATTCTAAATGCCTGGGATGGAAGTATATTGCCTCAATAGCAGAAGGATGGGTCGACAATACACGGCCTATTTAAGTGGTGGTTCAATTCCCCGCTCAGAAGTGAAATATATGAGGAGTTTAACATGTACCACCACCACTTACGGGAGATTAACGGCCGCAAGAACATCGGCTGGCTTCGGAATATGTTTTTCTCGGTGACACAGCAATTGATGCGGCAGGATCCGGCGTATTATATGCTATACGCCGTGAAAGATTTGACAGTAGTGAAATGTTTGACAGGAGTTCAAAGACTTGACAGCAGTTTAAGGGTTTGACAAGCTAGTGATAGTGGACGGAGAGGAACCATCTTCACAGTCATCGAGGTCCAGATCGCTAACATCACCAGTCAACTTCCAAATCTTTATCATATCATATGTTTGTCCCGCAACAATGTAAACGATGTTCGGGTTGCTTTGCGCGGTCTGCACCAACAATGACAGCGCCTCAGGGTCACACAACTGACACGCGCCCCAGAAATGCTGTGGTACATCTCCCAGTAACTGTTCAAGTTGCTGAAGGAGCACAACACGTTCCGCACTGGAGAGGTTATAATCGTCGTCTGTGGGTTGTCGGGATGCTGGGAAGGCGGCATGGCTTGAAATGGACAGAGATTAGGTTGGGGAGAGAGGTTAAGATAGGAAGAGAGATTGAGGACGGGTAAGAGATTCAGATGGAGTGGGAGATTGAGATGGAGTGTGTATGAAAGGTTAAGGGCACTCACTTATTTACTTTTACTACCTATAAGGGCATTCATGGTCCTATAACCACCAGTGAACGTACGAAGTAGCAACTCGCCGGGTATCGAAGCTAGTATTTAGTAATTATATACCAAGCCGCCAAGGGCAAGGGGCCGAATCAGCCACAACCTTGGATAGCATTAGCCACAGCCACAGCAGTAGCACAAAGTACAAAGAACCCTGTGATGCGCGAAGTCTACAACTCGAACTTAAACTGCTAATGACCGTGGCACATTCCATTTAATATAACTGGCCATCTTGAATCTGTCTCGGTCTCATCACCAAACTATTTCGAACTTCCCCCGATCTCTACCAATATTTGCGTGCGAACCGCTCTCTTCTTGTAACTACGGAGTTTGACATGAAAAGCTTCTAAGAATAGATTTGTTTGTCAGACGGGAGGCCTTATCTCCACCTCGCGACAAGTCGCTGCGCCGCAGTAGCGGCAACCAGAACGTCGGGCGCGTTCAGGCTTCAGTGAGGGCATTTCTTTGCTTTGCAATTCCACATTATACATTTTCGGTGTACAGCGTATAGTATAAACAAGATTCCAGACAGCTCTCGGCCAAAAAGCTTGATTTCAGCCCTCCAAAATGTTCGCCAAGAAGGCACCTTTCAACCCGCCGCCGCCCGGCATATACAGAGACAACACTGATCCTGACGATGCTGCCTCCACGTCTTCAGCCGTGCTCCTTGACGATGTTGATGTTTTCCCAGACGAGGAGCTTCCAGCTTATGAGGACACCCCCTCCGAAAATCCGCTCATTTCAGAGCATTATGACTCGGGACCAGCCGTTGATATAGACCCGTTTGCACGCCCGATCGCGTAGGTCTTGCCCAACCCCACAGAATAATGTCCTATGAGTAGCACACTATACTAACACAATGGCGCCAGTCTACCCCCAAACCCCCCCTTCGCCAAACACGATATCAATAACAGCGAGTTCAGCACCTGCTTCCCTTTGTATTCCACCGATGTGTACAATCTCGATTGCTTGATTCGAAACCAATCCTCGTACCCCCCGGGTTACTATGTCCATGTAAACGGTTCACACCGGGAAACCAAAAGGCAAAACAACAAGGAGACAAAAAGTACGGTCCAGGACTTCGACTTTCTCATCAACATTTCGAACCTACTCGTCCCCGCAGAACATGTTGTGGGGAATACAATGGGCGAGTTAGAGTTTCTCCCGATGAATAAACGTGGATATCGCGGTACAATAATCCCGTCCCTGAAACCGGTCGCCGGTGATGTTGAGTCTGGGGGCGAACGGAGTGCTTGGTGCGAGAGATATGTATCGGATCGGGCAGGCGTCAAGTCGTTCATGTTGAAGCGCGAGATCCGTAACCACGATATCCAGAAACTGGAAAGTTTAATACGCTCCGCGATTGCGGAGACAAAATATCGAGGCCATCTCCAAGTGACCTTTCCCACCAGCCATGATAAAATATTGGTATATTCCCCCGGTTTGATAAACCAATGGCGAACCACCACTTGGCTCCGTTGGGTCTTCTACCTTACTTTCCTCTGGGTGTTCGCCTGGCCAGTTCTCTTCTTCATCACCAGCAGGTACGAAGTCATTAAGTCTGTCTGGATGTATGCGGATTTGCCAAGCGGTGGGAATGATGTGCGAAGGAAGCCAACCGTGATGAGCGAGGTAGATTGGTACAACAGGTGGGAGAGTACCATTAAGCGGGCTGCACTGGCAAGAATGAATGGCCAGGATGTTGCTTTGGATGAGGAGTATAGACTGGCGACCGTGGCTGCTGATCAAAGAGGGGTGGAGGCCGGCCGAAATCCAGCGAATCAGATCCCCAGAACGGGGAATGCGTTTGCGGATGGGGCATTGGGTCTATTGGGTCAGGGTTTGAGAGTCGCCGAGAGGTATAATGATGCTAGGGGCTGGGGTGGGGATTGTTAAATGGTTGATGTAGTTTGAAATATCGTCCATACGTCCGTACTTCTACCTTAATCTCGAAGCCTATAGGCCGGTCTTGGCTTTCACTATAGCCCAAATCCGTTGCATATGGCCGGGGTAAACTCAAAGTACTCTTTGGATGAGCATTCCTAGATGGAAGCTTGTGTTTTTATGGGCTATGGATTTGGAATAACGCGCTTTCACTTAATTCCAAGAATTATGGTTATTTATAAAGAATTTTCATGTTGCAAGTTTATGCGAATTCAAGTGCTCCAACTCCTTCAGTTGAGCAACCAATTTCTTTGTCCAGAGTAGGGTTATAATGCCACTATATTACCATTCGAATAATATCACAAAGAATATACGAAGCATATACTCTGGATAAGAACGTACCCACATTTCTTGAACTGCTTCCAGCTCCCACATACCGGTTAAAACCCCATCATTTCAGTTCCGCTTTTTACTATCTGCTTCTCACTTACTCCCCTTCACACCTCTCCATACCCTCCAAACCTACAACCCAGCATCTCCAAAGTGCGACCCTCATCCTAATACCTTCCCCAAGAAGATATTCCTTATGTCCGTGTCTGCCGTCCCAGTTCCCAACGATCAAATCCAATCTCTTCAGCTCGTCTCCCTTTTTTGCCGTCCTCAAACTCTTAAACAGGCCTTGAGCTGTCTCTTTGTTGATGAGCGGATCGGGAATGTTGCCCTTTTCAGTATCCATATCAGCCCATGACACCTCCATGGAAGAATAGTCGAATTGGGATGTGCTGCCGTCGGCAATTTCATACTCGTAGTCATCTGCTGATGGAAAGCGGAGGGTGAGATGCTGGATCGTAGGAGAGGATATAAAGGATTTAAATGGTTCGTACTTGGTGGACATGTTTACATGGCGCGGGATAGCTAGATCTAGTTTCTCGAGTTTAGGGCTGTTCGATATGAACTTGGATATTTTCTCTTGGGGGAGGAACCCTATATCCGTGCTACGAGCGCCGAAGGAGAAGTGTTTGAGCTCGGAAATGCTAGCTGGGTTTGACGAGAACCTGTCGAGGAGATCCTCCCCAACTTTTACGTCAAAATCCTTCAATGAGATCGCCTCGAGCGGATTGGCAGGATACGTAGCAAGTGAAATAGTCTCTTCGTTGGTGAACTCCCGCCATCCCGCCGAGATGGTCAGATTCCTCAAAGCAGGCAGTTCCATATCATACCGTAGTGTGTTGAGCGTAATATTGGTTTGCCCGAGTATGTCCAGCGTGTGGAGATGGCTCCAGTCCATGGCCTCCCTCCAGGCATCTAAGCTAGTCCTCCCATCGCCTTTTTCGCCTCGTGCCCACCGCCGCCCCCATCCAAAGCCTTTAAAATACCACTCATAGCCCGCGTCCGTACGCTCCTCCAATTGGTAGCCGTCCAACCGAAGAACTTCGAGGGGAGGAAAGCGAACGGAAGGGTGAGACTTGAAGTCGAAGGCGTAGGGATTCGCGCCGCCGTACACACAGCCAGCGTGGTGGAGGTGGAGGTCTAGCATTTTGAGATTCGGTGCTGTGGAAAGCACATTGAAGATAAACTCCAGGTCATGAAAGTTATCTTTGCCGCCATAGATTACCTCTGCTTTGAGGCTGTACAGATTGGGCGAGTGGGTAAATTTCCATGCCTCGCTCCCATCGTTCGGATTATGGCTTGAGTAATAATCCCGATGCTTGTAATATATTTGACAAGATGGGTTATTCTTCTCGATGGACTGAAGAATGGACGCAGGTATACCATCAGGGTACTCCCAATACACCCTATCCAGCCTTTCCAACTTTGAAAACACATTTTCTACAAGCGACAGGTCACCTATTTCCGGTGAGCCCCTGATGCGGACTTCGCGGATGTTGCGTCTCGAAATCTGTGAATTGTTTGGGTCTGAACCCGTGAGGTATTTCAAGTAGACGTGGCTTTTGTTTGCATCTCCACTTGTAGTGAGGGCGATATCGAGAAGATATACACTTGGATCCGCATAAGGGTCCCCAAAGTAAGGCAGAGGACCCTCGAATGACGGATCGTAGCCTATCTCCCTTAACTGTTTGCTTGTAAAAGGCCGTTTTTGCCATGCTGCGGACAGACCGATCCAGACGGTTGCAGCGCACGCCAATGTGAAGAATCGAGGAGAGAACATAACTTAGAGCATTTAAACGTCTGACTACTAACTGCACATGGTAATCGAGAAAACTCTAGTTAAGATAGTATCTTCTCTGGTAGGAGTCATATTCTGGAAGCGACGTGGCCACAACTTCGCACCACACAACTTCGCACTTCACAACTTCGCACCATACAACTTTGCTATTCGCGATGGTTGGGACTTTTACGTACAATGGTTCTTTTTCTTTTCAACTATGAAATGAATATACCATGGGCTTTCTCTAGCACAATAAGCAAGGAAACATGGACATGCGACGTAAAGCGGACATTTTGACGTTGTCAATAGATGTAAGAAGTATGTGATGTTGTCCCCTTCATTGCTTTAGTGACGCGTTCACTTGAAGGAGGCTAAACCCTTTTATCGACTAAACTCGAGAGATCATTTCATCTTTCGGAAGTAGGAAGGTGCTGATAGGATTTTAGTAAGTTTTGCGCAAAAGCATTTGCGCAAACTTTCGTTCCCCCATCAACCGCCGACAATATTAATTGAACAAGTTCTTTCCCATTTAATTGTCAAGAACAATAATTGCTGTACTAATCAATCCCACATTCAACTTGTCAGCCTCACATAATTATAAAGCCATGGCTCTGATCGATGGCCCGCAATTTCTAATCATAGATTCAAAACCAAGGAGGGATAGAGAGAGAGAGTGGCACAGAAGTGGAGGTGGAGGTAACGATGACGAAGAAACGCCACCGGCCTACAAGCCAACTCGTAGAATACTGAGTTCAACTCAGAGGATGGAAGCACTAGGATAGTAAAATCAATCGAGCTTGTTACAACGAAGCTTTTGTACCTATTGTTAAAAATGCGCACACTTGAAACTGCCTACGGAACTTCTCCAAGTTCCTTCTTCAACCCTATATATCAAAGCTCCCCCTTTCAGCAAATAAAATCAATATAAATCAACAGATGAAACGAGTGATAGCCTCCATAGAAAACCTCGGCTTAAATACCTCGTTGTCGACTCTTTCCATTCCACTGCACGCCATTCCCCAGACATGAAATAGCGCATCTAAGCAGCGACACATTTCCAGCTGCTGGACTTATTGTCAATCCAGCTAGGGAACTGCGAGCTACCTGGGGAGGCGTTGAAACTGAATCCAGTGCCAACGCAATTTACATCACTACCCGCGAATAAAACATGTCAGCAATGTTCTTTCCGCATGGCGATTGCCGCAAGAGAAGTGGACCGAGCAACTAGGGAATGCAAGGGAAGGAGGGGACATCCGGGGAGTTCTTACACCCAAGTAGTGCATCTGAACCCGGGCTTCGCCTTTCCGGATGAGACATTGTCCTGGAAGCCAGTGCCGGGAAGGTTAACACATGTGCCAACAGTGCTGGAGCCTGTGAACTTGAGGCCGAGGAACCCACTGTTGTGTCTGATTAGTATTTGACCGGGAGAATATTTGGTTTGGAGAAATCTGAGGGCTGGGTAGATATTAAGGGCACGTACGAATCCTGCCAGAGGTCGATAAGGGGAGTGGATGCTGCTGCTGCTTCCTGGGCTGGGGTTGGGGTTGCCAAAGCCAAAGTGGCGAGAACTGAGGCGGCGATGAAGGTTGTGAATTGCATTTTGAGTTGGGGGTTTCTCTTTTAGGAGACGAAAAGGGTTATGGAACTGGTGTTGGTTTTGGGAGTAATTGATGAGGTGTTAGAGCTGATGATGTTGCTGATGAAGAGGAAAGAATCGGAGATATGAGAGGGGTATTTATATTGAATGAGGAGGATATTGAACTAGAAACAAGTATATGCCCATCAATATCTCATGTCAGAAGCTGACTCGAGGTAACGGAGATCCGGTTGGTTTCCTGCCGTGTGACGGGAACCTCACATAAGATCTATTTGCTATCAAAGGCTAATATTTGATATTTTGCTCTTGTTGAAGGGGTGTTGATTGGAAATGGGATCCTCGAATAGAATACATTTTGCAGGCTGTGCAATCAACGCGACAATATACGGATATAGTATCCTGAGATGAAAACTACGGGGGAAGAAGTTGGAATATGTCAAGATGGTAAAATTTTAGATAGTCTTGGGCAAGTCCTTGCCACTCTGTGAGGTGTTTCGTTGCGTTTGGTCCTCGACACTTGCTAATTTTGACCAACTCATGTTCCATACACCGTAGATCTAAACCTTAGCCGTAGAGACCGTAGGACTGATAGCCTCTACCCATATTATCATATCAGACCGCACACTGCTAAAGACGGATCCCAAAATATTTCCAGATTGGTGATCAACATCAGCGCTACTGATGAATAGAGACTAATATCCATCTCCATATGTGCATCCGAAGTAAAGGATCGGGCATCGCAGTAAGAGGACACTAGTTCATAAGTTATCTTGATATATTTCGCATGGGTATATCCATATAACTTCCACTAGAAGGACATTGTGATACATTAGGATCTGCCAAGAACCTGTCGGCCAGTGTCGGGGCGCTGCAAGTAAGCAGCATCCACAAGTAAGATATCTCACGATAAACCCTCGGCAAGACTTCCGAGCCCGAAAATACATTGCAAGCGCAGCTTACGTGACGGAACTACTGTGGCGTAGCAAGAGGCACAAGCTGACTCTGGTAGTACCTGGCTGATCCTCCATTAACGAGCGAGTGGGGTTGGTATAAGCCCAACTATTTGTGACATGAAACAGTAGCACAACTCACAGATCCAACCTTAGCTGGATAACCATCGGGTTTCTCTGGGTTTCCATTTGCACCGTGATCCTATCGTGGCATTCGTGGTGGCGGAATGAGATAATATCATTTCGATTCCCGAGAGAGCTAAACATCTTATGCTGACCCCTCCAGGGCGATTCCTTTGCATATTGAAAGGAGAACATCGAACTCGGTCGATATCAAAAAGGACCTGGGCATTTTGGTAAGGATCTGTGGAGAAGCTCCGTGGGTATAAATGATTTAGCTGTATGAATATCTGAATTGGATCACTTACAGCATCTCATATATCGTAACGTAATAAATGCCAATCTGCCGAATCCTTTCCTACGGCCATGTCGATTTAAGTTCAGTTCCTTCCACTGCGCCCCTGTGCTTCCCTAGATCTGATAACAAGATACCCGTGACGCCAGCAACGCCAGCAACGCCAGTAACCTTCTCGCCTTCCAGTTTAGTAGCAGACAGCGTTTTGTGCATTTTCTCCATTTTTCATTCTCGATAAGACATTTAGCTGGGTTAAATTTCGATCATTGAGTGCTCATATCTTGGCTGCGGAGGGAGAGGACGTCACTGCAAATGCTCGAAGAGCCCTTTTAAATGTCCTGTATTTTCCCTCAAACTAGCATCGCTCACACAAAGCAAGAAGAAAAAATGTTTTGCCCTCCCAAGTCTAATTTACAAGTAGCACTGTTGAGCTTCGTTCTTACAGTTGGTAATTATGCAACAAAATCGCACCCGCTTGCCACCAGGTTATGCACACACAAATTGGTATACCCATCCTCCAGACCAGCCAAATAAACGCCAAGATTAACAGTCTGCAGTCAACTCCTAGTAGTTATACATTCCTGTCCGCATTATTTTCATTCTGGCGCTGGCGTACCAGTTCCCTCACCTCCGCTACTATTCATAGGCTCATCACTTTTCATGAGGTTGGGGAAAATCATCGAGGGGTCTGCATCATCCATGTCTGGGACATCACTCAGATCACTCTCATCATCTGCACTGTCATGTACGCTTCCAGGAGCAGAGCTATCGTCGCTCTTCTCTTCGGTTTCTTGAGCAGTGGCACCTTTGGTCCTGGGACCTGGGGCGCTGATTTGTTCTAGATCTCCGTTCGAGCCTAGAATCATTGTAGGTTCAGACAACATCGGGCGAGAAGGTGCAGGCGTGCGAGAAACATCGGACATGCGACCCACAGCTAGTTCTGCTCGGCGTAAGACTTCTCGTCTGCTGATGCCAACCTTTCGAGGTCGGGAAGGCTCTGAGCCAGCGAAGGTAACTGGTACAGGAATCTGCGTCCCACTCATATCCATGACGAGGTTGTTGAGACTCATTCGTCCCATTGGTCGAGGGCCTGTTGCCATCTCCCCATCAGCGTGAGGTCTTAGAGCTGGATCAGGGCCTGGAAGAGTCTTTGCAACTTGGGTGTACAGAACAGCCCACGCATCATTAATCAAATCATCAATGGGTGCTGGCTTCATTTGATTCGCATTTAGCTTTTTGAGTTCAATGGTCTCCCGTAGAGCATCTAATGTTGGGTGTAATATTGTCGGGTCTGTGACCCAGCCATTGAGCCGGTCGGAAAACTCCTCAAACTCTTCATGAGGGACGCTCTTGAACACCTCGTCCATGTTGGCAGGGATGTTGGCCGCCCGTCGAATAAGCCGCAAGTAGGTTGTGCAAACCTCACTCCACACGACGCTGAAGCGGTGGAAATCGGGTGCTTTCTTCCGGACACGTTTTGCCAATTGCTCCATGTTGGTTTTGTCATTGAGGACTAAGAGGATCTTGCAAATATATCTAACATATCGTTCCATGTAGACGCAATGCCGTCCTGGTCGTTCGGCATCCGGCTTCCAGACTTGGATGTGCATAGTTTTGGTGAAAATAGACTCGCGGAACTCGTGACGTGCAGCTGATGCCTGCACATAGTCGGGATGCTCTTCATCATACAAGATGTTTGCTACTCGAGCGATCATGCGATGATGCCAATGCTGTTTATCCGCACTTCGTAGATGTCGCATGGTTTTCAGTATAAACGACTCCCACACCTCCTGATCATGAACTTCGATATGCTCTCCTTTGTCAACAGCATATGGTTGCCGTTGTAATAGATCGGCCGCAGCTTGAGGTTGCATTGCTCCGAGCAAGACTAATTTGTGGACAACCGAAGCTAGTTTATAGTGAGGTTCAAGAATTGGTTCTTGGCGACCATCTCTTGGTTTTGGGACAGTCTCGATGGTTTTGATGAGGGCACTCAAGACCGACTCCATGGATGGCTTAGTGGCTTGGACTTGCGGGTCCCATTCATCAGCAGCCTTGCAAAACATCTTCCACAAACATTTCCCAAGCATATAATAATTCCTTGGGCAGTTAGTACATATAGTGCAACAATTTGGGTATGTTCAATTTTACTCACATCCAATGATTAGGCCGATCCGCTAGACTCTTTCTGAACAATGTAGCGGCATACTTCCAAACCCGGTAGCGGCTCATCTCGTCATGTAAAGGCTTTTTGTACATGCCAGTGGAGCCACTCATATGCTTTTCAAACTCGTCTACCCAGAAGGCTTCCATACCGAAGGGTTCGCGTGATGAAGCGTACAACCGCATTCCAAAGTCGTAGTACATCTCCGAGAGCTTCTCGGCTGTGGCGGGAGAATCATCAGCAGTCCGAACCGCAGTTGACAGTGCCATCACATAACAGTGGATGGCACTACGTTGCAGCTTGACGAGCTCTGCTCGGTGATTGTTTATCTTATCCGCACTCCACATAACCTCCTCCTCTAATTCGTAATCAAAGCATTGGGCGAGGCGATACCAGGTCTCCCAATCATCCGGAGTGAATTGCAGCTGCAATCTAATGAAACTCGCACTGACTCGCAGATCATCTTGCTGAGCACCCGGACCAAGGCGCCTTTGCGAGCGAAATTTTGTCAAGGCGATGATACCATGTAAGAAATACCAACCTTTATCTGCAAGTGAACTCTCTGGCGTAATAACAGGTAGGGAATCAACTTGGAGCTGCCCTTTCAAAGCCTTATACATATCCAAAGGCCGTATTGAACCCTTTAGATAATCGGAATAGTTCCGGAGATTGTGCAACATTTGTGGAGAGGACTTTGCCTGGCCAACAGCTGCCTGCATCTTCTCGATGGTAGAGCGCAGCTCATGCTTGAGGAGATCTTTCATTGGCATCTGGATCGCTAAAGCGATAACGTGGTCCGCAATGCTGAGGACAGTTCGTCTGTCAAGTGGCTCGGTGGGGCAGCCGTGGTCTTCCAATGGATATGTTCCTACGCCGAGACGGATGGCATAAAGATCATAGAGGACTTGGCCTAGATAATCTTCCCACCTGTCGACTTCCTTGAGACGGAGCATTTCCATCTTCATCATTTTTAAGAAGATCTTGTTCGAGGCTTTGCAAAATTTCCGCAGCCCTAAGCAATTGTGAACAAGTGCTAAGAACTCTGCAAGATCATTACTCCGATCTGGAAAGAGTTCTGCATTTTGGGCCATGGCTTCCTTGACCATACAATACTGCAACGACCATGTCCGGACTTGCATCTCGCGAAGCTTGTTCGCAAAGCCAGTGAATGATCCATGGGGGGAGTAGGCCGGATTTTGAGGTAACTGTGTAATGCCAACTCTGACCTCATCATCGAAGATAGCTGCGGTATGAAGCACCGTTGTTAGCTGCGCTAGGGCGGCACAGGTCGTCTTGATATGTCTGTCATCAATGATCTCGAAGCAGGTGGCTGCATCATTGAGAGCAATGGTGAGAGATTTCACCAATAAGTCATCTAAAGCCTTTAGCCACGTCAACAGCCTGTGCCGACGAGGCTCATCCGCGCTATCAACATAGTCGTCTGTCCTCAAGTCGCCAACAATAATTTCAATGCTTTTCAGGTGACAAGAGAAGACCTTCGTATTGTATCCAATGCTTGAATAAGCGTCTCGGAGTCTCTGCCACAGGAATAGACGTAGTGAGGTGCTCCCTGCTTTCAAGAACTTCCACATATCCCGTAGGGCGGCTGGCGTGGTATCCATGGTTTCCACGCCAGCTCCAGTATCGCCGTCAGGCTGTGGTCGCTGGCAAGCTGACTCGGGATCCAAGACTGGCTCCAATGTCTCGATAATAGCCACGGGATCTGATGTGTCAGTCTGGAATAGATTGAAGAAGAAGTCCATTGTAGTGAGCCTTGAGACTTCACGTTCAGCTGCATCGACGGATATCTCTGGCATCACGTCGTCGTTTTGGAGCTCAATCGGTTGAGTGCCGGCGTCTTGGAGTAGAGTCCGCAAATCAGACCAACAGAGAACTTTGTGCTCGCGGGATACATTGTCTGCCATGGTAGCGTAGAAGACAGAAGCCCAGATATATCTTAGGGAGATCTCATCATTGGCATCGTACTTTCCGGTTCGAAGGACACTCGCCGCCAAGTCTGCCCACCTATCCAGCCGCTCTTTGGTAATTACCCGCGTCTCGTATTGCACAATACTATTAGGGTTCGTGATGCGAGAATAAATGTCAAGGTGGAGCTCGAAGAAGGTTTGAGCTAGCTCATCCAACTGTGCCGAGTCACTCTCGTGTCCAGATCCGCTCCTGGCACGTTCCATCTCTTCTTGAAATCGATTGAAGATATCTGCATCTGCAAAGGTAATGATCCGGACGATGGCAACCTTTAGATCTTCAGACCACAAAGTTCCTCGGTAGGTCCGCAGAACTGCAAGAAGCCAGTCGTAAATCACGTCTTGAAGCGAAGTCCACTGGTCTCGGATCGTTGCGACAAACGATGATACCCCTTCAGATTCAGAAAATGGAGGAATGCTGCTGAATTTCAGTGGTCCTGATTTGGAGTGTTCAAGAAAGGCAGCAAGGCCGGCGTTTGCGCTAGCAGCAGACGACCCCAAAATGTCTGCAGCATTCGCATTTAAGAAGGTTGACGCTTTATCATCATCCCAAGCCTTGAGAATATCTCGCAAGTCTCTGATGGCAGTATTGGCCAAAGCCTCGTTATGGTCGGATTTGTCGTCATTTGACAAAGCAGCTTGCAACTCTGAAAAAGGTTCGAGATCATACACTTCTAACTTATTGAGGAGTCTACCGAGGAAAGAGAATACGTCTCCATCGGCTTGGACATAGGGCTTGAGTTGTTCTGCATACTGAGTAGCTGGATCGACAGAACCCTCCGTATTGTCACGATTTCTAATGCGCTTGCTACGCTTCTGGGTGCCATTATCTTCTTCTGGTGTCTCGCAGATACCAGCTGCAGATTGAGATCGTTTCCTGGTGGGCAGAGCAACGCTTGACTGCCGACGGCTCTCATCTGAAAGAGGTACGATCGTAGTAGTAGTTATAGTGGTGACAGGAGGGTCGTCCGGTTTACCAGTAACATGGGTAGCAACTGTTGCCTCACTGCTCTCGGCACTCGGTGATTTGATTGTCTCAGGATCCTTCATGATTTGATCTTCGGCGGCCGTGGGTTCGGATTCAGCATCGTGTTCGTCGGGAACAGTGAGGAGAATACCAGTACCAGAAAGGCCATGTGACGAGAGAAAAGCAGTGCATATCGCATCCCCAATAGCGGTCCATCCTCTCTGGGGACAGTTAATAACAAAACGATTATCCACTTCCATACCCTCGCGCTCCGTATCGTCTAACACGCCTGGGATATTGCCACCAAGAGATTTGGTTGGATCCGGCAAAAATGCATATGGATCCATATATTTTGTGAGGTAGCTCGGCATTGTCTTCTTCAAGAAGGGGGCCATAACAGGGTGGGATAAAGCAGTATCATCGCCCAGGACTTGAAGTTGTTCTTTCAGTTGTTCCCCTGCAAATCCTTCTTCTAACGAGGCAGGATCAATTTCAGCAACTGTGGGATCGTCATCCACTTCTACCGCAGCCTCAAGACAGTACCTAGCAACCCTCCTGCTACCCAAAGTCGCCGCTACGCGCGCTGCTCGTCGCCATAATTCCGTATCCGATGGATCACTGGCTAGGGCTAAAGTAAAATAATTTAAAGCAGCTCTGGCCTGATGGTCGACGGAGGATATGTCGAAAGGTTCGCTTCCTGAGGGACCGGGACGTGGTATTTGACTCTTCACACAATCTAATATAAACTGCCCGTGGTTTTTGTATGAGAGGTATAATATTTGGGGGAGTGTGCTTGGAGCTCCGTCCGCGCCAGCACCAGCGAGGTCGAGATCGAGCACGAAGGACGGGTCTACCAGCTCCAGTTCTGGATTTTGGCATATTCGGTCAAATTCGGTAATGCTTTCCGGGTATTTAAATATTTCGGAATTGAAAAGGGTGGTGTATGCGTCTGCGGCCTGCGAAAAGCCAGCTGGGCCCTGGGAATGGTATTTAAGGGCGACTTGATATAATTTCAACCCTTCTTCAATCTTCCCAGTATGTCAGCGCGAGCATAGAATGAACGGAAATGTAATTCGTACCTGTAGTTCCTTTGTATTATCGACTTCGTCATCGATTTGGTCATCTGGTTCGATGTTGAGGGCTGTAAAGGTAGACTGCTCGCCATGTCAGTCAGAGGAAATCTAGCATCACTGCTCTTGAAGCGGCACATACCATATTTGCTGGCCGTTGAAGGAAGATCAAGAGACTGGAAGACCTGGATGACCCGGACAAGCTATTGTCTCATTATCCAAGTGGTATTGTCCAGGACTCGTCGCGACTGATCTGCTTCAATGCTTGTTCCCGGCTAGATGATTCACGCTGATCAAGGGCCTCTCGGGGTTCTAGAGGCTAGATGACAACGCCTAGCGTCTGATGGTGCGCAGTATAATTCAAAGAACCAGATCCCACCTTGGGTGGTACCATCCGCAGTGCTGCAAGGCTGATATCTGAAGAGGCCAATACAGTTAGGCGTGTTGGAGCGAGGCGCTGGCCAAATCGAGTCCGTCGAAGTAGTGTAGGACTGGGTAGAGCTTGGGCCTAAACGCGTCAGAGTCCTTGGAGTAGAGAATCGCTGGGCGAAGTATGAATGATTATCGCCGGGGAGATCAAGTTCAAAACTGACACTTGAGAGTACCGTTTAACCGCGCGCTTCTCTCGCCATGATTATTCCGGAATTATGTGGCGGGTTTTCAAGGCTCGACAAGCGCGATAAACGAGCGGTAAATTTAAGGTTTAACGTGCCTGACTAGGAGAGCCGCCGTCGCCCCAAAACCCGGACTTTAGCCGTACTTTGTTAGGCCAGGAACCTTGGTAGGCAGGTACATGTATCCATGGGTAGGCTTTTGTTATCAACGAGACATCTTTCAATGCCTTGTCTAGATGAGATGGCGCTGAATTCAGACGTCTAAACTGGAAGGCAATCCAGCGATGTGCTTCAGTGATTTGCAATGTTAGACTGCTCGTGGATTGTAGTTATATATGGACACAGTCTGGTTATAACTACGAAAACCAGACATTGAGTAAATAGTAAGCCCTTTAATAGTTAGCATCTACGCATTAAATATTAGTGTACGAAGTACGAGAGCATAAAGCTTCTAGTTAGAGGTTTAACTCTTTCTATTTAGGATCGCGATTCACGTGATAAGGCTGAGTGCTTGTGCACGGTCCACTTCCAGGTTCCTGGTCTTGAATTGTTGTCTTTGGTTCCTTTAAGACACCACCAGGACTCGAACCAACTTCATCGCCAGCTTCAAAGACGCCCTGCTCTTGCGATTGCCAATTTGTATCGCGAGAAGCAGCCGTCTCTACCGTCTCTGGTTCATTGCTGTTCTCGTGTGCGCCTAAAAGAACCCTCATAAACTCGTACTAAGGACACGATGGTTGCGCCAGCTGTTCCGGAGTAGGCATACCCATCCCGGCTTGAACTTTATGTTACTTATCTTTCCACGATAATATGCTAATCGCTTGGCTCAGAATCACGGAGGAGATTCTCCATGAGTCGATTGATGCACGAACGGACATCTTGTCATCGCTGCGAGAGTTAGGCCCCCCAGATCTGGTTCAATTGATAAAACAAGCTCCGAGAAATCCTGGGAAGCAGGTACGTTACGATGTGACAGGAGCTTTGAAGGATGATGTATTCTGATTTACTTTAGACTGGGGTGTATCACCATGTTACTGGAGTGGATGCATCTTCGTCTGCCAGTCTGGCAGCATACATTAATACTCTCACATACAAAGAAAACCATCAATCCACCACCAAGATAGTTGAAGGCGTTTATTGGTACGTGGCGATGTACTCATGCGTTTGTGAACTAGCTAATTCCATATAGTTGCTATAATGCATTCTCGCGACTCGACATGCGGGTGCATGTAACGATACCCGGAAGCGTTGACGGCTACTGCATCGATGAGCGTGGGGAGAAGAGACAAGCTTCGGATGAGTTGTGGCTGGAAACATATCTTTGCAGTGTTTTACGTGCATACTCATATGCAGATGACGGGAGTGGAGACATAATCAAGAAGATCATGGCGGTTAGGAGGTTTAACCCGGTCACCAATACAGAAACTGAGCACCGTTTCCTACAAGCAGCTGAGCAGTTATTCTTCAGGGGTGAGTGCCGACAATTCTTGTCTCCACGAGCGCCAAACTAATCAGTATAGGTTGGCAACTCGGCTCTGATTCGGTTGTTCAAGTTCCCAACAATGTCTCGAATCATCTCACTGCCGGACTTCTCAAATACTTCCGTACAACTGGGCGATTCGCATCAGGAATCAACCTGTTCGAAAAACTCCGAACCCGAAATGTCGAAGTCTCATCGCTCCTGGCAAAGGTCCTATTTATGGCCAACGAGGGAGTTCAGGCTGTCAGAGTGTTGCACGAGTCGGTTAAACAGTCACCTATGGATTATGTGATGCTTGATACACAAGCAGAATTTTTAAAGAACAAGGCCCTCAATCCGAATACTCCCGAGCTCAAACAGGAAAGATTACGGATGGCACTTGGTTGTGCAGATCGAAGCACCGTTGCTGCTCCCAGCGAGTTTGGTACATGGGCGAGATTGGCAGAAGTCTACGTTGCTATGGAGGACTGGGAAAATGCGTTGACCACTCTAAATTCCTGTCCTATGTTCACATACCAGGACAAAGATGCCCCAGTCATGCCAGAACCCAAGGAAATTTACTTGCCTATCCTACCGGAAGCTCGTTTGGATGAACTTGAGACCGAGCCGGAATCGAAATATGGTGAGCCGACCCACCCAAGTCTATCAAATCTCCGAGCCGCCCAGTACCGAGGGACATTTAAGCACGCCTACAGCATATTGACCGAAATGACCGCGAAGATTGGATGGGATCAGCTGCTGAAGATTAGGAGTAATGTGTTTGTGATGGAGGAAGAATACCGCAGCGAGAAACAGCCGCCTGCTGGCCAACAAGGTGATACAGACAAGCGTAACCCAAGCACAGACGTACTGAGAGGAAGTCCAGGTCCTCCGGTAAATGGCGACGACCACACCGACGACGGAAAGAGCACGAATGGCGGCGCAGCCTTGCCTTCCGTAGTGGCAGAGAACGGGCCGGCAGAGAACGAATCGGCAGAGAACGAATCGGCAGACAACGAACCGGCAGAGAACGGGCTGGCAGAGAACGAGCCGGCAGTAGATGAGCCGGTAGAGAAGCCATCGCACACAGTGACGCCAGAGGAAGCCAAGGGAGGCAATGAAGATGTTAGTATCGACCCCGATATGTTTTAGCTTGCTGACCCAAATTAGTCCGAAGCAACAGAAGAGCAACTGTCCAGATTCAACAATAAACGACTATGTGAACGCTGGCTTGATAGCTTATTCATGGTGCTCTACGAAGACCTCCGGATATACACGATCTGGCGCACTGAAATGGCCCAATATCGGGCCCAATCCATGCAATACAAGAAATCTGCCGAAGAATGGGAAATACTTGGCTCACTTGCAGACCGTCTCCATCACCACAGCGAAGCCGTGGAAGCTTACCGAGCATGTCTGGCTATCCGCTTCTCTCCAAAAGCTCTATTTGGCATCCTCGCCGATCTCGAAAAGAACAAGAACACGCGCGAGACTGTTGCAGCTGTGATCCGCCTAATCACCTGGCAGTATAAATGGTACTCGGAGTTTAGCCCAGAATTGCTTCTAACAATACGCACATTGATCGAGGACGAGGGCGCCGTGAAAGTCAGGAGCATCATCCAGGCCACAAGCATGCCACAGAACGTGTTAGATTTAACGCACCATTACGCGGCGCTCTGCGCAGCGTTTAGGAGCAGTGGAACGGAGGCTTGAGGGTGATGGCATGGACGGCATTTGGCACTTTCGACGTGGATGCCGAAGTTTTGGCGAGCAAGTTTTCAGTAATATCCAAATGAGCGAGCGAGATGCGTTACACCAAGTTTGGAGGATAAGGAATTAAGTTCTGACACTTCGTGGCTGATGAAAGGCACTGTGTATAATAGATAGCAATCTGGCTTTGCCAAAAGAAACGCTGCCTGGTCTTAAGTCTAGGAGAGGCCACTTAGCCTTGTTCCCTAAAATTTCTCCGACGATGTGTCTCATTATCTAGCAGAGCGAGCTAGTTTCTCAGCTTTTAACGGACCTGACCTTGGCAAGCTGGTACAATGCTTTGACAATCATTTTTCCCACGGCTGCCCTTCCCTGCGCCGACACATGCGCAACGCAGATAAGGTGTATTATGAGCATCATAGAGAAGTATGTACCTTCAAAGCGGTTGGAGACCGGCGTTCCGCTAAAAACAGGCGAGTCGCTACTCGAGTACTCGAGGAATTGCTAATTTCTAATATTTTAATGAAGGCTTCGCAAGTCTCACAACTGTGCCTCCGTGTCCGTTTAACATAACCTAGGTAGGCATCAAGAACAAATTCGTATCTACGGAATGTTATCAAGGCAAGAATCAGAACTGACGTCTCATATGCGGCTTGTTTAAAAGGCAGACGGACGGGCAGAAGGAGCAATGCCCATCCAAAGGCCAGGAGCAAAATCGACAAATCGCACCAGATCATCGTCTTTATCTATAACCTACTCAACTCATATACTTGCCCCTACTTTTGTGTTTTCGGCTCTCATCATTGTCTCACAATCCCGTTGTGTTAGTTCACGCAGTCCTAAATTCCTATTCTTGAACACAATGTATCATCTCATCAATACCGTTGCAAACGTCTCATATTCTGGTATGTACATCTATATATTTTTAAGCTACCGATAATTAATATAGACATAGAACCCTCAACATACTTTTATCCGTCCTTATTTACAAGCACTGTGTTCTAATCAGCATATGGTTAATCTCAGAATTTCCTGGGGAAACTTACCTGCGAGTACCAATCGTTTGAATATTTACAAGTGGACCCGGCTTCGCAAGTGCCTGAGCCTTGCCAGCCTGTTCCTCCACTAATTTATCATTAACCTACGGCCCGATTTGGTTTCAATATAGAAATGTACTTACCATTGACCATATTTGGCAATGCTCCCTCCAGGCGACGGGACAGTCGGGGTACTGGGCGTGGAGGTAGTAGTGACTGTTTGCAACGTGGTTGTTGGAGTGCTTCCACTACCGTCGCTAGGGAATTGGTTTCCAGTAATGCCAAACCAATCCAACACATCGCTTTCTCGGACGGGAACCGTATGGCCAACGCCGACAGCGCTATATGCAACATACTGTTTTCCATCGCCATAGATCATCTGGGTATAGTTGGGCAATGGCGTATTGGTATTATTCTTGGTTAAAGAAATACCGAAGACATTCGACCCTAGTTCTCGTTAGCACCTGTATGCTTTTGGGGATATATCAGCATTAATAGGTGAGCCACCTACATTGTTTATTTGCCTCGACGAAATTCTGATAATAGAGAGTAGTATCAGTAGTTCCATGCCAAAGTTGCAGCCTTGGCCTAGTTCCAGTATATCCCGGATATCCTGCTCTGACCTGGTCTCCCCAAGCCTGCGCCGTCTTAATCAGTTGCCCATTAGCACACTGGGAATTCCATTCACTAGCCCCAGCGAAGCAGCCATACGGGACCCCCGAGAATGCCGCGCCAGCAACGAAGAGATCTGGATAGGCGCCCGCAAGGACGTTGGTCATCATGGCTCCCGATGAGGTGCCAGTCATGAACACCTTTTTCGTGTCCACGTTGTACTTCGAGATTGTGTACCGAACCATGTTAGCAACACCCAGGGAGTCACCACCTGCATTGTGCGTCAGAGTCTCGGTGCTGTGGACATCCCAGCAGCCGCCAGATGTTGGCGCATTGGGGTAGATGACGATGAAGCCGTATTGTTCTGCTAGGTTGGAGTACTGAGTCCCGGAATAGTACGCTTGCGCTGTGCCGGAGCAGTAATGCATTGCAACAATGACGGCAGGATTCGCGGCGAGCTTTGCAGGCACACAGATGTACATGCCGACATTCGTGGGATTCGACCCAAAGCCCGTCACTTGCTGGAGGGTACATGCCACTGTGCTTGTAGCCGCTAGAGCCGCTGCCAGGAGGCCTCGAGATAAGGTGGAAGAGAACATCGTGAACAAGATCGTCTTCTGGAAGCACGCCGTGAATCGTCAAGTACTCGCAATTGCATTTCTCTCGGATCACGGCCAGCACGGGTCTTTATATTTCTATTCTCTACAAACAAGCCTTGCTTAAAATCGGCTTAGACTCCGACTTCTGCTTTCCCAAAGTCAAAAACATTAGGCAAAACAGCTACGCTTTTCCCGTTTCGGAGTCATGTATGGCCAATATCTCCATCCAATCTCTTAAAAAGGGTTCAGAATAAAGCTATATCGCTACCCACAACACGGCCCACGGTAATCAGGTGGTCATCTGGATAAATAACCACCTACGATTGCCGAGGCGGCTGAATGAGAAAACTCGTGGACTGTTCATTTAGCAACCCTATCCTCACGTTGTGGTCTAGGCCATTTATACCCAAAATGGGAATTCTACTTCGGCTGCTTCCGAATGCGCGATAGCAATCATTGGAGGCTCTGACCCCGCAATTTAATGCGCTGCGTGGCAAATGCAAGCTTCGTCCCAGGGTTCTGGGGGCTGCCGAATCGGAGGCGCTGGGGCATATCACAGTGGGTTATACTCCGTAGGGCTTCGCCGGACGCCTGGCTCCGTCCACGGAACAAGCTTCTTCCAGCGCCCTGTCGATTTATTTATATGTCCGATGTTAAGATCCTATTTATACTTGTATGCCCGCTGTGAAAGCATTGCCTTCCCTTTATTCCTTTCGTCCGGTTTGCTCGCCGAAGACATCTGGCACCTGCACAGCTGTTAATTAATCAAAAGTTACGGGGCTGCTGTGAAGGAAGTCATTTCCGTCTTCCTGATACAATGGGGAAGACACAGCGGGACAAGGTTCACATGGAAGCAATTATGATGCGCAGTAGCCAGGTTGCCCATCTTGTTAGATTTTGTTCTTGATGCCTAGTGGATTCTTCCCTGCTCCTTGCCATTTATCCTCAAACTATTGCTTTCCTAGCATCCAATCACATCACATGCCTAATTTCCATTGTGTTTCTACCAGCCCTCCATTATCCTCCATTATCCTCCATTATCCTCCATTATTACCACATGTTTATTTCATCACTATTTCAAGAATTAGCATTTAATCCTTCGGCTTCTAAGTACATAGAGCATCAGGGGCATCGGCGGCATACTTGATCTTAAGATAAACACTGCCAACAGCCATCCTTCTTCAATTCTTATTGCTGTGCGAATCAACCAGTCGCTCGTGTTTGACCTCGAGTTCGGAGAGCTCTGCTATTGGTTTTTGATTATAGAGTTGTTCTTTGGTATGGTGTTGGTATCGAATGCTTTTGATAAGGTGGAACGTCTCCAGGTATCTGTTGAAGAAGATGGGTTGAACAGTTTCTTCGATGGTTTTGACCATAACCACCTTGGTATATTTGCTTTTCGATGGTGGTGACATTTGGTGATAGTATTCCAGCATGCCCATCATGTTTATTACGCAGTATATACTGCATACGTTGTACTTCCGATTCTGGTGTCCGTTGCTGTGGACGTGGGAGTAAGGCGTCGTGATTTTTTCTGTGGCGGTCGCATTTCCAGGCTGTGCTCTGACCCCGAACTGTTGCCTCTGGGACTCTCCTGCCCCTTCGTTGAGAATATTGTCATCGATCATATATTAGCGCCAGCTAAACATTATTCTTCCAGCCGCCTCCGATGAAGTCTCTCCGCAAGAATCTGTTGCTGTGGAACCGACTAATCACGCTTCTCAACAACCACCATATTTAACTAGAAACGGAAGACATACATAACACGGCGATGGAATGACTATCCATTTATTTCATCGTTAGGGTGGTGTTTCCGAGTCTCGACATGTCCATATTTTATGGCAACCTAGCTTTGGCTATGAAGGCAGCTTTGGGTTCAAGTGGTTGTTTTGCTTTTTCGTTTGGTAGTTCTGTTTTGGAATGTTTGTTTGGTAGGTTTGTTTTGTGGGTTTGTTTGGCACCTACTTACCTACCTACCTACCTAGGTTTGTTTTGGTAGGTTTGGTTGGTTTGTTTTGTGGTTTGTTTGGCATCTAGGTAGGTAGGTAGGTTTGGTAGGTTTTGTTTGTGGGTTTGTTTTGGTAGGTTTGTTTGGTACCTAGGTAGGTAGGTAGGTAGGTAGGTAGGTAGGTTCAGTAGGTTTGTTTTGTGATTTTGTTTGTTATTCCGGCCACCTCGCCACCAATCTACCAGCGCGGCTTGGTGTGCCTTTGCAATGCCGCTGATTAGAAACTGATGTCTAACTCAGGGCTGACAAACTTTGCCAAATCAGGTTCGCTGTCTAACTTCTGATAACTGTGGCAGATCCTGAGATGAATAGCATTTGGAAGGACCTCCTCGCCGCTCGTCTCTAAACTGGCTGTTGAGATCCAGTGTCCACAGGGAATGTCTAACCTGCCCATCAAACTGATATAAGACTCCTGAGAGAGGCGATTTTGAAGTGGCTGATTGCCGTTGCCAAATACTTCCAGCTGTGACACTGGAATGGCGTATACGTGGTTTGTAAGGATGTACGACTGTTTATACAGAGACCCTTGTTTTTCAAGATACATGATCTCGTCGGGCCTGTGTGTCGAGTTTTTCAGTGGTGCTAGGCACTTTGGAAATTGAGAAATCGGAAGATTTCGCACTTTTTCGAAGCAATTTGGTCGCGGATTGGCAGAAATGGAACAACAAAGTGTCATGATTTCCCCACCCTCTTGGAGCTGGTCCTGAATATGTAGGACAACTGCTGGGTGGTTGTATGCCGCCGTTTCAAGTGACCGGTGTTGGCAATTGTCTTGCACACATCGACATTCATATTCGCTGTCCTTTGGCGCGAGGAAGACAATGCTGCCGATCGCGACGTTTCTTTCCGAACATGGGGTTCTTAGCTTCTTTGGGCTTTTTCCTTGGTGCTGGGTATCGTGGCCTTGGTATGTTTGAAGTTGTTGGATATGCCGCTGGATACCAAACAGCTGGTTGCTATATTGGTGCCACTGATAGTAGGGCTGTATATAGAATTGCGGAGGATACTGAGCTGGAGACAGCTGAAAGGCGGATGACGGGTATTGAATGCCCTCCATATTGCTTGCTGTCGAATTATAGCTGAACAGCGTGGAAATAGGGCCTCTAGGAACCGGAAACTTCGCCGAGTGCCCAACGCTACTCAAGATGTAGAATGCAGCGTGACTATCAACTCGGGAGACAAAGTCGATATTTTGGAAATGAGCTAAAGAAACTTAAAGAAAATATATTTCATGGAGATGAGCGAGGGGCTTTTGTAGGAGAATCCATCAACCTTGCTGGACATACCCGTTAGGCTAGTGAGTCAAAGCTGGCGAGTCAACACTTTGAAGCTTGCCATTGTTCAACATGGCGGTTATCGTGAGATTATGCTAGACATAGCCGCTCTCCCATCGGGCATCCCCGACTTTTGAACCACTAGGTGAAGATGACTTCAAAGTCAGAACACTCGCCCCAACTCTTCTTTGGCAACCATAATTCCCCGAGTTGGAGTCGCCCTCTAGGTATATTTGCAGAAAAGGGCATTTCCTACTCCTATTATGGCATTGTAGATATGTGTCTTAGCTTCTGGTAGTTGAACTCTAATATTTGCCTCGGCTTGTTTTTGTCCACCCCTTGAATCCCTTCCTTCTCGCCCAGCTACTGGGCTTTGACTCAAGATTGGAATAGCATCTTATCCGATCCTATCCTATTGTACGCGGTGAAACCTGTGGCAATAAAATCGCTTGTCAAACACACCGCACGTCGCTTAACTGGCTGCTCTTCAAGTTAAAACAACTGTAAGTTGGTCTCTTTCCTCAAATTTAATTCCTTAAACAACCACACACGACAAGCGTTTTCACAGTCGCCGACTCGAGACCAAATGCCTCTCAACAAGAACCGGCGTCTTTCACGTCGTCGGGCGGACGAACCCCTTCCAGTATACGACCAAACCGCAATCCCGACAATGGCGGAACAGACACGCCTTTCAAAACGCAAAGCGAAAGGCAAGAGATGCGTATGCGCCGTATGCCGTCCCAAACGCCACGTTCAAGGCCGCTTTCGGCGTCAGCATTGGACCTTCAAGTATACGCTTGCCCTGACTGTGGTTCTATGCTGCTTCTACCTTTACCTTCAGTATCGCCGCTCGCGTGCTCCCATGAAGTATGATCTTACCTCTTCAGTTATATTTCTTGCTAATAAGAAATTCCTACTAGTGCCAGCTAGACGATCAACTCACTGTCACTTGAACTCTTGTTTCGGTCTGTTGGCGCGTGCAAACGTGGCTCGCTTCGTGTGTCTTGCAAAGTCTGCCCTTTTACGTTACTTCTACTAACATTTCACAGGAAAGACTTTACGAGTACACAAAGATTGAAACCTGGGTTATGATAGATGGACCGATGGATAGAGGACATACGGATAGCGCATGCATGGGCGGATGGGCGGAGCATTCATGGTGGATGGATAGGGAGTAGCTTCTTCTGATTTACCTTCCCATGGAATCCACCTTCCCATTAAATTCACTTCCCCATGCAATCTGATATCCCTGCCACCCGATCTTGCAATGTGAGTCTGAATTTAAAAATTATTTGGGGTGGATCCCGACCGTAATGATGCCAGAAACACTTGGAAACAGGACGAGAATTTGAGCAAGGTGTAACGGAACCTCAAAGGAACCAAGGCGACCTAAAAATGCCCTTTGAAGCGTTAAAATGGCCTCTCTTCATCCATGCTCGGGCTACACTCAGGTCGTTCTCACCCCAAAGTAAAACCAGGGGCCAAAACCCAAGTTTGACTTTAGTGGTAATTGCAGGGTGTTGTGGACCAACTTGTGGTATGGTTGTAGTTCTTTGAAATCGCTCGGGCCATTAAGGGAATGGACCCTTCCCACGCTATCCTACCCTCACTAAATAAGGTTCAGCTAAGACCTACAACAATGGCTCACTGTGTTTTTGAATTATGACGCAGGAATTTCAATAGCGTCAAGCATAGTGCACATTGCAACCCAGCACTATCTTAGTGTACCTTCTCTCTAACGGCTTTCCTTTGGGGAGCTCCATGGTTTCGGCCACCTAGTTTATCAACAGTGCATCACAATAATTGCATAGGTAGTTACAGTCACTAGCCAGTGTGGCAATAGAGTTTAGACCCTTTTAGGTGCTTCACAGGAGGGTAGGTAGGGCTCATGGAGCCCAAATCTTATTCATACACTGTTGGTATCATGTGCTATACACCCTCAGAAATGGCGAGGATATCTGTCAGGCCAGTATTGATAGTGTGCATTAAGTTATTCAGGTTCCTGCTTGTTTTCTACGGCTAGATACACTTGTATAAACACTAGCGATGATGCAGATTAGTTGAGGCATGACTTTCTGCTAAGTGGTTCAGGTCAAATTGTCTTCTGGAGAGGATCGATAGGGGCAAAAACGACAAAATGCGAAAACGACAAAAATCGGCAAGAGATGTCGGCATTCGACACCGGGCCGAACTCTTTTGCTTCCAGAGCCTGTATAATATTTTTACTCGAATTTTTTGGTCTCCTTTCATTGCTTTTGTTTAGGAACGGATCTTGAGATTCTATTATGTCTCGTCTATTGTAGGTTGGCAAGGGGATTGTATTTGCCTACATGGAGGCACCTTGTATTTTGGTGGCACGTGATACACCCCCCTTTTTCATTAAAACAGCATGTAGTCGCAGCTCAGCATATAATCCATACAATGACGAAACGGCCTCGTTATACGGCTCAGTTAATGCCAGCTCTATTTCAATATACCTCGATAGTTACTCAGCCCCAAAATACGTACCGTGCACATAACTCGGCAGCCCAATCGTCACTCTCTGACGCATCGTAACGCTATAAAGCGCCGCAACTAGACGAATCGCATACCAACCACCATTTCTCTCCAATCGAATGGAAGAATCATAGTTGGCACAGATATGAGTCTGCATGCGCCGTAGGTTTCTCCTGGCCAATTGTACTACCATCACGTGCACTCCATTCTCCCAGGCAACCAGGCAGGCAGCCAAGCATCCCGCCATGGGCCAGCGCAGTGTATATATCTCGGGCGCCTTCGCGCGTCTCTGACTTTCCTTCCTTCCTCACCACACCATTCGGGTCGCAAACAACCACGAGAATCTCTGGACTTTCTTTGAACCTCTAGAGATATCCGCCAGGGCCCAGTCAATCTTTTTGTGCGTCGATTCTTTCTCTCGACTCCTCACGCTCTTTCCATCGCTCGCTCCATCAACCCCTCCCTTCGTCCCTCACAGACCCAACCTCAACGTCAACACAACACCCCACCGCAGCCATGTTCAAGCGTTCTTTCAGGTCAAATGATCGCGTGGAGAAGGCGGCGAAGTTGAAGAAGTCTGTAAGGGATCCCGCGAAGCTTGCGAAAATAAAGCGGTCCTTCGAACAGAGCTTATCCCCCGGGAGGTATGCTGCCTGCGCATCGCAAACCAAGCGAGCACAGACTGACGGACGCGCAAATAGTTCTCTGACCTCGCCGATTGTAACCTTTACAGTTGGCAGAGAAGGACGGCTCTTTGCTGCCCACGAAGATGTTCTTTCCTTGTCGCCGTTTTTCACAGCGGCTTGTCGAGGACAATTCCTCGAGGCAGGAAGCAAGAGGATCGATCTCCCAGATGAAGAACCGGAAATCTTCTCTTGTGTTCTCGAATACCTATACGTATGCGTGGCTTGATTGATTTCCTTTTATCAGTTATTTAAGCATATATTTAAAGTTATAGTTGCTGACCCACAAGCTCCACAGAAGGGCGACTACTACCCCCGCTTGGTGCACAACAAGCGCAGAAGCTCTTGGGAACTTGAGGATGCTGAGAAGTCACCAAACCCCGAAAATACAGGTGGTCGCGGATCCGTCGAGGCGACAACATATATCTCTAGCGTGGGCGAACATCTTCTCAAAGATACTGTCATATACTGCGCGGCGGAGAAGTACGGCCTAGAGGAGCTCAAGCGCCTTGCGCTTCGGAAGCAAGGTCTGCAGAGTGGGATCGAGGTCGCTACCATCCTCCGCAGTGCGCAGTATGCCTATGACAACACGCCGGACTCAGACTCGAGGCTCCGCGCTCATTATCTTGCCCTGATCATTCGATGTCGTAAGACATTTAAGAGGAGCGGAACCATGCAGACAGAAATGGAGAGTGGTGGTAAACTTTTCTTTGACCTATTCGTGGCTCTGTGCAATCATGTGGATGATATTGTGGACATGGGGTAAGTCCCTACACATCCCTCACTCGGTGCATCATCACTAACGGGTTAGAAATTCCCGTTCTCCCAAGACCATCTAAGGTTGTATCACACCGCGCTAGGTACCCAGCCTGGAGTTAAAATTGTTTCGAGGACGACGTCTCTCCATCAGATTGGACCATTTATGGAATTTGCGCTTGCCACAAATTTCACTTCATCACGAGGTTGGCCGCCTTCCGATGAACCGAGTAACATCATCCTCCACTCTTTCTAATACCCCTGCTTTGCTGTTTGGATTATGAACGGAAGGAATGCGTTTGCTTTTGCGTCTTGTTTTGCGGTTTTGCCGGACTGCCATAAAGGTATGTTTTGCTGCTGGGACAGACTCACCACTGGTCGGGCGACCACATCGCGCCACTCTTTTTCTTTTCTGTTGGGATGCATGGGAATGCTGTAGCTGTAGTTGTGTTCATGATCTTGATGGTTATGAATGGGTGATCCCTAGTGGACGTACCAGACTGGGCCCTCGTCAGGGCACATAATGAGAGATTCGGCCACCTCAATATGCTGTCCTCTTGTCATGTGAGTATCTTAAAAGGTGTGATGAGATTGTGTTGGGGATGCATGAAGGTAAGTCCAATACTTGACGTCGGCTATCGCAGGATCATGTAGCCCTTGATTTTGCTACCGCCGGTCGACTATTGTGGCAACCCTACAAATGTTACTATGGAATGAAAGGTATTTGTTTTATGCTGTATTTCCTATCGCTGTGTCCCACGTGGATTTCTTCCTTCACCTGCTAGACATCTACATCTCTCGTTACCGCTGGCACCTTAGCTTCATTCCTCACATTCTCCGGGCTACGTTTGCCTCGAGTAAGTACAGAGTCGTCTTTCATGTAGATCCGCTCTTGATTTGATGGTTGCATACGAAGTCACCGCCAGCAGTGCTCTCCTTAGGCCGTTGATGTTATTAGCTATCACAAGAGCATTATTCAATTTAGTTCTGCCGTGCGAAAGTTATTGACTCTACACGACTATATATAGGGAGACTAACTCTGCTCCTTGGGAACCTAAATAGGACCCCCCTAAAAACATATCGTTTAATCTCAAGGTAGATTATTCTTATAATATACCGTGGCCCTGGCTCTATCTAAGGAGAACATGCCCTCGCGCCTCCCTCCTAAATCTTTAATCATTCGTACCTCCTTCCACTAGATTCTACTCGAGTACTTCTCCACCTGCTACTCCGAATTTACTTATATATTACAATTCTGTATTTTAAGAGGCTACTTACTTCTTTTCATGATTATTCTTATTCTACGAGTAGAGAACACCAAAACTCTAAACAGTGTTAAACTTCAACCTATCAAACTAGAAAGCTTAAATTGGGTCTGATTAGGCTAGTATTTGGGATATAGAGAGCAGATTAATTTTTAAGACATACCAGCCCCCGTCAAGCCACTGGGAGGGCCGGATCCGATGGGAATGAGCTGAGGCGGAGCATGCGCGTGGCGGCATACTCGTAAGGCTGCAACTTGCAAGACACCAGCAGCCGCCTAGCACGGTCGTAGACGAAGTTCGTCACCATTCAAGCTGTAATTCTATCCCTAACACTCTCCTTGTATATTCATAGCATACGGCCGCTTAGATCGTCTGTCAAAATTACTGAGCTATGGATTCGCGCATTTCCAACTCTCTCGCCGCCATTAGGAAGAAATCTAGATCGTTTTTTCAGCCTTCTCAGCCACGAGCTGAAACTCAACCACGAGCTGAACCAAGCAAGCAGGATCCAGAATTTTTGTGCAAGCAGTGCAAAGCTCTACGATTGAATCACTGGCTTGCACCGCGAAGCATGAGATTTTTATACATGCTTCCAGATGAATTCAGATTCGAACCCCCGCTCATTGTGTCGCCATCTTCTCACTGTGCAATGTGCAGGCTGCTTGCTCACAGCCTTGGCCAAACCGGAACTGTTTCCAAACTCCACTTCCAAGATCACGGCGATACCGAAACATTCGAAGGGCATGACACGCAATCTATCAGTATGCGCGTCAGTAGAGGCCCGAGTCAGGATATGGGGCTCCGTATTATATCTCTAGGAGAGTCTGCTTTTCGACTTAGCAGCCGTCGCTACAGTTATGCCCGTATTGTTGAGCCAGAAGCAGCAAGTAGGAAACTGATGCAGGAATGGCTCAAAACTTGCGAACATTCTCATAGTCGTTGCAAGGAGCTGGAGCAAAAATTTCGACATCTGCCAATACGATGTGCCTACTTGGTTGATGTTAAAGAGATGCGTGTTCGCCCCGTTGGTGACGGACCTCGAAGATATTTTGCTCTTAGCTATGTATGGGGCCAGGTTGCAAACCTTCAATTATTAAAAGAAAATATTGCTGAGCTCAGCGAGCCCCAATCCTTACGCCGTCGATTCGAATCACTCCCCCGCGTTATTCAAGATGCAATTACTATTACTCAAGAGCTTGGAGAAACCTTTCTATGGATCGACTCATTGTGCATATGCCAAGATGATTCAATCAACAAGCATTTGCAAATAGCAAACATGAACCACATTTATCAAAGTGCCGTGGCAACACTTGTAGCTCTTCATGCTAAGGACGCAGCCAGCGGTCTTGCCGGCGTTCGACCATACCACAAACCCCGAAAACAACATATCGAACGCGTTCACCATATGGAAATGACTACTTTGCTGCCAGACTTGCACAGCCGTCAGAGCGTATATTCAACCAGAGCATGGACCTATCAAGAAGAGCACTTCTCGCGCAGACTCTTATATTTTTCCGACGACCAGGTACACTTTCGTTGCCTCAAATCAACATATAGTGAAGACACCTATGAAGATGGCCCAGGGTTCCCTTACGGCAGAACTGGCCAACTCTATGGCCTTTATCCGTACACAGAATTTAGCTGGTGGCAAAAGACAGTTGCTGAATACTCAACCCGGGATTACTCTTTTGTGGAAGATCGATATAACGCTTTCGAAGGTATCTCCAACGAACTTGCTAAGAGTTGGAATTATCCCTGTATCAGAGGACTACCCATTCGTGACATTGCTGCTGCTATTTGTTGGGAGCACAAGTTTCAAAGCAGTCACGAAGTCTCGAATAGGATTTCTCTTCATCCAAGCTGGAGTTGGTGCGGCTGGACAAATAGTATTGGCTTTTCCAACCATGTTGCACGATCAAAGATCAGTATTGAGTTGTTAGAGGACTTTCACTTCCTCGACCAGGCTCAGTTAGTTGCAGGCAGAGTAAAATCGTCCATGACATCACATGAAATGCAAACACCATGCACTTCAAAAGATTCCAATCCACCTGGGTTATCGTTCCCTGAATCACCACCCCAACCTCTCGTCCTTGAATTTTTCGCATATTCGGCCCTAATGGAGGCGTCAGTCATCAGCGATGGCTTCCGGTCACAGTGCTCTATTGAGCAGCCCTCTTTAACGGCATCCGGCTTCGTACCAATTCCTCATGCATGGGAGGGACCAGCAAAGCACTACAATGACACAACGACTAAAATTGAATGTATTATGGTGGCTAGTTCTTCCGGTCAGTCTTCATCCACGCTCTCAGCGCTTAATCGAGATGACATGGCTCATATCATGTTAATTGAGCACAAAGGAGAGTATTGCGAGCGCGTAGGGGTCGGGAAGATTAGCAAGCGTTGCTTTTGGAGCTTTCATCCTATTTCACGACTTATTAAACTTAATTAAAATTATATCAAAATCAACCTAGTTGTAGCTCTTAACGAATTCTGTGAATGTAACTTTGTAGTAAGAATAATTCTCTAGCAACCTCTAGGGGGGTTGGGGTTTGCCACTGTTGATTGAATTATAGCAGCAGCACAAGCTCCTCTTACCTTGCACTCAGGTCGGAACTGCTAGCGATTGGCGCTTCTTTATAATTGTATGGATATGCGGGTCCATAGTGAAGTTGTGTGGGGGAATACTATTAATTGAAGTGCTGAACATCCTTGGCCATCAAGGTGAAGATACTAACGCCCGTTTCGAGAAGTGCTCGATATACTTTCGGTGATATCAGAGGGTAAGCTTGTACTCCTCCTACAACAGCTTTGGGAAATTTCTAGCAGGTGCGGGCTATGGTTCCTACATGTGCATAGGAGCTGAAAGCAACTATCTTCGAGACGCACTAACGTCCGAGTGACATGGATAAGTATCCACATGCTGCGGCACTCGAATAACCATACAGCCACAAAAGTTGTAACGATGCATTAGGGGAAGTCGTCTTAATCCATCACCTGGTGCCTAACTATAGTTTTGTCTCTATTTGCTATTTGCTACTAAATGTTTGAGAAACTCCCCCCTATTTAAACTTCGACTCGCAGGAGTTAACCGAACCAATGACAAGGGATTTGATATGGGCTCTCTGTGTACATTGTATGTTGCCATTGCCATTTTGCTGCTGTACTTTTAGATATTTCAAGCGTAGATGTAGCATGGTAGAGCACCGGTGCTAAGCATATGGCAAATATTGATCTATCTTGCCTCCAAAACGGCTATGCTCATGTTGCGTACTTTAATTCATAATCACGATTCACGAAAGTGTCCAAGTACCTATACGTGCATAATAATGGCTGCTCCTTGTTTTAAAGATATCCCTTCTAGTATAAAATATACCACTGTGCCTGATCTCGAAAGAGCCACTGCGGGTAGCTAGCATTTAAATACTTCAGCCCCAAACTCCGCTGCACTGTATAATTTGTGGCCGCAAAGCAAGTAATGGATTAGTCGATATGCTAAAAGAATTACATCTAAGATACATAAAATACAATTGTATTTATACAAGGGTATTGGCAGGGCAATATACATGCGGTAGTATTACAGGAAGGTCGGCCATTCCGAATAAACGGATCATCCGTATGACAATGTTCAGTCTCTAGGTTTTCATGCCGGCACCGTTATGCCCTTTTGAGCCTCCGGTTCATATATCCTCGGAATTAAACCTTCAGCCATCTCAATGGCTCCGTCCATATCATCCTTGTTGAACAAAAACAATCCTTGGATTGCGGCGGTACTCGTGTGTAGGTTCTTCTTTTTGGTATCTCCGTCGATGCTAGCAACGAGACCAAGCTCCTCCAGTCTTTTCAAGAAACGTTGTCGTCCATTTCCATCTTTATCAATATCCCCATAGAACCGGTCCCACATTTCTGCAGCCTGGTATCTCGTAGCCTCACCAATCCTGACAGTCATGTCGACTCTGCCTGGCCGTATTAGAGCTTCATCCAATCGGTCAATGTGGTTTGTCGTCAAGAATGCTATCCTCTCTTCTCCAGCCGCCACTCCATCAAGGGCATTTAATAGCCCCGAGAAAGTGACTGTTGCACCGCTGTACCCATCCGCTTCCACCTGCTTCCGGTTCATAAAGGCCGCATCGGCATCCTCCAGCAAGAGGATCGACCTAGGTGGCAATCTGGTCATGAGATGTGCCAACTTATCGTCCGTGATCCCTCTCTCACTCAAATTGATGATGGCTACCCCAAAATCCAACTCACCCGCCAAGGCCTGGATAAAAGAGCTTTTACCACTCCCAGGGGGGCCATAGAGCAGATACCCTCTCCGGTACGGAATACCCCGATCGACATACCACTGTTGTCTGCTCATGAAGTCTTTCACATCATCCAAAATCCGTTCCTTGATCCCACGATCTAATATCACTGAATGTAATGGACGCTTTCTTCGAGCCTCTCCAAATTGTGCCCATTCCATGCCCCGCGATGTATACATGATCGTCTTGCCTTCCTGGGCTGATACCGCTAATTGATGGGCTTCTGCGAATATGTCCTCGAATATGTGACGATGTGCGTATAGTGTAGTCAGTGTAACCGTCTCAAACGGTTCCCCAGTGTTGAGATTTGCAGAAGCTTGCTTCTCACGATTAACTGAGATGTAAGCATTCTTATGCCGTATAATATGTCTGCCATAGCCCGGCTGGAGGAAAAAATGAGCATGCGCGGGGCGATTTTGGGCTGATCGGGAGGTAGTTTTCATGGAGAGGTGGTGTATTCGAGTTAGCTTTGAGGCGATAAACCCGCCCGGTGGCCGTGGAAGAGATAGCCACGCCAAAATCCATTGATATGAGTCGTCCTGCTTGCTGATCTCAAGGTTGACGATAAGCCGTCGCTTTAGGAGGCCGGCGCCCTGGATGGCGGAGCGTCGCGCGAGAGCCGCGGCGGCTCCCAAACCGGCGAGGCCAATGCCGCCGGCAAAGAGAGGATTATTAAATAATGCATCTATGCCGAGAAAGGACGTGGCTGCGGATGATGTCGAGGTTGGATTCGACATTGTTTTGGTGTTGTAGCTTTGACATCCTTGTATCGAAATAATCGTATAGTATCGGAGTTAACCTTCGGCTTTAGTCTGGGTGTTGTAGCAGATATCAGTTTGTTCGTTTTTATGTATTATCTTAGTTACGTGTGAAGATTACTACTTCGTACTAGCTCATAAGATTTATCCTTACTGAAGTAGTTTCTCAGCGACTTATTTCGGGCTGATATATTATATGTTCATGGGATTGAGGTTAGATCCAATTATTGTCCGTCTACCTAATGTTGCACACCGCTATGCTCTGGCTTTTCTCGGAAGGGTAATCGTCGTATTTTTCGATCTTTTAAATTCCAAGCTGGTATATATAAATTTAATCGCGAATTGGACAATACCGGTGAGTGACGGAGATGTAATGTTACTCGCGGACTGTCGACTGGTTGGTAGTTGACAGTGCTGTCTGGCAGGTGCGCTTACATAAGCGGCACAACGACGAAAGTGTCCACATCTACGCGGTAGTCAGCGCGACGACTTTTGTTTGCGACAATTAACTTTAACTCTCGCGCTGCCACTCTTTTAATTCGCTGGTCTCTTAGGCCTCCTTTGCTCTCAGGGACTTCCTCGACTTGTCAAGTTTCTTAGGATCAGTTGTCGATCCCGAAGGATCGCGCTCTATCTGTACAATACCAAGTTCCAAACCAGCAGCGTCAAATCAGCTCCATCACCGCCACCATGCTGTCCGCTTTACAAAACCCACGGCACGCTGCCACCCAGCTGCTTAACTTTGGCCTGATCCTATCTACAGCCTTTATGATGTGGAAAGGATTATCAGTTATCGCCGATTCGCCATCTCCGATTGTTGTGGTGCTCTCTGGTAGCATGGAACCAGCATTTCTTCGAGGAGATTTGCTCTTTTTATGGAACCGGAATATATTCGAGGAGACAAAGGTTGGGGAAATTGTAGTGTATAATGTCAAGGGCAGGGATATTCCAATTGTGCATAGGGTGGTGCGGAAGTTCGGCGTTGGGTGAGTTGATGCACTGGCAAAGGACGTGGTTCGAGGACGGGTTTTACTAACTGTCATGTATAGCGAGGAGGCTAAGCTACTGACGAAGGGAGATGCGAATGTCGCTGATGACACCGAGCTCTTTGCTCGAGGGCAGGACTACCTTCAGAGGGAGGACATCATCGGAAGTGTAGTTGGGTTCATACCTTTCGTGGGATACGTGACGATTCTACTGAGCGAACATCCATGGCTGAAGACTGTGATGCTGGGTATAATGGGATTGGTGGTGGTTTTACAACGAGAATAGTGCGAATAACATTCTGTATACCATCTCTTTGGAACTCAGTCTGGCGTTTTGAATGGCTACATGATAATTGGACAATTGAAATACGAACTAAGCTACGCCCTTCCATCTATTCTGCGTATTACACGGCAACGCGCCGCTGTGAATGGGATATTTGCGAAGCTCCGAAACTGTAAACGGACTACCTAACTTTGACCCACGAAGTGGGCTTTGCTGGCTGTGAGATGGGAGAAATTGATGCTACGAGAGGCTGCGCCTATCTCCTCAGATGTAGTATAGGCAAAAGTTGTAAGTTAGCCAATCCCATCTAAAACTAACCCGTAATTATATTCTCCACTTGTATCCGTGAGAAAAGTAAACGGGACTACGGAGCTAAGTATTCGTAACCTATACTCATGCACCTCCAAGTTGTATTTACTTGGATTTTCCTATAGCCAATCATAATCCCTAAAATAGGTACCACAGCCTTGTGGCCCAATCCGGCCTCCCCCGCATCCCCAGATGGTCTCAGCCACCACCAGCCACAACTCGATGACCGCGACGCTCTCCATGATGTGACCTGCCCAGTGCCGACACTACTAGATAAAACAAGAAAGGCGGCCAACAACACTCATTGTTTTTTCTTTTCAGTGAATATCTGCAACACCGCTCTCGTTACATCCAAACTCCCGCATCTTACTCCGCAGTACTCCCTACACGCTGATTCTTCCTAGACGCTATAGTGCTAGCTGCTCGTTTTTCTCATCGACCACACCAGAACGAAATAACCCGCAGCCCACCGCCTTGATTTGAAGATGGCGAGTTCGCAGAAGAGAATCAGCAAGGTATGGCATTTACCGCAACTGTTTAGGTAGTCTCTTGCTTGAATATTAACCTTAACCCCGCGACAGGAACTTGCAGAGGTTACGACCAACCCGCCGGAGGGGATCCATGTCAGCCTCGTGGACGAGTCCAACGTGCACAACTGGAACATCGTGATGGACGGGCCCGAAGGCTCCCCTTATGCGGTTCGTGCTTCACTTCAATTCCATGCTCTAGCGGGTCACTGCTAACACTGATTACAATACAGGGCGGCAAATTCAAGCTCCTCCTCGTCCTCCCCAACGACTATCCTTTCAAACCTCCCAAGATCAACTTCAAGACACGGATCTGGCATCCTAATGTGACATTCGACGAGCACGGGTCCATGTGTATTGGCATACTGAAACCTGAAGCGTGGAAGCCTTCGAGCAAGATCCTGTCGGTTCTCACAGCAACACAGCAGTTGCTCGTGGAGCCTGTGCCCGACGATGCGGTCGAGACGAGCGCAGCGGAGAAGTTTAAGAACAACCGCGCACAGTTCAACAAGGAGGCCCAGGAATATACGAAGAAGTATGCGAAGTAAAAGGCGGGTATTAAACCACAGTCACAACAATGGAGGGAGAGGGATGCATGGGCGAGAAACCAGGTTGACGGCCGAAGGGGAATGGATGAGATATGATACATACGTGCATCTTGGAAGGCGTTTGGGTGTCAATAACGGAAAGCATATCATACTTTAGACAGCACTGTTTACTTTCTAGTAACAGAGTCAACAGACAGATGTAAACCAACAAGCAATGCATCGAGGCACCTCTTGGAATCTCCAGCGTGCCTCGGCGGTGAGCTCCACAGTCCATACCACGCCAGATTGATGATCTTCGCCCCTTGCTTCTGTATTTCCAAGGTATTTCCAAGCCACGGTACCAGCCGCGGCAGCCTTCGTCGCGATCCTTGCTTCGCGTCAATAATTGAATGCTTGTCTCAGCTGGCTGTGGCGGCAACGCATTGGCATCGCGCGGTAATGGAGACCTTGTTGTTGACGGACGCGCCGAAACAACATCGCTCGGATCCTAGTCTGGATTCTAACTTTCTGCGACTTGTAATTGCTTCATTCCATATCTTGTTATTCCTCCGTGCTCTGCACTGTGTCGGGTTTGCCCCGTGCTCGGCTTTTCCCAAGCGTTTTGCGTGGATGAATTGAATTACGAGCCAGTTTAAGATTGCGGTGCTCAGTCTTTTTCAACACAACAGGAGCGTCAGCCGCTTGGACCAGCCAATGTGCTCCAAGTTCAAGCTTCCGCTGTATTCAGATACCTTCGTGCGTCCGTACATCCGCAACGGCCCCAAATACAAGTATCGACTACCAACGCATACAGCGCCTGCTGCTATTCGATGCTCAGTTTTGGATATCAACTCCCACTTCATTCCACGCCGGACGCGTGTTCTTAGCATGCAAGAATCGACTTAACGAACGCTATAGTCAATCACTCGTGGCAGTTCCCCGTTCCATACACATACATGTTCGCCAGAGCAGCAGACAAGGATACGCGACGCTCGCATTCAAGGGCTCGAAGGCTCGAAGACACGACTCTTCGCGGCCAAAGAGCCCAACGCGGTGAGGACAATGGACATGCCGAACGGGCAATATGGCTGGGTAGCACCTGGGCGCCATGAGGTGGACAGCGAGCACCTCAGAAAGCAACGAAGTCACCAGGCCATGAAGTTCAGTCTCTACCCTTCTCGTGCAGGCTCGAGACCTAGAACTGCCTCCAACACATCAGGCAATGCATCGCCAGTCTCCCCGGTATTTCCAACAACACCGACACCTCCACCACAACGCCCAGGCCCTCGAATTGACCCTTTGCGGTCGAATAGCTACACCTCAAATTATCAACGACCGTCAACATCCCACCAAATAACGTCGAATGACGGCTCCCGGTCATACACATCTTCTCCCCAGCCTCAGCAGCCACTACATGAGAGGCCATCCGAAGCCTCTCGATTGCGAGCTCTAAACAGTGGCTATAGGTCCCATTCGACCGAGGGACGACGGACGCCGGACCTAGGTGCTGGCAATCTCGACAACTTGTCTCGACCTCGAGAGTTAAACTCCAAACACAAGAAGGACACGGGTAGACCACTCGTTCCGGGCTCATCGACCGTACCTTCTCACACCAATACCGAAATACAACCACACCCCGATCCCTCTGGTCGAGACAGGGGACTTTCTACATCCTCATCCCAATCACTTGCTAGCAGTGGTCCTATTTTCCCACTGCGGCCTTCTATGTCAATTCCCGACTACCATGCCCCGGACTCGATATATTCAAGGCAGAGAAACCTGAATAATTCAAGCTATCGACCTGGCAAGGTGATAAGTCGACCAGATAGCAATTATTCTTCACATTGGCGGGAGCCAATGATGCGATCGGCAACAGGAGATGGCGAGGAAGTGCGGGCCAGTTTTAGGTCAGCCCTGACGACGAATTCTAGTTTTCTGGGCACCAGCGGGACCGAAAGGAGCAGTATAATGACAAAGAGTAGTTCGGCGACATCAATATTTGGCAGGGATGAGGGGATGAGTGTTGATGACGCTATTGGAATGTATGAGAGTGGATTCCATGATTCCGGAACGGAAGATTTACCTGGGCCAAGGCGTAGAAGTATAGATTCAGATCGAGGCAAGATTTCAGAATTTGAGGCGGCTGTAAATCAACCCTTCAGTCATCCCACCGACACCATATCTAGGGATCCCCATATAGCTAGTCGAATGGCCGCGATTAATACGCCCGGTCTTCAAGACAAGCCCGAGCTGAACGGCAGTTTGGACGCTCAACCAACATCGCATACAAAGGAGCCTCCTTACCGGCCTGCCACCAGAGCCGCACCTCCTAGGCCGGATGGGAGCAGAGATCGTTATGGGTTTCGAAAAAATACTCAACATGTTCCGTTGGCCGAATATGAAGCTTGGAACGGACCCTACACCGAGCATCTGGCTCGACGGCGTAAGAAATGGGTGGCCCTATTGAAAGATAATGGTCTATCGACCGATAATCCTCAGCAGTTCCCACCCAGATCAGTGAAAGTGAAACGCTTCGTCCGCAAGGGCATTCCACCAGACTGGAGAGGGGCTGCTTGGTTCTACTATGCTGGTGGTCCAGCAATGGTAGCGAAACACCCAGCTGTGTATCGGGATCTGACGGAACAAGCTGCTCGAGGGGGCGTCAGCGAAACAGACAGCGAAATTATCGAACGCGATCTTCACCGGACGTTTCCTGATAATATAAAATTCAAACCAGATCCCCCCGCACATGAGCAGTCACAACCAAACCCCGAAGCCGAGACAGCTATCCTTCAATCCCTCCGGCGCGTGCTTGAAGCTTTTGCTATTTATAACCCAAAAATTGGATATTGCCAGTCACTTAACTTTCTCGCGGGACTTCTACTTCTCTTTATGGACGAGGAAAAGTCATTTTGGATGCTTAATATCATTACCCGTGTGTATCTTCCAGCAACTCACGAGTTAAATCTCGAAGGTGCTAATGTTGATCTTGGCGTTTTGATGACTAGCATCAAAGACATGATGCCTTCTATCTGGGCTAAAATTGGTGGGGAACTGGATGGCTCTGCTGGAGACGGAAGGGTCTCCATGCGGTTACCACCAATCACTCTATGCACCACAGCATGGTTCATGTCCTGTTTCATTGGCACCCTACCCATCGAGACAACTCTGCGGGTGTGGGATTCATTCTTCTATGAAGGCAGCAAAACGCTTTTCCGTATTGCTCTCACGATCTTCAAAGTCGGCGAGGCGGAAATCAAAGCCGTTAGTGATCCCATGGAGATATTTCAAGTCGTGCAAGGAATTCCACGCAAATTGGTAGATGCAAATGCCCTTCTGGAGGCGTGCTTTCGAAGACGAAACGGCTTTGGACACTTGAGCCAAGAAACGATTGAGAGAGGCCGGGCAGAACGCAGGCAAGGTTACGCGGATGAGAGGGCAAAAGCCGCGGGGCAGATTCCCACCACTCCTAGAGGCACAGGAATGGGAAGAAGAGGAACCCTATTCGGACGGAAGAAACAAAGGGCTGCTGAAGGCCCTAATATATAAATAATCCTTCTATGGACTGGTCGGCGGATTTGGATTGGAAAAATATTAGATAAACGCGTCAGTTAATGATATCACGGCCTCAAGAGTTGCAAAATATTGATGATATAACGAATATAATTATAAACTTGTACACAATCTCAAAATAAAGAATGCAGGTCATATAGGTCTTGTAGTGTAGCAATAATTTTTATCAAGTATGCGACAAAATGGATGGGGTCTTGAGTGGTGTTCTGCCTTGATTCGATGCGGTCGGTCCCCTTCCTCTTAATAGGTATTTTCCGCGTTGTCGGGCCAACGGCCTTGGTGACAATTGTTTTCCCCACCTCCAAGGAGTTCCAACTATAGAGTATCACCCACACAAGAACAAGAACCCACAACATCGACATCATGGATTACGAACAAAAATCACAGGCAGCTCTTTTTGAGGTTTATCTAAGACTGCGACCACCTCCAACAACAACCCATCTCAACCCATACCCGACTCTCCCGACCCATGACCGATTCTTGGCCGTCGAGGACGCCCAAGAAGACGATGAACTTCCAACACATATCACGCTTAATCCGCCCAACGACAATCGCAGACGGGCAGTCGAGAAATTTGCATTCACAAAGGTGTTTGAGGAACGTGCGTCGCAACTTGATATCTTCGAAGGCACCGGGGTGCTCCCACTGGTAGAGGGTGTACTTGGAGCCCAAGGCGGAGATGGAAGGGATGGATTGTTGGCCACATTGGGCGTTACGGGCTCCGGAAAGGTATATTTGGTTGCTTTGTTGACATTATTTGGGCTTATTCTAATACGATTACAGAGTCATACAATCCTAGGATCCAAATCACAACGAGGCCTTACGCAACTAGCTCTAGATGTCCTCTTCCGCTCAATTTCCCATAATATCCTCGATCCAAGCACAACCACATCCCTTCACGCAACAATTGCAGCTTCAGATCCATCCGAAGCACAAGTCATGTCTGCGCAAATGTTTCTCGATGCAATGTATGGTGATCCATCAGCACCATCACGCGCCAGCTCTCGAGCGCCAACCCCCATGGTAGTACGAACACCCTCGGTTCATTTTCATCCATCTTCATACAGTCTATACCGAAGGCTTTTGGGGCTCGATACAGGAAGTCCTAAGAGTATCAGAGTGGTCCGCCCTACAATCACAGAATGTGGTATTCTAGAGGCTTCAGAATCGACAGTGTCGAACCTTTCAGCTATCCCATCCTACATGCAGTCAACACTGACCAACGCAAAAAAGTCTGTTACTAAAAGTGAATTAAAGGGCGAATCATATGCACCACCACCTACTCCCCGCCGCCACCTCCTCCAGCGTCCTTCTGTACTTCCACATCTGCCAGACATCGGCGGCCTCACAGTTGACGTAGATCAAAACGCCGAGTACGCCATTCTGATCTCGATGTACGAGGTATATAATGATCGAATCTTTGATTTATTGACGCCAGCCTCCCCAAACAAATCCACCAAAGACTATCGCCGACGGCCACTTCTATTCAAGCCCACCGAGCAATCGCAGGATCGAAAAGTTGTAGCAGGCCTACGGAAGATTATCTGTAGCACGATGAAAGATGCACTAATGGTTTTAGAAGCAGGTCTACACGAACGACGAGTAGCAAGAACAGGGTCAAATAGCGTGAGCTCTAGGTCTCACGGATTCTTCTGCGTAGAGGTCAAAAAGAGGCGCAGGAGTAGAATGCCAGGACCTTGGGGAGGTAGTGCTCTCACCGTTGTGGATTTAGCAGGTAGTGAGAGGGCGAGAGACGCAAAAACTCAGGGTGCCACTTTGCAGGAGGCTGGGAAAATCAATGAGAGTTTGATGTACCTTGGACAATGTCTCCAGATGCAGTCTGATATAGGGACTAATACCAAGGTAAGATTCTAGTTTCCCAACCGGCTGACGAGGAACGTGCTAAATAGCTGAAAGCCGAATTTGGTCCCTTTTCGGCAATGCAAACTCACGGAACTCCTGTTCTCAAACTCATTCCCCAGCTCGTCGGGTGCTTCCTCCACTTCATATCACCACTCGCAATCCCACTCACAGCATCGAAATCCACAAAAAGCGATTATGATCGTAACGGCCGATCCCGTCGGTGACTTCAATGCCACTTCTCAGATCCTGCGCTATTCAGCTCTCGCCCGTGAGGTAACGGTTCCCCGCATCCCCTCCGTCACATCTACCATCCTTGCCCAGTCCACAGCATCGCATTACTTCTCCCCAGCACTTGGTCGAAATGGTCTTGGCGGTGGACGAACCAGTCCCACCGATACCGAGCGCGAAACGATGGAAATTGCAGCCCTGGAAATCGCTAGACTTAGTGAAGAAATTGACGGGCTACGGGCCGAGCTCAAGGAAGACCAAGAGCGACGAATCGAATCTGAGGCCCATCTTGAAAGCATGCGTGACCGTATGATGGACATGGAAATGGAAGTGCGCGAAGAAGTTTTCGCCGAGATGGAGATGAGGATGGAGAGCGAGATGCGGAGATGGAAAGCTAGTTTTGCCGCTCAAGCCGACCATAATGATGAGCATCTTGACCGCAAACTCGAGATATTGACCAAAACTATTGATCATACTTCTGATGAGGATAAAGAGAATACGAACAACGGAGAAAGTAGAGAAGAGGATTTAGAAGAGGAGAACCAGAGGCTGAGGAGAGAGATTGAGATTCTGAAACGAGAAGTAAGGGGTAGGAGTCCTACCAAGAGGATGCCGTTGAGGGAATCGAAGACAGCGATAACGGATATGGGGAGAGAGATGGAGAGACTGCGAGTTTCCTCGCCGTCTGGGAGAGAGGAGAGGGTGAGAGTAGTTCAAGCGGGTAGCCCCCTTAAGAAAGTGAGGAAGTTGACGGCGAAGAAGTGGGATATGGCCGATGAAGGAGAACTACTTTGAACATTATTATCATTTTAGCGGGCGAAGGGGATCATAATTTGGAGGCTAATTGGGGGTTGTGCTTCTTTGGATGTTCCATGAAATGATTTGCGAGGTGTTGTGGAGTATTTGATAGTTTCGTAGCAGCTTATTTACGTACAGGACTGTGGCACATGATTCATGAATACATTGTTTATTATTTCAGGGGTTGTCGGGCGTGCCTTTAAGATGCCAGGCACATCTCGCTAGATTATTGCGACCTGTCCTTCTCCACCCAACCAACGCATCTGTTGAAGGTTTCATGAACACCTACGAAGTACGACTAAATAACTCGATTGCTAGTTGACTTCTGTGTTATTATTATTATTCTTTTTTTCTTTATTTCTCTGGAAGGAACGGATGTATTTCGGTGTTCTTGGCTTTTACTATCTACAATTATTCACTTAGGCCCAACGCCCGCCTCCATGCTAGCGGGAAAACCTACGGCCTAGAACTGGTGTAGAATCGCTGGAAAGGGATCATTCAATTGATGGATATACATAGGGAGACGGTAATAGGGGGTCCTGGGAAGGAGGGGAACTGCTCTTGCTCTGGGTCTGGCTCCTGCACTTGCGGTAGGAGTCTCACAGATGTCGCCTCGCCAGGTGTAGCACACGAGCGGCCGTCGACTGTCCAGAACGAGATAGACAAACACCAACAGGAACCGCAACCACAACAACAAAAAGAACGAGAAGGGGACTTAACTGCGGATGAAAATGCCATTGTGCCTATAGATGTCGATGACTCCTCGGTACCTTCCGCTCCACCCGTCTACATTAAAGGATGGAGACTTTATATGCTAGGCGCTGGTGTATGGATCTCACTCTTCTTGTCAACCCTCGAAACGACTATCGTTAGTACGAGTCTTGTGAGTATCACGGATGCGATTCATGGGTTTGCGATGAGGGATTGGATTGTTACTGCATATTTGATTACTTACACCGGTTTGTACCCCCTTGTAACGTTTTTATTTTTTCTTGTTTGTGCTGTACTTGTGTTTCATTATCATCGCTAGAGGTGTCTTATACCTTAATCTTCTAGTTCTCTTAGAGTTGTGGTTTTGGTTTCGATGGGGCAGTCGGTCTTTAGATGGCCGCTCGATCTAATTAGTTTTAGCAGTTGTTGTTTTGTAGTTGTATGAGAATTACGTTGCCCCTTGTGTGCCTCTAAAGCAGGTTGTTTTCTACTTTTCACTCTACGCTATTGCAGATATGATGCTTCTCCTGCGAGTTGAAACTGTGTGGCATGCTGCTGACAACTAGACAGGTTTCCTAGTAATATTTGCTAAATTTAGCGACATTTTTGGGAAGAAGACCATGTTTCTATTGGCTTTGGCCATCTTTACTTTATTTTCCATATTATGCGGAGCAGCGGAAGGGATTGTTGAGCTGATCATCTTCCGTGCCTTCCAAGGCATGGGCGCTTCGGGCATTTACTCGCTAATCATGGTGATCGCGCCAACGCTGGTCCCTCCTGAAACGTTTGGGAGCGCTATTGCTGTCATATCATCAGTGTTTCTGCTCGCGAGCGTCCTGGGCCCGATTTTAGGAGGTGTAATCAGTGAGCATGGAGGTGGCACCTGGAGATGGGTGTTCTTGCTGAAGTGAGTTGGCTGCGTCTTGTTCCCTTATCCCCCGACGAAGACAGTCAGCTAATGTCACGAAAGTGCCCCTGGAGGAGGACTAGCCCTCTTGCTACTCACGTTCTTCCTCCCTTCCTCCATCTCGGCCACCGGAACCACAGATTTCTGCACCCATCTTCGTAGTAAATTCTCCAAAGCCGCCTGGTCCCGTGTCGATGTTCTTGGCACAGTACTCCTTCTCGCATTCTCTGTGCTGCTCGTTTTCGCACTGGAAGAGGCCGGGTCGAGATATCCATGGAGTAGCCCTGTGATTGTGGTGACGATAATATTTGCTACTATCTCTGGGATGGCTTTTATAGTGTGGGAATGGCTGGTTGAGAAACGTGGCAAGGAGAAGAGAGGAAGGCAAGAGCCGACATTTCCGTTGAGTTTGTTAAAAGGCAGAGTCATGGCCGCGATGATGGCGTGAGTTTCCCCTTCTATTTGCTATGCTTCCTTGCTTAAGGGGCGAGAAGCTTAGATCTCTAAAGAAACATTCTAATTATTGACAATAGAACGGCTTTCTTCATTGGCTTTCCCTTCGTCGCCATCATCGTCAACATTCCGCAACGCGCACAGGCAGTTTACGACGTGTCATCCTCAGAAGCTGGATTAGGGCTCTTACCTTTAATGCTCTCCTCTCCCTTTGCAACCGCCCTTTCAGGCTACCTTACATCAAGTCGCAATGTTCCGCCTGTACACATAATCCTTGTAGGCGCCATTTTACAGGTTATTGGAGTGGGCCTAACGTGCTCTCTTCCAATAACAGCAACTGGGTTCCCGAAGCAGCTGTATGGATTTGAAGTTATTATGGGGTTGGGATTTGGACTTGGATTGAGCACCCTGCTTGTGCTTGCTAGGCTTGTGGTCGATGAAAAGAACTTACGTTGGTACCAAACCTTATGTGGAGTATGTCATATTGCTAATTCATTATAACACAGCTGTGACCATGGGGGCTATTACGCAAGTTCGCGTGCTAGGTGGCACAATTTCTCTAGGAATCTGGTAAGCAACCCAGTTTTCTATTTATCTCATATCACACTTTAACAGTTCACACCGCGTAATATTTTCTAATTTGGGTCCTTTGTCATGCCTAATTAACCTAATTATTAGTTCAACAATCCTCAACAACCATCTCCGTCCCCAGTTATCCAAGCTTATTACCCCCGAGCAAGCCCACGCAATATCGGAGAATCTCTCCGCCATCCATACCTTGACGCCTATACAACAAGCGGGTATCCGGCGCGTATTTGCAGAAGGATATAACCAGCAGAATATCTTTCTTGTGGCTCTGACAGGTATCGGGCTATTGACGTCGCTCTTGCTGATAGAGAAGGTGCCGAGAAGGGTTAAGTGATTCCAGCAGTATTTATAAAATGTCCATATATAGTACATGGTTGGAAGGCCAGTGTTTTATTATTATATCATATTGTATTGCTTGAGGGAGCTCTGAACTTAAAAAAAGTATACTCTCCTAACCTCTTTGTTCGATTGATGAGCGACGTGTATCACTTCACCAGAGGCAGCTACGACTGTAGGGTAGGGTTTTACTAACCAGCCAACTGATTCGGATATTTAGCGGTGCTAGCGCATCCTCTGTTCATACCTTCATCAGTCTCATGGGAGCCTCACAAGAAGCAGCGGGCTCTACCTTGGTCAGAGGGCCCAACAGTTCAGAACGACCGTCAATTTGGTAGAATATCAAGGCCGGCCGTTGCATTAATATTTACATTCTCCAAGTCAGCAAGCTCATAAATCTGTCGTGTTATTTTCAAGTATTCGGTTTTGACGGTGGCTTCTCCACCAACTCGCACTGGAGCTGCACCACCCCTTCGCTCTACTCCTATGAGTGCCAGCAATTGGGCAATGTGGCTTTTGTGCTAGGTAAGATTATCGTTTGTATTAGATATCGCTTATAAATAGCACATCATTCCATGGATTTGCCCTGGGAGTTGGTAATGTATTTCGCTGTCCAGGTTGGAGGCAACTATTAACGCTCCATCAGCACTGTGGCGGCCAGTAGTGCAACATCCCGATGATCTAACTCCGTTTCGAAAATGTCTGCTTTAGTCTATTTAATTTCGTCTTCGCATACAGTAGAATTTCCTGCCATAGTGGAATGTTGGTCCACTGAAGTACCTTCCCCTCTGTTGGTAATAGGCTATAATTGCCTATGCCCCTAAAGACTTAACGATAAGTACAAAGTCAGGTGTAGAGTGTAAGTATATCCCATTTATAGATTGCCCTTCCCTGCTCATTTACCAACTATAACTAACTCTTGTGTGCTTTTATAGGATGTTACCAATCTAATGGAGGTGTGGTGGTTTCAGTGGCCCACTCACATGCCGCCTTCTTCTAACATATCCAGCACTACGAATAAATTCCCCCTTCTCTTTCCAAATTTGCAACATTCCCAAATTTACAACATGCCCAAATGCACGATATCCCCAACTTTCAACTATTCCCAGCTTTACAACATTCCTAACTGTACAACATTTCCAACTTCACAGCATTCACGACTTCACGTCACTCCCGGTTTCAATAACCCCCCAAGTACACGCCCTTCCCAGGTACACAATTTTTCAAGTACGAAATTTCCCTAAGTATATAACCTTCGTAGCTACAACCGTCCTACCACAGAATCCAAGACAGGTTCAAGGTATCACTTGCCTTTTTATCCTGGTCGGTTATCATACCGTTTCACGCACTTAGCCATCATGACCACTCTACCGTCAGAGTCCAAGATCGGCCGTCGCCTCCTTCCGGTGGTGATAGACGAGATCTCTACGTATGATCCGTCTAGAATCTTTGCCACAATCCCAATCTCGGAATCACTTCGTGATGGATTCATGGACGTCACCTACCGTGACTTTGCAAATGCGATTAACCGAATGTCAGCCTGGTTCGATCATGAATTTGGTGGCAAAAGTTCGTCATTTGAGACGGTGTCATACAATGGCCCGCCTGATCTAGGGTATTCCATCATGACCCTCGCAGCTTGCAAGATGGGATTTAAGGTATATTCTCCCTCTATAATGGCAAGTAGGAATAGATGGAGTTTTTAAGCTAAATTGAGAAATAGACAATTTTGTCATCCTTTCAGAACAAGCTTGAAGATCAACTAAATCTCTTGAAGAAGGCTGAATGCAAAGCCATGATTTTTGCTGAAGGCCACCCAATCAATCCTGACCAAATTGACAAGCATGGCATACCTATCGTTCGCGTCCCTACGCTGAAGGAAATGTTAGACATCGGCGGTCCGGAGCCAGTGGCATATACATTCACCAAGACATACGATGAAGCCGAAATGGACCCCTTGGTTTTATTGACCACCTCCGGTACGACTTCCGTACCTAAGCTGGTGGTTGTGAGACATGGGTGGGTGTCTGCTGTTGATAGGGCTCATTCAGTTCCAAAGTCAAATGGCCGTGCTCCCTCCTTTACCGTCTTTAAAAATAGGAGACTTTGGTCCCCACTTCCAGCATTTCATGTAAGTGCATCGATGAAAGCCTTGTTTTGCGTGGGACACGGCAAGATGATATATTTATTTGCAAAAGCTTATATTAAACAGGGTGGAGGCTTGATCGGCAACCTCATCATCCCTACATTCTCGAACACCCATTCTATCTGGGCTCCTTCTGGCCGTCCCTTGAGCACAACTCTTGTGGAGGAGATGATAGATCACATCCATTTCGACATGGTACTTCTCACACCATTCATTATTGAAGTCGTTGTTAAGTCGGATTATTCCCGTTCCAAACTCGAGAAAGTGGATTTTGTTGTATATGGGGGAGGTAAGTCCATTTTATTCTAATGTAGCAACTAAAATTTCAAGTCATAGTTAATAACACATGCCGCAAAGCTCCTCTGCCTCGTGAAACGGGCAATCGCATATGGCAAAAGACCAAACTCATCAACATGATTGGGTCCACGGAGTTGAGTGTCCTGCCCACCTATCTGAAGGACCCAGAGGATTGGGAGTACTTCTACTACTCTCCCGATCTCCCCGGTATCCAAATGCGCCCCACAGATGGTGATCCAGACCTCTACGAACAAGTTATCGTGCGTGATCCAGCCACCGACCCATATCACTCCACATTCTGGACTTTTCCTGATGCTGAAGAATACCGGGTCAACGACCTTTACGCAAAACATCCATCGAAGCCAAACTTATGGCTATATATTGGTAGAGCGGATGATTTGATCGTTCTTTCGGACGGAAAATCCTTCAATCCTACATCCATGGAAGCCGTGCTGCGTCAACACAACTACGTGGAGGCCGCCGTGATCATTGGACAGGGCAAACTTGCCCCGGCGGCTATCATACAATTCAAACGTCAGGTTTTCGAGGAATTAGGCCCAGAATACAATCGAGATTCATTCATGAAGGATATTTGGCCCTGCGCTGTAGCAGCTAACAAGATTGCCCCGCCTTATGCACATATGTCTGAGGATATGTTCTTTCTTGCCAATGCAGAGAAGCCATTTCGTTTCACCGCAAAGGGGTCCATGATGAGACACAAGACCATTGCATTATACGCTCAAGAGATTGAGGATTGGTATTCGGTTGCCGATGGCAAGGCTTCCATTGCCAAACTTTAGTGGCTTGATGCCACCCTTATCGTTATGAATTGATGGCAAAAGCTACGGTGTGGTTAGGAAAGTGCACTTAGTCAATTGCTTTAAAGTGTGAAATTGGGGGGCATTTCATAATTGCTTACCGACCACGCACATCACGAGAAATGAGGTGGTTTAGCAATGCCCAAGACTGGAAGCTGGCATGCATTCACAATGCCAATTATTACTTTTTGTTGGCAACACATTATTATTTTAACCTTATAAGAGCGGGGAAATTTGACCTCTTATCTGATTGGCTAACTAGCTAAGATGAACCCCATTCTTGGCGGCATCTCATCATCAGCTTCGTTTGAGAATAGGTTTACAAGTATATTAGTATTATATACCCTGCCCGCTTTGGATCTAGAGAACGGTAGTGATATTTTACATGCCCAAAAGAAAAATACATACTGCCCGATCATTTTAACTACGGCGCATCATATTTGCCTCATATTCCTTCCCAATAAAAGAGGGGTTCAACACTCAGCAACCCACCAACATCCCAAGTCACAGCTTGTCAACATTCCTAAGGCAAAGCCTAAGTCCGGACCAGATATAATAAAATGAAGATATATCTCGCGGGTCCCGACGTATTTCTCCCCAACGCTCATGCCCGTGGCGCAGAACTCAAAGCCCTGTGCATCGCTCATGGCGCCGTTGGCCTCTTTCCTCTGGACAACGAACTCACGGATCATGTAGCAGGCAGCATATCCCACGCCCATGCCATCCGCGCTGCAAATATGGAGCTTATCGGGCGAAGTGACGCCATCTTGGCGAATATGACCCCCTTCCGGGGCCCTTCAATGGATGTCGGTACGGCATATGAGATGGGAGCTGGCGCCGCGTTAGGGAAAGTCGTTGTGGGCTATACGCTCGATGGGGGAAAATCGTATCCTGAAAAGGTAAAGAAGTGGGCAGGGGACGACGCTTTGGAGAGGGGGAAGGATGGTATGTTAAGGGAGGATAAAGGAGCGGGGATGTTTGTTGAAGAGTTTTGTGATGATGACGTAGGGCTGGTGGACAATCTCATGATGAGTTGTGGGATTGAGAAACTTTGCTTTTCAGAGGAAGATGCGATTAAGGCTATAGTTGAGGTTTTGAGGGGGCGGAAGGCAGATAATGTTGCGGGGACAGGGGGTGAGAGCGTGAAAAGAGGCGGGAGTGGAGCATAAAGGTTTGAACTATTTATCTATTGAGATGCTTATCTCAGGCTGTAGCACATACTGGTTATGGCTCTTGGGAAACTATCTGCAGGTTGGTAGAGATATATACAAATTTTTTTTATGAGCTTGGATACAACTCGCGCTATCAATCTCCTGTAACTTAGCTGCTTTATATTGAGCGGATGTCCTAGAGCCATCGGCTCCTTCGAGCCACGCAGAGGAAATCACCGAAAATGTGTCGACACCCCAACCCCTTTTTCTGCATCTCGTTTTGCTGTCCCCCGGAAGCCCAGTAGTGTTAGTGATGTGTCCAATCTCCTTGGCCGAAGCCCCCGAGGGAGTGATGACCTACTAAATTTGGGAAGGTCAAGAGAACTATTGAACAGTGATAAAGCAAGGACAACAGGGCATATATTCGCAGCATAGGCATTGCTGTGGTGTTCTTGAGCTGGAGCTAGAGATGTGTAGAGCTGTGCTGATTTCATTACATTACGATCGCTCATCGTCTTTTATACTGCCAGGCGGTACTAATTTCGTTGCATCACGACCGCTCACCACCATTATTACCTTAGTTCTGCCACTTGATTCTGCCAGGCGGTTCTGGCTTCGTTGCATTATGACCGCTCACCACTTTTGGCTTCTACCAGAGCTATTCTAGTTCTACTATATAAGTAAAATGTTAGTTTCGTTGCGTTACGACCGCTCACCACTTTTAGTTCTCTAAGGGCTATTCTACCAGGCGGCATGATTTTGTTGCGTTTCGACCGCTCACCACTTCTAGTTCTGCCATCTGATTCTGCCCGGCGATATTGGTTTCGTTGCGTTACGACCGCTCACCACTTCTAGCTCTGCTAGACGGTTCTGCCAAGCGACATGTTCGTTGCAGTATGACCACCCTAGGGAAGTTATACATATCTAAGAAACATTTGATGCATTCCGGCTTCAGAGTCCTCAAAGTCGGAGGACAGAAGTGGATGCAAGGTTCGGCGTCAGTTATGAGCGAATGCTTCCTAGGCTACTGCACTCAGAGCTTTGGAATTGTGTTTCCCGCTCTGATTACCTAGGGTTCAAGCTTATGGTTATGAAAGGCAGCCACACTCTATTGTTCCAATCGGGAAGCTGCATAGCCAAGGTGGAAGAGATTCCGGGAAATAGAGGTAGAATCACAAACGCAAAGGAGTAGGACTGGGAAGAAAAACTAACCCACACCTCGACTCGAGTCACAAGCCCGTAGATAACCCCCTCCGATGGCGACAACGGCTTCAAATAAACAGGCAACAATTCCCAAACCAGCCAGGAACCAGAGGTTGCTAGAAATCTATATCTTCCAAAGAGACTTCTCTGGAGCGAAGATGGATTTGCTTGGGGGCAGGCGACCCGCGTCCGGACTCCGGGCTACCTCAAGGTAGGGTAGTAAGCCGCTCCAAAGGCGGTTCTCCCCGAGGTAATCGCACAAGTATATAGTCTTGAATAGAACCATAAAAGAATAAAGAAATTAAAATAAGACAACGCAGCACGGTGTTGCAATGTGTCTTGAGGGATTTTGCGGGTGTGCAAGCTCAACTCTCCTTGGGGGTTTGCCCTTAGAGTACCCAGCTCGACTGTCTAGTTAGACCAAAAGAACATATAGATAGGCCGAAAGTAATCACTTGTGTCTCCAGCTATTAGAGGGTAAAGAAGCATTCCGGTTTCTCCCTTATGAAGTGGGAAGGAGTGGAACCCGACAGGTTCACCGCTTTCTTTGCCGAGTGTTTCTGCCACAAGTTCGATGTCTGCAGAAACACAGAACCACAGAAATACAAAAGCACATGCCGCTCCGCGGTGGCCTGATGCCCTCTAAGGACCTCCGTCCGGGAGATCTTGACCCCTTTGTCGGCATGGACGGGGGCGGTTGTGGACCCGTGTTCATAACTACAAAGTACTGTGCCGTGCGAACACATCGTGAGTGCCCGCTGGATCCCTCCCTCTGATGACAACGACAGCGATAGCGATGAATTTGGGGTTTGGCTGACCATCCGAGCTATAGCAGTATCTCAGTCGACTTCCTCCCGAGATGGCGATTTTTACGTCAATTGTTGCAATATTTCCAACCCCGGATAGAGACTCGGAGCAGTCAGCCGCCATTGAGTCTGCAGCTCACCTCAGCTCACCTCCTCATCCTCCAACATAAACAACCCATCAAGGCATAACATCATAGAAACGGCCTCCACGCTAGATGCGAGGTCCTGTTGACTCAGGCCGGTGTACTTCAGCGTATGTACTACTATGGAGACACAATATTACCGCGGCACACGCCATCCAGACTGGCTCTATCTATCCAATCCACTGGAAAGCTCTGTTGATAGCGAGTTTAGTTTCGAAGGAAGCCCCTAATTGCCGAATGATCGGTGTCCAGCTTCCGGTGCATTCTTAATAACATGACTGTAGCGCGCTCGGGCTGACCAGTGACACGCTGGGAGTGGCTACTAATTGCTAGGTCTCGTCGAGGGGATTTCATAGTCGCATGTACTCGAGTACTTTGTACTACCTTCATCCCGTGAGCCACCACCTCCCAGCCTCCGAGTTGTCGCCGTAATGGCGTGTCTATGTTGTCGGCAACCCTTAGACAATGCATGCCAATACTGTAATACGACAGCGGTGGTTTGCCGTTTCCCTGGACGGGCCAATGGAGATTCGGAGATCGGCAAACAAAGCATGTTACCGGTTGCACCTTCTCATACATAATCCCACGTTTCGATATCTGATCGATGCACCGCAAGTGACCGAAAATATTCAGCCGGCCCTGTTGGAAAGCAGCTACACCCATGGCGAGTTCCACTACCATGGGCGGCAAACCAGTTCATCTGCTGGCCAATTAGTATGAGACTGATACAATTGGATATGACACCAATTAGAACAGTGCCGCCAATTTTACACCCAGGACTTCGCCCCCCACGCTCAGCCCAGGAGTATTGGGGAGTAGGACCATGTGCATCCAAATGCCGTTCCTGCATAACTAATAAGGCAATCGATATCGACAACTCTTTATTGAGTGTTATATTCCGAGGATCAACCGGTCTTGGGCTTCTTTTATTAGAGACTAGAATCGGCAGTCCGTCCACTACTGAATCTAGCGCCAGCGTATCGCACTCGAGTACTTCGTAGTGCTCTGATACAACGCGCGGCATCTAATAACTCCCCTACCGGCTCGGAACTACCCATTCGAAGGCTGCTGCCGGCTTGGCACGATCGTCCATCGGTGCATTAACCCGACTCATCAACGACCAGCGTCCACCCCGTCTTCCCCGGACTCTCTCGACCTCCAATAACTGATTATTCATTGTGTTGCGTGCTTTGGGCATATTCCTGCCGGCTTGCTTACTAACGCAGCTGGATGCTCCACCATGTTCTCCTCGCCATTAAGTCACCCAAGCCCGGGAACTCAAAAGCCAGAACACCTCTCAATTAGTAGTGTGTACTCGGTAAGACCAATCTGATTCCAAATGATCGGCACCGTCCCTCGTAACAACAACAGTACTCTTACCCACGTGAGTGGGGTACTGCGCGGCAGTAATCCCCGAAGCAGCTTACCCACCTTCAACAAGCCAGGTGAGTGAGTTAAACAAGGATGGAGCTATCAGCATTACTCAGAAATCTCGATACCTAGCAGTTGAAGCTTGGAATCATATTTTTACCCCTCCACTTTCATTGTAACTGTTGTGTTCCACTCCCTGTACCACCATAATGGAGCTTGTGCGGTCCATAGGTGTCTAGGTGTCTTAGGTGTGACAGGTGGTGTGCACATGCACGTTCCCCAGCAAACATGCACCGACATCATTGACGGAAATCGTTTATCTGGAATAGCCCAGCAATTTAAAGACCCTTGGTATATCTGTTTTGGTGGACGAAAATAAATGCGGCGAAACATGGGCTGGGTTGGGCTGGGCACCTGCACAGGAAATCGCTCTGTGTAGCATTTGCCGTCATGTTATTCATTGTGTATCTCATCTACCCTTGTAGCTGCAGAGCCTGCAAACCGACGGTTCCGATAGGATTATCATCTACTACTACCTACTGTAGAATTGTAATCTGGTTCTTTTGGTAGGGTAGACCGTGGAGGGATATTTCCTCTCATTGGACTATGTATGCTGTAGCTCCTCGGACCGCCTTTGTGCACCACAAGGTTATAAAGATGCTCTCTTTCGCTCTGCTTTACTGTTACCATCTTTGAGGTTGCTGATCAAGTTTATCGGCGTACAATTTCTTCGCGTGTTTCTGTGTCACAGCCTCTTTGATCGTCTATGAAAAGGTAGCTCAAGATGCGCCAAACGTGGGTTTCATTTGCCCTCTTGGGGTTGGCCAGTGCAGCATGCCCATATATGGATGCAGCTCCTGCTATCAAAGAACGAACGGATACTTCAGACTCTGCTATACATGAGCGCGACAATAAACAGTTCCTGAATCAATTTACGCTGGCTGATTCTAATGCATTCATCACGACTGATGCTGGTGGCCCGATTCAGGATAGCAACAGCCTGAAGGCTGGCGAGAGAGGGCCAACCTTGCTTGAAGACTTCATTTTCCGCCAGAAGATTACTCATTTTGACCATGAGCGAGTACGTCATCCATGTAGACTGAGATCATATGGAGATATACTTAACCACTAACAGGTCCCCGAGCGCGCTGTTCATGCGCGTGGTGCTGGTAACTACCCCTTCAGACCTTGTACGGCATCTATCTGACGAAACTAGGTGCCCATGGAACATTTACCAGCTATGGCGATTACAGCAATATCACCGCGGCTTCATTCCTAAATTCTGCAGGAAAACAAACTCCTGTCTTCGTGCGATTTTCAACTGTTGCTGGAAGCAGGGGGAGCGCAGACACCGCCAGAGATGTACGTGGGTTTGCTACTAGATTCTACACTGACGAGGGCAACTTTGGTGAGCATATCAACTAGGATATTCGGGGATTTGACTAATTTGTATATGCGGCAGATATTGTCGGCAATAATATCCCCGTTTTCTTTATCCAAGATGCGATTCTGTTTCCAGACCTAATCCATGCAGTCAAGCCAAGTCCAGATAATGAAATCCCTCAGGGAGCAACAGCCCATGATTCGGCATGGGACTTTTTTAGTCAGCAGCCTAGTTGCTTGAATACTTTATTCTGGGCAATGGCTGGAAATGGTATTCCCAGGTCATTCAGGCACATGGATGGTTTTGGCGTCCACACTTACCGATTTGTTACCCAGGATGGCGCCTCAAAATTTGTGAAATTCTTGTGGAAGTCGAAACAGGGTAAAGCAAGCTTGGTCTGGGAAGAGGCTCAAGTTCTTGCTGGAAAGAATTCCGATTTCCATAGGCAAGATCTTTGGGATGCAATTGCTTCCGGAAATGGTCCAGAATGGGAACTTGGTGTACAAATTGTGGATGAAAAAGATGCACTGTCTTTCGGGTTTGATCTTCTGGATCCGACGAAGTTCATCCCCGAAGAGCTTGTCCCAGTGACAATGCTTGGGAAAATGAAGCTGGACACGAATCCTAGAAATTATTTTGCAGAGACGGAGCAAGTTATGGTAAGCTTATCTGGCATAACAGAACGGCCCTCACACTAATATCCCACAGTTTCAACCTGGTCACATTGTCCGAGGGGTTGACTTTACCGACGACCCTCTTCTTCAAGGCCGTGTCTTTTCGTATCTTGACACTCAATTGAACCGTCACGGCGGGCCAAATTTTGAGCAACTTCCAATCAATCGTCCTCGTACTCCGGTTCATAACAACAACAGAGACGGTGCTGGACAAAACTTCATTCATCTGAATACCGCAGCATACTCTCCCAACACATTGAATGGCGCCAACCCCAAACAAGCCAACCAAACTGCCGGTAACGGCTTCTTCACCACCCCTGGTCGAAGTGTCACAGGAAACCTCGTTCGTTCAACATCTCCCACCTTCGCCGATGTCTGGTCACAGCCCCGTTTGTTCTTCAACTCCCTCATTCCGGTAGAACAGCAATTCCTTGTCAACGCGATGCGGTTCGAAACATCCCATCTAAAGTCAGACGTGGTTAAATCGAACGTGCTCATCCAGCTCAATCGCGTCAGTAACGACCTCGCCAAACGTGTTGCTGAAGCCCTGGGTATGACTGCCCCAGCCCCTGACCCGACATTCTACAACAACAATAGCACCAAATTTGTTACTGTTTTCAACAACAGCCTTCCTACGATTGCAACTCTTAATGTGGCTATCCTCGCCAGCATTAACAAGCCTGACTCTGTCGCCCAAGCCGCAGCGTTGGCTAAAGCCTTCGCTCCAGCAGGTGTAAACGTAGCCGTTGTCGGCGAGCGGTTATCTAATGGAACTAGCCTCACATACAGCGCTGCAGATGCATCGGTATTTGACGGCATTATCGTGGCTACAGGTGCAGAGAGTCTCTTTGCCGCTAACAGCTCATCGCCGTTGTTCCCCACGAGACGCCCGGCTCAGATCCTCGCGGATGGCTATAGATGGGGTAAGCCTGTTGGCGCGCTTGGCTCTAGCGTTTCTGCGTTGAAGGTTGCGGGAGTTAATACACTGCCTGGTATATATCAGCAAGCTAGCGATGTCGAGAAATTTGTAGCGGACTTTAAGGATGGCTTGAAAGTATTTAAATTTATTGATCGATTCCCTTTGGATAGTTAGGTAGTCTGGGTGTGTGGTTGTGTGGGGGTTTATAATATTATTAAGTGGCAATGGTAACTTTTAATTTATTAAATTCGACATAGATGTGCATCAATATTGTACTAGACTTATTAAAATGACCGACTCCATTGTTGCTGGGCTCCGACCGCTAAGTTGCAACTGCTCCTTCCGCCTGCAAAACTGGAGTTCGCTATACTAGGTGGCCTCTGACATGAGTCCTGTGACTCTGTGGCATGGTAAAACCATCGCTTGTGACGTATAGAGACTTTAAGTTGAACGTTGGAAGAAGATGACTCTTCGTCATGAGCTTCATGAGCTTGAATTGGAGATAAATAACCAGTTTACGATCTTAAGGATAATTTAGTGATACTACTAAATTTCGTTACAGGTTAACATTATGGTTCAGAACTCGAAGATATATTTAGTAGATCCTTTATATGCAAAATACGTCGGTTCCCGTTCTATTCTTCAACATAAGAGCTATGCCGTTAGCCTGGGAATAGAATAGACAGAGTTTTCATGTCAAACCAATTCAACAACACAGTCTTTCCCATGCTGAAAATTTACACTGTCTCGATCGCATATCATAACACTAATTCGTTCAAATGCACCCGGTCGATTGTTGGCCAGTTTGAGCACCAAGCAAAGTACTATAATTCTAGGAAGCTTTATTCTCTCGCTCTGTTAGATCTCACTTATACTTAGAAGTAAATAATAAATACTATCTCCGTCAAAGATCTTATTATCTTCGCTAAGTGAAATATCAAGTGTAAAGTTTTAATAAATAACGATAATAGTATCGTTTTCTCTATTACACAGTATAACAGTTAGCGAGGCCCGGGGGTTTGGACCGCTGTTTTTAAGGGTCTACTAACTAGTTCTCGGCTAACCACGCACCCTCTGCTCTCTACAGCACGTACTGTTTATACTAGGCACCGCTTATTTATTAGGCTCTTACGCGACAAGGACCACTTCGTCGTCACTGTCTTCCTGAACCCGAATCGAGAACCCCGTTTTCTAATAGTTACTACGAAGCCAGAAACGGCGCCCTTAGGGCCTACACGATCCCGAAGATATATTTAACGATTATATTCGCCCGCTTACTCTATCCCGAGTCCTCTGCACCTTTTATCCACCTACTCTCCACTCCTCTCCACCTAGCCTCCTCTTCTATTAGTAGAACGCGTCTCTGCTAACGGATCCTAGTCTCTCAAGGTTATTGCCCTTAAGAAGAAGCTTAATAACTCTAAGCGGGAGAGTGCCACGATGTATGTCGAGGACCTGGCCCAGTTCGCCCGCGTGCTTCTGACTACAAAGGAGATGACTTTCCTGCTTAGTTCGTCTCGGATTACGTTAATTCTCTTTTGCCACTACTTATCTAGCTAGTACGGCACAGGAAGCAGATAATCAAAGGTGTGTTTCTATATTTCTCATGTTAAAGCCAACCAAGATTGTTATATGCATGGCCTGATAATGGTGGATATCCCAGGCTTCGACGACTGCAAACGATACCATGGGTTCGTTAAAAAGGAGCTGAAAGTCCAAACTCATTGTGGAGTTATCTCACGATTCATAGCAAGCAAGATTGAGGAGCAGAGAATCGATGTCAATACTGAAAATCAAGTAAAGGTAGCTAGCTATCTTGTGACTAACCACCCAAATGCGGCCATGCCAGATATATCCAAAATACATTTGCGCCTCGTTACCATCCCAGACTACATCTACCGGGAATTCCGCCGAACAGCCCAGCGTGTGTAGGCTTTGCCTACTTCTTAGGGGTGTCAAGATGGATGGTTGGTTTCGATTTTATTGCCATCGGCATCATTATGGTCCCAAACCTCCCAAGTCCTTCGCTAACGCAAGTTTAGTTCGGGGTAAGCTTCAAGAGCCGGCCAGCAGGACCATCCTCGATCACCCAAATGGCGCCGTCCTTGGCCTCTCGGATACCGCGCATGCGCTTACCCATTGAGATGCGCTGAGCCTCCTTCGCCGTGTCACCCGTAATGGCCACACGAACAATCGATTGCGAGCTAAGACCGGTAATGATGGCATTGCCCTTCCAGCTCGAAAACAGGTCGCCCTTGTAGATGATCAAGCCGGCCGGGGAGATGACGGGGACCCAGAAGGCCTTGGGCGGCGCGAAACTGGGGCGTGTGCTATGGGCGGGGATCAGGGTGCCGTTGTAATGTTTGCCCTCGGACACGAGCGGCCAGCCGTAGTTGGCGCCCGACTGGATCAGGTTGAGCTCGTCGCCGCCCATGGGCCCCATCTCGACCTCCCAGAGACGTCCCTGGGCGTCCCAGTCGATGCCCAGCGGGTTGCGGTGGCCCAGCGACCAGATCTGCGCCTGGACGGCGCCTTGGCTGGCGAACGGGTTCCCCGCGAAGGCGGTGCCGTTGTCGTACAGCTTGATCACCTTGCCGAGGTTGCTGGTCATGGACTGGGCCGGGAACATCTGGTTGATCTCGCCGGACGAGATCCACAGCGCGCCGTCCGGGCCGAAGAGCAGGCGGCAGGCGAACTGGAGCCCGCCCGAGGCCCGCTGCGAGTGGCGCCAGATGACCTCGAGGCCGGACAGCGCGCCGCCGCCGCTGGCGTCCACCGTCAGCTTCGCCCGCGCGACGGCGCCGCCCGCCCCGCCACTCCCGCTCTCGGCGTAGCTGATATACACCATGCTATTCTCGGCGTATTGAGGGTGCAAGGCGACGTCGTGGAGACCGCCCTGACCGCCGTAGGCGACGGTGGGCACGCCGGTGATCGTGCCCTTGGACTTGGTGGCCGGGTCGACGAGACGCAGGTTGCCCCGTCTCTCGGTGACGAGGATGCGGTTGTCGGGCAGGAAGGCGATCGCCCATGGCTCGGCATGGTCGGTGATGGGGGTCGACTTGAACGGCTGCTGGCGAGTGTCGAGCTGCTGCGATGGGACGGCTAAGGCACCGGCTACCAGTGCCAGCGCGTAGGTGAGAGAAAGTCTGAGGTGTATCATTTTCGGGGCGGCCTTTACTTTTCCAGTATATTGTATTCCTAGACGATCGAGGGTTGAGTGACTTATATCGTACAGAAACTCTTACGCTGTCTGTTTCCCCAAGGTAGGTAGGTATTTAAGAAACTGGAGGACTCGAGTAACCTCTTATCCAATTTCAGGCTCCTTCCATGAGTTGATATACATAAGGTTAATTTGGTTGAATTCCTGTACTCTTATTGTTTAAATGCATCTCCACGTAACGGTAACTGGATGACAGTCCTGACAGCTGCTATGCCAAGCACGTAACTAATAGGCTGCCGGCTGATAGTTACTTGCTAAGTAACGATGCACTTGGACAACGGCATCTATCGATGGTGCCAAGCACGAGAGATCGGTAGATAAATTCATGTCGAAGAAAAACTCTTCTATAACATGTAGAAAACTGACGACTAAATATCTCGACTACAGGAATCGGCAAGAATTGAATAAAGAAGTTGAGAACGAAGCTCCTATCTACCTGAGAGGAAGCCCAGTCTTTGTAGAACCTTCGTTCTCCATGGTAGTCCTCGGTAGTCCCGTCCGTGTAGTCTCGAGTTGCTAGACTACTCGGCACTTGGACTTTTGGTCTCGTGAATTGCCTAGACCGGCTTGCTAGCCAAGCGGGCCCCTGCATTTATCACTGGGAGTGCAGCATAACTGCCATGAAATCCCTAGTCAGTATGGCCCAGGAACACGGGAGTCGAAGAGCTTTTAGGCATCGGGTTATTTTATTGCATCACTTCTCCTTCACGTCCGCGCAGGGGGGCCACTACACCTCTGGAATCGCATGAGGGGTGGACTCGGCCAACAACGGCCTCACAGCTGGACACACCGCAAATGGTGCAAATCAGATATTTTGCTGCAGTACTGCATGGCTATGCTTTATTTGATGGGGTACTAGAAATCCTGCACCCCACCTGTTCCTGATACATGAACCGACTAAGACAGGCCTGCGAGGCTGCGAGGAAATCGGTGTTTGGAGGAGGGGGATGAGAGGGAGAGGGTCGACGGGTCCAAGATGGACGGCAAGCTCGTCGTTGGCGCTTGGCGCTTGGCGGGAAAGGGGAGGCAGGGCTGGTTGCTGGTTGCTGGTTGTGCTTGCGGGGGTAGCGGCAGAGCGGGGTAGCGGCAGAGCAGCACAGGCGAAGCGTGCTATGACAGAGAGGAAGGAGGGAGAGTGTGCGTGGAAAGAGGACGGGGAGTGCTCTACTTATACGTTAGGGGTCACGGAGCGTGATAAAGCAAACCGGCTACGCGAGCCGTGGTAAGCAAGACCCCCAAAAGCTGCGCCTTACTAACTGTCGAATATACTATAGTGCCACGGATCAAGATCGTGCCCATTGAAACTTGTCCGAAAGGATTGATACCGGCTGCCGCATATTCGACCTTTAGTATTTCAGCATTAGTATCGTGCTTGAAGCTGGTGCAAAATCTTTGAACAAGTATGTAACTTGGAGGATTGTCGCCTCTGCCATTAAGTTCATCATAGTCGACAATCGACGCCCATGACCATGACGGCGCGGCTGACTGGCGACTTCTAGTACAACCCACTGTTGAGTCCTTTAGACACCACAATAGCATTCTAACAAGGTCGTTCTGCCACAGGTCGGCAAAATAGTCCCCAGTAGTCTGCTCTTGAAACTGACTTGCAAGACCCGCCAAAGCAGGAAGCCTGACAGAGGAGTGAAGGTGAATCGTCCGGGGTGAAAGGTAGAGCTCTTGGAAATCCCAAGCTCTTGCTAACAGAGGTGATCTGATGTGGGTATCACTGGCAGTATCATTTTTTAGGAAATCTCGATGAGCCTTCCATAGCTCAAATCGAGCAAAGATTTCGAAAGGCCGACCATCATGTGTGCCTTCAATTCTTATATCATCCATAGGGCAAGACCACGACTGTGTAATCCCCATAGCCTGCATCCATCTAGGCCGAATGAAACCATCCTCGCTGGTGCCGAGCATGTTGCAGCTATGTTGAGATACGTATTAGAGTATATTGCGGCCGTCCTACTAGACTGTCTTTCCTAATAGGCGATATCATCTTGAATGATATAAAAGATCGATCCAGGAGACTGCCCTTTCGTCCTCGCGAGATCTTTCCTTTTCCCTTCGGCCACCCTGAACCTACATCGGTATATCCCAAATAAACACTGCCTTACTTGTCATATACTCTTACGTACCGGGCCTTGTACTTGTACTATACCTATAATAAACCGAGTCATATACTACTAACGTGCTGAACGCGTTGCAATTCTACCCCCCTGACCGAGGGAAGGGAGCCCGTTTCGTGTACCTTAAAAGGCGCAGATATATCCTTCACTACTACCAGTACTCTTCTCGGCTAGTCTTTCTATTCTGCTGATTCACTTTTACCCGTCCCTATTATTCTTCTCCACTCCTGTGTAGAATACAAGCCCACGTCGTGTTTGCCCGACGCTACTTTAGAGTACTGTTACGATAGGTCCGGCGAGGAAACGCCGGTTTCTCGCCTACGACGATAACCTCCAAGTAAAGAAGGCGAAGCAAGAGAAAATTATTGAAGATTTTGTTTTATACTATATCTCTATTATATATAGAATTCTATACTAATAACTTTAGTTACTTTTACTAACTACTTAGCCTTGACCCGGGTAGTATATAGCTTGATCTTTGTCGTAATAGAAACGCCGTCGACCTGGCCAAGGATAGGTCTCGATTAGCCTGGCCGCGATTTAACAATACTGGAAATTAAGTTCGTAAGACTCTCCAGTACAAGGGAGAGCTCCGGGCAGTCCAACCCCATCCTAAATAGATTAGGTTTCCGTGAATGGCTTGGTAACCTCCTCACACCAGTTCCAAAACTCAATTGCCCTTCCCGTCCCTCCATCCTTTTCTTCTTTCAAGCCTGCCGTAATGTCTGGCCTCATAGTCGTATGCCACCTTCCCCAAGGGATAACATACCTCCCCCCATCATCGATTGTAATATCCTTATTGAAAGCAGTCCAGAGGTTCGTACGCACCCCGTCAATCGGCATTCCCAGAATGAAATAATAAGGCCAATAATGGTACCAGGGCGTCGTTCGCCATGTATTCGTCTTCAGGCTTCCAGGGTTCAACGCCAGGCTGACAACGCCCGTCGACGCACCAAAGCGACGATTCCATTCGTAGGCCAAGAACCAATTGCCGGTTTTAGAGGCGGAGTAATGCTCGTGGCGTTGCTTGGAAGGGGTCCTCACTTCTTTCATTACCACGCCACCCTTAGGCGCCATGGCATCGACTAGGACTGAGGATGTCCAGGTGATGCGCACGCTGTTTGGCGGGGAGATTTTCGCAGTCGCGGTTAAGATGGGTGCCAGAAGGTGAGTAACGAGCCAGGTTCCAGCACAGTTGATGCCAAAGTGGGGTTCCAGGCCTTGGACGGTTTTGTAATCCAAGGGCATACTGGCGCGACCCGCATTGTTAAACAAGACATCAAGCCGGGTTTCGGCTGCGAGGAATTTTCCAATGGCTGGGGAGATGGTGGTGAGATCTGCGAGATCGAGGGGGATGAAGTGGAGAGTGCCTAGGGTGCTTATATGGACTGTGCTGCGAATCTTCTCGATGGCAGCAAGTCCACGGCCTTCGTGGTGTGACAAGCAGTATACTGTTCCTCCGGCCTGATAGAGAATTCTAGATAGCTCGAACCCTACTCCACTACTACCGCCCGTGACGATAAAGACCTTTCCGACTTGAGATGGGATGTCATCTTCGGTAAACGATGCTTTTGGAGGGAAGAACTGTGTAAAGATGGTGTAGAAGGAAGCCATGGTCGCGGCTTTGTTTACTTGCTCGCTGCCGTCGTGAATGTGTAGTAATTAGAGTGGTTTGATCCAAACAAACAACGTATCAAATTGAACTTGGAGATGGCGACGCGTATATGGAAGAAGTCGTATCTCGATCCGTCGTGCTAGAGGATAAATATTGGCAAAGTTATCGCAGTTATCACGTTTTATAAAGCTAGGTAAGGAAAGCAAGTCTATTAGTTTCCTAGAAAAAGTAACTATATTATAGTACTAAGAGCTCGACGACTTTTATTACGTGACACATAATAAGTTAAAGCGCAAATATTAGCCAACCAACGAATACAATTACATGCTTACGGCAAGGTCCAAATATCCAACTTGGCCGGAGAGTTCACGCAACCTGGTCAATCACCAACTCGTGAGATCGCAGATCGATGGGGTCCCGAGCGAATCATGAGTGGTAGCATGCTTCTATTCTTATAGGAATGCCGCCGACGCATGCCATTACTCTCCTGCGCATTTCCAGTTGCATACACGCAAGCCGGAATGCGGCGCAGTTGTTGTGCACGGCAATGAGTGCCAAAGGCAATAAAACAAGCAGGGAGTACGCAGCGTTGGTATAATGGACCGTTCCGACGGATGACAATTGTGTAGCGAGATCTCCTGAGACCTTTCAGTGGACGCTCCTTTTACTCCCCTTTTACTATGCGGATATATAAATGACGGACTTTTCAGAACCAACTGTACGGATCGACAGAGATACTTCATGGTGGCATTGACCTGCATATTATAGTGTTTCATGCAAGACTGAGACAGAAAAAATGTCCACTTTGAGTAGCAACCTGGGATATTTCCCGGCGGCGGATGAGAAGTGTGTGTTGGAGACCGATCGTTAGTACCAGCCCCCTAATCCGACACCAGTACCTGTCACATGGAAAAACAAACTGTACAACCACATTTTCAGATTTATCCGCAAAACAATTGAGTGCCTTGCATTCTTACGGCGTATGCGCTATTATAAGGCTTATAACTTCCAGCCCTAGTAATTTCCGAACGCTAGGTAGGAGGAAGCCAGGAGGCCGAGGAGAAAGGTATGTTGGGAGGACAGGGTAGCTTGAGCAGGCCGAGATTAGGACATAGAGAATCGCACATATCTTGCATTACTTGATGGGAAGCTCTGACTAGCTTATCAGGCAACATTCTGCCCGACTCGATTATTCAGGGGCAGTCGCGTGGAAACCCTTTTTTCGAGAAAGAAAAGCGCTTGGCTTTATAATCTTAGTATAAAAAACGATATCACTATTCTTGGGGTGAAGGAGTACGAATAAAGATCAAGGGATAAACTGCTACTAGCAAAACTTCTCAAATATAAACCGGTGCTGCTGTGAATACACTGTTGTCATGATCGTTCATGATCGCAGGAAGATATTTGCACCTGTTCCTCCACGGGGACGCTCGAACTCGGCGTAGTAGTTTGCTGCGACTGAATCGAGGATGATAAAGCGGACGCTGATAGCGACAGGGACTTGAAACTGTAAATATAGTTTTGGAATTCGACGTCTGGGGTTACGATACTAATCACTTTATCGAGGGTCGGTTTGGGTTTAGAAGAGGTAAGAACTAGATAGCTACAGAGGAGTTGGCAGAGTCGAGTTGTAAGAAGGGCGGATTCGGTAGCTATATAGAGTACTAAGCTGGACAAGCTATAAAGAGCAGAAAGTTGGGCGGATAAAAGAAAGGTGAGAAGGAATTGGGTTTTGGCTTGTACTACTATGAAAATTTTAGTTTTATTATAAAATAGCTAGTATATAAAAGTATTTACTTTTCGCTAATAACTTCTATAATATACTTTATAGGAATACCGCCTCCTAACACCTGATCGAGATTATTATCGAGAATACTAATTATACTCGACGAGTTTATAATATCCTTGCCCGACTTCCTCAACACCAACGATGTCTGCTATTCGTTCTCGGTCTCGTTTATTCCCAGGCTTACCTGCAGTGCCGCAAGGACTATATTACACAGTCTCTTCACATTGAGGAGTGGAAGCTGAGCGCGCTTTACTGCCTAGACGAAATCGAGAGTGAGGAGGTCTACAGTGGTAACCATATTCTTTTCGGGTTTTGGAAGGAGTCGGGTATATTAATAGGTTAGAAATCTAGGGAGGACAGTTGTAAGGTCTGTTATAGGTTTATTGGCGGCTGTGGAGTTGATTGACGTCGAACGTATAGGGATCCAAGATCGCCTCCCGAGGCATTTTCGTAAAGGCAGGCAGGGGAGCTATATATTAACAAGTTAAAGAAGGTAGCTATACGAAGGTTGGTTAAGTAAGTATTCAATTGTTGCTAGCTAGGGGGTGTATCGCTTATGGTGTCAAATCCTATAGTAGTGATGCGTTTAAGAAGTATGTAAACTTCCAAGGGTTATATAGCTAACAAGAGCCTTAGTCTTCCTTTAGTTATTCCGCAACCTTACTAGTAGATATTAAATACTTCCCTAACCAACCTTCGTATGCTAGGCAGCAGGTATTATTAATATCTAAAAATAAATAAAATAGAAATAGACTTAGGTAAAGTTAGTTTAGTTTTCGTACGAGACTTTGGAAGTAGTCTTGCGACGATACTTGACCGGCCTCGCTTTCTTGAATTATAGCTTGAAAATAGTATTAATATATAAAGTCTTAGCAATTTTATTACTGATATGTGTAGCTTGAGTCTAGTAGCCTGTTGATATTAGTATCCTGTCGCGTTATTTGAGGTGTATAGATAGTTAGTTGGGGAAAACGCACATTATAATCCCTCAGAAAATAGAGGTCTAAACCTCAAATTTCTGTGGTATTTATATCTAGGTCGATCGACATAGATACACAGGGAGTCGGTCCAAAGGTATCGGATGCCAAACTCTTGGGTGACGTTAATTGCATCTTGAAAGGTCCGCGGCAGAGCTGACCATGGTATACCCTGTTTCATTATCGGAAGTGTCTTCTTTTTGGTTTCAATGGTTTTGGAGCCTCCCCAACAGTGGCTTAGGGACATGTATCTGCCAGATTCCCCGCTTGTTTCCACCAACACTATATACTTGCCTGCCGCCAAACATGCAAGGTCAAGAACACTTGTTGGCAGTTTCGGTATTCGCGTAGAAATGCAAGTATGCTAATCCGTACAAGACGAAAGTCAGTCCCCAATGGTCTGTACGTACATTCTCCTATCCAAAATTTCTGGCACTTGCTTAGCAAGTCCGAATGCAGCCCAAAATGGGGGAGGGTGATCTACTGGAGTTAACTAGATACAAAGTGCAATATTGCAAGCTTCAAAGTTTAAGATAGCTGGCGACCCACCGGCACAAGTGAAGTACTCTATCGCAATCCTATAGCTTTCGTGACCAAGAGGTGTGCCATATCTTAGCCGTGGCTGCGTAATAGAACCTTCTTCTGACGCATCCAAGTCATCTTCCCATTCATGGTCGGACTTATCAAGGAACAACGGCAGACTTCGTCCCCGTCGTACGTTTATGTGCACAGTGCATGGGCCGCCGAGATCCCATGGTTTCCAAGGGGGTAGAAGTGAGCTGTATACTGACGAAAAGCGACGATGCCTTGGTGGAGAATTGAGCACAGTTCGCACCCGCGATTAGCTAACAGGGCGAGTGGGTGACAGGAATCAATAATGCGACTCTTTTCTGCGGATGACTCGTCTTTCAATTGACTCGACGTATTAGGATACAGGTCCTAATCGAGATTGAAACAAATACCGCAAACCGGCATTTTTTGGAATGTGACACGGAGACCAACGAAGATTAAGTAAAGGAGGATTGATTACAGAGGCAGCGCTTAGATAACTCAATTATTATTTTCTTCTACAATTGTAATGATCCCCTTGTTCTATAACTATACTTTTGTTTTTCTCACCACACTTGTTACTATTTTTCACGACTGTTTTAATATTGACTTGGGCTCCACCTACGCTATATACTACTGTTTTGCACGAAGTTGCGCCCCTGATAATTGTTATAAGGGATTTTAAGAAATATTATCATATTCTTGGAATTTGCCTACATTTCTGTGGAAACGCGACCCTTCTGCCAAATCGTCGCTGTTCACGTGACCTACAATTCACTCTGTGTCGGCAACAAGAAATATAAATTCGTACAAAGAGATTCCTGCATCTTAAATAGTTATTTATGTAGCTAGGCTTAATAGCAAATACAAATCGCGTGGAAGTTATCCGTTTTCGCTACATGTAAGGCTCCTATGCTGGCTGGTAGGCAAGGTAGGGGTTGATGTCAGATGAAGGCATGGTGTGACGACGCTGTTTTGCTGGTTTATACAAGGGAGAAATAATATCTAGCTCATTGTTATTCGATTAATTTCCTGAGGACATATTAAGAAGTGTAAATAGCATTTGAGCATCCAGATCACAGCAAAATTATAAATCCCACAACCCGTTGCGGTAAAAGCCCACCTAGCTTCTTAAACTCCAACCTCCATCCCCATTTATGGGTAGGTATATATGCGACCTTACCAATTATTCGATCAACGATCAAGAACTCGCATCCCTCTGTCCCGCATCCTTATCACGCTTGCCAAACACCCCCAACCTTCTTCTACCCCCGCCTTCACCTCCCCTTCGCTTCAGCAGCACGACCGAAGCATACAGCAGCGCTATAAAGCCCGCAACCACCCCGTAGGCAATCTCGCCCTTCTTACTATTAGCAGCGAGTCTCAATCCGAATCCACCATTCAGCACAGCCAAGATCATCAATATACGGCCATACCAAACATGCAGATGCGAGAAGATGCTGCGTGATTGGGTTTTAGTGTAGAGGTGGTGGTGGATGAGGCCGAGTACAGGTTGGATCATGAATAGGGCGACGACGACGACCCCGAAGATGGAGTGCGAGTTGTTGAATAACTATACGCGAGATTTCAGTTAGCATTGTTTCCATGCGGCTTGGCCATAGCTGATGGTTAAATGTCAGCAGGGGACGTACCATTGATGTAAATTGCGCAAGCTTGACACCAAGTGCAAGGCCGACAATCATCGCACATAAACTGAATATTTGGATCGCTGCATGTATCCACGGGTGCCGCACTGTTCTCATGAATATAGAGCCGAGAGGGAAGAGAAGGACAACAGTGACGCCCATGATGATCCCATGCGCTTTTAGATATTGCTCGATAGTCTTAAAGTCTGGGGTAAAGTCGTTAGAACTCGACTGTGAGTCGGGGTCATCGGAATCAGGATCTGATGAGGAACTTGACGTGGGATTAGGTGAAGGGTTGGCAGTCGGATTCAAGGAAGCGCCAGAAGATGAGACTTTTGAAGGCGGGGATGGGGATGAGGCCACGAAGGGATTTGAGTCGGATGAAAGAGTGCTCTTTGTGAGGTCGAACGAGAATTGACGGAATGCATTTCCGCCGTGCTGGCTGATTGAATACGATAGGGATTTGGAGTTGATAGATGACCCTTCATTCCATGCCGCGATCCACGGCGATGAAGTTGAGCTCGCCGTGGAGGCAAGTGTACATGTTGTGCCTATTCATCAGTGTTAGTCGGATCCCACTAATAGCCAAACGGTTGACCTAACGTACAATGAACAAACGCCGTCATAACCCCATTCGCAACGCCACTCCCTGCCAGCACCGTCACCCCCGTCATCAGCGAGGTATCTAGCGCTGGCTCGTTGTGACCTTGGCCCCCATTGCGCCCACTGACAGTCACATTTCCTGCCCCATCCGCGTATACCACAAACATTGTTGAGCCCGCCATCTGGCGGCCAATGCCTAAGCCAACCCATTGATACGAAGTGGGGGCAGTGATGGAAATGTATATGCCACCCTTAGTGGATTGCGAGATGGTGGAGCCTGGGGGGATGCCGACACTATATTTTGGGCTCGTCGAGGATGATAATGGAGTGTAGTTAGCGATGGCCGCAGTGAGGGGAGCTAAAGGTTGCTTTCATTAGATATATTCGAGGAAATAGGGGGTTGCATTGACTATCAGCAGGAATTGGGCTTACCCAAACTGGCCAGCACCAAACCGTAAGCCTGTAACCATCTTTTCATTGTGCGATGAGATTGATATTGCGTGACAAAATCACTTCGAAATCGTGGCGCTTCTTGATCGGTGAACGGAGGTGGACAATGGATTTGATTGTATTATAGAAGAAAGTCTAGCTCATGGCTCGGGAGACGTTGGTAGCAATACAAGGAAAGAAAAAGCTAAGAAGGGCGCAATTCTAGCATATCAATATATACTGCGCAAGTCGAGAAGCCAACACATTATGTAGGCCTTCATCTGGAGAAGGGAGGTCTGGTCGAAGGTGCGCCATGCCCCATCCGCATCCAGGCAATGTGGCTGTCGCTCAGCCTCCACGAACAAATGCAAAGACGCGGAACAACAAGGTTCGGGGTGGCTTGCAGACGCCATCGTGGGTGATCCCCATAGATCGTATCTGAGACTCGGGAAATATCCCCCGTCAGAAGGGCGCAATGCAAGCACTTGCCTGCTCCCTTCCTACCATACAGACACTCGAAACACTAGCAGATGGTCCTTTATGCTGTGATCTGAGATATCAATATCGTCATATTTAGGCCGAAATAGACGACTGGAGAAATATAGAGGTTGCGTATACGCACAAACTGGCCACGACATGATGGACGATTGGGCACTACAATCCTCCAGTCTGAGTTACTAAGTGCCTTGCATCTTTCGCATTATATACCCGCTGGACTCCGGACATGGCATTCAATGCGCCTATCGACTGTGCTACGCAGCGAAGTGTTCTGGCAGATTTCCCTCCAACCATACTTGCATGTTGATCTCAATCTCAGACGAGACTTTTCGTCGAGGGAGCCATGCTCGCGGGGCCGAGGGGAAACTGATGCGACAAAGTTGACAGCGCGCCGCGTAAGTCTATGTCGGTTGCAGACATCCTCCCTGCCATAGGTATGTTCGCTGTCGTTGTCCGCTGACCGGGGATAGATAGATCACTGTCGAAGTTCCTCCGGAGAGTAAGCCGCCAAGTGCTCGAATACCAGTCTCGTAAGGCTGGCGGGATGTTGATATCTCGAGCTTGGCCCGGAAACAAAGCTATCCGTACCAAGAAACCGGTGGCAGCAAAGCTAAAGCCAGTCGCGTTCCTTTATGGCTAGGTAGGCTATGTCGATATGTCATCTGGCACTACGCCGAGATGCTTCGCCGGTCGTTTGCAGATATAAAAACAGAGAAAGAGAAGATCCTTACTTAAAAGTATCAAAAGCTACGCGTAAGCTTTGAAGAGATATAGATGAAGAAGTATTCTCTAGCTACGTGGGATGAAGCCGAGGATATCTAATCTATCCGCTCGCGCCGCAGGCCTACAGTACCGTACCTAAGGGAGGCACGCTATCATAATACGAGTACGAAGGAAGGGCGCCCGTTATACCACGCCCACCTATTTACCTAAGTGTCTCCATACACGTGATGTTCTTTAGTCCTTATTAAGGTACTAATACCAGTTAAGTAACTTCCGAAGTACCTCGGTACCAGGTAGAGAGCATATAGTAGGAACAACTAAGGTTTGTACCTAGGTAAGGTATCTACGTACAGTTTTCTTATTAAAACATCCCTATGAAATAACCGTTACCCGAGTCTCGCTACAACTTGCTACAGTACGTATTAGCTAATCATACCAATGGAGAGCTACAGAGCGTTTTCGCTAAAAGTTCTGCATGGGTGCAGTGCAAACTTCGTCATCCCACTGCAAGGTACTCCAAGTCTCCAACTCCGTACAGTCACAAAATAACCCACCATTTCTACTTGCACGTTATCGACTTGGATATCTCTGCCATTCTCTCTACCTTCCTACTCCTCAAAACCGCTACAATGGCTCAACCAGCGAAAATCCCGATTCGGCTATGGGGTGGCAGGTTCACAGGAGAAATGGATCCCCTGATGGACCAATACAACGAGAGCTTGTCCTTAGATCGCGTCTTCTATGCACAGGACATCAGAGGCTCAATCGCATACGCCAGAGCAAACGTCAAGACAGGCATTCTCACCCAGGAGGAGTTTGAGACGCTTGAGGAGGGGCTCAAGAAAGTTGCCAAGGAGTGGGAAGAGGGCAAGTTCCAGCCAGCGCCAGGAGACGAAGGTAAGCAAGATCCGACCATTTGTACTTCCGTCTTGTTGGTCCTTATCTAGATGCCCCCCCAAGAAGCGTCTCTATATCCAACCAGATGGCGGGATACCAAGTTGGTTGGTTCTGATGTTACCAAATTTCCTTTTCAATAGACATTCATACTGCAAACGAACGCCGCCTAGGCGAAATTATCGGGACACACATCGCGGGGAAGTTACATACAGGCCGCAGCCGCAACGACCAAGTAGCGACCGACATGCGCATGTGGCTCCGTGACGAGCTAGATCTAATTGAGGAGTACCTTATCGATCTCCTCAAGGTCATTGCCCAGCGTGCCGAGCAAGATATCGACTACATCATGCCGAGTTACACACATCTCCAAAGGGCACAGCCTATCCGATGGAGCCAATGGCTTCTCAGCTATGCCACGGCATTCGAATCCGACCTCGAGCGCATACGATTTACCAGGAAAAATGTCAACAAACTCCCTCTTGGCTGCGGTGCCGTTGCTGGAAATGCCTTTGGTATCGATAGGGTGCAGCTGGCAAAAGAACTAGGGTTCGAGGGTCTCATTATGAACAGCATGTCTGCAGTTGGCGACCGAGACTTCGTCGTTGAGATGCTGCAGTGTGCATCCACTATTGGCAGCCACTTATCGCGCTGGTCGGAGGATCTTATTATCTACAGCTCCCTTGAATTCGGGTACGTTAGGCTGGCAGACGCATACACCACTGGTAGCTCCTTAATGCCACAGAAGAAGAACAGTGACTCCCTTGAGCTCTTGCGTGGAAAGTCTGGGAGAATATTTGGACAAATGGCCGGCCTGATGATGAGCATCAAGGGTATCCCATCCACGTATAACAAGGACTTGCAGGAGAGTTTGCTGCCGATGTTTGATACTGTCAAGACCTTGAAGGACAGTCTCCAGATTGCCGCGAGGTCACTAGCTACGGCAACGGTTTTCCCGGATAAGATGCGTGCCGCGCTAAGCCCAGACATGTTGGCAACGGATCTTGCCGAGTATCTAGTCAGGAAGGGTAAGCTGCGCGATACATTAGATATTTTAAAAATCTATCTTGCTAATCTCAGCGCAGGTGTGCCATTCCGTGAGACTCACCACTTGGCAGGCAAGATGGTCGCATTTGCCGAAGATGAGAACAAAGGGATGGACGAACTCACCGTTAAGCAGTATCAAGGTATTGACAAGAGGTTTGGCGACGACGTGCTTAGCGTGTTCGACTACGAGCGATCTGTGGAGTTGAAGGACACCACCGGCGGAACCAGTCGCCGTGCGATCTTGGAGCAGCTGGCAGCACTGAAGAAGTCATTGGGGGGCCGATAAGTTTCCATTACTTTGCTTAGAATTAAGTAATGTGCATACCGCTTAGATTTAATCCAACCCTAGATTTAACAGCAACTCTAGTCAGCAGCACCCACGGACAGCGGGCCAAGAACTCCGGTAACACCTTGCTAATTCATTCATATCTAATCCAAGAAATCACCGTCCAAAGTCCTATACTATTTATAAACAGGAGGTAAAGCCTAGATAGGCGCTGTTAGCTATAGTTGTACTAGTTATTTAGTCTAGCAAGACGTTATGGTTGCCAGTAGAACCTTAATCGAGGTGATTTAACTATAATGCGCCCAGGAAATTCAGTGACTTTTACACGTAAATTAAGTTTATTTAAGTAGAATCGAGGAGGGATTAATAATCCAGAGACGTGCTAGAGTTTTACGGAGCGCATTTAGAAGCGTATGAGGGGTTTTACTTGTAACTTATCGGAGGCTACGCGTAAGGAGATGTAGAAGACTGGAAGTAGGTGTATTTCTCTAGCTCTCCGTGGGCCTAAGACGGGATATCTAATAATCTGCCTCGAGAGTGTATGCTAAACTAAACCTAAATAGGCTACATGTAGGTGGGAATCCGAGAATACTTCCTTATAATGGATCCTACAATAAAAGAATTAACTTGAATTCGAGCACAGAATATAATCGGATGCCCAAGTTCGCAGAAACTTCGGCGATATACAGGGGATCGATCAGGTAGTACCATCTAGGATTAACTCCTTCCGACTTTCTATTTCAGTATATCATATTGCCCTACGATGTAAAAATTGACATCTTCGAAAAATGCCCGACACGGACATTCTTCATGCGACCGGCTAAACGAGGGGAAATGCGGAGGACATCATAGGCCCCCCCCCCCCACCAGATCCCAACGGTGTCCAAAGTTTTACAACAGAATCAACCGGTCCTCTAGGATCACCAGGGGGAGGAGGATCTGGCAAATGTTGTTCCGGCGATTTGATACTGGGGGGCTTTTCGCTGCACGATGGGGAGGACGAACTTCCATGGAGCTAGGTAAACTAGGACGACGGCATGTGCCGCTCGCAATTGTGTGTAGACGTGGACATGGGCATCAAGGCAGGAGTTGTCTTCCGTAGATGATAGAATATCGATGCCTAAATACGAGTTAGAAGTTACAGGTTAAGTAGGGCTGAGTTACAAGTTGAGTGGTAGCTGAATCGCCCTAATCAGGCAGATATTTGAGTGGCATTGGATCAAGTTCCACTTAGCTTCACATGCAAACAGGCGGCGGAGCGCCGACGTGAATTAAAATATTTCCATTTCGTGCTTCGTTACAGAAAGAAACCAAGAGGCAGACCGCAGCATGTCCACTCCTTGCAAGCAACGCCGTTCATCAGCATAACTAATGGCAGGATATTCTCCTAACGCCGGCCAGATACCAGAGGAGCAATGCAGCCGGTTCCAGTCAAACGCACCATCAGCATGCAGTATCGTCCAACCTCCAACGCTCGTCGCCATGCCATACCAAAGAAAACACCAGCTTTTGACCCTTGTCCCCAAGTGGCTAAATTGTGAATAGAAAATGTGAAGGCACATCTCCTAAACATATCGAGCTGGTGGACAAGCGCCGCTACCAAATACTGAGAATACAACTCAAACATGCATCTAGGAAAAGAATTCAACAAAGGAAGGGAAAAAGAGGTGGTAAAACCAAGACTTTTGTCCACAATCGCGTGTCTATCTATCAAAATCATAATAGGAAGACATGACCAAAGAGTCAAAGCGAGAAATGCAAGTTAGCAACGCATGTTGAGGCCAGGGACACCAAGCCTCACATATGGTGGAATGTAGAAGCTTGGTATGCCGTCCTCAGCGTATTACACAATAGCCATTTAGACATTAAATGTTGGGTGTTGGCTCCGAAGAAATGTTTCCGAAGCCACAGATTCGTATCGCGGATCCGTTAAATTTTCGATCAACTTCGGATCGATTAGAAATCACTGCGACTTCGTTTGTGCTTGTGCCCCATAAACTCGCCCTCTAGCTTCCTCTTGCCATTTACGGAGGCCATTTTAGCTAATGGGCTGCCCGGGCTGGATGCAAGAGGTTGGATAGTTTTCTGCTTGCGCATCGGGGTGATGGGAGAATTGACAGCTGCAAGTCGGCCGCCTTTGATACCCCTCAAAGTTCCCTGTGCAAATGGACCTGAAAATGCAAGGGCATCGTGAGAAACAGCATTGCGGGTGAGGAGCTGGTGGCGATTCTGGTTCCGGCGGAAAGCTCCAACAACATCGCTGCTGTTGAAATGACTTAGAAGAGGGTGGACTTGACCTTCACTGGCGGCAGTGCTTGGCCGTGCGGGTGTCGAGGATGGCTCCACTGTGTCACTCGACGGTGATGGATCTTGGTCGTCTTCGAGGCCATTTTCACTTCCAGACGACACATCACCAAAGTTAAGGAAATCCTCAACATTCCACAGGTCTTCGTCATCGAGGTCATCGTCATCATCGAAAGACGAAGTGCTATCCTGAACAACGGTTCCGTCGACGGCGATGCTAGTGAACGGTAGGAAGGCTTCAGGTGGACCGAGAGCCTGGCCAACAAACTGGTCAAGAGGGGTGTACATAGCACTCAGCATAAGGTTGCCGGAATTACTGATCATTGGCGAAAGCTGCTCCATCGGGGATCCGGCGGGGTCGTTCCCAGGCATAGGAGTCGGTGCTGGGCTGGTCCCATTGTTGAAAGCAGCGTTTCGCTTGACCGTTGCTTTGAACATAATTAACTTCTTGCCGTGGCTGTCCAAGACAGCGAAAGATTTGCTTGCATCGTGGATCCAAGAAGCAAGTCTCGGTCCTCGATGTCGCGGATGGGGCCCGCGTCGGGTCACAGTGATCTCCTCTTCGTCTTCAGAAGCATCGGAGATACGACGGAGCACCGATCGAGCAGGGACAAACCTCGCTGCAGGAGGAAGATCTTCTTCAGTTGTCTCTCCCTCATCAGCTAATCGCAAGTCAGTATTCATCTCTACTACAAAAAATATCCATACGACCACATACTTTCGTAGCCACTGGAGCCCGTTGAACCAGAGCAGTCGGTATCACTATCATCGTTCGCATCGGGTGTCGTAACGGCCTTTCCAGCATCACTTCCATTAGAATCCCAGAACCCATCATCACTCAAGTGATGGTCTTGCTCGTCATCATTTTCAATGATGCGGCGGAAACTTGGATCAAGACTGTTTTGGTCGAGGAAGATATCAGGGAATAGGGGGTCGTCAGAGTCAGAGTCTAAATTGTCGCTGTCAGAAACATCGAATCGGACACGACGTAGGTTTTCTGCAGGATGATCGTCCTCCGAGGACGACATATCAGCAATAGCCGCTTCCATGGTGTGGCCAGCGGCATTCATACGAGCCATATGCTCATCAAAGAATGTTTCGTCATTGCCTCCAGGGGTGGATTCGAAGCCTTCCCAGCTGACTTCATCATCGTCCATGGCGGGCCGAGGTGTGGTTTGCAAGTCATCGTCGTCTTCATCCTGTTCTTCTTCGGATTCGATGATTGCTTGCTCCTCGGCCCCCTCGACATCTGGCTCATCTTCTTCTGAGTCCGAGATCAGATCAACCCCTCCATAATCGTCGTCGGAGGAATTGTCGGTTGTGGTTCTAGAGCTTCTCCGAGACCTTACCCGGACCGGGGTCTGCGGCGATTTGCGTCGTAGTGTTCCAGACATTTTGGGGGAAAGTCTTTTGGTTTATTGTGGGGATGTTTGGTGGTGGGGGTGCTCGTGTAAGAAATTGGCGGTGAAGCGAAGAGTTCGAGACCGCGAAGGTGAAGAACCGCAAGTATCTCAGAGGTGGTTCTGCGTGTGCCAAAGTTGTAAAATGACCTGTTGAGGTTGATTGAGGGTGTTTATGGGTATAGGAGAGCAACGGAAGTGTAGGGGGTGCGGGAGGGGTAGTTGTAGATCCTCACTCGCGGACAGAGTCGCACCCTCGTGGGCCAAGGGAATAACTCGATCTGTAGTTGTGTGTAATGAACAAACTCGTAGTTGGAGGCACGCCGCTGCACTGCGGGCGTAGACAGTAGGAGTCTGGTGCTTCGTCGAGGTCGATAGATGATTGAATGTCTGTCTCGTGGGCTGAAGGACTACGAGCACGCTCGGCCGAGCATGCCCGCAGTGGGTATTCACAGCTCAGCGATGACTGAAGGCATGATTCTCGACGAAGGGTGATGTAGTTTTATGGTGCGTTTTGAGTGTTGTAGTGTGACTTCGTTGTCTTGTTGGGGATTGTTAGTGGTGATGAAGAAAGAAGAGGGAGAAGAAGAGAAGTAGGCAAATATATCACTAGAGGTGGAGTAACATTTTTCGCTTAAGCTGCGCTGCGGTACGTACTCGACGCCTACGGGGGGGGACTGACCTGCTGGCAACGGTGGTTCGCTCCGTGCTACAAAAACAGTCCATCTGCAACAGTGGAGAATTGAGAATTGAGGCTGGAGACTGGAGACTGGAGAGAAGAATTGCAACTGGTTTTTAATAACTATCAATTACGACGACTACGATGGCTACGACTGCGGCTGCGAGCCACAATGAAAACCCCCAGATCATTCTCGCCCTGAAAAATGCCCTCCCGTCCTGCCCCTCTGGCAATCTCAACCACAAACAACACTGGCGCCAGCGTCTCTAAATGCCAAATTGCCCCTCTGCCTCACACGGCGCCAAAGGATTTCCCAAGGATTCCCCCGGTTCTTGCTGGCTGGCAGCATCATCCCTCGAGTGAGGGCGGCACCCGGCTGATATGTATGATCTACGCGGATTGGGCGCCGCCCTTCTTCACCGCTACATCGAGTCTCCTGCTGCAGGCTGCTGAGGGCGTCAGAGGCCATCATCAAACGTATTGTCGCCACATGGGCTCCGCTACACTACGAGGACCTAGAATGCTAATTATGGGGATAAGGCACCGAAGATCTTCGGATGGACGGCGAGGGAGGGAAGCCAGAGTAAATAACTGCCCGCAAAGTCAGCGAGGGAGAATGAGAAAGCAGAGCACCGAAGCAGTGGAAACTCTATTGAGTCGATTCCCTCCCTTGGGGATATGAATATGCAATCAACCAAGTCTCGACCTGCTGCAATATCCCCCGGTTTCATCTGAAGATACAGTAGCAGATGCAGCAGGGGCAGCCAGTACATGCGCTCCAGCAGCAGATGCGCGAGTGCAGCAGCAATAATAGCAAACGGAGCCATGGCAAGCTGCGTGTCAAATTCCAGGCCAACTCAGTCCGCATGATGTGCGGTGCTGTAGGGCTTCAACCCTGACGATACAGCAGTTCAGTCCGAAGTACCTCAACCTCGACAGCTATGCTATCCTTTCGACTCCGAACAATCAATTACTTTACGACCTTTTGAACGAGTTTGGATAACATCTACTTCGCAATAGCAGCGATGAGCTGCAGTGGGTCTCAACAATCGCCGGTGCCCGCCAGTGCCCGCCTGTTCTCACGGTACCCAATCACGGTTCCCAACTGATCTGCCCCTCGTGTCCCAGCGATGACTCCGCTCGCAATGACTCCTGTTTGGAGTTTCGTCACAACCACCTCTCCAGATCAATTGCCTTTGCACCTCCTTCCAGAAGCATATGCCGAGTTTATTTTCTCGAAGCCTTTTCCTCAAGACATATCCTAGCTCCGATCCTTCCGCGCTAGCCTTGACGCTGGTGATGCAAGAGGCGTGCGAAAACAAAAAACTGAGTTTTCCGACCCGAGACGAATCTTTTTTGTGGGGAGCAACTATTTATTTATTTATTTTCTGCCATTCTGCCATTCTGCCCGCGCCCACCGCCTTGGGACCGCGGGGTGTCTCAGTTCACTGGCTCTTATCCTCTCCTTATCCTCCCTTATCCTCTAGTCCCAGTCCCAGTTCGATTAGCCGGATGACGTTGGGTTTTCTTCCCGAAGCGGCCCCTGCCCAGGCCCAGCCCAGCCAGCTTGCTTCCCCTCCATCCGATTCCGTGGAAGCCATGGCTTTGTTGAGAGGATGAGAGAGGACGAGAGGCGGGTTCAATAGGGGAAACATGCCCGGCAACAATGCAATACCACCACCTCCAGGTTGCTGCTGGGCGGAGAAGCTTGTTAGCTGAGGTTTCGAGTTTTCCCCCTACAAAGCCTCGCCGTTTATCACACAGCGACAGCCCGACGCCCCCAGCAAACCTTTCTGTGTTTGTATCTGTTCCAGGGATGATATACCGTACACTCCGAGACATTGATGTGATTCCTATGTCAAGTGACATCATTCCCTGGAGCCTCATAGAGCGCAACTTCCGGAGTTCCAATGATCAACATGAATAGCATCATCAAGCGGTCTCCAATTCCAGTTGAATGCTCAAGAGTGATTTCAGGGTTGGTACCAAACCAGGAAGATGCGCATATCCTGGAACTCTGATATCACGCAGCTAGTGCTGGGGTGATTCCTATGAGTTTTTATTGAGTTTTTATTCCTGCCATATTTGCTGTGCTATGGTCACCCATGCCATTCTTGGTTTTTCTTCTGGGCCAGTCAGGAAACAAAAGAGGCCGAGTCTAGATGATGCCTTATATCCAAGGACCGGTACAAAGTATACTTAGGTACTTGTCGGTAATTATCTCAATATGTCTTTCGGGACACTTTCCTTCGATGGTATTATTATGCATCAACAAGGGAGCATTATGCGCCCAGCTGGGTAATACCATTCGTTGTCTTGGACGCTTTCAAATCGGTTATTGCTGGATTGAATAGTGCTGGATTGAATAGTGCTGGATTGAATAGTGCTGGATTGAATAGTGCTGGATTGAATAGTGCTGGATTGAATATCGCAGCTGGTGAGAAACCCAGAGAATCGTGCCCGAATGAATACTTTCTCTACTTATTAGGTACCTACATGGTTTGGGCAGTTATGATCCGCATCGAGTCGCTGGAAGATGGAAGCCAGGAGCCGCTCTTGGCTTGGCCAGCATGCGATCTGCCTGTGCTTACTTACCCAAGGCTTGGGCTACGGTATTGCAGCCGCAGCTCAAGTCGCAAGGTCTGTACTACTGACTTCGAGCACAAAATGCAGCTTTCGGGCTTGCGGGTATCTAATCGAAGGTCCAAGATATTTCCAAACTTGCTGAAACATACCGGAGAAGTTGGTGGAGTGCATTAGAAACGAAATCCAGGTGTTCGCAGCGTGTCTCACCACGTAAAACTTGGCCATAACATAAGCTCCCCCTATACCATTGACTTTCGTTCTCTGTAGTATAGGTATACATATTTCGAGACTCCAGACTCGAGAGCGACAAGCATTGAAAGTTTTATGTAAAAAAGACAAACCCGCGATGTAAATAGAACCTCCTAAACCCAACACAGCGCAAAACCAATGCTGGGCGCGGCTGGGCATGTGACGGTCAGCCTTGGCTGCCCCTGGAGCATTTCGGTAAACAGCCCGCGGGAAATCTCAGATTCGCCCAGCAGCCGTTCCGGTCAGGCTGAGGTTGGCTGCACATCCCTTTCTTCCCTCGCTTTCGTCTGCCTCCTTTTCCTCTTCCTCTTCCTCTCTTCTCCTCTTCCCTCCCTACATCACCAACGAACCACTTCTGCCAGCAAATGCATCTCGAAAAGAACTTCAATCACACCTGCCCCTTCACCGTCCAGTGCCCCATGTGCACCGCGACGAAGCCCCTCAAGCAACACCGTGATTACAGAGCCCAGATCCGCTTGGATGCCGCGCGATGGCGCGGCGCACCATGAATTCCACGAATCCAGCATCCGCCGTGACTACTATTAGAGGCTTCAATACGCCTATCCTTGAATTCGCAGATGACGATTCCGACTGCGGCTGTCAATCGCCCCCATCACGTCGCTATATAATCAACGATGTGGTCAGCGCCCACAGCAGCCCGATGCTGCGGTCCTCCTCTGGCCAGGGGTTGGGAGGCATCAGCAAGCTGAAGTTGCAGCTCGACACTTTCAACTTGAATGAATCGCGAACTAATTCGATGACCCGCTATCAAAGCAGGCCTTCATTCCAGTCCCAGCCACACAGCAGTGAAGGGACAACCGACGGATCCAGCGACGACGAGGCTTCCGACATCACGAGCTATGACATCCCTCTCGAGCACGATTTTGCTAGCGAAAGCGTACGCGAGAGGCCGATGTTTGGCGCGATGGAGGGAGGATTGGTGCAGGACACGATCGCGAGGAAAATGACGGCAACCGACTTCGAGCCGCTGCGATGCCTCGGGAAAGGTACCTTCGGGACTGTGCTGCTCGTGAAGCAGCAAGCGACAGGACGGCTTTACGCCCAGAAACAATTCAAGAAGGCTTCGCTGACTGTTCACAAACGACTTGTAGAGCAGACCAAGACTGAGCGCTCAATTCTGGAAAGCGTCAATCGACACCCGTTTGTCGTGAAATTGTTCTATGCTTTCCAGGACCACGAAAAGCTCTACCTGATCCTGGAATATGCCCAAGGAGGTGAACTATTTACCCATCTCGCCCAGGAGCGCATGTTCACCGAAGAAGTGGCCTCGTTTTACATGGCTGAAATGGTCCTTGCTCTCGAGCACCTTCACCACAACATGGGCGTGGTATATCGCGACCTGAAGCCCGAAAACTGCCTTCTTGATGCGGAAGGCCACCTCCTCTTGACCGACTTTGGACTTTCGAAGGTTCCTGTGGACGAGAATGACAAGTGTAACAGCATGCTTGGTACAGTTGAATACATGGCTCCGGAAGTGATCTTGGGCCAGAAGTACGGCATGGCAGTCGACTGGTGGTCCCTTGGTGCTCTAGGTTTCGATCTCCTGACTGGCTCACCTCCATTCCAAGGCCAGAATCATGCCAAGATCCAGGAGCGAATCGTGAAGCAGAAGCTGGCGATGCCATATTTCCTCGGTCCTGACGCGAAAGATCTATTGACCCGTCTTCTCCGCAAAGAGCCAACAAAGCGTCTCGGCGCCAACATGCCCAAGGACTTGCAAATAATCAAGAAACACCGATTCTTCCGCAAAATCGACTGGAAGAAATTGGCCTTGAGAGAGGTTGAAGCACCAATCCAGCCGTTAATCACCGATCCAGAGCTGGCTGAAAACTTCTCAGCCGATTTCACCGACTTGGCTGTTAGTCCTGTTTTGACGAGCCAGAAGGTCCCATGGAGTTCTACATCAGCCAGTGCGAATGAGAATCCATTTGGAGGTTTTAGTTATGTTGCTAGCCATAGCCTATTGACAGATGGGTTTATGGGGGTGAAGAGTGGAATCACCGCTTGATATGTGTTGACCGGGTCGGGGATAACGGGATAGAAAACTTGATGGGTTCGAGACTAGACATGTCTTTCGGTTATGCTCAAAACGTACAGACTGGATTAGATATTACGATGTGGTACATGACTTTGTTTTAGATGGAAGGGGCAGCTTGTTTGAACTTCCTTGTTCCTTCGATAGAAGCACAATAGATCCAATGCCCGCACCTCGCAACCCTCACTGATATATTATGCCCCCGATCTCCAAGCCTCCTAATCTAGTTTTACAGATTCGTAATGCCGGGATACAGTTCTACGCCGTAGTGTCGTAATTGCGATTTGTTTTGTCCTTATAGGTGTTCATACCCCAGAACCTTTCACATATGCCGATATGATGAAATGAGGGCCCTCTGGGTATTAAATGCAAACTCACTTAAATTCATACACATAAACGACCCTATCTATAATAATTTGTCCGTACCATTTATCTCACATTTCGATTCCAAGACGCACTATCGTCTAGTCACGTGTGGGCCTATTTTTCCAAATAGCAGCGTCATTGACTTCCTTCAATCCCTCTATGATATATTTTCAGCCTACATCCATTTGTCAAACTTGTCCAGCCTCAGTTTATAAACAATCATGGTACTCCTCTCTCGGCCCTAGACACCAATATATTCCCCTGCTAACACTGACAGACAATGATCACGCGGCCTTCAAAGGTCGACATTTTGATCCTCGGAGCAGGTTGGACATCAACCTTCCTAACCCCCTTTCTAGAGGCAGAAAAGATTTCATACGCCGCTACAACAACAACCGGCCGAGACGGGACCTATAAATTCAAGTACGCGCAAGATGACGATGATGAAGAGCAATACGCCGCCCTTCCGGCTGCCACTACCATTCTGATCATGTTTCCATTGAGGGGCCAGGGTCAAAGCGAACATCTCATTAAGTCTTATACGAGGAATCATGAGCCATTAGATACGGAATATCAGTTTGTTCAATTGGGGAGTAGTGGGATTTTTACTGTGGAAGGACAGGATCTTTGGATCACGAGATCCTCGAAGGTAAAGTTATGATTTCCAGTCGATAGACTCAATGCAGTGGACTGTTGACTAACATTCTCCCGCGAAAAGTACGATAAATCAAATCCACGAGCAATTGCCGAAGATGAACTTCTCGGTCTTGGAGGTTGCGTATTGAATCTTTCAGGCTTGTGGGGAGGTGCAAGACAGCCTAAAAATTGGATTGATCGAGTTGCGTCCACGAAAGATAAATTAAAGGAGAAGAAATCATTGCATATGGTTCATGGACTCGATGTTGCAAGAGCAATTATCGCCACCCACAGCCAATTCCATAAAGCTGGCGGTCAGCGATGGGTATATCCTTCGCCTATCCCGACTATATAAAGTGACGTACGCTAACCTTTTGACGTAGATACTTACAGACCTCATCGTCTATGACTGGTGGGCAGTAATCCTCGGATTTTCTGGTGAACTTGATGTTGAAAACTCAAATAATGAGAGAGAAAAGACTCAGATCAAGTGGGTTGGCGAGCTGATGGCCGAACAGGATATCAGGGCTTTGCCGAGATCTGTGGAGCAGCTTGGACGATGTTACGATTCACGCGAGTTTTGGACGACGTTCGGGATCATGCCGGTACGGGGCCGAATATAGTTTCCGCAGGCTCCAGTACCTCTGGTGTCGAGAAGTGCTCAAATGTGGCCGACTTGGTTGTATTCGTCGCGAGGGGAAAGGCAACAAGTTGTCCAAGGTCAGCTGCGGATACTATCATATATTGACCCGCGCAAATTCCATGTCTTGTCAAGCTGGGTTTCCTTTCCTTTCAATTGAGTTTCCCAATACGGTCCGATATTAAAGGGCAACTCCTTTTGGTCAAGAACCGAGCCAAACTCTGTCGGTCAACTGCAAGTGCTATTCATACAGCACTCAGGACTGTGCCTCGCGAGCATTTGCATCTTCCAAGAGCCCAGCAATCATTGGTGCAATATGACGTTATGAAAGGGGCTTTGCTTGACATGTTCTTAAATGTCGTTCATATTACTTCCTAGTTTCGCACTTGTTGCTCGTGGCTAGTGCAAACGACTAACAACTTAAAGAGAATTGTATTGGCTTGGAGCCCAAAGCTCAGCATACCCTGAAGCTTCAAATATCTCTTTCACCACTTTCAATCCTGTGGTTAAGCCTTACCGCAAGATCCACTATATCATCCCATACAGACACCTCACACCCTTATCCAACCCCTCTCCACCTATATCCGTGCTGTTAAATGCACTCACCGCAATCTTTACCCACAACGCTCCCTCAATCCTTGGATTTGGCACCCTCTTATCCACCACTCCCGGCACCGCATCCACAAGCCTGAATCCACACTTTTCCACACGCCAAGCTGCTCCGTTGACGAAGTCTGCTGGTAACTTAACTGGCCTCGATCGTGTGCAAGATATGGGGCTGCAGGTCACTTTGCCATCGGCTGGAGACGTCGTGCAAGATTCCCCGCACGTGTATGTCTCATCATAGCAGTCTGATAACCAACCATGGATGACACCATATAGCGTCCCATTCGCATTGGCGAAAGGTTTATCATATGGGGGGTAATAGCTCGGGCATGGATACGCAGCAGCTGGGGTTGACAAGACTGCAAGGGCCAGGACAGCAACCGCGACGCCGGGAAGAAGCGGCGCTCTAATGCCAACCTCACCTCTTCGCACCGTAACACGTGGTCTACGCTCCCAGGACCTTACTACCCATTCAATCGCCAAGAACGTCGCCAGAGAAGCTAGGAGTCCGAACACAGGAACAAATATGTATAGCGCCCTCAGCCAGAACTTCTTCCACCACAGCGCATCGGCCTTGTATATCTCGCCCACGGCCTCGAGACACGGGATCGGGTAGCGCTCGGCCCAGAACCAGATCTTGCTCGCGTCACAGATTATGTTTGATGATGAGAGGTCCACCTTAGTCGTTGTGTAGCAGGCGTCAGCGATGATGCTTGGGTAGAGACAGGAGTCGCCGCAGCCGTCGTAGCAAAGCTGGTAGGCTTGGGTGCGGGCTAGGTCGATCCAATGGTTTGGACTATGGAAGCTGTGTGCGGTGGAGACGAGCTGGCTAACGAAAAGCCCCCAAAAGATACCAACGATGGTACCAACGCTGATGCCAGCGATAATGCTAAAGCAAAGGCTGAGGAAGGGGAAGCCTTGGTCTCGAGGCTTGAACATTTCGAGCTGGGGGGAAGCATTGATTTGCTACTAAATTCACGAGTTCATTATATTTGGAAAGATGGCAAACGAAGTCTTTTTGAGCTTTTGTTCAAAATTTAGCAGGAGGGGACGAAAGGGTTTGGATGGTGATGAAATTCAAAGCAGCCTCGTTTCGGGCGTCTCTGCAATCGGGCAAGCCACTCGTCACAGTTTTCCGCCTCGCTTCTCCTCGCAACTTGAAACCTTTCCAATTGGGAAAGTCATTACCATTATCATTAGATACAGTCGCCCGCTCAGATCCAAAGATGGAAATGGGAAACGTTCATGTCGACATTCCAGTGTGGGGCTACCTGTCTGTTATCCTGCCTTCGATTGCCGCTGTCAGCGCCTCGGGGGTGGCAGGGATATTAATGACTCTGCGTTACATGAGGCAATGGTCTGGCTACTTGATAACGGAAGATGTCACGCGTCACTCTAAGTCGGTCGGAAATTACCCCACACTTCTAGCATTGATTACTTTTATCCCCAGACATCAACATTGGCAGTTGACCCCTTATTCGGGAGGATTTGGAATGTTAATTTTAAAAGAAACCAGTGTTCATCAATTATTCCTAGATTTACTTGCAAGCTGTAATGCATTTAGCTGCTGGTGAACCGTTGAAATTTTTTTAACGGGAAATGGGCATTGAAGTTGGATCATCGCTAACTCTGTTTAGCAGTTTAATCACCAAATGAACTTTCATCCTGGGGATAATCTGCCTTGGTGGACTCGGCACTGTGTTTGAAACTACCGAGTTGTTTATATCTACCGGGCCAACCCGAATCAACCTAGCGAAGGCAGGATATTAATTAACCTCCCCTGTTGAAGAAGTATGCTGGACATTCATTGGTTTATAAAGTTATTTAACTGATTCAAACGACAATGCCGATCGAGCGATATACAAGCCTCCCGAGCAAAACGAGATCGTCAGCCAAGTGTGGGGGCACGCCATTCCCCATTTTAAGGCAATGTTAAGTTGTTAGCAACCTTCCCATTAGCAGAAAGCCGCGCTGTGTCCGGATATCGAAAGGATTTTCCAGTCAGTCCTTCAACCGCGGCTGTGATGTTATCAGTCATTCTGCCGCAGCTTCAGTGATCGAATAGATTTCAATGCCTGATATGCCTCTCCATGTTGAGGGCCCATTCAATGCAAACGTTAATCTAGAACGCCACCCCCTACTTCTTAATACCGAAGCAGACCCATATCTGGCACTCGAAACCAACTCCCCATAGATGTTATCCTACGGGGGAAGTCGTCCCGGTTGGTATAGCTAGGGCCGAATTATATGATCTGTAATCTATTTGCAAGCTCCACAATCTATTTCCTATACTTTAACTGGGGTGGATTCGTCGATTATTCCAAATGTGACTTCTTTATGCACTATGTACTTTTGCGCATAGCCTAGCTCTTGGTTGTTTTGGTATCAGTGGTTGTTTCTACCACTTCTTCCGTTGAGATAACCTAATTAGCATGTAAAATTGCGGAATCATTGTGCCCTGCAGTCTGGTTGAAAAGGCGTATATAAAGACCACTCCTCTCCTTAAACTACTTACTTCCGTTGGTCTATCACCCCTACAGACGCCGTCCTTCGTTCTTCCCATCCCAAGCCGAGACTTTATCCAGCCAGCGTTGCCCATCATGAAGTTCTCTCTGCTTCTCAGCACGGGGCTTTTTGCTACCTCAATCGTTGCCGCACCTCGAGGCCGCGGCTTGGCTCATCGTGTAGCTTCCCGGACAAGTAGGACCGGTCTTCCAGCTCAAATCTTGGACCCCTTAGACAGAATTTTAGCTGGCCAGGACGGAAACGCTACTCATGTCTCCTACAGCAACAACTGGTCAGGGGCAGTATTGACAGCTCCTCCTGCCGGGACAACATTTTCCGCGGTTTCGGGGAAATTCGCGGTTCCCGTTCCCTCCACACCAAAAGGTGGGCCGGATGCCAGCCACTCTGCATCCATCTGGGCGGGCATTGATGGAGACACTTTCCAAAATTCCATTCTCCAGGCTGGTATCGATGTGACGGTCACGAAATCTGGAGCCGCCGAAGCCGTGACGTATAGCGCGTGGTATGAATGGTACCCTAACTACGCCATCAACATTGCTAGCACAGCATTCTCTTTCAAGGAGAAGGATGTCATTAGCATTTCTATCACTTCAAGCAGCTCGACCAAGGGTACAATAGTCCTATCGAATATCAACACGGGGAAATCATTCTCAAAGACGCTAGAGGCGCCATCGGCTGCCGCAGCTCTCGGTGGCCAGAATGCGGAGTGGATTGTGGAGGACTACTCGCAGAATGGTGCACTTGTTCCTTTTGCAAATTTCGGAACTGTCCACTTCTCGGAATGTGTGGCTAAGGCGGGGACCACGAACGTAGGGACGAAGGGAGCGGAAATCATTAACCTGAAGGTTAAAGATACTGGAAAGGTTTTGACTGATGTAACGATCCCGAGCGAGTCCGAAGTCCACGTTGTGTATACTGCATAGTGACTCACTGCGAATGAGAGATTTGGAAATCAAAACTGTTATAATAATAATTCCGTAAGCTTAACCGTACTGCAACGTTTAAATTCATGATTGATCCTGCTTGCACCACAGCTCAAGGTCCGGCATTGGCCTTCGTAATTCCCTAACTAAGTTAACAGCAAGCATATGGGGCTGTCAAGGAATTAAGATTGTCTTACAAGTTTCAAAGCCAATTCTAGCATTGGCCCATTGCCAAACCCCTGAATAAACCATTCAATAAATTCCTTGCTGGCATTTGGTACTTCTGCTGCAGTAGGAATACAATTATTTGTGGAACACCAGCCGAGAAGAAATTGGATGTCTGCTGCATCGGCGAGTTTTCTCTCTCCGGTTCTACGCCCGAGGATAGAACGACATTTGGCATTCAGTATTAGCGTCGGTTTCAAAACATTGATACCGTCGATCGTAATGACAGGTGTCGATTCATCAAAGGTCTCTTGAAACAAGGATGGTGATGCGAGGATCTGGATTTCGACGGGCGGATTGCTCTTATAGTAAGTATGCAGCGTCTTATTATCAACATCGTATAACTCAGCGTCGTTTTTGAGCAGCATCCTGGCTTGTTTTGTGGCTCCTTTGGGAACTACAATATCAACATCGTGGGTGGTCCGCATAGAGCCAAGAATCGAGCATGATGCACCACCCACAATGGCATAGGTTTGTGTTTTGAGAGTTTGTCCAATGGCTCTGGCTGCCTCGAGAACTTGGTCACGGCTTGGATTTGATGAGGGTTGAGGGCTGGATATCGCTGAGGACGACATGGCAATGGAGGAATGAACGACGAGGGAGGAATTAAATGATTCCAATTGAGGGCACTTCACGACGTGAGAAAATTAGGTTGTATTTTCTTTTTGGTAGATTTAACTTACATAGTCAAAATTCACAGACTTGGAAGTTGGGACTCATCATATGTATTTTGTCATAATATAAAAAGTGTACTCCTGCGGAAGTTTAATAGATGTGGTGTGGTTTAGGCTCCAGTCCTTGTTGGCGTACACGTGGAGGACGCGTTTTGTGGCGGAAGCTTTCATATGTCGGGTTTGTCGCCTAATTTCTGTTTACTTAGTACTCGAGTACCTCATCAACTACCCATCCTCATCAGAGCTCACAGAATCCTATACCACGGACTCTTGCCAAAGGATTCCAATGCTGGACCACGTCATGACTACTGGCAACGATTGTTTCAATCCGAGATTTCAGCCGTGCTATTTATTGCGCGAGAGCAAGATACCATGCGTGGTTTGGTTTGAGGACGCCGTTGCACATTATGGTGTCCCAACCATAGTATTCGATTTCTACATACTCGTACCGGACACTGACTTGGCCGCTGAAGTTCTGGTAAAGGCGGGCTGGACTCTGGCCAAGCAAAAGGAGCCCAGAATTGGAACTGCCACCGTCGATACTTCGCACCGTTGTCTGAATCCACCGACGCCAGACCGCGATTGTTTGCCCACCAAATGGGATGGTATTGGCACGCGACCACTCCCAAGTAAGGAGCCACCGGGTCCGACAACTACAATTCTCCTTCCAGCTGCAAACTGGAATTTCCCTCTGCCTCGGTTTTCACACTCTCGCACCGTCTCTTACCTCGATTTCTTTCCCCCACTGCTGGGCTTACTCGACGCTCTGATAGGCAGCTTGCTCGACAATCCTCATCCCGACAGTTCCTTGTGGCTTCATATTATGCTACACATAGGCTACCTGTACCAATATGTTCCCGCTCTCAAAAAGAGAGATTTTGCAGAGGGATTAAAATATGAGCATCGTCAATATCATTTTGACACCCTATCAGGAATGTCAGAAGGGCTGCCATTTGTACGCCATCAACGATTAATCCGAGAAAAATTACGACAGGGAACTATTCAGCTCCAAGAATGTTCAGCTGATCGCAACAACGAAGAGCTCTTCTCTGGCCGCAGGGAAGCGGAAATTTTGGCGTTAATGCCTCGGCCTGCCGAGGAGTCTGCTGGAGAAAGTAGCTCATCGGATGATCAAATTGATAAATGAGAGGATGATTTAAGGATTTTGAATCTAAAATTTATGGTTGCGAGATTTAATAAGGGACTGGAAGTAAAATATATCATGATCAGTGGAGATTATGACTGCTTTCGAAGTTAGTTTGGTGTCTGGCCCCTCCCTTCAGTCCCTCGCGAAAGCAGCAGTCGTCAGAGCGGCTTCAGTTATAGCACCAAGTGCCCGGGAGCTTCCCTCCGGATGAGACGCTATCTTTAGATCTGGGAATTGGGCGTTGTTCGACGGTTAAGAAATGCTGGTCTAGGTTGTTCTACTTGCAAGGGTATCTCTTAGGTAAATCATGAGCGCGCTGGGAGTTTACAGCCTAAGGTATAGTACCTTCTTCTTCCAAAAACATATCTAGCTGACAAGCAGAGTGACCTCCCTAACCCCAGTTTGAACACTTTTAGTTGCCGTTTCTGTGAGGCTTCCGGAGTTCGGTCAGATCTTATTTGCGTGGAGAATATCCTCGCCCATGGCTTTGCTCCCAAGAATTACGGCAGCATCTTTAAGATGGCCTTTCGTTGAACCGGACCAACCAACTTCCCAGGATGTAGTCTACGGGGCCTATAATAAGGTGGGGAAAGTGCTAGTACTTACTGAAAAGGCTGATATCAATCAGCGGTGGGTTTGTTGGCCGGAGATCCGGCTGCAGCTTTCTACCCAGAAAGTGTATGCAGATATAGAGATCTTCCCTAAGATATCTAGGAGCTGCACAGGTATTGAAGGATCTGAAGACAGTGGCAGATGTTGAGGACCCGATGATGCCTGTGTTTTGCGCAAACGATGCCCTGAAACTTGGAGGTTTTCATTGCTACCTATTGTTGGTTCAAGTATTCAATGTTCGTTTGTCGGATTGACGTTGTTAATATAATTCAATCATTGGGCGATTTATTTTACTATGAATTGTTAGATCCTTTAGACCTCGGTTCCCCTAGAGACTTTAGCGTTGCGTTGCAGAAATGGAGGCCATGGGTGGAAAAAGGGGGACGAGTCACGTGGTGTGCGACTGAGGCTTACCTTCCAGCGTGTCCACTGTATATATCTCGGACTATCGCAAGAATCTTTCTGGAAAGCCTGGAATATTGTACCTGAGGCCCTGGCGAAATCGAGAGACTTATTCGCCCTATTTCTAAGACAATCGCTGAGCAAAGAGCTAGTGGTCAGGGCTACACTAGCAGCACAACTGATGATCTAACATGAATCCATCCGTAAACATGAAGGATGGCGAGGTGATATACGTTTATGAGGCCTGCCAAGATGGCAGAGGATTGGAGCTAATTTTCAGCTAGCTCAAGTAACTCGTATCTACTTTGTAAATGTCTTGTCCTTTTACCAACATGGAATTTTCCGTATTGATGTTGTTTGGTGGCATTCTGGCTGCGTGGCAAGAGATAAAGTAGTCGGCATGAATCCTGATCTGATTTTCTAGCTTAAAAAGGTAACATTTGCTGTTGAGGGTGTTGGGCGTACGCAGGGTGGAGAGCTGGTTTTCAGGAAAATTCCATGCCAACGAAGCAGCCAAGACCCAATGACAGGTCAAATATGCACTCAAAGACTTTCGGGTAGAAAGGAAAAATAAGTGGTAGAACTTCTCCACTTTTCAGTCACCATTTCATCGTATAGGTAACATATCCATCACCTACTACAATCATTTTCTCCGCTTCGCTCTATTAGCACGGAGACCACCGGCACTTAGATGGTTCAAGGTAACGGAAGAGCGTATTAGAAAATCAATCCGGAAAGCTTTATTGGTTTTCTTTCGGCACGTCCCTCTTATTAGCCTACTTCCCCGAGTTTCGTAGGATCAGGTGTAACCTATCGCCGGAAGAAAAGCATGCTTCCCCAGCGGCCAAATGGAAGGATACTTTGAATTACAATGGAGATTTAGGAGCGGCCGAATTAGAATAAAAGTTGACCTCGAGGGCCGAGGCCTAACTATATTAGTGCGCCTTCCTGACTCGAATTCTATGATTGGTAATTCATGCGCCGAAGGAATGGTTCACGCGGTCATGTTCCCAGTTTAAGATCTCGCTAGTCCCCGTATATGCACCTTTTTTCGATCTCCAGATCTCGCATCGCCCCGCATATATATTAACCCGCCGACCCGAACATCATGGTACCCCAAAAGAGGAAATTAGCGGAGTTAAGCTTAATCTGCAGGAACAACTTGATACACTGAAAAAGGAAATAATCAAAGTCAAGCTAAAGTATATTACAGCAAATTCGTGTCTTAGTATGCCGAGTACCGGTATAGCGTCTAATTATCAGGTGTAGTACACATTAATATGAAACTATACCGGGAGCTATGGAGACACTTCATGAAGTATACCCACCTCAAGAGATTACATGGCAATATTTATACTCAAAAGGTTGGCATGTCTCTGACCTTAAAGTCTTAAACCAAAATTCCCAAATGGAAGAGCAAATAAGGCTAGGCAGGACGCTAAATAGACGCAAAAGAAAATATGTCCGATTAAATAAAGTAGTATACTTGGCAATATTACATCCTTGCGCTATATTTACACTACACCACGTTCCATCAATACAAGCAGCGCCGTATTTTATTTTAATTTTTAATAACAAGAGCGGGGTAATTACATAGTCATCCCCGGGTGGTATGAGATGGGCAATGAGCCGACGAGTTTCTCCAATTCGTGAACCACAGATCATCATGTGCATCAATAAACAGAGATGTCAAAAGTATAGAGGCTAAACAACCACTTTTGCATAATTTCATAGCGAAAAGACAGGAGTTTCGAAGTACGAGATGGTAAACAGTATATAATCACCACTCATTCCTCCAGTTTCTCCTTTTTAACAATCTCTGGTATCATTATTCTCTGTCTCTGTTTTTCCATAATTCACCTCAAATATATTAAAAATGTATGCCTTCAAGCTCGATTTCTTTCTGGCTGCAGCCTGTCTCGCGAGCTCAGTTGTGGCTCAGACAAAACTGAAAATAAGTAAGAGGCTTCGGTTCTACAAACATCTTTTCCGTTGATGTTGACTAACCATGTAATATTATGCAGTGCCACTTGGAGATAGCATTACGGAAATCACCTGCTGGAGAACAACAGTATGGGATGATCTTAACGCAGCAGGAGTTGCAGATAAGATCCAGTTCGTTGGCTCCATGACCAACAATCCTCAAAACTGCAAGGGAAATTCAACTTGGGATATGCATCACGAGGGTCATTCTGGCTACCTTGCTATTGACATCGCCAATAAGTACCTGGTAAATTGGCTTTCCACAACCAAGCCTGACATTGTTATGTTCATGTTGGGTACCAACGATGTCGCCCAGCAGAACAAAGGCCCTACTGAGATTTTGGCTGCGTACACGAAGATGGTGGGGCAGATGAGGGCAGTCACCCCAAAAGTCAAGATCATTGTACGTATCCTCTCCCACGTTCAAATTCGGAACCTCCTGGCTATTTTTTGTCACCCTTCTAAACTCTACGCTAGGTCGACCTTGTCATCCCAATTAGCTTCGGTTCCTCCAACACGGGCATCACGGCTTTGAACCAAGCCATTCCCGCATGGGTAAAATCCACGACAACGGTAGATTCCCCTATTGTCATTGCGGATTGCGCCACAGGTTTCCCGACATCTGACCTGAGAGATGGTGTTCATCCCAATGCTGCCGGTGATGCCATTATTTCCTCGCGCATCTTCCCAGTCCTGCTCAAGGTTATTCAAGAGAGTCTGGGAACTGCAACCACACCTATTGCATTTACCGCATAGTTCGGATATATGATTTGAGTCCATGTATATAGAATGGAGTAACTGTACATATATGGAGAGTGTCTAGTTGAGAATGAACGAAGGGAAACATTCGTTGAAATACGTACCTCACTGTCGCTCTAACGATTGAAAGACGCATATCTCCTCCACCGCTGCTGGTGCGCAAACGACCTTCGCAAAGCCCTCGCCAGAATTAAAGAAATAGCTTCCGAGATTCGTAGAGTGGGATAGAAACTCCGTAAGGTTGGAATTGAACTTGATCATCAGGAATTCATTCTGAAAGTCTGAGATAGAGAGCAGTGAAATGTATGTATACCAATGAAGTTGGTACGCCGCGATAAGACTTTTTTTCTTGGCTGCCCAGAGTTCGTGGGGGAATAATATTGTGAGTACAGTGTGATGGTTCCAAGATATTGTCTAGGTTTTGCATGTAGTGTAATTCCATATAGTGTGCGTATGGAAGGGACAGAAGGGAGCGAGGGAAATTGCGGTCGTTTAACGCATAGTTATTTGGCAATACCAGCAGTTGAATTTCTACACTAATAGGTATTAAGCTGGCATCTCAACGATAGAAATTTCAAGCTCAGTTAACGCATATATTTCATATTTGATGTGGCAAGGTTGACAAACCCACGTCGAACTAGCCCATACATCTTAGATGCAGCAACAGGGCGTACAAAACCACAATGAGCCCAAAAATCAAACAAGGCTGCACCAAAAACAACCGTCGCCTAGTCAGTCCGCCATGACCACCGCGGCAGCCTCCTTGCCAACCACCCCCGGCTGGAGCTCATCTAATATTCCCTAGATAATAGAGCCATGTCGGCGAAGATTTTCAGCCGAGCTCTAGGTGCTAGCGAAGCATGAGTTACCATACTTCAAGCACCCGAGCTCAGCTGAACATCCGGACTTCCGAGCTAGCTATAAAGCTATATTCTGATGGTAGGATCTCAAATGAGCTCCCATTCCCGGGGTCACTCCCAAAGAGGCAATCGATAGATCTCATGGTAGAGAACTCCTATATCCTATGGGCCTGATACAGAAAGCAATTCAAGCCTGGCCAGCGCCCTATCTAAGACCTCCACACCTCCATCGAGGTAGAAAGCGGCAAGAAGGGCCTCCACAGTACCCGCAATCATCTTACCACTGATTTGCCCCTTCTGTGACGGGTTCGAATTGATATATGCTTCAAGGCCGATATTACGACCGACTAGAGCGAGGTGGGCGTTGTTCGCCAGTTGATCAATGATATTAGTACCAATTTCTGTTGCAAGTCAATTACAACTGGCCGGCCTCAGCAATGCGAACTAAGACTTACCCGTCGATTTCCCCGTTGGGTACCATGCGTTTGTAAGCCTCCACCCAAGGAGCCTATCTCCAAGAAGGGCTAGCCTTGTGTGACCTTGGGCGAATCCACCCGCTCCTTTGCAATTCAATGCCTCCCAGCATATATCGGAGTTCCTGAACTGATATCCAAAGATGGCCTCCACTGCGGCCACCACTTCTCTCCTGTCGACTGGCATTGCAATAATGGCTATTGCTTCGCCTGAGGGCGAACCAGGGACTCACAATGAATTTGAAGCAATTGGTGACGGTAAGGAAGTTGGAAGTATTGCAAAGAATGAAAATAGGGGAAGATGTATGATGAATTTTATCAGCTAGAAAACGAAGCGGGTCCTCCCTTATTTATGCCGCATCGTTGCAACCGGCTAGGAAGATCGTAGCGCAATTGCACCAAGGCGCCCAAGCACCTGCTTCTGCCTAGAGACCGTGAGGTTCGTTTCAGAGAAGAAAAGTCAGATCCAATAGTTCTGGCGATGCGGTAGTAAAATCGGCCAAGTACACATAGCCAGGCCGGTAATACGGCTAGGCACAGCCATCCAACACCTGGACGCCCTACGAGGCAGATTCATGGACATTGGAAGCCATGATAACGAGGCTACATGTAGTGATAGACGGCATCAAGGAGCTTGTAATGAATCTCTAGAAGCATTTCGCGGCGATAAAGAAAAGTAGAAAAATCTAGTGATGGCTACAAAAAGGGATCCAGGGCATTTCGCCCCATTCACACGCCCACTTGCGTAATGACATATCGTATTAAGCGCTTGCTTGTGCCAACAGGCCTAAAGGCATATTCCAGAGTAACTACCAGTATGGCCAAAAGCAATTGTTCTTGCGGTGCGGTGCCGTAAGTAAAATCGAAATCCAACTTTCAATCCAGTTCCAGCGAGGTGGGTAGAATGAGGGGCTAGGGTGTTACAGTTGCACAGCCATCCAGCATCAACACCAACATTTCGTGATTGTTAGGCCCTTTGATTTCTTGCAACACTCTTGTGGCGCATACTCGGCCACCGGGACTGCATGCTACGCATTTTCCCGTCATGCACTCCTCCAGCCGCCGAGGAAGGCCTATCGACCGTGTACAGAGGCCGCCCATCTTCGTTCAGATTCGTGCGGAATTTCAGCTTAAGCCCTCCCATACTCGAGTATCTTTAAGACCGTTTTGACTGGCAAAGATGTGTATTCTATCTAGATAATATCGGTCGAGATGCGAGGAACACTGGCCGCTTGTCGACAGCAGGATAGTGCGACGACCATCACCTCCCCTGATGCAGGCCAGGAACCTGAGAACGGTCATATTTTCAGGGTTAAGACGAGTCAGCCCCTCGAGCGATTGCGATATGCTTGTGCCAGAGCTTGTATCCTCTTGCATTTATCGCTTTGTAAGGGAATGGCAAGATACATTTGAGCAAACCCCTAGAGCTAGAAGCTAGAAGCTAAGGCTACCTCGAAAACAGATGAGGAAAGGCAAAAACGGAAGTCATGGTGTTTGGCAGAGGGGATTTATGTGTGGGCTCGGCTAATGTGGAGGCTACGTACTAGCTTTTGTGACTGATCATTACATTCCTCGACAAACCTTGATATTGATATCTACAAAACACCAGGAACACCAGGAACACCAGGAACATCAGGAACATCTACACCTCCTATCTTATCAATCAATATAACCTTTACTCAATCCAGCCAATAGCCGCTTCCGGCCCCATTGCCAAGATGGCCATCGCGGAGGAATTCATCTTGACTCTCTCATGCCCCGATCAGGCGGGCATCGTGCATGCCGTGACCGGCTTCCTGGCCCAGCATAATCTGAACATCGTGGATTCACAACAGTTCGGCGACCCAACATCACGGACATTCTTCATGCGAGTACACTTCGCCCCCGTGGATGCGTCCAATGAAGTCAACACAGCTCAGTTGCGGAACTCCTTCGAAGCCGTTGCCAAGCCAATGTCCATGGACTTCGATCTCTCGTCAACTTCCCGGAAGCCCCGTGTTCTTATCATGGTGTCCAAGATTGGGCACTGTCTCAATGATATTTTGTTCCGCCAATCGACCAACCAACTCCGGGTTGAGGTCCCTCTCATTATTTCCAACCATCCCGATTTTGCCCCGCTGGCGGAGACTTACAAGATCCCATTCCATCATCTCCCCGTAACGGCCGAGACCAAAGCTCAGCAAGAAACTCAGATTCTTGACTTGGTCAAGGAGCATAATATCGATCTCATCGTCCTGGCTCGATATATGCAGGTTCTCTCGCCTACCCTTTGTTCGGCGATGTCTGGAAAAATCATCAACATCCATCATAGCTTCCTGCCCTCATTCAAAGGTGCCAAGCCCTATCACCAAGCATATGATCGGGGTGTCAAGATCATTGGAGCGACAGCACACTTTGTTACAAGTGACCTTGACGAAGGGCCAATTATTGAGCAAAATGTAGTCCGTGTCGGCCATGGACTGAGTCCGAAGGAATTGACTATCGAAGGTTCCAATGTAGAGAGTACCGTACTCTCTACTGCCGTACGATGGGTCACGGAGAGAAGGGTACTATTAAATGGAGCGAAGACGGTGGTCTTCAATTGAGTTATTTGCGGTCAATCTCTGCTGTGTACGTTTGCACCCAGTTGGGGGCCAGAAAACGCGCAAAATATGTAAAGCATGCGATAAATTCTTTAATTTCTAAATGTTTTTATATAAATTACATATTTCTATTTGGTTGTCCCATTTCCATCGCTGCACTAGGTCACGCCCTAGGTTCCCTTTACACCCCGGCTATACCACCCACTCCTCAACGACACATTTTTATTATTATTGGTCTTAGTAAGTGAACACAAGCAGTACGGCCATGGCATCGTTTGGTCGTCTTGCTTCTAAAGAAAGATATATCAAATGAAAGCTTCTGCTCTACCTCGATTTTCAACCCTTTACTTTATTCAGATTAGAAAACCCTTGCGATCTAGGATGGCTGGACATTTCAGGATCGGCATCAAGAATCTATGATCTGGAAATTATCCGGGGAAAAGACAGATCGCGCCGAGCTTAATTCTACGGTTCGTACCAGTTCTCATAAGAATTCTGAAACTCGATCGTCATCATACCGCATTATCCGATTTAGCCTCACATCAGCCGCCTGCGCTGCAGATCACACGGGAAGGCGATCATGCTACCTTTTAAATCTCAAAACAGACATCACGAAAGCACCGTTCATGATTCATGATTCGATCTCTCATTACTTTTCTCACGATATTTATATGTGCCTAGGTATGACGGAAGGCATAACTGGAACTGATAACCGCTAGGCTTCCAACTGGCCTTGGATTGATTTACGTTCGGGGACGACACAACGGATGGACTGGCGCGTGAGGTGCTCTCTCCGCGAAGATGACGCTCCATCGCTGGAGCTATCGGTCACGACTTCTTGGTGCAGCTAGCATGCTGATTGTCATGTATTACTTTGTCTTTATATCGAAGATCTCATGTTGTTGGAGATATACATGTGGTTCTGGGGAAGGTCATAAAGTTGGGGATCCATCGGTGCGAGACATCCTCAATTCAACTCTTGGGGTACGTATACGCGGGGGTTCATCCTATGCGCTCCATTCTCAAATCACCTATGATTTGGTTTCTTGGTTCTAACGATTTCTTTGTGCGGTCAATCTCGGAGAACAACAATTCTCCCCCTTTTGAAGAAAGTTATTAAGCCACTTATTTTCTAGTTCCAAAAACTCTTCGTTATCAATATGCCCTCCCGCACGGATCGACGCGATGCTACCATCCTTGCCGCAGCGGCCAGCAATATGAAAATAGATTTCATCGAGGGGATAACTGGCGACCAAATCCCCGAGGTCGCCTTGCCACCAGGAAATAAAGCTGAGAGCCTCAAGCTTTTCAAAGGAATTAGAGGTAGTTGGCGATCACATATGAATGCCTTGCAAGCGTAGGTCCCTTTCCGATGTATGGATTTCTCATCAATATGTACTAAAATTTTACAGTATTGTTCATCAAAATCTTAGCAGTGCTATGATTTTTGAGGACGATGTCGACTGGGATGTCCGTCTACGCCCGCAACTACAGGACCTTGCATTTGCTTCGCAGTTCCTAACATCGGGGCCCCAGGACCTATCCCGTTATCCTGTACAAACTATTCCCAACCCGGAGGCCCCCGAAGTCAGCATCCACAATGAATCATCTGAAAATCCAATTCCCTCGACACTCCACTCTTTACCGCTATCCAAGGTTCTAGGGCCCAGTTTGAAGTTACATCCTTATGGCGATCCAGCAAATTGGGATGTCCTATGGCTGGGACACTGTGGTGCCGGGTTTCCTCGACCACCTAGGTCCGGTTCAGGAGCGAGTGACAAGAATATCTTACTCACCAACCCGAACGATCCTACGGTCCCCTTACCGAAATATCTACGCGCGCATCCTTTTGGGCCCCTCGATGCATTAGGTACTTCCCATCCACCGCACACCCGTGTCTACCATCGTGGGAGTGGCGGAGCCCTATGCACTGTTGCATATGCAGTCAGTCAACGGGGCGCGAGAAGGTTACTGCATGAATTTGGAGTTAGTAAATGGGGTCGTATTTGGGACGTTGAGTTGGGCGACTGGTGCGCGGGGTCGGATTCTCCTGCAGGCAGTAAACCCGAAGATGGCTCTGAAGCGCTGGGTGAAGCTAGAATGGATCAGGAAGACAAGGGGGAAAGGAAATGCATCACCGTCCAGCCCCCGATCTTTGCACATCACCATCCATTAGGAGGAGAGAGTGATATTGGGGGACTAGGAGGGGGTTACGCTAGAACCGTAGAGACGAAATACCTTAGATTGAGTGTGAGGATGAACTTGCAGGCGATGGTTAGGGGAGATGGCCCAGAGGTTATGGTGGACCAATGGCCTGACTAAAACATGTACTGTATGTACTGTGCTATTATTAGAGCTAGTTCTCAAATGAACGTCCCATACAAGGACTACTACTATTCCCACATATGGTGATCAACGTTCTTTGGCAAGCCACATGTAGCTTTACCGCATGTAGGTCATTTATTTGCCACAATACGGCGGCTAGTAGTCAAGAAGCCGCAAGGGATTGGCACTGTGAGCAGCGGCGAGCGAACAAACCTAAAATTCCACATTATAGCTAAGGCAAGATGAATAAGACATTGTGGCTGCTTTCTAACAGTCTATTAGGGGGGACTGACAACCCTTGCTTCGAGATGCACTTTCTACTCGGTCCTTACCTGCAATTACGCCCAGAGTAAGCAAAGCCTAATACTCCAGCCAATACTATGGTATACAAGTTTTACGCAATCCCTCAGTCTACTCACTATGGAACATACCAAAGGATGGCACGGGGGGCAGTGGCGTTCAGGCCAGTAGCTTAAATTGAATTGTCCAAAGAACCTCAACTACCCCGGGCGTTGATTTCACGGCATCAATATATGATGTTAGCTGGAAACAGCAGGACAAGCAAGTAGTCATCTCATGGAGATCAGAGTACTAGCAGGTTGTTTCCACCGAATTGACAACTCGACTATATAATCAGGACCCGTCGACAGTTAGAGACTTCTTGTGTACTAGCAAGAATCACTGTAGAGATCGGGGCACTTTCCAACGCTGGGAGATACACCTACTTTGCAACTTATCCCTTGACTATAAGTTTCAGTACTTGCATGAGCATCCTCCGGACCTTCATATCTACTAGAGGTATTATAGAGTGAAGTAGACCCGCCTTACAACTGTCCCGCTGAATTTGTATCTCCTGATACCTCTAATATCAGAGGTCGTCTATCGCATAGAGGCTGAGCGACCTAAAGGTTGGGTCAAGGCCTTGTGCGGGCAAGATCCAGCTACCGGCACGTCTGCAAAGATGGAAGTATTGCTAGCAAAGTATATATTCGGTTCAACGCTTGAGGCCGGGTTTTAGCTGAAAGGCGCCGAGCTTTACGAGGAAGCTGCTACAAGACAAGCTCAAGTAGATTCCTGGAATAGCTGCTGGAAATACGAAGTATTCGATACTTCTCAGCTCAGGACTGGATCGTATAGTAAGACATATATTTTCCTACTCGAAATCAAGAATGGACAGTATCTAGATGATAATAGACACGACCTCCCCCACGACAGCGAGTCTGTGTATACAACGTTTAGGACAGACGATAATGCTAAATCGACCTGGCTGCTAGCGATGCTAAAGGAAGTGGCGACCAAGAGTGAAGACGAGCTGTTAAAGAAGATGGTTTCTTCCATGGAGTGCACATATCTGAGGGTCAATTTGAATCAAGGGGGTAAGGAATTGGTAAGGATAGCTTGTGGGGGTTTCAATACTTGTAATGTTGCTTTTGGGCTATTCATGAATGAACAGGAGTCAAATTGAGAATCAAGCACAAACCATCCCCTTGCGTTCAATGTAGAAAGTATGATACTGGTAAATTGTGCATATGCAAACTTTATTCACAATAAATACATTCCTCTCATCCTCCTCGCCCTGCAGTAGTAAAAGTAGATCCCTTCAGTCCGCAGCCATCCTTTTAATCCATTTATTACTTTCCAATAGTGACAGTGGTGGTTCCTGGGCCGATGGTCCAGCTATCACCGGGTCCGCCAGTGTTACCTCCGCCGACGACTGTGGTTCCGCCTGGGACAATGGAGAAGGTTGGGGCTTGGGGCTCAGCCTTGGCCTCACGAGGAGTAACAGTGGTAGATCCACCGCCTGGGGTGAAGGTTCCGCCTCCAGTGGCACCACCTGGGGTGCACTTTTGCCATGCGACATGGGCCTGGTGGGTGAACGCGATGGTAGCATCATCGTTCGACAGCTCACCGCTTGCCTTGGGGTTGGTAGTAATAAGGGCAATGCGGTTGTTGATGTTCAAGAGGCCGCCGTCGCCGCAAGGAGACCAGATGGTAGCAGTAGTCTCAACTTCATCGTGCTTGGTGTAGACATCACCGGTGAGCCATTGTGGGCCCGTGATGCTGGACTTGGTTGTGCAAGTCTTAGAGGCGGATTGAGAGAAGTAGTATGTGGAGAGGAAGTTTCCAGTGACACCAGGGTCAAGGCGAGCATAGCCATGATAGGTGGCGTCAACGACAGCGTACTGGAACCCACCGGGGTACTTCAGGTCCAAATGGATCTGGCAGTTCTTGGTCTTGTCTGCCTGGGCTGCTTGGGGCCCGATATAGCTCTGGAAGGCATCGAAACCGAAGGTAATGAACTGAGAAATCAATTAGCTCCTAGTCTCTATACCATTGCGAATGTGGTATACTTACGGTCTTGTCGTCAGACAATGAAGTGCTGACTGATCCTTGAGGGCAGCCACTTCCAGATGAGGATGCAGATGTGATGGTGATCTGGTCTGCTGGTGGTGCCTGACGACGCTCAAGAGGAACGAAGTCTGCGTTCAAGGGGCTGGCAACGGCCAATGCCGGCAGGAGAAGGAGAGCGGCGGCGGTATACATGGTCAAGAGTTGATTGATGGCTTGTCTGTTGATTGCTGACTGTTGACTGTTGACTGTTGGAGAAGCTTGAAGGTTGTTGGATGAGGATGAGATGTTTGAGGTGATGGCAAGACGAGGTTTATATAGACATATGAAGGAGTACCACGAACTCGAAAGTGTCTCTTTGATTCATCCCATGTATGGATCGTGACTTCTTCCAAAGATCAATCCCGTGTTTACAACCATTTTCGGAGTGGCCAAAATGATTGCCTGAAACTAAGTTATTCTATTAATAGTAGGTTAAATCCAAAGCCAATGGTCCTCCCCTTGAAATATCTTTACGAGGAGGTTCAATCTGAGTTAATATGAGCCTTACCACGTATAGTAGTTGTGTTATCGGGCTGACCGAGGTCAAAGTTAACAAATATCCTTCCAGTACTGGTCATCGGCCAGAGTTGATACAAAGAACCCTCTGAGTATCGAGGAGTAAAACGGCTGCCTAGCGGAAATTCGGATGGGAAGCAGCTTTTTAGGTTGCATGTCGAATTGAAAGAGCCGTACCTTTTGAACTATTCATTTAAAAGGACTTGGTATACAGGCCTGTAATTTGGACGCATATTAAACCGCTCGGTCCAGCGAGATCTCGCCCCATAGTTGCCTCCATACCAGCGGGACTGCTGCAACTGCAACGTTGAATCTCTCGTGGCAATTTCAAATAGTAGTTGGATGCATACGCTGGGAAAGGCTGCGATATTTCAGAGTTTATTTTAGAAAAAACACTATGGGTGACTTTGTGAAGAGACTCTCGGATATGGCCGGTGCCTGATGCAACTCAAAACTCTCCATCTGGCAATTATATCACCTGAGCTGCGGCAATCACGAGAAGAAATCTAAAGGCTTATGAATACGAAGAGGTTTTAGCCGCAATAATATTTGTGCTACCGAGAGATGCTTATTTGCATTCCCTGGCATGGATTTCAATGCCAACCGGAAGTACTCGCCTGCCATCTCACCAGGCGAACATGTGAGGTATCTGCGGGAAGGAGGATCAAAACATTGTATAAACTGTGTTTCATCACCAAAGAATATGTCCCTTCGGCCGTTGAGTCCCATGAGCGGCTAGAACTTGTTCCTGTATTCCCAGAGTGACATGTACTAGCCGGGAAAAAAACTATAGAGCTACACTCAACAGTTCACAGCTCTCATCCAATGGCTTCGGCCATTGAAAGAACGAGGAGGGATAAAGCGGATTGGTAGCACTCGCGTATGCTTATTACTTAACACAATCGGGAAACCCGGCTTAACCTGTCAGAAGGCAAAATCAGACCTAATCTGGGTAAACACTATGCCAAGGAATCAGGTAGAAGACTAGACGTATCACCTGGTGAAGACGATATAAGCTCCCGGTTTTAGATGAAAAAACAACTAAATATAGGGGGTGAATAGATTGGAACCCTAACTAGGGAATTAATTGTCCGAGCTACAGCTCATAGTAGTGGCGGGACGGATGATGACATGGTGTGCTGTCGGCGTCTAAAGGCCAACGGTGAGGCGGAACCTTGCCCTGTCTACCCCACAGTCGCCTCTAGAAGACGTCTTGGATTCCCTTCCGGACTCCGGTCCCGAATCTCGAATGGAGGGTTGATAATATGCCCAGCGGAGAGACCGAGTGGGTTCTCTTCCTGATTTCCAAAAGCTCTCTTCTTGCTCGCCTGGGCTCTACCGACCAGCACAGTCTGAGTTCAACAGATGTTAAAAAGGAACTCTGGGCCCTCGTTTAAAACCATCAAAACAGAAATCTGCGACTCTGACAAGGGGAGGAGGGGTAACGCGATACTAGCCAATTTAACACTTGTTCCTGGCGATCATATGGTGTCCCCCGCATTTCTAGCGCCTCTCGGACGTCACGGCCGCGATGGCGCCAAACTCGGCGGCAGCGGAGCAGACAGACGCGGAGCCTCCAGGAAGGCGACGATCTGCTCCGTATCCTCTTTCGCTCGTAGCTCTATCCTTGTACCAGAAGGCGAGGCTTCTCAACGATCAGATACCGAGACTCGCGAGATCCTGAGAACAAGCAATAATCCCTTGCGGAGCGAATCAATACTCCACCTTCGCATAATCAATATGGCGAGAATCAGCAGGGTGAGGACTATCTCATTTAGCCACGAAGAGCATCTGTATTTTCCGATTACCGATCCTGCCGACTCGGGCCTGGAATGGGCAGCAAGGCGCAATCGAGACCCTTTGGGTCTCCCGAGTAGATATACGGGGAAAAGACTCCAGCCAAATATTTCGTGGCCTGATCTTGGGCAACCCCAGATGGACGAACGCTTCGTGAGCTAGACGTATATGCGAAGTATGGCGGGCAAACCAAATGGGGATTCTACCACTCTCTGTCGTGCTCATTTTCGACATATAGTGGCAGCATTCTTGCTCTTGGGGTGGATGCGGAGGCATCGCAAGCTCCTTGCTGCCCATCGCAGTGGCTCCAGATCACTACAGAAACGAATTCTCCGGAATGAATTGGCCAACCTGGTCCGTCAGGTCTTTGGAGCGCTCTGTTCCTATATCAACTCCAGGCCATCTCAGCCCTTCGTTTTTCGACGCGCAGATCGGGTGTTGGGCCGCCCGGTGTATACTCGAACAAAGTAGCCATTCCGTTTCGTGGCGAGGCAACCGTGGGGAATAGATTGTGGGTGAGAAATTATGGTTAAATTGCTGAATACGACCGTCAGCCCAACGCTTTCATTTCCTCGGCGCCTCGGATGAACCCATCGTACGACGGTGATTCATCTGCCTTGTCGCACTCAATTTTTGCGTCTCCGTGATGAGCTTTCGAGAAAGCTCATTCATGGGCGATGTGTCGTGAAATAAGTGAGTCCTGGTGAAATTGACGATCCGGAGATTTGGTGTTTCAAAGGTTCCGGCTAACGCGTGACAACTTTGTGCCAGTCGCAAAAAGAATGTCTCGGATACCGCGAATACATGCGTCCATAAATCAGAATTCTTAGACTGGAAAGTGGCAAATCTGAAATTATTATTTCCCTTTTCCACTGATCACGACACCATTTTGCGACTCAGGTCAGCCCCTTATTTTTCAAGTGTTTGACAAGAGTTCGCAGTAAAATCAATTTCTGTTCAATGCTCCTTCAATATCAACACTCCCGAAGCAATGATTTAAGGCCCAAGGAGTTTGGGGAGTGGCTTCCTGCAAGATACGATAGTGGTATTAGTGATGCCCATGTTAGCTGTCCATACCACCGGTCAACAGCAACTTAGGAAGTGCTCTATTTGACTCACCGTTCAATACGAGACAACCATCGGTGGCGATCCATGGCGGATAGTTGATTTAGTTATTGATCCTTGCCACCACAAAGGTAGAAGACCGTGGTCCTTCAACAGTCAATTTGAGGTGAGCAGCATGTTTCTTTCGTGAGCTTTACGCTTGAAACCTGATACGGGCTAGAGGTCGTATCTATCTGCCCGTTTTACGCAATGACTCGTCGTCAGGCCAAGTTTACAAGTATATTGATCCAAGAAACCTTAATTGTTGGAAAACGGCCTAATTTGGCGATGCGATAAATAGTATAATGTTTGATGATTGCTGATATATCACTCCCTACTTCCAGAACGCACTCCATAGTATAAAAGGTCCCATTGCCCATTATGTTTGTTGCTTTCCCATATTCTGCCATTGCCATTATCTTATGGCTTCAGACTGGTGCATGCATTCTGGCTACTATCCTCCTCAAAGATCCCGCCAAAAATGACACCCTCATTGATGTTCGACGGCTGGTACCCATTACGAGTAATGTCCGAACCACCTCCGATGGGTTTCTTCAGGAGGCCGAAATGGTACTGTCCTTGTCCGCTGAGATTATTCGACACCGCTTTGCTGACTGAAGCGAGGGGGTTGTTGCCAGTGGAATAGTATACTTGTGTTGTTCTGGTTTCATATGAGCGAAAGTGTTATTTGAAGTCATCCGGCAGTTCTTCTCCGCGAACAGAAATGCGGCCGAACGATAGAACAAAGACTCATTGATAAAAGGACGGAAATTCGGAATACGTACCGTGAGTTGAAATTCAACGCAAGCCCGAAGTTGTGCCATACACCAGGCGTAAACTTGATGGAAAAGATGTTCTGCACTGGGCTGGAATTTACATTTCCCGTTACCGTCAACGTATCTGCATCACTGGGTTTTGCCCCGCCGAGGATTGTCCCATACTTCAGGGTGACTTGGTTCGTGCTGTAGTCATTTGATTCGAGGAAGAAGAGCTGGTACTCATGGCTGCTGTTTAGTGGCCGGGAAGCGTCTTTCATCACTGAAAAGTGCATAGTCTTTTGCCCGGTTGTGGAAGGGTCGGTTCCTGTAACAGAGGTTGGGAGGAGCTCGGCGCGGCGGAATCCCTTTTGCACATTGTCGGCTGATGGGGCGAATATCGATTTATCGCTATGCGACAGAATGAGATGTGAGTCTTCCTTCGTTTGATATTGAATGGAAGTCAAAAATGGAATTTGTAATGGGAACAAGACAAGGGAAATAGAGAGATATTGGGAAGACTAACTCGATCGTTACTTCTACGGCTTTCGTGCCGCTTGCGTCGAACTAATTGAACGTCAAATCAGTTTTCGAGACCGAAAATGAGCCATATTAACTGGGTAGGGAAACTCACGAGTGAGCTATTAACTGAGGGAAATTGCAGAACACTACTCCATTTCAGATCTGATACGGAGGTTAGAACTTCATATCCGTTAGCAACATAAGATCAACAACTTACTCTGACCGAGCACATAACCCGGGTTGTACGGGCTAGAATTCGCATCGAATGATTCGGGAGTCGCGGCCGCGGGAACTCGTCCATCAAATTGGATGGGGCACTTTTGAGCAGCCGCCAGTGAAAGCAGAGCAGACGACAGGTAGAAAAGTCGAGCCATTGTAAATGAATTAGAAATACTCTCAGGACGAAGAAGTGGAAGTAAGGAGGATGACAATGGACACCGTATCATAAAATATACATTGGGGAAAATCTCCAGCTATAGGAAATAAATGCGGGGTGAAACATGGTATGCGCTGGGGTTATTCTCATCGGAAAGCATTGAATCTGCTCCGGTTACCGGTATTTTGGCGTTATTAATCTGCGGCTTGATTGGCTGAATATTAGAAATTGTTTGACATATATGGGTGTTATGTTGATCTAGATGAGAATTACCGGTTGCGGCTGAACAGAAGGGGGTGCTTGGCCTTGGCCCAAGTACCCCTGCGGCTCAAGAGGGCTCGTTTTCCTTGGCCAACAAACAAGAAAGAAAGTGAAGGTTAAGCTTTCTTTGACAAGCCTCTGGTGAAATGGGACGAACATCCTGTCCTGTGAGACAGGGAAATATATATCTCATCGCTGCATATATCCGTCTTTGATAAGGACAACAAGTGCCTCTTTCACACTTTGTTTGCGAACTGCATCACAACCACAAACGGTACTTGCAAATTGATTAAATAATTCATGTTCCGGCTAACCTTGAAAATAGGGATATTTTTGGTTTAGTTTACCTAATAAATCTCTTGAACTAGGCTTTCTACAAACTGTATGTTGTCGCGTGAATGATCTATATAGCAGCTATGGACTAATATTAGCATAGACCGGTTATACGCACAGCCACTAATCATACATATTATTACCTAGCGCCCCAAAGGTAAATAAAATGGTGTGTGCTGTAAATAATCAGAGACACAGGTAGAAAGTTAACTGTGAGAATTTGCTTATCTTTAGCGTTCTGCTTATCGTTGACGCTTGCTATGTACTGTACCCTTTGTTTCACCATTTGCAGTTCCTTGCTGCCGCCAACCGAATGGGCAAATAGTAGGGTTGAACTAGACAACGCCACACATTTTGGTAATTGCGAATTATACTCCGTGGAGTAGAGATTGCGCCGTGCAACGCGTGGAATGTTGCTGTTGCCACCACGTAACACCTATTGGTCCGATCCCCATCGACAACGACAAATAGCAAATAGGAACGCGGAAAACCACATAAATACGATGGACGATACGAAAGCTGCCTTGGTACAAATAAACATCGTGTTATACTATTATTGTTGTTTGGTAGATCATAGATGTCATGTTCCGTTCCAGGTTTCCTAGTGGGTGGCTGTGAAAGGCCAATGGCGTCACTTGGCTCTTGGCAGCTTGTTGCCCTGTGAATTTACGTCGTAGTACGAGTACGAATGTGCTCTGCCACACTACCTAGTACCTACTAAGGTACATTAGAGGTATAGGTACAAGTACTTAAAGCAACGACAGTCTTTCGCCTTCCCATCCACCTCACCCAATTAACTACACCCCCACCTCCAACCTCTCTACATCCCATTTCCCTTTCCCTTCCCTTTCCCTTTCCATTCCCTTTTCCCTCCATCACCTCCACCTCCCTGATACCCAGGACTCATTTACACCGCCGTCGCGTGTCCGCCTCGACCTCACCTCCATGAAGAAAGTTTCGTCTGATCCCCCGTCATCTCTAGATCGCATCCGCTCTTGGGCACGATCCAAAGCGCATGGCCCCTCTTCACTCTCCAACGCCGCGAGCAGACCGTCGATTCTTCCCATAACTTCCTCAGACCTCCCACAAGCAGAGACTCACCAACACAGTAATCCGGATAACGATGTCGGCGGCAACAATAACGCGACGCCCGAGCTGTCTCGTACAGCTCCCGGTTCCAACGTCGCAGCTCCATCTCCACAGCCTTCGGGACCCGCAGCCGATGATGTCGTCGATAATACACCCTCTATCCATCCGCCACCGGCTCCATCTTCGCAGGCTGATGGGGAGGGGTCTGTCATAAATAAAGAGAAGCCCAAGGAAAAGAATGTCGCTCTTCGATTTTGGCTTACCAGCAAAACCATTATTCTATCCAGTTATATTAACTTTCTGCTTGTATTTGTCCCGGTAGGCATAGCTGCAGAGGCAGCCCATCTCAGCCCCGGGATTATATTTGCTATGAATGCTATTGCTATTGTCCCTTTGGCAGGCCTACTCAGTCATGCCACTGAAAGTGTGGCGAAGCGAATGGGTGATACCGTTGGAGCACTAATGAATGTAACTTTTGGAAATGCGGTGGAGCTGATCATATTGTACGGTCCTATGTTATCGTCCATGCATGATATTATTTTGCTAACACTACCTAGCATGTATGTCTACCTTACGAGAGATCAAGGCAAGAACGAGCGAGAAGCCCTCTTCAAGGCATTATCATATCAATCGCGTCCCATATCCGTCCCTATGATTTTGCCCCCATGCTTGTTCTTCGTGACCCTTCTTAAAAAGACCCATGCTCACTCGTTCCTTGCGCCTAACCCACAGCATTGCTCTCTCAAAGGTTTGAATCCTTAACACCTCGTATTACTTGTGCTAACCATCCCCAGAATGAAATCCGTATTGTCCAAGCTTCCTTACTTGGCTCTATCCTCGCGAATTTACTCCTGATTTTAGGCATGGCTTTCCTGCTTGGTGGACTTCGATTCCGAGAACAGGTACTTACTTAATTTACCCCGGAAATGGCCCCGCTTCATGCTAATACTTTTAGATCTACAATAGTACTGTTACACAAATGAGTGCATGCCTGCTCAGCTTAAGTGTCATGAGCCTGTTATTACCAGTATGTATTATTTGGCTCCTGATCTGGACCACTTGCTTATATTGCTCTCAGACCGCATTCCATGCATCATTTAATACCTTGAAACAAGAAAAGGCCACCAAAGCCGTCTTGCAGGTTAGCCGTGGTACAAGTGTCGTAAGTCCAACTATAACACCGCTGAATCCCAATACTCACGGATCCAGGTCCTTTTGATTGTCTACGGAATGTACCTTCTGTTCCAGCTCAAGTCCCATGCATATATGTATCAGAGCACCCCACAGCATATTCTTGACGAAGAGTGTGTTCCTGGCCCTGTAGCACATTGGATGGAATCTTCAGACGACGATGACTCCTCATCATCGAGTTCTGATAGCGATACGTCAAGTGGCTCGAATACTACGGCAAAACGCATAAAGAGAGTCATGAGAGGCGGTCGACGACGCCGCAAGTCCAGCTCCGGATCGAAAGACACGGCCGACATGGGCGAGACTACTCGAACCCCTTCGCTAGGAACATCTTCTCACACACCTGTGCATACCGATCATTTTGAGGAGGCCCCACCCGGGGGCTCTACGAGCCATCGCTTTGGCGCAATCGTCTTTGCTGAAGATGCCGATGACGAGGCTCGCACAGCAAGTTGCCAACATGGTAGTGGTGGATGTTCCAAAAGGGACCGAAAACACTTGAGAAAGGTAAGGGAGAGGGAACGCCGACATCAAAAGAAGGAGCGCAAAAGAGCTCGCAAGAACGAGCATACTATTGCTGAAAATGCTGCTGAGAACCCCTTGGATGAAAAATTGGATGAGGACCCTAATGGCCCTCGTCGTGTGGATTTCGCATCTGCCAACGTCGACGAAATCCAAACCGATAACAATAAGCGCCCTCGCACACTTCGTGGTCTAAGTCTCCGACCGGCAATTCCAAGGACGTTCGCACAGAATGTCTTCACCCAGCCCGCCTCAACTCCGCCCCTCGTACCGTCCGTTGGCTCCATCCCTCGCGTCCGCTATGGAATTCGCCGCACCAATTCCCTCCCGGATCGTCTGAACCAAATTCATGGTGGCCTAGGCCGCCAGCCCTCTGGTGCTGCTCAGACACCTCATATCAACAGTCTTAGCGTTGCCGCAAAAGTGGAAGATGAGGAAGAAGAGGAAAATATATCCCGTACTACGGCTGTAGTCTTGCTGCTCGTCTCCACTGGCCTCGTTGCTGTCTGTGCCGAGTTCATGGTCGACAGCATCAGCGCTGTTGTGGCTGGAAATTCAGGTGTGAGCGAAACGTTCATTGGCTTGATTATCTTGCCCATTGTGGGTAATGCCGCCGAGCATGTTACTGCTGTCACAGTAGCGACCAAAAATAAGATGGATCTGGCTATTGGTGTTGCCGTAGGGTCATCCATTCAAATTGGTAGGTCCCTCCTGTATTTTGGCCAAATGTGTTGCTAACAATTTCAGCGCTCTTTGTAACTCCATTTGTCGTCCTCCTCGGTTGGTGTATGGGCAAAGAAATGTCCCTCTACTTCACTCTCTTCGAAACGGTCTCGTTATTTGTCTCGGCTTTTATCGTCAACTTCCTTGTGCTCGACGGCCGCAGCAATTTTTTGGAAGGAGCACTCCTTTGTGCCGCGTATGTCATAATCGCCGTGGCCGCCTTCTTTTATCCTCCCATTGAGGACCAGAGTAATCTTGGTGGCAACGCTGATGCAGCCAACAAGATGATTCGGAGCTTGGTTGGAATATGAGAAGGGGTGGTTTACCTTGGGGGTGGCTGAATAGGAAGGAGGGGTTGAGTTCGGACGGCATCGCAACAGGAATAGTCCGTCTCGATCCTCGGGTGGTTTGTGGTTTTACTTTCTTGGGGCTTTGACTTGAATAGAGCGGTTATACGGGGACATCGATCATGACACGCTCGCTCTATTAGGTTTATGTGTTGGGGCAGCTCTCATCCGTACTTGCGCTATGAGTTTTCGGATAGGGGGTGGGGGGGATGGATTTGTTGCTTTCTTTTGTGGATGTTTCAGGGTTGGTTCTTCCCTCAGGTAGCCAGCCGGTTATGTTCTTATTACATTCGCTACACTCGTTACATACAATCAATTGATTCTCTTCTATGCCGGCAATGCAGCCTACTACAGTCCTCTATGAAGAACTGTGCACCACAAGTACCTTACACAACATCTACGGAGTGAAGCTTGAATTTCGGGACAGAGGTGTAATCACGTGTCCTCCCCCAGCAAGCGACACACTCCGTGTCACGTGCCGCCCTCCCACCCAAAACCGCGAAATCTGGCAACGGTGACCTGCAACGTCGCCAACGCAGCTCTGGTCACCTCAACACGCCAGCTTCACCTCCAGTATCAACCCTTCAACCCGCCGACTTACTGCTCGCACGCCCAAACCAGCCAGTTCACCTCGTTCTGCGCCCCGTGTCGTCGCCCATCATGGTGTACGACTGGGAGAACAAGGAGGAGATATGCTATCGCATGTATATCGAGGAGAAAAAGTCGCTCGAGGAGATCATGGATTACATGAAGGAGGAACACAAGTTCGCCCCCAGGTATGTACCAGTCAGTCAGTAATGCTAGTCGTGCCTCGCCGTACTCACCACCACCGCCCCAACAACCGCCATCCATTCCCCCGTCATCCGTCATTCGTCATCCGCAATCCGTATTAATAGTTGGGGCAGCAAACGTGCGTTCCAAACCCAGTTCAAACGATGGGACTTCCCCTCGAAGCAGAATCCGGCACACAAAAATGCCGCCCTCGTGCAGCGCGTCAAGGAGCTATGGGACTGCAACACCTCCCAGCGGGATATGCTCAAGGCCCTCAACGATGAGGGCTTCGATATCAAGGAGCGGGAGCTTATGCGTGTCCGGGCGAAGAATCGGTGGCTTCTCAGGGTCCCTAATGGAATGAAGACAAAGAAACGCGACTCGGATCAAGATGTGATCAACCAGCTCCAGCAAGCTCTATACCCAGATGGCCAGTTGGCAGATGCGGACGGCGAACCTGAGGATGTCGAAGATATAGCTCTACCAGCCCCCAAACCTACCCTTCCCAGGGCCGAGTCCCCTCCTCTCAGCCCCGAGGTCCTAGCGAAAAGACAGGAACGACTTGCCAAACTCCAGGCCGAGTCTGCTGAGCGTTGGGCGGCACGAAAGCGGCGCCGTCGGACTCGTGGCTGGGCTGGTCTGCCAGCTGATCCTCCAGGACCTCCTCGATTTCCCTCCGAGACCACGATCGATGAGAGTAAAGCCTTCTTGAGCCTCGACAACAACCTCTACCGCGATCTCCGTACTCGCTTTCAACGGATATGCGAAGAAGCAGACATTATTAAGAAAACAATCGCAGGACCAGAACGGTGGGAAGGTGCCAAGGATAGACTTATTCAGGAGAGCCCACATCTGCAATCGGTATTCTGGCACGGCGAGGAGGATCGAGGGGAACGGAAACTGGCCCTGGATGTTGTATGCAGCGATGTCACCAAGAGGATGCGAACTTTAGAGCGCCGCATGACAATCGCTGAGGCCAAGAACACCCTCGGTATCAACCCAGAAGAGTCTCGCCAGCTGCGCAATGCGTTCTACTTGATATTAAAGGCCGACCACTTTACAAGCAAGCTCGAGGCTGGCGAGGACCATTGGAAGGAACTGAAGACCCAATGGATTAATAGCTCAGACCTGTTGCTGAGCATCCTAGCGCCGGGAGATGCTGATCCTCAACACCAAATCAAAGTCAAAGCTATGGAGGTCCTCTGCAGAGATGTTATGAAGCGTCTCCGTGATGACCAGACCAAGCGTGATCCCACCCGGAAGAAGAAATTTGATTCGAATTTTACGGCCCCGGATCCCGTTGCCGATCAATCTGGCAACTCACCAGACTCGAACGGTTTTCCGCCTAGCACTCACACAGCTCTTGTCCAGGCAGCATCCCAGGCCCAGGCCCAGACTCCGGTTCAAGCACCATCTAGAGCTCAACCTTACGTTCAGCCTCATCCCCAACCTCATACGCAGCCTCAAGCTCAATCAGGGTTATTGCACCGTGCCCAGGCGCAAGCTCGACAGGTTCAAGGTCAGCCACATGGCCAGGTTCTGGTTGATCATAATAATATGCAGATTGACCCATCGCTGCTTCTAGCAGCCGCCAACGATCCATCTCTCTTAAACCGTGGTATGCAGAATCAATTCTCTGATCAACAATACGCAGATCAGCAGTATGTTGCCCAGGCAGCCCAAGCAGCGTTCACTCCAGCATCATCGATCGCGTTTTACTTCCGTTTGCATCCTGCTTCTGAAATTCAGACAAATTCCAGGCTGTGGGTCAGCACGTTAAGCTCGGTTTCTGTAGATGAATTACGACAACTTGCGACAGTTAAATTTCCTGGAACAATTGCTCTCCGCATTGAAGGCGTCATTAAACAGCCAAATGGGCATGAAATGACACTACCGATTGATCAGGATGAAGAGTTAGGGGCATATCTAGCGGAGATCAATGGCGTCAAGCCCATTTTCTCAGTCCAACTCGTTGCAGCATGGAAGAATGATTAGTGGCGGATGCGGAGGTACAACTTCAGATGGAGGCCAAATTAGATTGTTCTGGGGGTTTCGCTTCTTGCTGCTATTGCTATCATTAAATACGTCCCTAGAGGTACTACGGCATTTGCATTACAGGTGTTGGTGTTTATGGCTGGAAGGGAAAATGATTATCTTCACATAGTTTGAAGGAGGGCGATCGGCATTGCTTGTAAAAATAGCTATATAGCGCGGATACACTACTTATATTCATGGCTAATAAGACGTTGTCACTTTAAAGAATACGTTTCTTCGTAAACATTCAAGGCGTGATAAGTGGTAATTGTTGCTCACTTGTGCTCCCTGGCGAGAGTGGGGATGGCGCTGTCTGATCGCCAAAGTTGGAGCTCCCCGGTTAGGCCGAAACAAGCTTCCCGAACGTTGTCAACGGACAGCGTCTACCACCTCTTGGAACTAACACCAATGTTTGACCCATATATGAGGATATAATAACCTTATTAATTGACATCTCTGGCGACAATGTCATTCTCCAGGGTAGCCCCCTCGAAAGCCTTGCTCACATCACTCCGAAGATCAGCATTTTCACCAAGGTTACCCACCGCAACTGGGAGGCAGTTAAGATGGGAATCCACAGACCATAAGCCGGCGCAGGATGGGAAGTCATTCCGAGGGCAGCTGTACGGGAGTACCGCGATGCGGTTGCAGCGTGAAAAGGCCAATCGAGAGCGATATTCTCGGGAGCGCAATGAGAGCGCTGGGGGGAGAAGTTTGGCACTTACGTTTGGTAACTACCGCTCTATGCATCTCCTTAGATTAGATTGGGAATGCTATAAATATATGGATGCTAACAGGCACAATAGTCGTCATTGCTACCGCGATTGGGGGTTACTATACAGGAACTCTCTCCGTATCCCCTCCCTCAACAGCATCCACCCTCCCCCTCTCCACGACCACACCTCCCAAACACAATACCTCAGGTTCAAACATGGAAGCCGCATGGGCAGATTTCGTCGAGATCGTAGGGAAAGAACATGTCTCGACGCTAGATACAGATGTCGAGCATCACGCAGGCAGTGAATGGAGCTCACATGTCGGAGATAGTTCAGAACGACCATTCTTAGTTCTATATCCCTCGAGTACGGACGAGGTGAGTATGATCATGAAGGTTTGCCACAAGAGACAAATTCCCGTCACCGCTTATAGCGGGGGAACGAGTCTAGAGGGTCATTTTGCTGCAACGAGGGGAGGTATTTGCATTGATTTTGGGAGGATGGGGAAGATTCTCAAGCTGCATAAGGAGGATATGGATGTTGTTGTTCAACCTGCGGTAGGGTGGGAAATGCTGAATGAAGAGTTGGCTAAGGATAATCTCTTCTTTCCTCCCGATCCAGGCCCCGGGGCGATGATTGGGGGCATGGTGGGGACGGGGTGCAGTGGGACAAATGCGTATCGGTATGGGACAATGAGGGAGTGGGTCTTGAGTTTGACAGTTGTGCTTGCGGATGGGACGATAATTAAGACGAGGCAACGGCCGAGGAAAAGCAGCGCTGGGTATGACTTGACGAAGCTATTCATTGGGAGTGAAGGCACTCTAGGCTTAGTTACCGAGGCCACATTGAAGGTTACAACGAAGCCTAATACGACCAGCGTGGCGGTCTGCAGCTTTGGGACCGTAAGGCAAGCTGCAGACTGCGTTTCCAAGGTTGTCAGTGAGGGGATCCCGATCGCCGCGATTGAGATCTTGGATGATGTGCAGATGAAATGCATCAATGCATCAGGCATGACAGATAAATCATGGGCAGAAGCCCCAACCCTATTTTTCAAATTCGCGGGCACGCCCGGTGGGGTCAAGGAGCAGATCGCGATGGTACAGAAGCTGGCAAAATCTACTGGAAGCAAGTCTTTCGAGTTCGCAAAGAATGCTACGGAGCAAGAAGAATTGTGGAGTGCGAGGAAGGAAGCTTTGTGGTCTGTGATGGCCATGCGGAGAGATGATAGCGACCATGTTTGGACGGGAGATGTGGCAGTGCCTAACTCGAGGTTACCGGATATCATCGAGCTGACGAAAGAGGACCTTGCTGCGAGTGGGTTGTTTGCTGCCATTGTTGGACATGTTGGGGATGGGAACTTCCACAGTATGTGTCTACCTTTCAGGTGTTGCGGAGTGCGCTAACCTTCATAGCTATTCTTTTGTATAATGATAGCCAACGAAAGCAAGCTGAGGATCTTGTCCATCGCATGGTAAAGAGAGCGGTGGAGATGGAAGGTACAGTCACTGGGGAGCACGGGGTGGGATTGGTGAAGAGGGATTATCTCAATCACGAGCTAGGAGAGACAACTGTGGATGCTATGAGAAAGGTATGGACTCCCAAGATCTTCTTCTTTCCCCCATACTTACGATTTGTAGCTTAAATTGGCTTTCGATCCGCTGTGCCTCTTGAACTGCGATAAGGTTGTTCGAGTACAGACCCCTAAGCCTGGAGAAGTCTCTGAGTGGTGATGCAAGCCACGGACAGTGCTTCACCCCTCTAGCTATAAACAAAACAGTGCTGGTGGCGGTTGTCAGTGGGCCTTGAAATACGCACTATGTAATGATCAATGTACCAAATCCAGCCAACTTTGGCAGAAAATTGACTGAATTTCGGCTCTATGGTCGAGGCTTTTGGTCTTTTGATGTACGGTGTATGTATCACTACTGCTAAAATTGTCCGCAGAGGGGTATTGTGGCTTGAACCGAATACTTAGGTACCTATATATCAATCATAAAATACGCATATCTGTTGCTCAGTTGGTCATGCAGGCAACTCAATTAACTTGCCTATCCCAACATTCGGTTCATCATCCAACCCCTTGCTTTACTTCACTTATATACTACTACTCCCTCCCGTCCATTATGACTTTCTCCCAAAATCATCATTTGCTTCCTCTATTGCGATATGGATCGCCCATTTGTTCACACTATTTCCCAGCTACATAGCTGATAGCCCATCATCCATCGAGGCATGACCCCCAGTCTACGTTAAAGACGGCCTCCTTCCAAGGCCCCTAGTAAACACCTCCACACGCATTATTAAAGAGCTATAGAGCTGCGTTTACGCCAATCTACCTTTGGTCGTTTACCATGGCAAGTACAAGCAAAACAGAGTCTACCTAACGATTCTCTAGCCTTGGGATCCCATCGATTCACTATACCTTATTTTGCTTAACCAGCATTAAAGCAAATCATAAATGTAGATATATTCCTTAAAAATTTCCAACTACTTCACAGGTATACCTTCACACTGCCTAATAAAGTATAATAACCCAAAACACAGCAGATCTCTCAACCCGCTTAAGGACATAGGCGGTGGGTAAAGGCAAAAGGGGGGTCACATGCCTCCCTTCCAATAAGCGGGTGCGTGTACTAAATACCGAAATTAGGCAAATTTGTTTTAGGGAAGACAAAAGGCGGCCACTTGGCTAAGTGGTTCAGGTCAAATTGTCTTCTGGGGAGGATTGATAGGGACAAAATACGACAACGGCAACAAAACAACAAAATCGGCAAGAGATGTAGGCATTCGACACCGGGCTGAACTCTTTTGCTTCCTGTGTTTATTTTATTTTTCTCAAATTTTCTACTTTTTTCTAACTTTTTCGGTTTATTAGCATTATTTTGCCTTTTTTCTTTTGGTGGTTTATGTGTCTCGCTAGAGGATTAAGGATTATACTCGGAAATCGAAGGTGAGATACACAAACTCTTTGAATCCCACCCCATCATCTTACAAGACATTATATTAAAGCTCACTCCAAAATCAAACTCTCCCCATTCCCCAACTCCCTGAATCTAACTTCCGCCATCGCCTCTAACTCCCCACCCTTTAACTCCTTCCCCTTATCCAACTTCTCCCTCTCAACCGCCTCCTGGAGAGTAAGGATCCTCCTCCGTAAAAACCAACTGACAATCTCACCGCCTTTCTTAACCTCGTCATGAGTGGCAATCCAATGCTTTGCATCCAGTAGCCTCTGAATCTTCAGCCCGTTATGGGCCCCTTTATTAAGTTGCGCGCCTATTGGGCGAGAGATATAGATATCCTGCAAACCATGGAGTAATGCCAGCGTTTTTATAGACGGCTCTGCTTTAGCAACAGGCGCGACATCGTCGGGAGAAACGCCATGAGGTGTATAGATAATTGCTTCAGCTTCCGTCCGCTGCTCAGTCTCGTTCTCTAATATAGTAAAGGCAATCATGATTGCAGAATGATAATAAAGCATATCAGACCCGGCATACGCGACTCTTGATACGCCCAACCATTTCGGTAGAGGGTCTATCGACGAAGCCCGCCAGTCCCCCATAAACCGCGGTATCTCAGCGACGAAATCGGAGTGCTTCCAGGACCGAATTACAGATGCTGCTTTGGTAGTTGCAAAGACAGGGACGCGCGGATTGATTTCGAGGAGCGTCTCTTTGTGCATATGGTCTGTGAACTCATGGCTTATGACCACAGCGTCGATATAACTCTCATTATCCATATCTTCTTCATATCTATCCTCCTGCTCACATTCTGAGCGGCCCGGATTCAGCCCTGCGGTACCCTCCGTCGAAGATCTCTCCGCAGCCATCACTTCCACGTCCTTTATTAGGTCTTCAACCTCCCGTATGCTCTGCATAACACTCTCCTGCGCATGCCACTGCTGACTGAAAAACTTCGCTACATCACTCTGCCCGCCCCGTAACCATGGATCAATCAGTACATGGTAAAAGACCCTGCTCCGCTCGCGGATCGGTGTGGAATGTTCCGACACGGGGCGAGGTAGGGAAAGGAGCCATGTTGTGTCTGCGTTCAGGTGCGTGAGGAGCGGCCGGCCGCTTGAAAGTGTGCTGCTTAAGCATATCGAATCTAGTAGAGCCTGAACTATAGGAGGGCGATCATGATCTCGGCCATTATCGTGGATCTTGAGACTGATGTTTTGTAAAGTAGGAGTGGATGTCATTCTTGTGACGTTGGTTTAAGGAATTACAGGGTGGGACAGAAATCTTGCGCCGGAGGAGGGCTGAGAGTGTAGCGCAGATGTAGACATAGTCGAGGCGTTGAGCTATAAGTATTTTGCCTTGACACGGATGGTGAAAGCTTGTCGATGTTCAGGGTAGCTTCGTGACGTTGGAGGTCTCAGGGGCATAAACAGGGGCAAGGGCGGGGGCTGTGGGGTGGGATACTCGGGTAATAGCCCCTGAAGGAGATGTAACTGTTGTATCACGCGTATAAAACTCTGCTGGCATATAGCCTAGGTAGATAATTGTTATAAGAATATATCTCTTTCTCGCCGTAATGTAAAACCTTTTTCCAAATATTAAAAGAAAGGGAGAAAAACGTAGACAGCGATAGGTGTTTTGCATACCTAGTATTCAAATTAGGTGGGGTCACTACCACGAAATAGACCATCAAATGAAAATAATGGCCTCTGTTGAATCATTCATAGTAGAACCTAAGAGCTTGAGGATTGTTCCTCGTTTTGAGAGGGGTGGAAGGAGGAGCCGCAAGTGGTATTTTTCGGGGATAGCTATAGATCGATCATAATACCAACAGGCTGGTATATGTCTGACATCCAAGAGTAGAAAACGATATTGAAAATCCAAGGTAGGTTTTTCATCTATTCAAGCAACGCATGTTATTTAAACAGCTAAGAAATCAAAAATCTTCTTCACTGCCCGCTCATCTCCTGCGTACGTTTCCATCAACTCTGCATCGACCCAGCCATCCGTAAAGCCACCCCTGAAATCAACTAAACAGCAATCATCAGTTTCGGAATTAATCAGAACATTTTGCACCTTCCCATCACCCCATAATACGCCGATCTCATGTAGCAAGCTGATATCTTGCCTAATCTGCTCTGCCTACTTCTGCCTGCGATCGCTGGCAACGGTTGTAATATTCCCCTTAAGCCCACCTAATGTAGACGTGTGTAGAATGTACTCTTCCAAGGTCCCAATAATTCCATTATCATCAACAGCAAACCTGATTAGTTTAGGCACCCTGATAGAAGATGAGTATTTAGATACTGCAACCCTCTGCAAGTACTCGTATTCTCGACACACTGCCTTTCCGTACACAGGCGCCCCAATCTTACAGCACATTTCCTGCCCGCTGACCGAGACTTTGGCTGTATAGTAAGTACCTAGAAAACTTTTGGTGATGGAAATCTCTCTTGCTGAGTATCTCGGCAAATCTAATATGTCGTCGATGGCGAGATAAAAAGAGCTGTCTGTTGATCGAAGCTTTCTTGTATGATGTCCGTATTTCCTCTAGTAACAAGATGGAAATAGAAGGTTTCTGGATTAAGGGCGGAGTGCAGAGTCAGGGGTGCCGAAGACCCTTTTCGACCGTAGGCGCCAACTGGGCAAATATCTGCCACCCTGCTTCGTAGATCATATTATCGATTTCATCTTGAGCACTTTGTATGCCGTCCTCATCATCCGCTAGAACGGCTTCGCTGTATTGGGAGAGAAGTGATGTTGCTCGGTCGTCTGGATAGGAGCCTGGACAAACTGTCACCACAAGGCATTTGCCGTTACAGATGATAGTAAAGTCGTGGCCGTGTCCAATTTCCCCTCTGATCTCTTGGACGCTGTAGCGGAGATGCTACTCCCACTGAGCTTTGCCCTCATCAAGTTCCATAATTTTGATCTAAGGGCTAGATTGAGGACAGGTGATAACTTTTTGCAACGTGGATCTCGTTCGAATAGCGAGAGCGTGCGGTCAGGTATGTTATTCTAAGTCACTCTCCCGAGGAGCGGTGTAAATACGCATGATTAATTCCTAGGGTTTCGGACCCCCAGTAACGTAGTTGGATCCCTTCTCTACGGAGGTCGCGGCTATACGTTTGGAGAATACAGGTTGTCTATAGCCTCTCTACATTGATAACATGCAGACACAGAAACTATATATATCAAGTTTATCTATCTCCTCGCGCTACATACAATATTCTCCTTTTTTCGTCAGGACGTCTAGCCATATCCCAGAATCCATCCATCAACCTCACGTCTTGCCAATTATTGTTATCACTATACAAAGGACAAAAGGAAGCAAGTCAAAAAAACAACCGCGACAAAGCAAACAACAAGGGGTATTATATTTACGAAAAGAGTAATATAAGAGTCAGTTTGCGGGAAACTCGGCTTGCTGCTCGCTGTCCTTTCCTCCTCCTGCTGCAAAGGCAAAGGATGCTAAGCTAAGCGCAGAACTAGACAATACAATAAGATACACACATCAAACTATGGGACGATTTCCCTTCCTTGCACCGCCAACTAACTTGCTCCTCCCAACAAAACCCCTCTGAAAAACTCCAACACCGAAATGAATCTCACAGCAGCCGTAATCCGCCCTTCTTTCTGTTTGTTCATTCTAAGCCATTATTAAAGTAGGTGGTGAAGCAGTGTTTCGAATCTGTTCGTTTCCTCTCGAGGAACAGTTAAGCAGCAACCTTCACTCCCACATCCTTGAAAATATGACGAATTAATATTGGTTTCCATCCAATCTAACACATATGATCACCTCACAACATGTATGGTTCTCATGTCTGAGGCTGGCTTCTAGCAGATCATCGTTCTCCGCCTCGGCTTCTTCCTAGCCTCCTAAAAGCATCCATTACTTTCCGCGCTGCGGAACTCGTCCCGGCATGATCCACGTGCGTTGGTCGGTATCCATTGCTAACTTCTTGATCATATGCATCAGTGAACTTGCGGTTGTTCTTCTGCAACACTCCCCGCCCATTGCCTCCTCTACTAGTCGCCGCCGGCCGGTGATCGGTCTCGTACGCATTAAACCCAGTAGGATAGGCTCCGGCGCCGCGTTGGTTCTGGAAATCGGTGAGTGACGACTCGGATTCCGTGGTTAGCCCTGCCTCCTCTTGTCGGAAGTTTAGAGGCGGAAGGAATTGAGGGGGCGCCCCAGAGCGAGGATCTGAGGCCTGGCCATGGGATGCGTATCGAGGTTGGGCTGGGATAGCAGTGGCAGGTCCACGATAATCTTGCACGGGACTGTCACGCTGGTAGTCATATGAGCCATCAGCAGTAGAGGGGTGAATGGCAGTGGCGCCGCTAATATTGCGAGTCGGGTCGGTACGGGCGGACTGGGGAGGTCCTAGGTAGTTCCCCCGGCTGTTAGGACGCGAGTCGAATTGTTGATCTGAAGCCGGAGCCCCAGGTGTCACGTAATCCTTACCGATCCCGATGGCTTTCAGCGAAAAACCAGACGGAAGTAGAGAGAACCTTCGCGGCTTCTCCTGAAGAGTAGTTTGCGATCCTGTCATGCTCCCGCTTCGCTTCTTACCAAATCCAAATGATATTGACCGGCGAGAATCCATCGATTGTCTAGGAGTATCCGTTTGGCCATGGCCTATTGCACCGGACATGCTAACTGGTGGGTATTTCTTTTGCTTTTCAGGTCTATCTTGCCCGAGTTCTACATCTTTCCGTCCAGATTTCCCTCCGAAGACAGAGTTGCTTCTGCTGAAGAAACCGCCAATTGTATTTGACCTCTTGTGCCCTTTTTGCTCAGGAACCGCGGCCCCTTCCTGGAGACCTGCCACCTTTGCAAATTTGGCTGGAACTCGGCGGGAGTCGGGACGGCCATATTCATCACCATCCTGCATCGCTTGGCCCGAGATGTTATAATTCTGCGGCTGTGACATCCGTCCATGTGCGTTGGTTCCAGCTACTGTGGGCGCCGCAGGCTGACTATACGAGCCGCGGTTGTTGAGTGGTAGCGTTCCTGGTCGACTTCCCGTAGATGTCATCGAGCCTCCAGTGTTTGGGCGAGCAATTGATACTGGGGGGCCGGCTAGACTCGCTATATGAGCGTGATCAGAAACGGACCGAGGTGGCTCTCGCCCAGGGCGGGATGGTGGAGGCATGCCCTGTTGGCGTTGGGAGCTTGATGGCCGCCTTGCCTGATTGGAATATTGCGCATCTCGAGACTTTGGAGGATCTTGTGGCAGGGGTTTTTCAACAGACACAGTCCTTCTGCTTGTGGGTTGTATCGGTTGCACTTCGACTGGGCCTCCACTGCCAGCACGAGCCCGTGTCCTTGATGGTCCTGATGGCGCGGTGGCAGTCGTCTGCTCTCCACGTTGTGTTTGTGATCGAGGTGCGACATATTCCACTTGAACGGTCCTCCGTTTGTTGTCCTTCTGAGGCTTGGGGTGCGCCTCACTGGCATCCGGATCCAAATTCCCATGCTTCCTGCTGAGGTCACCAACAGCTGGTGGACTCTTCTGTGTTTTCGATGGCTCTCTGACGGAAGCGCTCCTCGCGAGGTGAGGTGCTTCTTGCTGATCTATAGTGCCAATGCTTGCCTTGGCAATGTCTTGGGTGGTAGAAGTGCTGCTAGTAATGAAGCCCACCACATGAGAATACTCGCTCAACCAACTATGTCTTGCGACTTCAAAGAGATCTGCACGTTTTCGCGGATCCGGGACAAGGATGCGTCGGAGAAGGTCGCGCGCGTGAGGTGTTACATACTCGGGGAAGGTGAGAGGTGTCGACACGATATATTTATAGAGGAGGTTGATGTTGTCGCCTTCGGGATTGGCTGGATCATCGTCAAAGGGGAGGTAGCCAGCTAGCATTGCATACTACTATATGTCAGCGAAATACCTCTAGGAATAGATCAAGACTCACTAATATAACACCACAGCTCCATACGTCAACTTTGCGGCCGGTATACAGCGAGTCGCTTACGACAAGTTCTGGGGCAGCATAGCAGGGACTTCCACAACTGGTCTGCATCAAGTCGCCTCGCCTGTACCCGTTCGGCAGGATCTTATCAAGATCCATTCTCTTCACAAAGTCTCGACTGGAGAGGTTGTATTCAATTTCTTCTCCCAATTCGTCATCTGCGCTAAAGGTATTGGCGAACCCGAAGTCGGTTATGATGATGTTCCGGTTGCGATCGAGGAGTAAGTTCTCAAGCTTAAGATCTCGGTGAACAATCCCCTTCTTATGCAGATATCCCACGCCTGATACCAATTGCGCAAAGAGCCGGCGGGCAGCATTATCTTTCAAATACCGGTGATTGAGAATATAGTCGAACAGCTCTCCGCCAGAAGCGTACTCCAAGATTATACCAATCTGTTTTTCCGTCTCAACCATCTCATGTAATCGTACAATATTCGGATGGGATATCTCGCGGAGGATAGCGATCTCACGGTAGATCTTTGCAAGTCTAGTGGGATTGGTGCCGACGCTGTCGCGGCGAATAAGCTTGATAGCCACCTTTCAATGATATGTTAGTTGACCGTTCTAAAAGCCTGCGAATACCAAATCTCACCTGTACGCCACCTTCCTGCTTCCACCCCATCTTGACTTTTCCAAACTCGCCTTCTCCCAGAGTATTACCTAAGTAGTAGTCGCCGAACTTGCTATTCTTCTCCCGCTTGCTAGAGCTGTGGTCATGCCGGCTGCGGCTAGTCCCTCGTCTCTCATCATCAATGCCTTCACTACCCACAACGGCCAACCCCCCTCTGGGGATAGCTTGGGATGCTGGAGAAGATGGCACAGCTTCTGCCATACGCTCACGTTCCCTGTCTATGTCGACTTCAGGTTTACTAACAACCACGCGGTTCAAAATCTCGCCTCCGTCTCTCGATACGCCGCTTGATGAGTGTGCTCTCCCTGCTGATGGTCTTTGTGCTGGTGAGGCCTGTCCTGACCGGGAGTCTCGAGTTCCGCTGGGTCTATGGGGAAGGGCTTCGCCCGACTGTGGTTGTGCCCTTCGTCTAGCGCGGCTAGCAGCTGCTGGATCATCCGGCCCTCTATCAGCCCCATTTACTTGTGTATTGCCATTGCTTCGCTGCCTATCTTCCCGATCCTTATCCCTATCCTGCCGGCCTTCGCGGGATGATATTCGTGGAGACGTCGTAGACTCAGGGGCGTATCTCTCCCTTCTCGAGCTTCGCTCAGTGGCTGCCGCATTCGCATGCACCGCGTTTCGGTTGGAAGACGTCCGAGGCGAGACGACTGGCGGCACGCCGCGTTGATGATCCCCTGGGGCCATCATGGCTGGGTAGCCTGTTGCAGGACTCGCTGCTGTCGTAACTGGGGAAGATGCGTGACTCGAGGGATTTGCGACTCGGCTCGTCATCGATGCGGCATTCGCGGCAGTGCCCGAGGACGAGTGATAGTATGCTTGAACTTCTTCGTCTTGTTGTTGTTGTTGTGGGTTATTATTATTATTCGATGCGCCATTGCCGCTGGGTCGTCTACTGGTTCGCCGGTTTGACGACGGAGACGCGTTCGAAGCGGTTTGACTGTAGTAGGGATCGCGCGGCTGCGAGGGTGCCGATGTATATGCCCTGTTCGAAGACGCTGCTGTTGCTGGCACGGGAGAATGCGATGAGACAGTTGTCGGTTGATGAGGTGCTGTTTGCAGCGCAGCGGAAGACATCTCTTCACACCAGGCGCACCGGCGGAACAGTGATTGTTGTGTTAATTGACCACGCTCACTTGCAACGGGGGTTCAATCTTGACGCTGCTGCGACTGTAGCAGCACTTTCCACCCGTTGTGTATAGTTTAGAAGCGGTCGCCTTGATCACCAATAGTGCGGGCCCGCTCTCATCGTGCGACTCCCAATTGTCGAGGTTGGGCGCTGATTGCAGATGGCGGATTGTTGGTGAGGCTGGACGAGGTCGTTCTCGCTCCGGATCCCTATCACAACACGCGGGTGCCGGCGTATCCTTAGAGTCTTCGTCTGGTGCTGGAAGGGTCAATTGGCAACGGACGCGTTGGCAGTGGAGTGACGAGGTGGAGGCTGACACTGAGACGGCGTGAGTGGATTCGGGACGGGTCGAGGGACTTGGGGATGGCGGCGGGTAGGGGGAATAATGGCGACGTCGACGGCGACAACGAAGGTGAAGACGGTGAAGAGGACGAGCGGCCAGAGGTGAGGATGGCGTTGAGGCTCCTCTGTAGCGACGCAATTCACTAGAGCAGGTACTCGGAAGCAGGAGAGAAGTCGGGATCAGAAATCAGCAGCCTGCAGAAGCGCAGACACCGCAGGACTCGCGGGTGTTCTTCTGGTCTCGTCTGGCTTTAGCTGCTGGCTGCTGGCTGCTGCTGCTGCTGTTGTCGCTGGTGGTGCTTGGAGCTGTAATTTCCTTTTCGCGACTTAGCGAGGTTTGAGACGGAAAAAGGGGAAGGCGAAAGCCGTTGGTGCGCGACGGTAACAGCGACAACACGTTTTGCAACTTGAACTTGGACTATAATGCAAGACGTAGATGGATATTTAGGTGCTACCGGCAGTACTAGGTAAGGTACCTAGGTATTGCGCATCATGAGGTACCTAGGTTATAATATCATGGCATTGCCACGAAGTATACTCGGTCGTTATCGACACCTCCGTTGCTTGTGCGTACCTTGCAGGCTACTAACTGTATGAGAGAGATACGAAGTACAGCGGCCAGCTTCCTCCAACTTTCAGGATCCCATCTAGGCACTCATTATTGCAGCACGGAGTGGTCGAGTAATAAATACACAGTTGGTCAAGACGAACGAGGCTTTGGAACTGGATAATTGACACCTGATTGAAAGATGCATCCTCTACCCAAAACTCCAAATTCCACATCTCCATACAGCACAGTACGTAGCAATACGGTGCAACGGCAGTATCCGGGCAGCAACAGAAACATCGCATAAACATTCAGTCATTTGTTTACCAGCTCGCATGACGTGTCAATATGTAATGACAATCCTCTCCCTCCCGTCGAAAAAGGATCCAGATCCAGATCGAGATCAGATCCTTACATCCCGCCATTGGCTATGCGTCCCCGAAGGAAGCCTTATATGGTGAAACATCCATCGAAGAAAAAGGCATGATCGAGTACTGATAGGCCGTCCACCAGCCACCCACCGACTGCTGTCAGATTATACTTGCAACAATGTCTCACCAACCCGTTCACCTTTTCTACCTAATGAATACGTCTCCCTTTCTCGGTGCATACCGAGTATTCTTGCGACGAGAATGGCAATCTGGCTTGACCGACTGGTGCATTAACACCGGAAATGAGGCGTTCGTGATTCGCATGGAACGGTTTATGGCCCAACCCAATAAGGCGCCGCGCCGCTGGTTGGATCCGCACTCGACTTGGACTTGTTAAATAAGTTCTTACTCGATATATGATGCATAGTGCTTCGTATCATACGTAGTGTTCTGGGCACTTTGTTTTGTTTCGATTTGTTTCTATTTTGGGCTCTCTTGCTAGCCGCTATTGTTTCGATTCCAGCCTCGAAGAGCTAACACTTGGTGGCGCCGGGAGGCCAGCGTAATAATAAGCCATCTCCTCAATCTTTAGCTACGAGTGCCGTACTATGTATTGTTGATCTCATAACCTGGTAATCGGAGCAATGATAAAATAATACTTCATATGTTTTTTCTTGCAACCGTTATGCAGCCTCGCCAGCCTCGGCCCTCGAGAGACTGGATTGGGCACTTCGTAATGGCGACGGCTGCTTGCTTGCGTGCGTTCTCGATTATTTCGGCAAATCAAACGTGCTGGCGCGCTTGTGAACGGATGTTTGCAATACTCGAGAGCTTGTATCGATGAAACAAACTACACCAAGTACCTTTGCCGCAACGGCTGCCCGACGGCATAAACCAGGACTCTAAAACCTAGCTTTTCGGAGATGATTGATGGAAATCTCCACATTAAGGTAGCGCAGCTATTCTGGGATATTTGCCACGGATAAACTACACGGCGAAAGCTGGCCTCCGGATTACCTCACATCTGGCCAGTCTCCGCGAGCAAACGCTGAGCCGGTGCTAACTCGAGAATCGTATACTCCGCAGAATTGTCTTCTTGTGATCCCGAGTTGATGTCATCTTCCTTAATCCGGGCCGTAGGGCATAAATCATCTATGGATATCACGGACCTTCTCATTAAACTGCCTTCTAGAAGACCAAACGCCAGAGTAAGAATGCGCCGCGCAGGTACGGGAACGCCGATAGTTTGGTTGCACAGAGTATAAACATGGTAGATCTATATCTGCCTTACATTTTAATCGAGACATCAAACACATCTAGTCCGACCGCCAGACCCGACAACACTAACGAGTATACGAATAATATACCCATGGCCTCTAGGCTACTCACGTGCAGTGTCGGAATAGTCAAGTTGATGAGGCCAGTCAGCAGGTTTGCCACCAGGAAGAGTGCTAGGCCGTTCCTGTTGAATGCATCAAGTACTCTGCTCGTGGATGTTTCATACGCCTCCTTCTCTGCTTTTGCATCGGTGCTCTTGTAATTTTGTGGAAAGAAAATCGTTTCCACCAAACAAAACGCGGTAATCTGAGAGCAGTTGAATGCGCAGGTCCAGAGGATATATGGCAGATTCGCAAGCCGCCGAGATACGCTGAGGTTGAATCCGTAGGTGTAATTTGTAGTCAAACAATACAGGGCGATCCACACAACGGACCAGGCCGACAGCGTGAGCAGGAGCCTCTTCCGTTGAGCAACTCCTGATGCAGCGCTGGAAGTACTTCGAGGGAGAACAAACATGCCGGTAGACTGGCCCGCAAGGAATATTGCAAGATAACCAAAGAAGCTGAAAATACCCTCTCGATTTTTTGAGAGTAGGTTCGTTCTTGGTGCGGTCAAGACATAGCTTGTCAAATCGGTAGAATCCAAAACGATTTGGTATGCCGTGCCAAGAAGGATCGCTAATCCCGCATACGAAGGCAAAAACTGGAATGCTGTCTGAAAAAGAGCAAGGAATGGAGGCAAAAGCCCCATCGTGAAGAAGAAGTTCCAATGAACCCCATACTCCGTCACATGCTCGGCATAATCTAAGCCCTTAACAGTGTACAGCCTGACAAGGCCGAGAACTATCAGCGGCAGAGAATGACGCACTGAGCCATACAGCCGGGTGGAGAGCGGCATTGCCTTGCCGGTCAACTGTTCCTTGAGGAGTGTTCGGGCGGCCACAACGCCTCCAGAGAACACAAACGAGCCTACTCCCACATCCATCAGAGACGTGCCCCAAGTCTCGACCTTTGCGAATCTTCGCGGGAAGATCCGAAAGTCAACTGCGAGGATGGCGACGCATGTGACTACCAACATCGCCCCTCGGTATATAGTTACGAAAGGCTTCTTCGGGAGCGGGTTCTCGACCTCGGCCTTCTTGGTCTGTTTCTGTTTCGAAGGTGGCACTTTCGCTTTCTTCGCCGAGTGCGGTCTTGGGATAGCATAGATGGCGGCGACTGGGGCAACGAGGAGGATGTTTAGGAGGGCGGGCTTGTTTGAGTAAAGTGTGATAGCTAGAAGAATAGCACAGACGTTCAAAAGGAAGTCGACAGCGAAGGCGAGCGGGGTGTATGGCTTGAAGAACGATTGCCGTGACTGAAGTGCCGACCAGAGAACAAGAGCTGACTTCCTCCATATTAGATGCGACAGTTCGGCATGGAGGGCTGGACAGGACACGAAGGCCAGAGGCAAACTTACTGGAGCAACTCCCGTAACCCAATTGATTTCCCCAATCTCCCCACCAGCCAAATTCGAGACGAAATCCTCTTTTAAGCTTTTATAGGAGGCAGCCATGGCTGCTGCAGCTGCCCGTGACATTGTGCTTAAAAAATCTCCGTTCAATGGGGAATCGTCGTCATCCGTCAAAGTCTCAAAAGCATAGCTGTGATGTTTTGATGATGCCAGAAATCACTCGCAGCGTCGTGTAGCCGAGGGATGGGAAAGGGGTCCGAGTGGCTAACTGTCGGCCTTACCCGAAGCGGCCTAGAGCTGACCAACGGTTGTTGACATATCATCCATCTCGGTCTGTTTCTTTGTTCACCATCGTCACATCACGGATTCCGACCTTCACGCGGTCCCCAGATCTGCAAATCCTTCGTGGGGTTTTCTCCACTCGGCCGTAACCCGGGGATGCTGACCTGATTCACGCAATCCGGCAAGTGTGTGAACAAAGCAGCCGACCGTGTCTGCCTGCGTCAGCAGTACCCACCCACTGGTGAGGAATGTGTTCTCAAAGAATTTGTCTCTTTGAAGTTTCGTCTTACAGTGTGGCTGCGGGTGGCTTCGCACATCCTGACGCGGGTTTCCATTGCAGCGGTATCAGCTATCGGCAGGATATGCAAGGTATCCATATCCAACCACAGGATCTGTTGGCCAGAAGCTTTTGGAATTTGGTAGTAATAGCGTCCTCGTCGTCGGCTATTGTCAGTAAGGGTTTGGAAGACCAAACGGCGCCAAGTGGCCATCGTCAAGTCATGACTCAGATAAGACACGATCTGCTTCAAGGCAATATTTTCTTTGCAACCGGTTTCCTTTGTCCGAAGTTCTGCAACGAGCCATATGTGAGGTATGGCGCTTAAAGTCGCAACATAATGACGTTAGTTACTTCCTTTGTATTGTCTCCTTTTCATGTATTAACTGTGCCCTCTCGTCCCTTTATTTTTTTCTCTTCACCTCTCGGTTAATCCCCATTCTGCACATCCTCTATCTCCCTTGCTATCAGAGCTGTACGAATCCACCTTCACACCTAAAGATAATCGTATCTCTTCCCAAGCAGCATTCAATAAAAGGTGTCTACTCCTCCGCGGCAGGACGTACAAAGTTTCACAGTGAACATTTCCCCTTCACCGGAAGAACAGTCTACTTGGTGTAGGCCAGCAAAATAAAATACCGTCCTAGGTGGCATCCATCTGCTAGAGTACCAGCCATGGCTCGAAGACAACACAGCCAGCTCCGTCCAGTCAAAACCAGCATTGTGGCCTCGCCAGTGTCCAAAAGATGGGCTTCAAGTGCCGGCTCGCCGATCGCGATGAGCTCCGTCCCCTTTCCAAGCCCGACTATTGTGGCAGCTCGTGCCTTCTATCTTGAACAGGAAGCAGCACTGGGTCTAAGTCCGTGTGCTCTCCAACGGCGTCAAAGCTCATATGAAGCATACCAGTTCCCAAGGCGGCATTCTGCTGTGGCTGTGCCTGCCGACCTGGCGGTGCGGTTAGCAACCTTCACATTCGCTTCCCCGACGTTGCAAACGGTCACAGAAATATCAGAGAAGGAGTCTAAATTCAAAGCCGAGGAATCGGATGACGTCCAAATGACCAGCGACGAGATCAGGCAGAATGACCTTGTTAAGATCAGGGCAATTACATCTAGAAGATCCTCGACCGTCTCTACAAGTTCCGCCCGAGATGTACCATTTCTCTATATCCATGACCGTCTACGGGACTGGGGAAGTGTGTATCTCGGAAATGTTGCAACTGCAGATGTCTTTGTCAATGCTGTGAGTCTCCGTCTGCCCAGCATGACTTCTGTCAGTGAGGAAGAGGCGGAAGCAAAATCTGCTTCATCGAATCTCGTCACAATACGGGCAAGGGTCTTGCCAAAGGCCAAGGAGCGAAAACCCTTTATAATCCAAAGGCAATTTGACATTGATGAGCTTCGGAAAAGCATACCCTCTATTCCGAGGTCAAAATCCGAAGAACCCACGCCTCGCCTTAGGCGCTCAAGTCGACACCGCCGAACTGCAGCACTGCAGGCCGGGAATGGTGGGCAACGAAGGAATAGTGAGTACCGTCATGAGGAGAAATTGTCCTCTCTCGGGAAAGGCGCAGTGCCACTTCGTAAGTGATTTGGATTACCCTCTCTAAAGTTATATACTGACTCCCACCTCTCAGATGTTGAATACGCTCTCCATTACCTCCCCGTTCTCGGTGCATTACTACTTTCCGGCCACGTGCGAAAAGGGGACTCGGTCGATCTGCCTATACCACGCCCTGAAGTGTGGCCTGAGGTCGTCTCCTACATTTATACCAGCCAACCGGCGCTCACCGCTGCCATGAAGGAAAACATTCTTTTTTTGGCTGGTAATTGCTCTGGTTGATGGTGTTATCGATGCTTGTGAGGTGTTTCCAGGAGGGTTAAAGCAGCTGCATAATGGCGACTCGTTTGATATTTTGTTGATGCCTTGTTAAAAGGAACTGCAATACCGGCAGAGTGAAGGATTTGCGGGAAAACCCCTGGTGATTCTTTCCTCCACAGAGCGGCACTGTATGGTCACCAGGATATCTTCCAGTTTCCTATGGGGGTCGATGTACACGCGAGGACTTGGATAGGAGGAAAGGTTGAAATGAGCAGAAGGTTATCGTGATTGACACCAAGTGGTGTAATTTTATCTGTATATTTTTATCACAAAAATAGCGGGATCATTCTACAGGCGAGTTGAGGAATGGGTTTCAATATTTCTCATGATTCATGATTCCATATTAACAGTTTAAACTATTATAATCGCCGCTTAATGTATTACTCTGCCTACATGCAGATATTTTTACTCCTTTTCCCATTTACGCCAACCCGCCAAACTATCGTCACAGAAATGCCGTCCTTAAAGGTATCACACAACCCAACAGTACATATGTTGTCGTCTTTCAGACTCGGTAGGATAGGGTTTTAGCTAATGCAGGTCAACTCTGGCTCGCAACAGCAGTGATGATGCTCATAAACGAATGTCCCAAATAGGATAGTTATAAAAATCACATGTGATTTAAGTAAAGGGACGAGGAGATGATAAGTTTAACAAGCCGGGAACAAAGAAGGGCAAGTTGGAAGAGAAGGATCAGATTCAAACCAGGCTGAGTGTAAGACATAAGTATCAAAGATCGAGTTAGGCAAGGCAATCTAAAAAAACTCGAAATCGAGAGGGGAAAGCACATATAAACATCTCCTCCACTACCTACAGGGTCTACCTAAGATATGTACATGTGTACAGTACATGTACATGTACTGTACTGTACTGTAACGTACTGTACATCTTGACTAAGCACCGTCCACTTACAGTCTAACGAACTTCATGCGATTTAAACGCGCTACCGCTGCACCACCCAAATCGGTGGATTCATCACAAGCTAACCAACAGTCCGCTCCAAACAAGACTGCTTGGCTGTACGAAGTAGAGTGAAATTAATCCGTCGGCCTCATTTCCCAAGCCACAGCGCGCTTACATTCCCGATCTCCACCGTAGCCGTGCATAGCTATAGCATGGATTGCGCGAGTAGTTTTGGCAAGTTCGGGGAATCATTTTCCTGCTTTACCGGCCGGTGCCGGGTTTATGCGCGGGTGGGGAAGGTTGCGGAACACTCATGTTAAAAGAGGGCATTGGGGAGGAAATTGCTTATCATAGAGTTATTAGTGTTTCGAAGGGAATCTTGACTAGGAATGACAGGAAATAGCACGGGCACGAAGCCCGAACGGAATGAATTGGTGAGAGAGTGTGGTTAGCAGTGCCTCTATAATAACAAATTAACAAATCCAACCAACCAACCAACATGTGATAAGGGACGAGCGTGCTCCGTAGGTATGTACGAGTAGTGTACCTTACTTCGCACAATACGGTAATACCAGGGAGAGCGATTGCCAGCGCTAGACCTAGTGGGCTCGAAAATACCCCGCAATCACCAACGGTCAGGGCTCTGGGATCGCTCTCTGACACCGACAGCGATGACACGCAGCGTATCGGCTTGGCGGGTGGGGAATTCTCGCGGAGTCGGTGATCGAGGCCCTTGGTTTGGATCGTGGTGCGGCACTGTCGGATTATCTTTAACGGAGATCGATTGCTTGGGCGGGTTGGTGGCTGAGGGTTGTGCTGGGATCGGATGTTGGAGGTTGTTGGTTGGGAAGAACCAAGCAGGATGCACCCTTACGGAGTACCTTGACTCTTACGCAAAAAAATAAGGCTATGTGAAAGGCACCTCAAGAGCCTACCTAAATGGCCCCTAAGAATTCAAGTACGGCGATGTCCGTATGATCAGAGAGGTAGAGAGGAAGGCAACGCAAACGGGAGCCCGGATTAGATCTAGTCGATCACGTCGTTGTGGGAGGTAATTACAACAACCTAGTGCTTACTTACACTCATAGGGATTCAAGCTATTAATAAGTCCGAAAATTGCAGTAACTAGACCTTTATTGATCTATCATGTTTCGGCCCCTCTTTCTCAGCCATATATGTACGCAGTAATAAGTACTGGTGGTACTACCTCGTAGATACGGAAGTTGTAACACCAGTCACTTGGTGATGAGCGACAATTGTATACCTTATCTACGTACTAATAATAACGCCAACAACTAGAGCTCCGCTTTATGAAGAAGATCAAAACCGGATTAATTAATAAAGTCAGTGCGGATTCCGCGCCGGGCCCACCAGCCGTTAGTGAGATTGATATTGGTCAAAGCATTCGCGCGTCTGCCCACAGCTAAGCCTAATCCTAATCCTAATCCGCACATGCTTGCGATAAGGGGGCTAATCCTGCCGTTTGCAAATTAGAGCTTAATTGCCCAATATGAAGCTATTCGGGAGGGTGGTCATCTCCGTACACGATCTCCGCGGCCGTGTCCTTTTCACTTGCTGCCCATTATCGTCATAAGCAGCAACTGCACCGTTACGCTGTGACATACGTAAACTTAATCTGTCGCCGGCCAATGGCAACTTACATATGCAGGTCCCTCCGATCTGAGCTTGGTACATGTTTCTTTGCTGCGCAGGCCGGCCGACTGCTCGAGTCAAGCCTGCATGAACATGGTCTGGGAAATAATGATTTACATGACATGACATGGCGCAGCAGGGAATGGGTGCATAGCACATGCATGCGTAGCTAGAACCTCCCTCCTCGTGTAGCGTTTGGCAGCCAAGGAGGTTAGAAGGCAAATGGGGGCTGCAAGGTGGGATGGATGGTGCCACTGTCATGCCCATTACTTGATTTTGTACGAAAGCCCGTTCCAAGTATTCGAGAATTGGAGCTGCCTAGGCTGGCGAAACTGAGCTGGAAACAGGATCACCTTCAATATCGCCGGACCTCGTACTTGGTCCAGTTTCATTTCCGGAATTCTTAAGCCACAAGACTTCCCCAGAGCAGTAGGAGTCTCGGCAGGGGCAAAAATGCGGGGACTAGCTTCGTGGTCAAGAAATGATATCATTTCCGGACGCCTTTATGGTGGAACCAGGCCCTTATCTTTCTCATTGGGGAGCCAAACCCCTTCAAGATTCTTTGACAGATACTGTATCCCGAAGTACTCCCTTGTGGAACTGGCGGAGCTCTGGGGGGGACGGTGGCGGTTGAACGGTTCGTATAGATAATGGCTTACATAGACAATATATGTCGGGTTTCTTTCGCTTGAAGCGCCCACTTTCATGCGGCTGTTGGGGTGCAAGTTGTGGAACGTCGTGTAGTTCGATGGTGCATATAAATGGCGCCCGATGACGAGATCTCCTTTGGAACGATGCGGAATAAGGAATAGTGAACTTAGTAGGGGCAAACTTTTCCAGCATTCCCAGCATTCCCAGCAATACCAACCAACAACTGGTTCTAGATCTTTTTGTCTCATCCAGGCTGGGCGACAACTTCTTCGGCCGTTGTGGTATACCGACAGCGCCCCGGAATATCGGGGATTCACACAAGAGACCATCCAACGGACTCGGCGTAGATTAGCCGCGGCCCGACCATTGGAGGAAACGGGAATGGAGGCCGAAGCTCCAGTTCAGCCTGTGCGCCGAGGTATCTTTAGATTCGGCGATGTGTGTCGTTGAAGGGGGCGGCATGAGGCAGACGGTAAGGGAAAGGACAGAATTCGAGCCATCATATTCACATGTTGAATGTGGGTCTTTTCTGCAAGAGAGCGCGGGGGAACGCTATATATATTGAAGAAATAGATAGATGGGGGTTGGCGGTGGTGGTGGGACATTATTGATTGTGGGTTGGGACGAGTTTAAGACACACCGATCAACCGTGACTGTACCAAGGTACTTTTCGAGCATATAGGGACTTGTGCGATCGTCCGGTATGCCGCTAGGGTGGTATGTGGGTAGGAAGGTGGTAAGGTGGTTAGGGCCAGATGGATGCCCCATGGAGTGGCGGACGGGGGAAGGGGATAGGGGGAAGGGGGAAGGGAAAAAGGGGGGCCGAAGCGAGTCAAAATAGGTAGAAATGTAACACCTACCAACAGCGCCAAAGATTTCCCGGTGTCCACTAAGGAGGTAGGGTTGCATAGCACTGTAGGAACAATCTCCATTCGTCCCAAGTGTACAAGTAAGTCTAGCACATCCCTATTTCGACAGCACCGTAGCACCTCAACTCAGCTACAATAGGCTTCTTGCAGTGTGCCACTCCCCTGCTTCCCCCACTACAACCCCCCCCCCCCAAGGCCTGCGTCTGCATGGCATGCAGCATGCAGTTATGCCATGTGTAGAGAGTCTGCAGGGTCGAGCCATCTAGCAGAGAGCGGGTTTGCAGGGGTGGCATATCGTTTTGCGTGTCTGGGTAACTGAGATGGATATGGATATGTACGTGTGGGACTTTGGTACCAAATATACCTTTTTTTGGATGCCATATTGAGTATTTGAAGGCTCAAAAAAAGGCTCCTGCTCAAGGTTCCCTAAAATTTTGTGCACTGTTGTTCAAGTAGTTAGTGGATTATCCATTATGTTCCTAGTATGAGCTGTTCTAAAAGGCCGTGTTGGGGAAGTCTGGGAAAGGTGTAACTGGACGGTACCCCAGCTGACGCTTGAGGTAGGAGTGATGAAGCGTGGTGCTGATGGCAAATTGTTCTTCTCATTTTTGTAGCCCACATCTCCTTTATTCCGGAGGCTCTCTATCCCGCCCCTCGTCTGGTCTATAAGGTAAGTAGACGAGTGTTTGGACAAAACCACCAGGCCTCAATTGCCAAATTTTCTATGTGACGAGAGGAACCTTTTCGAATTTCACCAGCTCAGGAAACAAAATTTTGGGTAGGAGATCTGCTGCTCAAAAGACATGCAGATGGTATCAGAAGTAGACCTGAAAGAAAACGAAAAGTGACCAAATTTTTCCTGCCTTATGGGCGCCCTGAAGAGAGAGAACCCATTTTCGCTATTAGTACCGTGGATCCTCATTATCTCGTGTCCGATCAGAGGGATCCAGAGTAGGATGAAGCAGACTCCGGGGAATGCAATGCAAATGACACCCATTTACTTCGTTCCAAACCCATCAATGCTGCCAGCAAATTCCGGCATCGCATCCATATATGCATACCAAGCCCAGGAATTTTCGCTCTCATGAATCGTTGTAAAAACATCGCGCCGAAGAATTGAAAAGATGCTAATAAACAACCAATCGGATAGAGGGTATCAGGAGTTATGCTGCACTAGCGTCCATGAGCCTCTATCGCTATCGAGCTATTAGTCGAAGTTGAATCATCATCACTAGAGTCGTTAGGATCGTAACAGTCATTACAAACACAGTCGCATTCGCCATCTGCTGCACTTTCGTCATCTGCGGCAATATCCACATCGACTGGCTTTTCAGAGGTAAACGACTTGTCGTCATTGTATCGGATTAGACCAGGGTGGTTACCCGGTGGCAAGGTGATACTCTCACTTCTCCTTGCCCTTGGGCTCATACGGTGGCTATCGTTGGCATCACCGTCTGCACGGCTACCCCAAGAGGTCTAGAAACAGGTCAGAATCCGCTGCAGTCGAGATGGGAGGATGGTCACGTGACTCACTTGGCGAAGGGTGGCAAGAGCGTAAAGTTTGATGAAGCCGTGGAAATATCCGAAGATTACGGAAATAGGCAAAAATAGTAGATCCGAAGGCTCACGCGCGAACAGTCCGATCAGCTTAACAACTTTGGTGATACACATCCAAACAAGTTGAGCAAGAACTGCGTAGAACTGGAGGTCCGCGGATAAGCCCGATGTAACTTTGAAAGTCAAGAATATTATCAGAGGGTCGAAAGCGAAAGACAAGGACGTGAATGTGGCAATATGCAAAGCATAGGTTGACCAAGGTTGTTGCCTTTCGAATTTATTAGCAATAGGGGAGGTGGCGATGGTAGCACGTTACTTACGTCCACACATGTCTCTCGGTGACAAGGCTAGTATAATTGCTTCTCCAATTGCTGCGCGCCCATCGAGAACATTGATATAGGAATTTGATATTGTTCTCAAGGGTTGTCTCGATTTCGCATTCCTTGTTGTACTGAATCCAGGTCTTCCATTGATTCGAGACCAGCCATCGGGTTACAAAGTTGTCATCGTCAGCATTCAGCTGAAATTTGCCCCATCTCTCCGTCTTGAAACCGTCCAAAAAGAGCGGACTCTGCAGGATTTCAGATCGGAAGGCGCATGTACGCCCCGACATGCACGAAGTGCCACCGTCAATGCCGTGGGTAGCTGAGATCTCAAAGTTTCGCCTCTCGATATAAGCGGCACCGAGCCAATTGAAGACGAATTCCATCACTGTGCCGGATTTGATTCGCTTTACTCTTTGGCATGGTCCAGCACCACCCACCCTACCATCTTCGAAGGGTGCAAGCAGCCAGGGGAGGATCGTACGAGGCCACGTGACATCGTCATCCGCCATGACGATCAGTGCAGTTTTCACCTTTGGAATAGCCTCACACACTTGAATACGCTTGTTTGCAATGGGAACATTGAAAACTCGAACGTTTGATGCCCCCAAGGATTTGACAAATGCTACCAGCCTTTCATACTTGTCAGAAGTTGTAACAAGCAGGAGCTCAGAGGGTTGGCATGCGAGGATGCTTTGTAAAGACTCCCTCAGCTCCTCAAAGTTGTTGTGGATTGTGGGAATGATAACAGTGACATCGTTAGCCGTGTAGGATGGCTTAGGCGGTATAGGCACGGTTCGGTAGCGCCAGTGGCTGAAGGTGTTGAAGATGAAGCGGAGGTAGCGATGAAGCCTATTAAATTGAAATTAGTCTTCAGGCTTTTGATATGGAGCCACGAACAACCACCACGTAGCAACTCAACAGAGCGAAAAGGAAATGTTGCTCTCCACGACAGATTTTGGTCTGAGTTGGTTTAGAATGAGGCCTACGAGAGTCTTGACGTACCAGAGGGTCCAAAATACCCATTTGGATTGCAGTAGAAACTGAATGGTCGACATCTTGGACAAGGCCGTTCGGGGATGATGACCGGCGAGGAAGATTCTAGGTCGAGGGTGACAGACACGCCCAAGTTGGGACTCACGGGGTCTGAGGGGCAAGGGAGGGTGATGGACCGCAGTTAAATTGCCACGGTGGGATGCTTAATCGAGAGGCAAATATATATTTTAGTCATAGGTTGGACTCGAGAGGGTTCGTAGTCAGGTGAAGACGGCTATCCTTTCTTGTGGTTGGCTCCTCGACAAAAGGTGAACTGCAAGTTACTCCCCTTGTTGCTTGTGTGTATCGGCTATCGTCTTGAGCTGGGACCATGTGAGAGACCAGAGCAGGCACGAGGAGGCTGAATATTTATTCTGGAGGTACCGGAAGACGTTCTGGGGAGACGAGACCGGGAAAAACCAGGGGGTGTAGTGATGCTGTTTGTGGTTGGAAGTGCTAGTCGTTGAGTGGAATGGAGGACGATTCCGCACTCTGTCCGTCTGGGGTTCGGGATTTTTATGCAACAATGTCCAGAAATGCAATTGAGTTCTAGTGGGTTTTTGGATTTTCACTGGATCCAGCCGTGAAATTTGGGGAAGACCCTCGGATGCAATGCTGCGCGGTGGCCGAATGATCTGACGACGAGGAAGACAACAACGAAGGATAAGGTATGGGAGGGCCTGATAAGGACTCCGCCACCAACAACACAACACTGACTGACACCGGGGGATATTATGCAACGAAGGACTGAGAGTAAAGATTACCAAAAGACCGGAATGTCCATGTGCCCGTGTTTCCAATGGGTAGGTGTAATGTAATGTACAGGCGCCGTATCGGCAACGACGTGGGAAGATGGGGATAGTAGGAAGGATGGCAAAATGTCAAATCACCTGGACTGCTCCTGGATCTGGATTCTGATGTGATCTGTTGAGGGTCTCGACTTGAACTATATAGTTCAGCCACGGGCGCAGGCCCAAGAGTCGAGGCATCTAGGAAGCGGGCGCGAACCCGATAAGTCATATTTTTTTAATGGTAAGGTAGAGTAGCTCGGAGGTTAGGACAGAGGCAGAAGTTTCAGGGATCGAGATGGGGGGAGTAGCAAAGTGGATCATGGTAGGAGAAAGAGAATAGGCGCTGCTGGTGCTGGGGTGCTGGTGGTTTGGGGGGGGGTGGATGGAGGGAGGGAGGGAGTGGCAGTGGGAGTGGGAGTGGGAGTGGGACGGAGCCGGAACCGCGCGCTGAGAAGCCAGGACGGTACAGTAGCAGCAAGTAAACGAGGAGCAAGTAGCGAGACCGCATTGCTCTGTCTGGAGGAGAGTGATATCGTGTTCGAACACCTCTCACTCCACCACCTCGCACATAGCACGTAGGACACAGTACGTAGGTAATACCTTCCCTGTGTGCTCTGCTTGCCGGCGCCACCACTTTTTCCGGGTTGAACTTACAGGACGACGAGGACGGGTATCCACTTCCACTCCCACTTCCACTCTCTCTGCCACTACCGTACGGAGTAGTACATACAGCAGTACCACTATCACTTGGACTTGGACTTTGGACTTGAACGTGGGTTTGGATTTGGATTTGGATTTCCGTTCCCACTGCTATTTCCACTCCGTCCGGATCCTCTGCTTTCTCTCCCCAGCTCTGCGGCATTTGCATCGGCCATCTGGCGGTCCCCTTTCGCAATTCGCGGCTGCAGTATTGCATTGTAGACGAGACCTAGTCCCTGACCAGCATGCTCTGCCTGTTGAGGCCTCGCAACGAAGCACGAGCAGCCTGAATACCACGCCTCTCGCCGTTTGCCGCTTGCTCTGCTTGCCCTGGTCGATCCATTGTTCGCGCCATCGAGCCATGGACAGGCCCGTATGTTTAACGAGACCAGGGCCTTATGGGGCGCCTGCACCGGGCCCCATTTGTACATGTTAGGGACTCTTGGTGCTTGAGGATGAGTAGCTTCCGGGAATTTACGCTTTCTGTGGGATTATTGCGCTTCGGGGGTCGAGGGCGAGGGCGAGGGTGTGCGTGTGCGTGTGTGAAGTGGAAGCACTGAAAAGGCGCCGAAGGGGCTGGCCAGTGAGTAATAAGAACACCAGCAATGGCCGCCTACGCACTGCTACTGGACTCGTGGAGAGACCACTTCGGTTGTAGAGGCCAAATCCATACTTGACCCGTCATCGATGGCATGCAGCTGTCAATGAGCACTCGCGCCGCGGATGCTCTAGTTGGCGGAGTTTCGACTCCTCGAGTCGTCGATGGTGGCAGTGGAGGCAGTGGGGAAAGGGAAACCGAGGCCAGAGCAACATCAAGTAAAACAAACGGGGTCGCGGGCAGTGAGGGGCAGTTGATGGCGCTGAATCGCTGAATCGTTGCCGCTGGCGATTAGCAGTTGCTCAATGGCCGTGGCGGAAATGCCACTTCACCAGCGGGCCTCGTCTCGTCCTCTCTCCTGTGCTCTTCTCTCCAAGACAACCCCGCCTTCTTTTTGGTCACTGGTCGTCACATCAACCTGGAACATCGGCAATAGGAAAATTTCATCGACAACCCTTGGGATGGATGTTGCATTGCCGTCTGTCGTGCGACCTGGGCGAGCAATTACATTCCGTTTGCGGCTTCGATCACGGATGACACTCAAACCTACCCCCCAGAAATGTACATATATGTACAAGCCTGTACAAGGACCGAATGTATACCGGATGTCTCTCACTCGGGGATGAGGTGTTTAGTGGCGCCCCACACCTGGTTCTGGCCCGAGGGTGATGCGATGCATTGTGAAGGTGCCATGCAAGCATTGAAACTGATTCTGTATACCATGAGGTATACATTATCCTTACGGATGCAAACCGGCGTCATGGCGGCCATTTCCTTGTCTTGATTTTCCAAACCCAATGGTACCATTGTATGTTTGGGAGGCGGTGGTCACGCTGTGCAGCCATGGACAAGTTGTATTGATCGATTCGGCCGTGCAATATAAGTCAGTAGAGTATCGGAGTATGGCTCCTGTATGCTCCCCGCATATTGTTCGAGGACTCGTGCTTGAAGATATCCAGTATCCAACATCCAGCCGCACCAACTGGCCGAGCCGGGAATCTAGAATGGCCCGAGTGGTGTGGTGTGTGTTCTGTTCCTGCGGTTCAGCTTCGGACCCCGATCCTCGAGCTCCGCGCCTGCACCGCCGCCGCGCATCCTACTATTATTACCATACTTCGTACCCAGAACCGTTGAGGACATTTTCCCTTCCCTCTTCCTGGCGTTATGCCCGCCAGACTTGGATTCTCGAGGGATACGCGGGATGAAGCGCCTCGCCGCTTGGTTGCGGAAGGGTCACATACCCTCGACTCCCGTTGAATCTTGGTACGGATGCAAGAGGTCTCTTCCCCAAATTAAATGTCTGGGGAGCTTGCAAAACATCCATGTCACAGGTACATGCAACCCCGACGAGGAGCGCATGTCAATCAGGCAGTTGCAAGGAGTTTAAAAATTTGTCGAGTCCTGCTTTGGCCCAGTCAACCGCCAGCCGCCCAGCCGCCATCAGCACTGGCAATGACAACGGCAACGAGAGTGGGCGAAGAGATAATCCGTGGCTTTGCACCTGCTTTGGCCTCTGCTAGTTACTTCTTTTCGTTTTGATGGAGCACGGGGCGTGTCAATCCATCTCGTAACTCCACTCATATCGGAACAATATCAATTATAGAACTGGAGACTCCACGCCCTGCACCGGCGAGTAATGCGTCCGCGGCGACATGACCTTCCTAGGCGGAGCATGGGTGGTAGTGCACAGATAATCCCTGGTCTCACATGTAGTCGATACGTACGAAATACCATCCTCTCTTGCGCAGCGGCTGCAAAGATTTTGTGCATCTGGGCTTGGGGAATCTCGCATTGACATTGACTGAAACCGCAGCAACCTGAAGCGGTGGGTGGACCCTGAATCGATGGAATACCCTCCGTAAGACGAGCCCGTTATTCAAATCCAAATAGCCTCGCCGCAAAAGTCCGGGCCTCTGAGAGCGGCCCTGGCTTGGATCCAGTCGGGAAGTCCGGTATATGGGGCTCCGTAACCCAGCAGTTGCCAGTGGGCACGAAGTATGAATCTTGACGTATGTATGTATTCTTGTAGTTGCAATAATAATAATAGTAATAGTAATAGTAATAATCGAGCAGCTTCTTTTGTCATGACCGCTATCCAATTCGGGCGGTGCTCGACGGGGATCAGGGACGGCGGCAGCATCGACAGCAACACAGCGGGATGCACGGTTCTATGCAAGTGATCGATTCCGTAATTCGAATCCCATGTCTAGCTTCCCGCGATTAGGTCCCGCACCAGTTAGAAGCACGGCCATGGACGTGTAATTGTTTGGCGGCGACATTCTCCCGCGCAGGGAGCTTGTGGCGCATCAGGGTCCTCACTCTCGTGTGCCTTGTGGAAAGTTTGCTTCGTTAGTCAACATACCACGTACTCGTACTCATAGCCTCATAGTGCGTTCTTGCGTGGGGGGACAACTCTGGTCTGGCCGTAACGCAGGACGGCCAGATTATTGCCATAGCATGGTTGGAACGTGGTGGTTCCAAGATATGCCGTGAGATTTCACGTACGAAGAACCTTATTGACCCAGAAGGCCAGCGTTGCCGGAACCCGTCATACGTGGCAGCTGTTGCGGGTGCCCGGCCAAAAGGGCAATCTCTTCCCTCTATCTTCTGCGATATCCTATATTTCTTTCTTGTAATTTCCAGCATCGTCCGCTGTTCAGTCGACGAGTATGATATTTGATACCAGGAAGAGTCAAAAGAAGGGGCCGGGTAAGCCGATCCTTGACAGGCTGAAGGAAGAAGGTCACACCATTTGTCCAAGGGAATGCCGGCGGATCTACATTTCTCCTTTACGGAGCCCGTTCCCCAGCGGGATAATCCGAGGTTCAGGCAAAGGTTACCTGGGAAGTAGGGATACGCCGCATGCTACCGGCGTCAAGAAGAAGCTTTTTAGATGAGGCCGACGGGCATCGTTGGAAACGACGGTGATGGAAATTCCACCGACACCGCCACTCGCCACAGATCCGATACAAGATAGAGGATCACCAATGAACGGCACATCTAACGGCCAACGATGCCAAGTTAGGCAAAACGAGCTGCTGCATCTAGCTTCTCAACGACCTCCCATGATACAGGTAATGGCGGCCGAACAAGCACACGTGTCTGAAGAATGTATTTCCCGGTCATGTCACAGGAATGGACCTTGATACGATAGTGATTCGACCTTCTACGAGCGCACTCCGCTAGCCTCCGAAGAATTCTCTGAACTTAGCAGTTGACACGTGGTAGAAGCAGCGAGCTGTGGTAACGATCGATCTTGATATCGAAGTTGACTTGGACCTTTCTTCTTTCTTCATCTAGCACGGGAGGTCGGCTAGTACCGTGTGTGACACTGTCCGGTACTCATCTGCAGCTGCTGGTTGCAGTTTGATCATCTCAGGGATGTGCCTGGATCGAGACCGTTGTTGCTCAGGTAATATATCCGCTGTAAACTTTTGCGAGCCCTATCTGCCTCAGTTGTGCCATATACGAGATGCCAGAGTCATGTCTAGTATGGTCGGCGCTTAAAACGGGAGTCCCCTTTCGAAAAGTTGTTGACGGAGCAAGTTATTGTCGATTAGCAATACTGGCTAAAATACAGCTAACAGATGTGGATGAATGAGGTTTCAATAACGTAGAGTGGATGGTGGGCGATTCCGAGGCAATAATGGCTTCCGGAGCACATAGCTTTATATTGTCTGGCCCTTAAATATATTACGGTTCTTCTGCGGGCATTATTTAGTCTTTTGTGGCTCCAGGTCAACTCGTAGCTTCTACGCACATCAAACATCGTCAAAATCTGCATGGTTTTCCGTACAAGCCCGACTTCCCTAATATAGTTTTGGTGTTGCGATCTCCTGCAGTTCGTACCGAATGTCATGTGCGGAATCGTCCATCGATCGATACCCGCATGAAACGTAGGTTGAGTAGAAGCGTAAACCGAATATCTAGGACGCCCTTATGATGTAATCGATCGGAAACGTGGGCCAACCCGAGGACAATTCCCTGATGCAATTGATCCACATTCGAGGACTGACCTGACGTTCGAGCTGTGTTAGATCAGATATAAGGGCAAATAGGCTTACTCCAGCCGGGGCGTTCCCTTTTGATCCAAGAGGCTGTAACCGGTTTAGGAAGGACCTCCAAATTAGCACTGTCAAATGCCAGTTTTTGAATTCGCCCAGAGACACAGTCCACGGGTACTACGATCGTCGACATTCAAACAAAACAGTCCGCTCTTGGACTAAACTCATTCCGATCCCCTTGGATATACTATCCGCCTCAGGTAGGTAATTGTCAAACACGTGATATACCGGTTTGCTGGGTTCGACCCGGGAGGAGGTGGAAGTACTTCGTAAACCATGGGAAAGTCTTCGTAGTACGTACATAGTATGAGGCATACATGTACTAAGTAGTGACAAGTTGGTTTGAAGAGGCGGTTTCTGAAAATGCACGGCCCAGCGGTTTCGATCGTTGGCATCTGTTCGGGGCAGATCTGGTAGCAGAGTGATCGCGAATTGGGTGAAGACCATGGGCGGGCCTGCGATTCCATGCCACACAATACCACCACATCCGCTATCCCATGCCAATGCCAATGCTAATCAATGCCATCCGTCCATCCAGCAGTCTCCTAGGTAGCAAGGGGATTGTGTAGGCCTTTATAACCATAACAACGTCCCAAATTGTGGCCCGCCCATCTCGTCTTTTCCAAACACCAAACGAGCATTCCCCATTTCTGGATCCTTCAGCAATGCCACCAACGGTATTCCCGGCCATGACGGGCCCGCGAGACGAGGACCCGGAGACCTCGGCGTAACTCGTCACCCAGAACGGCGCGGTGGCGGGGAATTGGGCTCTAGATTGGATTCCACGGGGCCGGCCAAGCAACCAGAAAGCAGCCCGCAGCAACGCTTGGCTTGCGGAGGCTGACGTTTGTCCCTCGTCGTCTTCCGCTTCATCCTGCTCGCCCTCCTCCGCAAACATGCTCTGCGCTGATCCATGAGGCTCTGATCCTCTAGCCCCTTCGCCCCAATTCCTATCCTCGCCGTTAACGTATTCATCAGTTGTCTTCGCCTGCTCCCCTGGAGGCCGATTCGTTCCCTTGGGGACCCCGCGCCTCGTTGCTGTGCTGCGGTGCTTTCGTCACACCCGCCGACCGCAGTAAACACGTCCGTCCTTGGAGCTACCGCCATCGCCATCACCATCGCCATCGTGTTCAGCTACGCAGTGATGAGAAGTATATGAGCCGGCAGTGACCTGCAACGCCGGTCTGCGCTGCGTTGCTTTGTTTGCGACGACTGGCATTTCCAGCGCCGGGCTTGGTTTGCGAGAGTGCACGAGGAGCTGCTTTGTTGAAGGAGCACCATGTCGAGCCGCAATAGAAATGGACCTGGGCAGATGAAGCCGCGGAAGAAGGCTGTCAAACCCATCCTGAAGAAAATAACACACAGCGAAAAGAATTCGTTGGACTTGGACCGGCTTGCGGTGGAGCAGGATGGCTTTGGTGGCAGTGGTGTTGGAATGTCTGAGTACGGGATGCCGTCTCGCTCTTCTCACGATGCTGTCTTCAATGCGACGGGCAGAAGGGGATACCACAACCGCTCAACCAGCGGGACTTCTCAATTCTCCACCGCCACCGCAGGAAGCGGCCATCGCGGTGTAGCATTTGTTCATCCTTTCCAACAGACACCGCGGCCATACACACCGCCACTGGCACCGCCGTCCTCAAAGCAGAATTCACTGCGCGAGAGTGAATATTCAGAGAGGGAGAGCCCGGCTTTCGAGACGTCAACTGAAGATGAAGATCAGGCGCGGCGACCTCACTTGCTCCGCAACCTCTCAAGCACAAACCAAACTTCATCATCTTTGAACAGCACAGCGTCGCCCGTCCTCCCGCAGGAGCCTCTACGTATACAAACTAAACCGTCGCCGTCCCGTCTTGCCCTCGCAACGTCGAGTACAAGTCTCCATATCCACAATCCCGCCGGTAGCTTGACTGTGAACCCAGAGGTCGGCTCACCTTCTGAAACCATGTCGCCCTCTTCCCTCCGCACCTCTATTGAGGGCTTTCGTCTTCGCAGCCGCAGCGAGGCTGGCGATTCCCGTTACCGTCCAGAAACTATCCAGGAGGCACGACGCAAGTTTTACGAGAGAGAACAAGCCAAGGAGGAGAAGGCAGCACGCGAAGAGATCCGGCTCAGAGAGAAGCAGGACCAGAAGCGGGCCCGAGAGATAGAGAGAAAGTATCGCAGATCTTCCGCGGCCAGTGAAGCTACTCGCTCCAAGCGGTCGAAATCCGATCTGACCAGAAAGGAGAAGAGAGAAGGCTCGTTCGCCAGTCATCATAACTTTGGTCCAGGCCAGGGTGACCCATTCTCCTCCCAAGCTCGTGATGATGGCGTTCCAGGAAAGAACTTCACAAAGCTGGCGAAGAAGAAGACACATAGTGCATGGACGAAGCTCATGATGTGGCTCCGAACTCGCATCATTCGCATGGGCGGAAAGCGTGATTATGACAACTGATAGTTATGGGCGGAGCAGGCTCAACTTATGGCTGACGGTGATGCGTGGAAATTTCGACTCTCTTCAATTCCAATTTCTTCCCATTTCGGTAACCGTCTTCCATCTACTGCATGGGGACTTTACACATTATGCTTGGCGTTGGGTTTCACACTAGAGGTCGGCCTCTGGGAGGTGCAGATCTAGGGTTGCTTACGATCAATGGCTTACGATCGCGAGGGCAATAGCGTGGCGTTTGGCTGTTTTATGGAATGGGGTATCTGGAGTCTTTGCACTGGGCTTCGGGGGAATTACTGCACCTCGGCCATCAAAGGGAAACGGTGGCTTCAGTCTTCACTTCTGCAGCAGATTACGTGCAGCTCGGCATAGCAATCTTTCGATATGGACGCCGTTAGGTTTGCCTACCAACATGGTAGAATAGCGGAAATGAAACTCGTTTACTGATATTCAATCTCGACAGTGAGGGCTTGTCACAAGACTCTCCTCCAATTTACGTGACCTGTGCACTTTCTAGGACTCCCCTGCTTGTTAAACTTGTTTTGTCTGCCCTAGGTAAAATTCTCGTCATCAAGCGTTCCTTATATTCTTGCTTTACTGCACCCTACCAGCACTTTGTTCGTCTATCTTTTAACACCTCGGCATCGCTCAAGGCTGTGATTAGCTGTTGTGGTGAAATTGTATACTCCAAGCCTCTCCGCGGACTTTTTTATACTATTTAACATGTAAATCTTTCATACTCGGTGGTGTAGTGGTGTAGTAGTAGCGTAGCTGGAGTTAGGTAAACTAGTTTCTACTTTGCAATACATAATATTTGATCTTAGTACTGATTTCAAAGGAGGTACTCTTAAAGTTGAATACAATTATGCTAGGTAGGCTCAATATAGTAATTAAAAACAAGGGCGGATCTATTAAGTACTAGAGAATAGTTTTAATTTAGCTATTTTAAGTTGTATATAATAAAGTAGTTGTAAAGTTATCAGTAATTATATTAATATAGTGGTATTATCGTATAACGAATAGTTCAAGGAACCGATCATACCTCGTCAGAGAAGAAGATATAGCTCTAAAAGTCCTCTTTTAAACTCGTCTTTATACTCTTTGCAATATGCCACCCTTTCTGTCTTGTTTTTGACCGAGATTTGCTTGTTTATAAAAGCACACCTGTATATCTGACCGATATTTGTATGCTCTTTGAGTTTGTATTGTAATTGCGGCTTCTTGATAGGTATATTGTAGTAGGCAATCTAAGCTTTGTATAGTTGATTTCTAACCGGATATTTGGCTAGATCTACAAGTATTTTACAAGTTGCTTTTGAGGTTTTTGAGGGCTTTCTAAGCTTAGTAGACATTCCCCTAGTATGACGATATGCCATTGGCCCTAATTCTCGCTGTCTCTTCCAGAACCTGCCTGTGCCTTCACTAACCTTGTGGTCCTCACAAATCGCTCTCATTGATAGACGTGCATGCTGCGCGTCCCAGGCATCGTAGTACTATGCTTTCCTGATAGCCTTAGCTTCGTAGCTTTCTGAGGGTCTAGGGGGAAGGGTAATTTGAGCTGTACACCGTGTGGTTGGTGCCATCCTGTGTAACCGATGTTGTTGTTTCCTTTGTAGTGGTTTGGCACGTGCGTAGTGAAGTCTGGCAACCAGTGACACCTGGTGCACCGTAAAACGAAGTCCATCTTCAACGACCAGCCCACCTAAGGTTGAACTGTTCTCAACTATACATTCTTTTGTTCTGCGACATGCTGCTACAATATGAATGGGAACGATTGGATGCCATCGCTCACCCCACGCTCGCCCTAGAGCTTTCCAGAACCAACGTTATGCGCCGGTCCTCAAGTGGTTGAGCCTTACGAAACGTAGATAAATCCTAGCCATCCCCAGCATCTTCACCATGATCTTGAGATCAAAACGAGAGATTAGACCTTTGGTAAGCATCGAGCGACCCTCTCCTTCTCTTCCACCATCGCCTTCTCGAATTCAAAAGCATCCTCGAATACGAAAGGCTAGACTTACGCACTATAACCTCAAGAGATTCGAGCAAGAACTGGCCAAGAATAGGAAAATCAGCGGGACAGAGTCGCGGTCGGGCACTTCCAGTAGCTCTAGCAAGGCCAAAAACACTACGACGGCGGACAAGAAGTTTGGGGAGCGGCTGTGGGAGAATGGAGTCCGTTTTGAACACCCACACGCACAGCCGCCAAAGGATCTGGCCGAAGTCAAGCAATACTTGGATAAAGACCGAGAATCCCAATCGGCTAACGGAGACGACTGTCAAGAATATCTTGACGAAATTGCTCAGGCTGATAACGAGGATACAGTAACAACAAATGTTTGGCCCCTTCTTGCCAAGAAACCCCGCAACCGGGACCTTTTTGGATACAATCAAAATACAAACTTCCAGTGGACTGAAGTGGAATCTGCCATCATAGCGAACATATCGGATCCAAAGCCAGATATCTCTGAGAGCTTTCGGCACAACCAATATCCTCCCGAAGCCGCCGAGGCACTTGGACCTGCTCTGGCACCAACGTTATATAGTGCTGCTATCCCCAAGTTCTGCGTTGAACTGAAAGGTCCTGATGGCTTGATACCATCCGCCACAAAGCAGGCTGCATATGATGGTGCAGTCATGGTTGACGCCGCCTGGGAAGCCCACCAGTTCATGTCTAAGCCTGCCGACGAGTTTCTCGGCAATACGCAGGCATTGACCGGAGCCGTCAATGGTTCGTACCTTCACATATATGCGAACCATGCCATTTCTCCACAAACTGATGCGACGAACTACGTGGCGGCCTCCGGAACCATTGCTCATCGTGAAAAGCTCCAGTACCATCAATTTCCCCTCAACGGCGTACTGCCAAGTGAGTCTCTAGAAGACTTCAAAAAGGCACGAAAAACGGTCCGAAATGCACAAGATTGGGCTCGAGAGAGGGCAGCTCAGAGTAAGGATGCTCTCCACGCACGTGTCGACGCCATGCATACTGCTGCTGCTACCGCTACCGCTGCTGCCGTCCCTGTTCTGGCAGCTGAGCTCACCCCTCCATGGTTACCTGCTGGCAAAGGGAAGCAATGGAAGAGAAGACAGGATGACAATACACCTATTTATGGTGTGTCGCTATGATATTCTGAGGAAGCAAAGTAATTTTGAGTATTGTATGACTAAACTATTCTTATCCTCTTGACTAGAAATATCACTACTCATTAGATAGGGAAAGACCTGGGATTTGTTGCTCTGTTCATGCGATATTGCCATTCATAGCCTCTTCTTCGGACTCTCTGACAATCGCAAACGCACAAATAGCACAAGTCCACTGGCGTCTAGAGCCATGGAGCAGCGTAGAACATGGCAGGTAGCATGGTTCAAGATCCTGATGCTCACCGCAATAAGCGCTCAACAAATAGCCGGCAAAGGGAGCAACTTCTACTAGCCTCACCTGTCGCGCAAAGTTGAGAGAGTTAGGCATATCGGAATTAATCAGCGTACTAATCAGCGAAGGAATAAGAGGTAAGACGACGCGAAATGCTGAATCACTAGATAAGTCAATAACGAATTGCTATATATTAATAAACCTCTATTCACAGACACGGAACAATATATTTTAAGGAGGTTTTCTACTAGGCCTATATAATGGCAATATATCAGTAGCAGTGTTGCCTAAAAGAACCTGTAGTTGACGCTTTACAACTTGCTACTGCGTGGACTCTGCGCACAATAGCTCCATGGAAATGGAAAAAGAATCGGTCGAAGGCCAATGGCACCGATAGTAAGGCCGGAGACATGACTACAAGAGCTTAGTTGTTATAGTATGACTGTCAATCTCAAGATTCCATCTCAGATTAAATACTGAATATACTTATAGCTTCTAACTAATACATGTTTCTATAATTTGAAAGAATTGGGAATGAAGTATAAGACGCAGCTGAGTCTAATATTGGGGCATACCCAAGAGGTATCGCACTAGAATTATCAACTTTCGCTCATGACCCGGTGGGAAAAGCGCGTGACCGTCAAGATCGAGCTTGTAAGGAGAAAGGCAAGCGACTTTGAAATCGGCCTTATTGAAAACGAGAGGTGAATTCTCGATTGCGTTGGGTAGTTTAACTGTAGCGCTTATTTGTTTCAACCTGTGGAGTGATTGATCTATGATTGTCGTTTCCAGCCTTCCACTTCCCAATGAGAGCTTAGTTAGAGGTACGGAAAAACACTTCCATTTAGTGCCCGATATTTTAAGAATGTATATAACTTTAAGATATAGGGTTGGGTATATACTCAATCGTCAATTCCGGCCCATTCGCTCTCCTCTCCCGGATCAGCTTCAACCTGGGACTGCTGCATCCTATTTCTGCTGCCTTGAATAGCGCCCTTACGGTTATGTTCCAGCCTACGCTCATAGCCACTTTTACTACTAATCAACATTGCCTTCTTTCCTCTGTCCTTGCCGTCTCTTCCTAATCCTTCCCGCCTTGCCTCAACGCCATACTTCTTAAGATTCTTCTTCTCTTCCTTGGTTGGCGTTGGTAACGCATCAAGCAGCCACTTCTGCATGCTTGCCTCACTTGGTGGCTTCCCCGCTTGCTTCTCACTTGCGGCGATGATATTGGCAATGTTCTTCACATATGGAATGTCTTCCTTAGTGTAGAATGTGACGGCAACACCGCCATCACGACCGGCTCTTCCAGTTCGACCAACGCGATGAATATATGCCGCGCCGGAATTGGGCACATCATAATTCACAACGCCATTGATTCCACGGAAATCTACACCTCGGCTGAGGATGTCCGTCGTGATTAGAATCCAGATCTCGCCGTTGCGAAACCGTGTCATGATGTGGTCGCGTATTGAATCGGAAAGATCGGAATGTAGGACTGCGATGCGGGAGGAGCCACCTGCCTCGATGGGGATATCATATAGGAGTTCCGAGTGAAGTGCCACAGCTCTTGGGATTGTTTGAGTAAAGACGAGAAAGGGTGGACGAAGAGATTGGGTGGCGTCTGTCGTTTTTGCGCTTGGGTGGAGCAATTGGCGGAGGGCAAGGAGCTTGCCCGGCTCCGTGGCTGCGTAGGTAAGACGATGGGTGATATTGGGGATTGCTGAATCCTTGAGTCCTACCACGAGACGGATGATGCGAGTGTCGTCCTTCAGGCCAAGCTGTGTCCGCCTAGAGCGTATTGTGGATGCTGCCAGCGTTTCTATATTCGACCCCATAGTAGCTGACCACAATGTTACGCAGAGCTCCGGATTTGAACACGAATCCCATATTCCGAGCATTTGATCTCTGAACAGCGGATCGAGGAGGACATCTGCTTCATCTAGTACTAATGTACGAACGGTGGGCAATGGGCTACGCCCCCCCTTTGAAGCCCCCGAAACAGCGCTGAGCAACAGCCCCGGGGTGGTTACTAGAATATCAGCTTTCGCGATAGGTTGAGAGGAGCGTTTCTTGGACTTTTCAAGGCCCTCTTCGGCTTCCTCCTCTTCACTGTCGTTTGAGCTTTCTGCATTTTCAGCAGAATCGCCGCCATCAACGATATTCATGCCCTTTTTCATCCCAACCACCTTAACTCCGGTTCCCATGCTAAGCTTTTTGGCCTCGTTCACAATTTGGCTTGCAAGCTCCTTCGTCGGAGCAACAATGATGGCATCTAAGCTGTGTTCGCTCTTGTCCTGGTGCTGCCTTCGTCTTTGTATGATACCGTTCACAACGGGTATTAGGAAGGCTAAAGTCTTCCCACTTCCGGTCGGAGCCACAGACAATAAATTGATATTTCTTCGACTTTCTGACAATCCTAATTCCATTGCAGCATCGCCGAGCGCCGTTTCGGGTTGTAAAAGTAGTGGTAAGCTTCCCATCTGAACCTCTGTGGGGATTTTGTATCCTTGCTGGGCCAGGTTTTCTGCCATTCGACCTGAGATTCCATATGTGCTCCTGAGGTCATCAAAGGTTGTCAATGGCTGCGGATATAACTGCTTGTATTCTTCTTTTGCGCTCGAGGTAGTTTTGCTAGTTTTTGCTTTCTTCGACTTCTTTATTTTCTTCTCCCCCGGTGGTAAAACTGTGACTTTCACTCGGTGCGATCGCAGTATTTGCCGACACTCTCCTTCATCTAGCAATGTCGGTGGTAGCTGTGACGCAACTTGTGGTGCATTCGAGTTGTGTTCCTTTTCGTCCACAGAAGACTCCCTCCTCCTGGTATTCACGGCCGTAGACTTCGGCGCAAAAAAATTGGGGGCCTCCTCCTCAGCTTCGTTTTCTCCATTTTGAAGGTTCCCTGCTGTCTTCTCGCCGCCCCGCTTTCTCTTCTTTCCTCGTGCTGCAGTTGCCTCATCGTGGAAGAGCTGAGGATTGTTGGAAGTACCGGCGGATGGTAGTTTGACCGATGAACCGGCTTTTCCGGCAGACGCCTTATTCGGTTGCTTAGTAGACCTCGAGAGGATCTTGAAGATATCCATCTTGCCTTGTTTGTATTCGGTTCTGGGCGGGCTCCTCGAGAAATTCTTCGCGAATGAAGATTTAAGGCTATTCTGCCATCCTAGACCGCCTTTTTTATCCAGCTCGGTTAACCCCCTACTCCCTTTCTAGTTTCCTAAGTACAACGCAGGGCCTGGATTTAGGATGGTGGAGAACCTAAAGGAAAAGATAAAGTAGAAATAAGTACTTTTATTAAGGCTTAACATTAGTTGGTTTTTATAATCGGAATCCCTTATCATTAGCAGCTTAAGTTCCACTTGAGTTTTCAAACAATCCTAATAAATTAACCTAGACATATTGCTACAGTTTAATCGTCGGTTCCCAAAGTAACGAGAATGGTAAACCGACTACGAAGATGAGGCAAACTATCAAGTAAGAGGGGAAGGAAGTTGATCTGTTCCAAGTTACTTGCCAGTACCGTCTTCCACCATCGTCTTCTTAGCACCCTCGAAAACATCCACCCAAGCCGCGGGCCTCTTCCGTCCACCTTCATAAGCTTCGTTTAAGTATCCTTCCGCTTCTCTTCCCCATTCTAGCAATTGATCCTCCGCTCCCCAGTCACCCATTCCCATCAATCCCACTGGAACCATGCCTTCTCCTTTCCCTTTCGCAGGAGCCACGTATCCGACGGGGCAGCTGATGGCTGGATTGCCACAGAAGTTCGCCAACCATACATATTCCATGTTTCTGATACTGGTATTTCCATCAGTAACGCCATGCTTCAAGTCTGACGCAGAACCGATAGGCCACCCTGGCATAGGGGTTGTCGGTGTGACGATGATCATCCCAGGATATGTCTTGAACAAAAACGCAAGATGTTGCATGAGCATATTGCGTAGCTGCTGCGCTAGAATGTAGTCTTGGGCAGGAGTCTGGGCTCCTACTGCAAGGAGTACTTTATTTGCCGGGTTGAGACTAGAGAGCCAATCTTTCCTGTCGTGGCATTGGTTGCGGGCGCGGACGGCCATTTCAGAGAGGATGGTGAAGGCATGGCCTAGTTGGCCTTCGGGGACGTAGGGGATGGAAATATCGACGATGGTATAGGAGAGTTTATCGCGGTAGAAATTGAGAGCCTGTTGGCACAGGTCGCGTACAGAAGGCTCGGCGCGCGAAAACCAGTCTTTGTACACGCCGATAACCTTTGGACCATTGAGCGAGGGCGTGAGTGGGTTTGGGGGCGTGAAGAGCGAAGAGTATGGGTCAGAAGGGTCTGGTGTACCGAGGACACGGTAAGCGGCTTCGAGATCTGTCATAGATGCCGCAAGGGGACCAGTAACTGTCACTGTGCTTCCCGTGTCTTCTAATCGTCCATGACTGGGCTTCAACCCGTAAACACCACAGAAAGAAGCCGGAATGCGAATGCTCCCACCACCATCAGCACCTAGAGCTAGAGGAACCAAGCCTGCAGAAACGGCATATGCAGCGCCGCCCGAAGAGCCTCCGGTGTAGTATTGGCTACAGTATGGGTTACGCGGTGTGCCCCAATTCGGATTGTTATTTGTGGTATCGGCACCAAGTTCATGCATGTTTAGCTTGCCCAAAAGGATTGCTCCGCTGTCTAGTAGTTTTTGAACTGGCCAACTCGAACTTTCAGCAATTTGAAAGATAGAATCATTTGGGGCTCGTCCGTATGTTGTCCGGTACCCAGCAACATCTGATTCGTCTTTGACGGCTGTGGGGACTCCGTCTAGTATGCCTAGAGGCTGGCCGGCTTGATAGCGAGCCGTCGACTTTTTGGCTGCAGACAAGACGGCATCTACTTTGGTGGAGATAAATGATAGAGAGTGTGGTGACGAAGGAGAGATATCTCGGCGAATGAGAGGGAGCAGAGACTCTGCTACAGCGAGAGGGGTAAGTTCACCAGAGAGGTACTTGGCATGGTACTCGGCAACAGAATAGTATCGGCCAGGGATATTCTCTGGTAGAGGTTTGAATGACGACGGACTCAGTTCAGGAACGTAAGATCCCGGTTTGGAGTTTCCAACTGGAACCACAAGGGGCTAGAATGGTCAGACACGTGACTTCTGAAAAGGGTGAAGGAAGTACTCACATCCCAGCGTTCTGTATAATCCTGGAGATCAAGTTTTCGTAGACCGTTAAAACCAGCATTGCTCCATAAAATTCTCTGGATGAAGTCGAGCTTGGATACACTAATGATGGTTGGGGTCAGTAGGGTAGGTGGTACTTATGGCGTGAAGGGAAACGGGATACAGACAGCCATGCCCCAATCATCAAGAGGAATCCGGAAAACACAGGATTCTTATCATCGGATTTCTTATAGGGGATTTCTGGGCCCTCTACTGCTCGGGGATACGCAAAGAAGCGCTTCTCGTTGGATTCGGCCATGCTGGAGACGGAGCAGGATCAAGACAAACCGGCCTCGAATGGTTGGAGGGAGAGGGATAGGAAACTTAAAGGAGTTAGTAAGAGTTGTTATGTAAATAGTGTTATATGACCGGAATAGGGAAGATATAAAGATGGGCTGCACAAGCTAGAATGGCCGATCCAACCTATACGAAGTACAGGGGTTGGGCACCAAGGGGAACCGGCTCAATTGACTGTTGTGGTTTGCTGTTGGCTTGATGTCAAATTTACTCACCAAATGGGCGAAAGAAGGGTCGATGGTGTAACATACCAACCAACACCAAGGTGGTAGCTGATGTTGGTATTAGTGTCGATGCAGTCGATGTCAGCGTTCCACAGAGGTATAAAGCCTCGGCCCAGTATTGCTGCCTTGCACGTGTGGGCTAAAGTGCCTGAGAATGTAAGGCACAAAGGCCGTCAAGGTACAAGGACGAAGTATATCTTAGTCAGGCACACAGCTCCACATGTAGGTTTCTGCCACTGGCCACCGCTTGCATGCGCCACACTCTTTGATCGTCACGGACAGGGCTGGGCAACTCCAAGACCTCTAAGGAAACCTTCTAGGGGCTCATCCCCCAATAATAAAGGTATAAAGGATGCACTTCGCCCCGTCGTATTATTGAAGTTTTAAGGACTCTAGCTTCAGCATCCAGCCATTCCAATTTCAGGCATAGAACATCAATATGTGCTTTGGCAGCAAGCCGAAGGTAGAGGACAACCATAACAACTCTGATAGCCTCAACTCTCGTCCAGTCGACGCCAAACCAGCACAGAACGGCTCGAGCAATATGCCACCTTCTCAAAACGACAGCTACGGCTATGCACCTCCACCAGGGCCTCCACCACAGCATCAGAGCCAACAGACATATGCTCCTCCTGCAGGACCTCCTCCATCTCAACAGAATCAAGAGACATATGCACCGCCATCCGGGCCCCCTCCTAGCCAAAGCCATAACGTCTACAGCCCACCAGCAGGAGCTCCACCCTCCCACTCCAGGGATGAATATGCACCGCCATCCGGGCCCCCTCCTAGCCAAAGCCATAACGAATACAGTCCACCGTCAGGACCTCCACCCTCTCACACTAGAGATGAATACGCACCACCATCTGGCCCTCCTCCAAGCCACAGCCATAACGAATACAGCCCACCGGCAGGACCTCCACCCTCCAACTCTAGAGATGAATACGCACCACCGTCTGGCCCGCCTCCAGATTACAGCAGTCCGCCGGCAGGACCTCCACCCTCCCACTCTATAGATGAATACGCACCTCCTCCAGGGCCGCCTCCACCCCAACACGATTGGCAAACGGCAGTTCCTGACAATTCGCTGCTACCCCCTCCTCCATCCCTAGGGAACGAACGGAGCACAACAACCAATGCCACCGAACAAGAAGCTGAGCAAGGCGAAGCATGGTGCCAACAGAACCCAATGACTGGCCCAACTACCATCCCGCAAGAAACATTGGCAGCGGTAGATAGAGGCGAGATAGGCGTTGTGAACCCCCGCGGCTACCAAGGAGAGCTTAACCCATCACGCCCAGCAGGTGTCTGGGCGGTCAAGAGCAAAGCCAAAAGCCCAGATACTTGCATATCCTCTTCCCTACCGCTATATTCCGTGAACGGTCATTCGCCTCTACGGACCGGCCAGCCAAAGACTATATACTACGAAGCTCGGATCTCCAGGAAGAACAGGAGTGAGGTCAATCTCGCAATAGGCTACGCCGCAGGCCCGTATCCCACGTTCCGACAACCGGGCTGGCACCGAGGGTCGCTGGCCGTGCACGGCGATGACGGGAGTAAATTCATCAATGACCGCTGGGGCGGCAAGGATTTCACTACTCCGTTCAAACCTGGTGAGACGGTTGGACTTGGTATGACCTTCACGGCGCGTGATGTAGATGCGCCGCCATCATATTCAGGACCGCAAAACACCGTAGCGACGTCAATCGACGTTGAAATCTTCTTTACAAGAAATGGAAGAAAGGACGGAGGATGGAATCTACATGAAGAAGGTGATTCTGTAGAGGATCTGCCGGTGGAGGGGCTGGAGGGGTTCAATGATATGTATGCGGCGATTGGCACGTTTGAGAACGTTGAGTTTGAGATTATTTTTAATCCCGGCGAGTGGATGTACCGTCCATAGTCATCCCTTCGATATTGATTATCGATCTTTGACATGCCTAGGTTCGGCATGTAACTTATAAGATGCAATGCTTTCATAATTAAACAAGACAACTGTGCTATGCTAATTGTAACAGAATCAGGCTATTGATTTGAAAATTAGACATCAAGCCCGATTGATAGAACGCCTGAAAAATACAATTGATTGGTAGTAGCAACAGGGAGGGCTCCTACTCAGACCCTAGCTTTCTTATAAGCCTCCTCAATTGGTGCCTTGTAGTGCTCAATGATAGTCCTCCGGTTGAGCTTATTAGTCGCAGTTATAAGCCCCTATTGTTTTCACGTTAGCCACATGTGACTCTCTTTCCCGGGGGTTACAGCAAGCGACTTACGTTTTGAGCCGTCCACTCCTCATCCGCAACCACAACTCCGACAATCATCTCGATGTTAGCAAGGCGATACTGCTTGCCCACAGCCTGAAGCTGCTTTAGAACCTCGGCCTGGACCTTCTTGTCGTGAGATAGATCCTCAAGACCAAGTCCGTCGACCCCAAGTTCTTGAGCCATCGCTTTAAGCGCCGGCTCGCCTGGCACGATGATGGCGATGGGATTTGTTTCGGTGATGGATGCGTACATGCAAATGTTCACTACGATGGTTGCGGAACGGTAAATGGATTCGAGCTATCGTCCTGTATCAGCTAGTGCTTCTCAAACGTAAAATGGAACAGAAGGTGGGTAGTTGTACCTTCTCCAAAGCAATGTACTCCCCGTTTAGCGTCTTGGCCAGATTCTTCTTCCGGTCAATCACCTTGAGATGGCCATACTTATCCCACTCCCCGATATCCCCAGTCTTGAACCACCCTCCCGGGGCTATGGCTTCGGCGGTTTGCGCCTCATCCTGGTAATACCCACGCATGATACTCTCGCCTCGGATCCAGATCTCGCCCTGTGGATTTGGAGTGTTGGTTGAGAAGTAGCCTGCATCAGGAAAATCTACGAGCTTTACTTCGATACAAGAGGGGATGCCGCCATGTGCGTCTGCTGTGAACTCTCTGGGGTCACATAGCGCGCCCATTCTACAAAGCGGGTTAGCATGAAGCTGGAGTGGGATGGGGATAGCGTCATACGCAGAAGTCTCTGTCATCCCGTATCCATTGATCATAGGAGCTATGCATAACGAGATGAATAGCTGCGTGTCTCTGGCAATTTGAGCAGCGCCGTTCATGGTGAACCGCAGGCGGCCACCTGTAGCTGCTTGGACCTTCTTGAAGACCAAGGCATCTAGAACAGCAGCTCCGGGCAACCCGTTTTCCACAAGAAATCTATCACGGTCAGCATTGACCTAGCTTTGCAGAACCGATCAAGCAAGACTTACTTCTTCGCACGATATGCACCCCAGAACAGCGTCCTCAAGGCGGGTCCGCCTTTATTAATATTCGCGATAACTCCCTTTCTGACTTGCTCCCAGACAGCGGGAATACCTACCATAAGGGTGGGTTTCAGTTCTTCGATGTCGCCTTTGCAATTACGGCAGTTTGCTTGGGAGAGGGTCCGAATGGATCCATATCCCATCGTTCCGCCCCAGTACAGGCACGCGTTCTCGAAGACGAATTCAAAGATATGCGCGAGGGGAAGATATGCCAGCAGACAGTCACCTGGACCAAGGCAATCGCCGACTGCGCTGGTTGCTCCAGTGACTGTGGGAAGATTAGCAAGAGAATCCCCGACACCAAGGGGCCGCCTTTGTACATACCGCCGGCCACAACGTTCGTATGTGTTAATTCGACGCCCTTGGGGGCCCCGCTGGAACCGGACGTATACATTATACAGCACAGATCTTCGGGCTTTGGAGGGACGGGATCAACAGGATTGTCCACGCCCATCTGTCTCAAGTCTTCATAGCTAAGAACGGTGAGTCCGTCATGTGACTTTTTCAGGGTCTCGAGATCCGCAGGGTCGATCTCGGCCTCACCATCGGTGTTGGTGATAATGTATTGGATTGCTTTAGCATCTCTTAAGGTGTTGATGAAAGTCTTGAGTAGATGCGGCTCCAAGAAGATGGCCTTGGCTTTGGTGGCTACTAGGGAGGTTCGAAGTCCTTCCTCTCCCAGCGTATCATATGCCGTGACAATGGACATAGACTGGGACATGGCACCGTGGGCCATGGATAGCCAATGTGCACTAGACAGATCGGTTAACAACAGTTCATGAATCTGCTTTCATTTCACCGGGACGGGGCGTGCATGAACATACCTCGTCGACGCAAACATATGTAGCCGGTCATGTGCAGTCAAGCCCAGTTTCTGTAGGCCGGAGCCCAGCTGCAGCACCAAAGTTTCATAATCTTTGAATGACATGTAGCTGTAGCCACTCAGCTCGAAATAAGTCCACTTCTTATCGACCTCCTGCGGCTTCCCATCAACCACTTTCTTGACCTTCTTCGTTTCATGGTGCTTCTTGATTAACTTCCTGGACCCGGTGGCATGTAGGTCGCCGAATTTATTAGCACCGCGGGTTACAATATCAAACACGGTCAAAATGCCTTCCTCGGGGGACGCTTGCAGCTTTTCGGCTGCTCGGGGGCTCCTGCGGGGGACCGTCTCGCCCAGCTGCGGCGTATACCCCGTAGCCTCGATGGTGAACGGGGGCTGCTTGGTCATCCGCGCCTGGAGGGTATCCATTCTGTGGGCCATGGTGGATATGTATGGGGTATGTTTGACAGCGGCGAAATGGAGGACGGAGATTTATATTATTCTTTGGCGGGGAGATGAACAGGAGGGGAGCCTGGAGCTTGGGTCGCTAGGGGATCGGAATGGTTGAGCAAAGGACAGTTGTGCTGTGTTGACGCGTTGTTGGGGAGGGGGTTGCGTAGAGCAGTGAGCAGTGAGCAGTGCGCAGCGCTGGGTTGCCTGGGCGCGGTACGTAAGGTACTCGAGTTTCAAGTCTTATGAGGCACGCTGAACACTGAACACTGAACGATGCCGGGTACCTTGGGTCTTGGACGTTGGCCCGGGCCCAGGAATAACTCACGTGGCAAGTTACGCCCGTATCGCTACGAATCTGGGGAACGGGGGGAATAATGGAGGCGGCGAGAGGGCGAGAGGGACGGTGAAGGCAGTCAGCTAGGTATGAAATGAGCGTACTTCTCGCGACTCGGGTCCGTAGGATCAGGATGATTACTCGGAACGAGCTTTGGGCACAGGCGGTCCCGGGAGGCAGCGACGAGATTGCCGGTTGTTAAGGGGGCTCTATATATACCTGGCCGTCCCTCTGAACAACGACACCCACGAGCAGAGCACGGGAAACGCCTCGGCACGACTGTTTCGATTGCTACAAGTCTGGAGCGCTGGACCTGCTTTCCCTCAGGTACATACCTAGGTATTACAGGTTCTGTTGTGCGCCGCCAAACGCCCCGCCTTGGCATGGTTGTTGAAGTGGCCAATTTGCGGGTTGGTTCTTCGTACATCTCCTCGTGCTCGTGGAGCCGAAAAAACACTCCTGTTTGGCGTCACTATCAAGACGATGCGTCCGCTCTACGAAAGAAGCGCATGGCGAAAGCTTAAGGCGCTATGGCACTTCATACAGCAACCCCCCATAACGCATACCACAAGGCGCCCTCGTCCGCTATATGGGCAACTATTACTATCCCATGTCTAAACATAGAATGAAAATTCGGAATAAGGTTTGCGGAGAGGGAATGCATCCAGTTCGCTAACCCCGAAACCCCGAACATGCAAGAAGAATATCACTAGCTGTGGTTGGTGGCTCTTGGATCCGCTATCATCCATCCCTCGGTGCATTCCAATTTCCAATAGACTGCTAGCCCTGCTAGCCCTGCTACCATCCAGCAACCTGCTAATAATGCCTTGGTTATTATTATTATTAGGGTCCCGCACTCGAGTGCTTTCAGTTGGGGCGGCAGGATGCAGCATCCACAGGCGATGACTAATCGGAGCCACCCTGCTTGCAAACGAGTACCGAGAACTTGGCGCTCTAGACTACCTTGGTACATGTACTTACGACCTACTACCTACTACCTACTACCTAGTAGGCACTGACGACTAATAATAAGTTCTGAACTACGAAGTGCTGATTGCCCAGTCCTCCCTCGACTCCTAGTCTCCTAGTCTCCTAGTCTCCTAGACTCCTAGTCTCCTAGACTCTTCCCACCCCCAATCTTGCCACTGCCGTGCCACGGTGGTCCACTACTGGCAAGGTCTGTGAGAGTGCCAGAAACTAGAATCTCGGGGACTCAATTAGGTATCCCGCCTGGCCATACTTCGTACGGCGTATGGCACATTGCTATTCCCGAGTAGCGGTGCATTCGCCTGCAGTGCCTGGAGCCTCCCCATGCTGGGCCTGTTCAAGCATTCACGTCACAAGTCCACATCGCCATGTCAGATGTCTCTGTAGCTTCGACTCAACTCGACTCAACCCCAGGCGGAAGCTGGTCTGATTGGGCCGGATAAAGCTGGATAAACACGAAGTAGGGTGCGGCACCGCGGGGCAAAATATTTGGTGGGGGAAGCTTGGGGCCGTGAACGGAGTGATCCATACAGAGCTATTTCAACAGGTCCACCAAAGCTTCCTCTGGAGAAGAAAAAGATTCTTCACATCTATCACCGTATTGCTCCTTTATTTCCAGAGGCATCTGAATTGAAACACCTGCTGAGTCCCGACAGAAATCATACACAACCAGACATAAAAATGGCCGAAATAGCTGAAGCAAGCGTAATCCCCCCCCCCCCCACTTACACACATAGAGCTTCCCCGACTTTGATAGCAATGGACAGCTAACATCGCCCCGTTCAGAATCTCTCGTTCGTCCTCAACAAGCCCTTTGATGTGAAGTTTGAGCAGAAGCCCAAACCATCCATTGAGTCTCCCCACGATGTCCTCGTCGCCATAAACTACACCGGCATTTGCGGTAGCGATGTCCACTATTGGGTCGAAGGGCGAATCGGCTCCTTCGTCGTCGACAGCCCAATGGTTCTCGGCCATGAGTCCGCGGGGACAATCGTCGCCGTCGGCTCTGCAGTAAAGACGCTCAAGGCAGGAGATCGTGTGGCCATTGAACCGGGAAAGCCATGCCGGTACTGCACCCCGTGTCTGGCAGGACACTACAATCTCTGCGATGACATGCGGTTCGCCGCCACGCCTCCTTATGACGGGACGCTCACCGGATTCTGGACTTCCCCGGAGGACTTCTGCTATAAGCTCCCCGAGCACGTAACTTTGCAAGAGGGCGCCCTCGTTGAGCCCCTCGCCGTCGCTGTCCATATCGTCAAACAAGCCGAGATCAAGCCCGGGCACACCGTTGTTGTCATGGGAGCTGGCCCCGTCGGCCTTCTTTGCTGCGCAGTTGCGAAAGCCTACGGCGCATCAAAGGTTGTCTCTGTTGATATCCAGCCCGCGAGGCTCGAATTCGCTGCTTCATTCGCAGCAACGCACACCTTTACCCCCGAGCGCGTGTCCGCCGAGGAGAATGCCGCGCGGCTCTTGAAGGAGGCGGGCATCGTAGGCGGCGCCGATGCGGTCATCGATGCATCTGGTGCAGAGCCATCTATTCAGACTTCCATCCATGTGGTCCGGAGGGGAGGCGTGTATGTCCAGGGCGGTATGGGGAAGCCAGACATCAACTTCCCCATTATGGCGCTATGCGTCAAGGAGGTCACGGCCAAGGGAAGCTTCCGGTATAGCAGCGGGGACTACAAGCTCGCGGTCGAATTCCTGAGCTCGGGCAAGGTGGATGTGAAGAGGCTGATCACGGGGACCGTGAAGTTCGAGGATGCGGAGCAGGCGTTTAAGGATGTGAGGGCTGGAAAAGGAATTAAGGTTTTGATTGCAGGGCCAAATGAGAAGTCTTGTCGCTGTATCGGTGGGCATTGATTTATGTATTTCAGCGGTATCTCTTTCAATGTATTCTCAAATAAATATCAAGTAGCAACACGCAGCCATTTGGCATTGAATCCGTCTATGGATCGGATTCAGTTATCCCTATCCCCCGGAGAGAGCTCCACATTTGCTTCCTCTCCCCAGCACGACGTCTATATAAATGTATTGTGCCTGCTCCAGACAGCCGGTCTAACAGGCAAAACCATCGGGAAAAGAGTCATTATCGTCGAACAAGAGGCTTGTCGACAGTGCATTGGACGCCAACCAACGCCTTTAATCTCCTGGGAAACATTGCCCCCAATATTAACATCAACAGCATCCCCCTCGTCTCCTCCTATTATTCCCACTAAGCGTAAAAACCTCTTCCCATTCTCTCATCCCCCCTCCCAAACCCCACCCACCTTTACTCCTCGTTTTCCTCCTTCTCCTAGCACCGCCCTCGTCTATCGTCATCCCACTCTTCACACTCGCTCCATCTCCGTCACCACCCCATCCTCCGTCACCATATTGAATCCCGCTCATAGGATCATCGGGATCTATCTCTCCCAGTTCGATCTTTGTCAATATCATCCTCGCCAATCTGGCAAATACCTCATCTACATTATCCCCACTTAACGCGGAGACCTCGACGGATACGGGTATATTATTTGACGACGCCCATGTCGACGCCTCTTCCGCGGTAACTTCTCGCCCATCTGCAACAGTGGCACGTAGCTGCGCCCCTAGACCCATGCCCGCCCCTCCGGATGTTGAGTTCACAGATGCTCCTCCATTTACAGGGAACGAGGAGCTCTTGCTGCTGACGCTCGATGGTGTCGCAGGAGGTAATGAGGTATCGATTAGGTTTTCGGCGAGGTCGAGTTTATTGCCCACCAGGATCAGGGTTAGGTTAGGGGAGGCGAGGGCGCGGGCATCGTTCATAAAGGGGGAGAGGGTGGAGAAGGTGTTGTGGGAGGATATATCGTAGACCAGTAATGCGCCAGCGGCGCCCCGATAGTATGAGCGGGAGACGGATCGGAATCGTTCTGTGCCTGCAGTGTCCCAGAGCTGGAGGTGTTAGCATATATGAATTCTGGCCAGAGAGTCATGGTGTATAATGTGAGCCTGTACTTGGAGTTTTATCCGCTTCCTCCTCGAGCCGGTGCCAACTTTTATTATCTTGCTTGCGAACTCTACGCCTATAGTTTGCGATGTGAGGACCCTCCATTCGTCTTTAACAAATCGGTGCAGTAGACATGACCTAGAATGTCGTCAGCGTCACAGACTCGGTCGTGGTAGAAAGTAGGGTATTGCCAACGCACTTCCCGCTGCCACTAGGTCCTAGTAATATAATCTTCGCGAGGTAGTCGTACATACTCCCTAATTCCTATCAAGATATTAATATATATCCTCCTTTGCAATCGATCTATGGAACAAACAAACCTGGTCGTGAGCTGTGCCAGCCGACTCTTCGCTGGCAGCGGACGATCTCCTTGGACGGACCATTTCAGCTGAGAGGATGGCACTTCCTGTGTCTTAGCTTAGTTCCGATTATTTCATTTGCTATGCGGCATGTGGTGTGCGACATGTGCAGACAACCAAACTTGCTTAGGCGCAATATTGTCGTCGTTTGTCGTCCGATCTCTTCCCTTATCGTTATGTTTTGTTATTCAGACTCGGCGGGCGCGGTGTGGTTAGAATGGTCTCCTGGCTATCGGGGTCGCAACGTCAGAATGCATTCGGCAAGCGCGGCGCCGACTGTCGTAAACACGCGTACTCGCATACGATACGATCACTGTACGAGTACGGTTCGTCTTTACAGGTGATGATGCACTGAGCCTCGGTCTACTGGATAAGAAGCACTTTGTAAATAACCTGGTGATGCAACCCTACAACAACTCTACACATATTTTTATATCTGCGCAACTCAAAATGAAGATCGAAGGACGCACATTTATTGTTTCCGGAGGGTGAGTCCATATGCATGTCGTCCGCGACAACAAACTGAGATGCTGATATGGTGTTCATTTCTAGTGCTTCCGGCCTGGGCCGAGCATGTGTGGAGGACATTTGCCGGGCAGGAGGCTATGCGGCCATTCTTGATATGAACGATGAGCTTGCCCAGGAAGTGGTGAAATCAATTGGTGGCGGCAAGACGAAGTTCTTTGAAGCCAATGTTTTAGAGACAGAGAGTATTGCAGCTGCTGTGAAGGGAGCCCTTGAGTGGGTGAAGGAGACCGGCAAGGAGGTCGGTGGAGTCATTGCCGCGGCAGGAGTTGCAACTCCAGCAAAGGTTCGTTTTCCTTTTCCTTACGGGTCAATTTGTAAGAGTCATTACTATGCAAGAAATATGTAAAGCAATGATCGTTAGTACATTGATTAGGAAAATGGCTTGCCTTCAATGCCCCTCTCAAGTGAGAGGTTTGGTGGTTGAAATGGAGACTTTGGCGTCCTAAATCGCCAGTCGTGGCCAAGACATTGAAACAGTCAGTTGTGGCTAGAGCTTTCCTTGCGGATTCCAAACCTTCTGAACTACCTAGTTCTGGGTTGGAGATTGTTTCCTAACTAAGATGGAATATTCCATGGAAGACACTGCTTACCAGCGAGTGCTGTGCCACGATATTCTTCCCCAAGAGGCAGCCTAATTGCCCTTAAACAAGGGATAGTTGCACAATGAACTTATGCCAAGTAGCAAGGACTTAAAATTCCTTTTTCTTGCTAGGATATTGGTATTAGATGAATAGAGAAACGCTATGATAATACATTGATCTAGGCTAGGAGTTCTAGCCGAGTGGTATGTGGCAGTCAAAGATTTTTTGAATAGCTAGCGACAGCACTCCGTCCTGGATAAAGCAGCTCCTCATCAACCTGGAAGGGAAGCTGAAGCCCCTGAAGGGTTGCCACAACATCAATATGTGATCCACCACGCTGCTCGCCGAGTGGTGATAAGGATTATCAGATCATCTCTTAAGCATAGATAGCGAACACCAACCCATCTATTGATTTTGGTTTCCATTCAATTATCTATAGCCGCTCCCCCGCTCACATATGTCTATCTCTAGATTATCGACCGTAACCTCGAGCCATTCTCCATGTCCGACTTCGACTTCGTAATGAATGTCAACGTCCGTGGCACCATTGACCTAATCCGCCAAGTCATCCCTCATATGGCGCGCAGTACACCAGTCGGGTCAGATGGTGAGCGCGGAATTATCGTCATGGTATCATCAGCTGCTGCATTCGACGGCCAACCTGGTCAAGGTAAACCCCCATAGCCAAAAGGAGGAATCATGAAGCTAATCACAGCAAAACTAGTATCCTACTCCGCCTCGAAAGGCGCCATCGCCTCCCTAACCCTCCCCCTAACACGTGATCTCTCCCGCTACGGTATCCGCGTTGTCACTATCGCTCCTAGCATCTTCGACTCGAGAATGACGGCAATGATGTCGGACAAAGTGCGCGCCAGTTTACTGCGCACCACGGAATTTCCACGTATGTTGCAAGCTTTATTTTCCTCTTTGGATCCTGTTCTCTTTCCTTGCCTAAGCGGTGCAGATGTAAGGCTGTTGCTTTATCGTCTTGGAAATTGGCTGGCTATGGAATTCGACGCTCGGATCCACGGATGGGGTACAGAGAATAAGAGGCTAACAAACTTGCTACCATATAGAACGCCCCGGCAAACCTCATGAGTTCGCACAGCTGGTGACACAGAGCATCGAGAACATAATGCTGAACGGTGTGGTGCTACGCCTAGATGGCGGTATGAGGATGCCAAGTAAGATGTGATATACTTCTCGAGGTCTGCTGTGATTTTTGGTTTGGTTGGTGTCCTGAGGATGGCGAAGAAACATAGGCTTCAGCCGTTTCTACAAATGTATGTGTATTGAACTACAAAAGTACAAGGTCGTTTTTCACTCTATATCAGCTGCAATCACTCCTTCAAACTCCCTTCCTCCCTGTCTTTCGACTCGGATTCCTAGAGATTGGTAAGGCATAAGAACATATAGCAAACACTACCCTCGTGACAACCGCTTTTGTCACTCGCAGAATACCCCTCCGCTCCTCTCAACAATCCTACTACAGCTCTAATTATGACTCCGAGCTTACCGCCCCTCGTGTGACCATCCTTCGCTAGGTTCCGCTGCAACGCACAGCTTGGACAACTCAGATGCAGAGGGCGCGTGGCGCGTGGGGGCAGGTAGATGAGCTCCCATGTTTGTTATTCGATTCTGCCACCGGGGCGTGATGCACCCTTCAGGGACTCTTTCTTTGGAAGGCAGTAAGGTGGCGATAACCTATCGATTGGGGAAGGCGTGGCGTGGGATGGTGATGTGAAAGACGTGAAAGAGTTATATGCCGTCCCGGCCGGGTATGATATCCTCCCCTCAATCATACCTTGAAGTTGAGATAGGGGGAGACGGGGTTTTATTGATATTCTCTCGCTCAACCTGAGAGCATATGGTACGTGTTGATAAACAAATGAGTGCAACGCTGCATGGGTTTCGAGGCCGCTCGAATTATACAGTAGGATTTCAACGTACCATCCATTTCTCAACCGCATGTTCCTAAATACATGTGGTCGAATGGCCAGGTTATTACCAACAGTAGTAGGTTACCATACGCTGTTCCCCTCCAGCCTCGCCGTTTGCCTCGGACTTGGACTTGAGCTACCCCGCCATTCCGCGAGAATTTGAGGTTGACTTCATCCATGAAGTTGATATGATACTGAGTGGCCCACCCTAGCCAATGCCGAATGATGACGGACAAACCTGGACTAGAAATGCTGCACAGAGAATACCGTTACATTATGATTTGCAATTCGCCATGAAGGTGTTCCATGGGTGAGAAAAGGAGAGCCAGTGAGCTCTAGGATAAGTTGTAAAGGTAGTGCACCGGCGGCATGACGCAAGAGCGGATAATTGATGGACGGGTGGTAGTGAGGGGGCTGACGCCAGCGCCCAACGCATGGACGATAAAATCGCTCCAAGGTTGAATGATTGACGATCCGGAGAATACAGAAGTTTGGTAAAGATAGATGTTATGAGGTACCAGGAATGATTTGGGAAAGGATGGATTCCGTGGCACAGCAGACCGGAATCCACCACCATGCAACAGACGCTGCGGTGGGACACGAGATTTTAACTAAGTCGAATGTGCAGCTCGGAACGATGTACAGCTAGCAAATAATAGCATCTCGGTAGGATATAGCAAGAAGTCCCCCATAGTGGTTAATATAAGTTGCATACCGATAATGGGAACTTGTGGTGCATCAGATGGTAGTCAACTGTCGAACTGGTTGAAGCGTTCCACCTGTCAGTCACCCCGCTAACACGTGTAAATTGCAAGAAGCACAACTAAGAGCTTAAAGTAGTGGGGCCAGTTATAAAATAGAAGGAAATATTACTTAAATTCTGGAGACTACCAACACGACAAGTGACTTCTCCAATCTCGCCCAAGAATCCATATTGAACAATTTATATAGAGCAGATGAGATTTTCGGAATACGATCACCCAGATTGATGAACGCTAACTCGCACAGACAATTATGCTTGGTGGCCGAAACAGGGTGGCATCTTACCCAGGGCAGCAAAACAAAATGCCAATGTCCTCACGTGGATAGTGGAGTAATAGCCGCTTGACTTTTAACACTTCAGCACTACGTAGCACTTGTGGGGTATATAGGTGATAACGCAACTCCGTTGGTTGGTCATAGGGGTAGGAGTGGTAAAGGATATTCCAAAGATAAGGGGGTGGATCAAGCAGTTGAGCTTACGGCCTCACGTGGCTCTGGAACCTAGGTGAAACTGCGCAACTACACGTTCCGGAGGTGATGAGGCAGACAAAAGGGGAACAAAATGATATAAATCAACTCAATGAGCGCCCACTTCTCGCAACAAGCCAGCCTCGGGATTTAGCCTGGTAACTTGGCGGAGGTTGAGGAAACCCTCCTCAGTGGCTGCGTAGATTAAGTTGACGGGGTGTTTCAGGTAAAAGTACGTTTCATTCAGCCTGCTTGCTGAATCGGGATCAGATGATTTGCATCTAATCTCTATTTTATCTTGGCCTTGCCAATTGCGTGCCAAAAGCCAGATGATGTGGGGTGTTGGTTCGGAGCTCAATTTATTCTGGTGAGTCTTAGGGCCATCGGAAATGGTATCGAGACGCCACGAAAATCAATAAGTATTGCTTCATGAAATTTGGTAAGGAAATCAAGCCTTGACATCCTTCCGACTAATGCTTGTAGACCATGGTCGAGCGTGGTCGTACGTGTATATGTATATATGACGGTATACAATCCAGTATGGCAGTCTAGACACTGCTGGCACTGACTCGTGCATTGTTGACATGATGAAGTGCCAATGTTAGGGAACTGGTAGATATACCAGCCAACCTAACCACACCTTGATAAGGTATGCGTTGACAGTGGTAATATATGTGTTCAGGGGCGTCGTAGGTACTATACTGCCATTTTTGGTGTTATATCATCTGTAACAGAATCGCAAGGCTCATAATCGGATGTTGCACATGATCGCGACGAGCCTTGTGCAGAAATGTTTGGAGGACAAGCGGTAGCCTTGCCAGGATCACTGAACGGCTGGTAGGGAATAGACCCGCGGGGCATTTCATGCTGCGTTTCCACAGAGCTTTCAGCGTCATCCTTCCTTCTAGAAAGATGGGACTCTGCGGTGGTGGGAATGCCGGACGACCTGCATGGCGCACGTCTTCCCTCTTCCAGCCACCCGGAAGTGCTGGCTCCGTGATTGTTTGGGATGGGTACTCGGGAGAGTGAGAAATGATCCGCCTCTCTTGTCGTATGTTTTGCGCCTAGGACGAGAGTATCTGTGTCATGGGGGCGGAGGTCTGTTTGTTATCTCCTCTTTGGAAGTTCAATTGGCTGCTATCTGAGAAGGGAGCTTTGCAAAACCAGACATATTGGCTCATGAAGCTCCAGGTAGCACAAGGGCGGTAGTCTCGGCTTGTGCCCATCCCACATCCCACCCCATCGTGTCCCATCCATAGATCTAACGGCAAGCCACGCCGAAGACCCCGTCTGCTGGAACCTCATGCTGCCGTTGGGACGCTCGTGCGGCTTGTCAGTTACAGTGCCAGAGCCTGGTGATGTGGCCAGGGCAGCCGATCGGGTGGTGGCTGCAGGATTTGGTGCAGGGAGCTTCGTAGATACGTCGTTCCTGGATCCTGGATGCAAGCAGCGAACGATAGTAGTGTAGTGTCCACCGCAGGGTGAAGGCTCCAGAAGCTTTCAGTAACGGGCGTCTAATCTAATGCCAGATACCCTGGGACCAGATCAATTTGAACTTGCGGTGTGATGGGCGGGAGAGGGGAAGCTTTCGTGGTACATGTCCAAGTAAGACATGGAAAGGTTGAAGCTTGGGGCTTGGAACTTGGAGCTGACGAGCACTCGTAGAGCTTGAGGACTGAAGAGTGGAAAGCTGGCGGCCGGGATGGTTGTTTGGGGCTTACCCGAGTCTCGCTGGGAGCCAACCGGGGAATTCACAACGACGGCGTCCTGCGTAGATCGTCCTCCCTTCAACACCGTCGTCAACATGGCAATAAATGAACCACTATTCGCGGCCATCCTTCCCATTACCCCCTGACCACAATTTGTATGTCGGTGGCTTGGAGCTCTCGCCCTGTCCCTCTCTTTGGAACGTCGTGTTGGGCCGGTGCGGAGGTCCAGGTAGGTGGCTTTCCGTCCTCTCTGACCCTGATATTGATCTATTGATATCGGGACTTATCATTGCCCCTCCTCCTCCTTCTCCCCTCCGGCCGTCACCGACGATAACGACTTACTCGACTACTGTCCCTCGTTTGCCCATTATTCTAGTCCGGTGGGGTTACACCTACCTAGGTAGTGTTGGCCCTTGATTCGATCAAAACACCACCATCCTCGTCCAGCTCCTCACCGTCACATCGTCGCATCATCACACGGCATCATACGGAAGCATCAACATCCCACGCCCAGCCCCACGGCCCATCCGCAACTCTATAGTGGATCCGCTGCTGCACAGATGCCAGGATCATCGTCACCAGCTGTCACCGTGTTTGTGTCCGAGAGATATCGATGTCAAATATATCCAGGCCCCACTCCTCTGTACCGAGCTGCTCTCTCTTCCACGTTGGCCCGATATTACTTTACCCCCTGCTGGCAACGGCATAAAGGTCCCGCGTCTGAAAACATACACTCACGCTAGAGCTTTAGTTTTGGTAAGATCATACGCCGGTCATATATAATTTGCGGCTGCCTAACACTTTTGCAGCTCGAATCCATGAGGGTTAGGTGTGCCAGGGAAGATCCATAATCCTCGTACCAGAGTTGACCCTGCCTGTCTATATTACTAGTTGCGCTTTTCCTCTTCTTCGATCAATCGTGCGTCTGTGTTCCTGTATAAGTATCGGGGGGAATAAGCGTCGAAATTTTCTTCTTCTCAAAATTCCAAGCTCAACCAGCTCAATCTACTCGTTGACAATGTCGAAACACATCACCATCCCCATTGACAGCGGTTGGACTTTTAAACAGGCAGACAAGACCGAGTCGGAATTTCTCCCTGTTGCCCAGTTTCCTACGAATGTCCATCTAGACCTTATTGCCAACAACATCATCGCCGATCCCTTCATAGGAAAGAACGAGAATGATGTTCAATGGATTGGTGAGGTTCCCTGGGTCTATAGGACCACCTTCCCATCCCCCACCCTCTCCACAACTGAGCGGAGGACGATCAACGCGGTCCTGGCATTTGATGGTTTAGATACTTTTGCCACGGTGACCTTGAATGGTAAAACGATTTTGAAGACAGAGAATATGTTCATTCCGGAGCGAGTGGATGTGACAACAGACCTGAAAAAGGAAGGCAATAATGAGCTAGAAATCACATTTGAGAGTGCGTATCTCAAAGGTTGTGCCCTCGTGGAGAAATACCCCGATCACCACTGGGGATGCTGGAATGGTGATAATTCCAGGCTTGCGGTTCGCAAGGCACAATACCACTGGGTATGGCTCCCCTTTACCTTGTAAGCATACATACTCACATATATCGACAGGGGTGGGACTGGGGACCCGCACTGATGACATGCGGTCCATGGAGACCGATCAACCTCGAGATTTTCTCGTCGCGCATTTCGGATCTCTACTTCACAACCAACGTTGATGAGTCACTTAAATCCGCCGAGTTTGTAGCGAAAGTTGATATCGAAGGCGATGCATCAGAGGTCGAGCTCCATATATCCCTAGATGGCGAGGTTGTGGCTTCAACTACTGTAAAAGCCGTCCAGGGCCATGCGACCTACACCTTCACCACCCAGAACCCGGAGCTATGGTATCCTATCCGCTATGGCAAGCAGCCTCTTTATTCTGTCACTGGGAGACTGCTTCAGAATGGCTCGGAACTCGACGCCAACACCAAGAAATTCGGTTTGAGAAGAGCAGAACTCATTCAACGCCCCATGAAGGAGCAGCCAGGCACAACCTTCTTCTTTGAGATCAACAATGTTCCTGTCTTCTGTGGAGGTAGCGATTGGATCCCAGCAGATAACTTCATCCCAAGGATTACCAAGGAGAAATATTATGACTGGGTAAAAATGGTAGCTGACGGCAACCAGTTTATGATTCGGGTTTGGGGTGGTGGAATATTTGAAGAGCAAGCATTTTATGATGCATGTGATGAAATGGGTATCCTGGTTTGGCAAGATTTCCTGTTTGGCTGCGGGAACTATCCTGCCTTCCCTGAATATTTGGAGTCTGTGAAGAGAGAAGCAGAAGAGAATGTGAAGCTTCTTCGGCACCACCCTTCGATTATTATCTGGGCCGGAAATAACGAGGACTATCAATACCAGGAGTCTGAAAATCTAACATACGACTTTGAGAACAAGGATGCTGAATCCTGGCTCAAGACAGATTTTCCTGCTCGGTACATCTACGAAAAGATTCTGGTAGACACTTGTAACGAGTTGATACCAGACACATACTACCATTTTGGCAGCCCATGGGGTGGTAAAGACACTAGGGATCCTACAGTTGGTGATATTCACCAATGGAACGTCTGGCATGGCACACAGGAGAAATACCAGAACTTTGACAAGCTTGTGGGCCGATTCGTCTCCGAATTTGGCATGGAAGCCTTCCCAAATATCAAAACCATAGAAGCATTCCTTCCTTTGGGAAAGGATGATCCCGATCGATTTGCTCAATCATCCACTGTGGATTTCCATAACAAAGCTGATGGCCACGAACGCCGTATCGCGCTGTATCTCGTCGAAAACTTCCGTTATGCACCCGATCCGTTGGAGCAGTTCATTTACTCAACCCAACTCATGCAAGCAGAATGCTTGGCCAGTGCCTACCGTCTTTGGAAACGTCAGTGGAAGGGTCCAGGCAGGGAATATTGCGGTGGTGTGCTTGTATGGCAGACTAATGACTGCTGGCCGGTGACCTCCTGGGCTATTATTGACTATTTCCTCCGTCCTAAACATGCTTATTACACCGTCAAACGCGAAATGGCACCGATTTCACTCGGAGTCACCAGGACAGAACATTCTGTGCCGAAGGACAAAAATACTCGGGCTTATATCGAGAAGACAACGAAGATCGAAATCTGGGGCTCCAATCTCACGTTGGAAGACTTGACCGTCGACGTGGTAGTCAAAGCTTTCGATGTTATCATAGGCGAAGAGACTTATTCGAAGACTGTCAAATCATCCTTCCTCCTCCCGGAGAATCGAAGCACCGAAATTGTCGACTTTCCTGTCCCAGTTCGTAACAAAGATTCAGGGGAGGAATACAAGACGGTAGTCGCTGCCTACCTGTTCCAGGATGGTGTCCAGATAGCACGGTATATTAATTGGCCGGAACCGTTGAAATACGTTCATCTGCAGAAGCCCAAGAGTCTCCAGGCAGAATTGAGCAGCGATGCAAAGGTGGTCGAGATAAGTGCTGAGGTTCCCGTCAAGGGAGTAGCCCTCGAGTGTGCTGACGGTGAGGTCGTATTCGAGGATAACCTGGTGGATATCATACCGGGAGAAACTGTCTGTATTGGAGTCAAGGGCGCAGGAGAAGGAACGAAGATCGAAACAAGGTATCTTGGGATGGTTTAAGAGCAAGGAGCGGAGTACTCAGAGAGTTACTTAATGGGACGGAGCAATGAAGACCGGAGTGGGGTTCATGTAGTGCCTTGTCTGCTGAGTGCCAGTTCTAATTCTTTTCTTTTGGTTGTTGATGGGATCGGATGGAGTGGGCCGGTGGATGGTCGATCGAGGCATATAATGGAGAAGTTGGTCCAACCAGCTGCTAATTTAGCAAATGCGTTGATTTGGCCCTCTGTTTACACATTCATATCCCTTTTCTTCACTGTATCCAAGAAAACCAACAACGCGAGCTAGTGCTCACTCATTCACTTCTTTACCATCGTATCTATCTGTGGGGAAAGGCGTCTAGAGCATAATATGGCTGTGAATTTACCCGCTCATTTAGCCGGTCCATATCCCCTATCCGTCTCATAAGTACACTTACCATACGTACAACTTCTCCGCACCATTTGACGTCAACGGCATGCATTCATCTATTTCTCCGTCTTGGTTTCCAAATTACTGGTTTTCCTGGGACTTTCGGGTTAGGTGATAGCGATGAAGCGATAGATGGCTATGATAAGGTAAGCCAGGAATGAGATGGGGGTCCTTCGTTCTCTCGCAAAGCCTCTGCTATTGAGTTGAATGTAACTCTGCATTGCTAGTCAGGCATCGAATTGGCCACACCAATGGCTCAGTACTAATCCAGGCTGGTCAATAGAGTGGGACAACACGAAACACTCAAAACTACAACTCTAGGCTGTCGATTCCGGATCCTGAACTGAAAAGGTGGTGCCTGAAGAATACTCTAGAACTTAGTAACGAAGGAGTTAATTCTCTGTTTGAAGCCCATATGAGTTAACTAAACCAATATTCCGATGCTGTCCGGCCATGGTTGTTAGGTGGAAATAGAACGCTGTAACTTCGTTTACCAAGACCTCGCTCAACAGTATCTAACAGACTGTGCTTCTAACAGCAACAACCTAACTGCCCCATCCATAAAAGCTATTTCTGTAAGATAGGGCTTGGGTAAGTAATATTTACTACTACCTAATAAGCGCTCTCTTGGAATTCTCGCACCTTTTTCTTATGTGACTTGAAATTCTGGTGTGACCAAGCGCGTCCTCATCCCCCTTTTTGGGCTTCGCTTAGCCAAGGGTAGCCGAGCGCTCGTCTTGGAAAAACAAGAAACCAAACAGCGCATACGGGTATCTGCGTCATGACGTTAAGGCTGATATTAGCATGGCATGGCTGCTACTGAGTCAGACGTACCTTCGGAGTACAGTAAGCACATCTTAGCTGTTACAGGTCCTTGATATAAGGCATGGGTTATTATCCTCTCTATCCTCCCCTCCATCCGTTTTGTTCGTAAAGAGAGGAGTTGAAACTTCAAAAGCACTGCCAACCGTTCGGGCAATATATTCCGTTAATATTACTATCGCAATGGGTGGTGTTGCCTCAGTGCCGGATGACCCCACAAGGTCACTAAAGATTATCGGCGCAGGATATTCGAGAACAGGAACGCTGTCAATGGCACTCGCGCTAGAGAAACTGCTCAATGGGCCTGTGATGCACGGTGGCTCACAGCTGCTTGGTCGAGAAGATGGTACGACTGATTAACTTAAAACCTGACATGGCCGGAGCCTTTTATTTTATGTTTAATGCTATCATTCTAACACAGCGCAGCCTATGTCAAGCTCTGGTCCCAGATATTTGACGCCCGCCACGACAGGCCCCACCTTCTTAAGCTCCTTCGCGAAGCCACCGCTGGCTTTGTAGCTATTACCGATGCGCCGGGGAACTGCTTTATCGCGGAGCTACTAGAGCTATACCCCGATGCCCAGGTCATTTGCGTGCGTCGGGACCAAGCGAGGTGGTGGAGGAGCTGGGAGTCTGTAACGAAGCAGGCGGGTGCGGGCTTCTTAAACTTGTTCCTAGCACCAGTGCCAGGGAAGAGGTGGTATCCAAAGCTCGTCACCCAGTTTTTGGAGCAGTAAGTAATCTCAATACGCACCTAACGAGGTTTTATGCAGTATAGATTAACGCTGCCTGCGTTTCCTTCTAGGCAAGAGGAGAAATGGGGTCCTATGACTGAAAATAGGTCTCACAATTGCTTCATTTTATTCTGGATTCTCTGCTAAATAATAGTAGGACGAATGGAGGAGCATAATGAATACGTGAAGGGAGTGACACCTCCAGCCAAGTTTCATATTATAGACCTGAGTGGGGGATGGGCTCCTTTGTGTAGTATCTTAGGGACGCGCATCCCAGATGAGCCATTCTCTAAAGCAAACGACGCAGATGCCATCAAGGGCCTAGCTAGCCAAATCCTCGTCGAAGCTGGATCGCGATGGGCCGGGATATTCGCAATAGCTGGAGCTGTGGGGTATAGTGCGTGGTGGTTATGGCGGAGTGGCATTCTCTAGTCTACCAGCGGGAAACGGGAGGTGCGGCGTCGGGAATATTATAGAACTTATTAAATAAAAATAATACCAGCTCCTCGCTAGTGCCAAGTTACCAGACAGTGCAAATAAAACATTCACCTATGTAAAGAACTGCCAACCAAGAAATAGCCCTTCTGGCATCTTTCGTCGTCAGCCTCATTAATGGCCTTGTCTGCCAGTTTAATATATCAATACTCGTCCTCCATAACTCACCAGAGCACCCCAATCTCGGATTATTATCCCTCTCGCTTTGTGTCTCTGTCGTTTTCGCTTGCTCCCTCAAAATATTCAACTTCACTGAAACATTCAACTTCCCTGAAAGGCTGAAACATTCAACTCCCCCAAAACATTCAACCTCTCTGTATTCAAACTTCAGCTTTCGTCCCAGCTCACCATGCCCTTAACTTCTTACGTCTCCAAATGTTGTGGCTATAAACGGACTTTCCATTGGCATTGAAACAGAGCTTTACTGTAAGCCATCACTTTCAGCCCAAGTCAATGTATGCATCTATTTACGTGTCACCTTTATCCCCACCCCACGCGAAGACTTTTAAATGTTGGTAATGATACTTTCAAGGCCACTGGAACTTGTCTCTCTCCTATTCTCGAATTCACTAACGGTTCCAGTTTCCGTCTGTTGATAGGGATTGTACTTTGGAGAACATGAATACCTCACTAATATTAAGACTTTAAGGTTTTCAGGGGTACCAGGGAAGAAGGGTGTAGATAATTCTCGTCAAAAGCCGCTTAGCCTACATAACCCCTACGACAATGTTTCTCCAAGTCTCTGATCTGACCCCGCTTCAACCCCTTTCCATATTTTGCTTCAGCTCACCTCAAGGTTCTCTCTCTTTACACTTCTTTTCTCTTCCACTTCCGCGACTACTAGATAATTCCATAATAACAAAGTTACATTATTATCACCCCACTCCGACGCCTAGCGGCAGCAACTATCATCTCTCGGCTTTAGTTGTGGTTGCGGTTTCGTCGTGGACTCGGAGCATTACATAGCCTGATTAACGCCGAGCACTCTCTATATACCGATAGCTAGCGGCAAGATGCCAGTAACTATCTTATTCTGCCTCGGTTTTATGTTGCCTCCTTCGATTCCGAGCATTTTTAACGTGAAATATTTGCGAAATCCTTGGGAAACGTAGAATGTACCACATCTGCTGCCATTTCCCTAGCGAACATAACCACACGCTTCGGTTTCAGGAATGTATTGTGATCGTCCTAGAGATGCAACCTCCCTACGGAGATTCTAGAGTACAAGAATATCATCCCTTCTTGCCAGCACGCCTAGGGCATAATCTTGTCATGGCCATTGCAATACCTAGCTAGATTCAAATTGATGGCCTACCGCGTGCACTACCAAGGGAGAATAATCGTCCCGATGAAATGCCACCCAAGACTGATAGCCAACCACGAACGCGGACTAAGAGCCAACTAGATACAAATATTCCCAAATCGTCTTTCAGTAGTAAAGTATATTAGCTAATGGTATGACTGTTTGCCCTGCCCCTTGATTTCAACATGCCAATCAAACCACTAATAAATTTAGTAATTGTACATTCAAGTTCAATGTCTCAAGGTCATCTAGACATTAGAGTGCCAGTTTTTTGGTTCCGCAGCGAAGTCCGCTCTTAGTTGGAGGGAGGGCCACTTGAAATCGGTTCGAAGACTGGTACCAAGCCTCGCCCTTTATCGATTTGATAGACATGATGGAGAATTGGAGACGAGGCAAGTTGGAGCCATTGAGCTGCAGAGAGAGAAAGCTGAGAGCTAGTCGTCGAATTCGCCACATGGCAGGAATTTCTGTGCAGGAGGCAGACTGAGATCCTTCCTCGACATCTACAAAACAACAATAGGCAAAACTCTCCAATGAGTCTCCATATTCCAGGCGTATACCCCCAAAATCAGGTCTTGTTACCGTCCTAGTAGATTCTGCCAGATTTCTTGAACTTCTACGCGTCTGTGACTCTGTGGCGACGAGCCTGGACCCCGATGACCCAGACTTCATTCTACGGCAGGTGGATAGTAAGAGAAACAGATGAAAGTCTAGATCCTTACTTGGCCAGATTCTTCTCTATAGAGCTGAGGATGGAGAGACTGGTAGCTCATGTTATGTAGGAAAGGGGGGGCAAGAGTATTGTACTGGCGAGGAGCTGGAGCTTGGTCGTTCAGTGGTTGGGAGGAGGCTTTGAGTAAGTGGTGGAAAGAGCGGGGTGAAAAATCAATGATATAAAAAAGCAATAAGCATGAAGGCAAATAGAATGTGCTTCTTCTTATGAGGCTGTGTACAAAACGAAGAATAGGGCGTTTGGGACCAGACCTTTCTTTAGACACTTTTTCTTTAGGGCTAATACTTAGACGTTCTGTGCAATTTATGAAATAAAGTAAAGAGAAAGAAATAGCAGATTGCCGCAAGCCTTTCAAACGCTTTATTAATAGTAGCAAGCTTCCTATTATGGCCGTGGATATAGCGTCTCTATATCTACTATATTAAGTAGTATTTGTAGAGGTAGTAGTAGTAAACGAATTACTAGTAGAGTGGTTGTTTTATACATTGTGTTGATATATTATACGTGTTACGTATAGCGGATTAAATAAGAGCTTATTCAAAAATACACTCCAACCCTATAACTTTTATTTGTATAGACGATTTAAAAATATTTTAATAGGCGCCTATTCCAATATGTGAATCTAGACAAGGTTTAACGAAAAGTTACCTATTTTTTATCTGTCTAGCCCACTTTTAAGAAGATGCGCTCAACCAAACAGGACCTAACCTTTTAGGTCAGTCAGCTTTCTTCTACCATTTTATATTACAAGATAATCCGCAGTTTTAGAGACCCAAGCGCGTATTGTGGAGAGTGTAACTGACGCGCATAACACAAATCTATGGGCTAGTTAATATTATATGTGCTCCTCTTTTGTAGATATTGCGGTGTATTGAATTGTGCTCTTGTACTATCAGCTCTGCGCACTTTTAATCTGTTCTAGCTTTTCGGGCGTAGCAGAACATATCCGCTGGATAGCTTCTCCGCTCCCTCTCACGGATGACGATGAGTTTCTCGTTCGTTATGTCCGAACCTAGAGTTGAATTTGGTTGCAGAGCGAAAGTGGCCCTCGCAAGTGGGGGGCAAAGGAAGAGTGAAGTGCAGTGAAGTAACGTAGAGGTTATACGAAGCTAAATGGGGAGATCAACTGCCTAAACCGATTCGAGGAAGATAACATGCAATGTACAGTTTACTTGGAAGCATCACAATTATATCTGCACTGAAAACCTTTCCCATTGATTGGGCAGAAGGATGGAAGAGGTGTCATGGAGCATTTTCCATTCATTTCTCAATATTCTCAAAGTTCCAATCAAGCATAAAATTCCTTTTAATGTACCTTCTCCTCGAATATTTCGAAGATCTCCCGTCCAGCCCAGGGGCGTGTCGTAGCGTTCTGAGAACCATCAGACAATGCGCTGTGAGGTTGTTAGAAATTGTTACATGTCTGGACTGGAATGCAACTTTACCTCCCCAATAGTAAATACTTGGTATTCACAAGCTAAAGTCGTACGAAATATCTGTAAATTCCTAATGCTCTTTAGATTTTAACATTCTAAAATAAATTTTAGTGATGCCTAGCCCGCTACTATTGTAAATGCAAGACTAGTGCGGTGGAGCTTTTGTAGAATAATTGTTCTGCTGGAGTTTGCGTTTTCGTATATAGGCCCGAGATATGCATTCCTTACTCTCCAAGAAAATCCATTTATAGCAGTTATCCACTACTAGGAATGGTAAAATGTAGGCTCCGAATGTGTAGATTAATCCCCGTGTTGTTTGAATGAATCTAGTAAATTATACTAGTAAGAACACAGATGAAAGATGATAGAACCCAACTATTGATGACGGTGTAGCCAAAATATGGTTGGTAGAATTCACAACGCGAAGCCAGGCGCCGTTCCTATGCATAAAGCAGAAAGTGGAGAGGACAACCTCGACAAGATCCAGAATAATCGTGAAGTCCGAGTGCAATAAGCTTCTAGCCCTACTATCCCACCTGTGGGGACATAGACAGTGAGGCCGTCGGCATACCTCTTCTCGCGATACCAAGATAGACATCTGAAAAACCGTCGCCTAAGAGCTTCTGTAATGGAATGGATAATATCTTGATTAAATTTTAACAATGCACCTATTTGGATCAAGCAAGGTAGCTGGGAAGTCAGCGCCACCCCACACTACCTGAGTCATTGGATAAAAGCTAGAGAGCGGTGTAGCAGTCTAGTTTAGGTCTTTCTAATATTAGTCGAGATAATTTTATAGCTTTGGACTAGCTTGTATTGTAGTTACATTAGAAGATACTTCCCTTCACAATTCCATATCATGCGCAGCCTTTACTAGGAAGATTTCTAATCTAATCACTTTCCCAATCAACACCAAAAGGCTGGATCGCGCAGATGCCACTGAGACTATTAATATATTTCGCCGCAGTTATGTCTCTGGGAAGTTTGAAGTCGCATTCACAATCTCGATCTATAGCCAAGTCTCGAATATATGCCTTGCCAAAGACTGATATCATGTGCGGGTATAGATATGACCCTCGCAATAGCATTATATGTGACTTGGAGGGCGAGGAAGATGCCAGATGAGACGTCTCACCGGATATAGACAGCGGTTGGATCCGACGGATATGTTTAGGGAGGCACCAGCGCGGATGTTGGACTGACAGCAGGCGTCGAAGCCTTGCAGACTTTGCTGAGGGAGTTGGCCTCAGCAGAATGTATAGCAGTCGGTCGCAAAAAACCACTCTTCGTGAGAATAGATGGTTTCTCTCCGAAAGGTGTAGATGAATTATGTAAGTGATTAGGAAAGTGGTGGTACTCTTTCCCGCTTAATATGGATACTCAAAAATGCACACCTTTCGGCCCCCTTGCCGGTCTTTCATTTTTCGTGGATGGAGTGTGTATTACCTACCTAGGTATGTGCTTAAAACGAGGACAAGCTAGTGATTATGGATAATGGGAAGCTCTAGTACTCTGTACTGCATATTCTATCATCGGGAGATGCAGGAAGGAACTTGATTGCGATCCAAGATTACGTTCGGAAAACCTACGGAAACGTTGCATTGATATTCACAGTCCATTCTAGAGTGATATTTATCAACCAGTGATCAAAAGCAAGACCTCCCACAACCAAGCAACAAACACTCCACATTGGCTATATCCCTTCTCTAGACAGGCATCACAGACACCGTTTGGCATGTATTGACTGCGAACATTTTTCATCCTGTCCAACCGTCGAAGATGTTCCTCATTCCCCACGCTTCATGTTCTCCTCTCGCATCGCCCCACGTTTCTTCGCTTTCTTCGCTTCAGCTCTCCTCCCACTGTCCTCGATATCTCTCCCTAGCTGCTGATATTGCTGGCCTAATTTAGTTCGGTTGAAAACCCACATCCAGGCGAATTGTCCCATTTGGGCATATACGGGCAGATAAAAGTACGACTAAAAGCCGCCCCCCTTGACCCAGGGAGGAGAACCACCGATGCGGCAGTGAGAGTAGTCTTGTGACCCTTGTGAAGGGGCGCATGGTTGTTGTTTTGTTTGTGGGCTGGCCTTCTACTGGGCCTGGATATTCGGTGCTGGAGAGAATTGAAAGGAGTTGTTTCCGAGCCTTTGGTAGTTTAATAGCTTGATAGTTTGATAGTTTGATTATAAAAAGTCTCTTAAGAGATGAGAGGCACATTCTGGCTAAGGGTAGTAGGGGTTGTTAGATAACAATTCCCGCAGAGCCCAAAGGGTGACCAAAGTGGTCACGCGAGTCTAGCTCGAAATGGCCTATAGTAACCAGAGCGGACAATAAGTTATGGCTACCTGACCCTAACCGTGGACCTAAAGATCCAAAATGTGCCATGTATTGCGGCCAGCCTGCGTACCGTAATCATCACCTACCTGTAAGTATATAGGGCCGTACAAAGGTAGAGAGGAAGGGAACGGTCCTTATCCCGAGGCCTTTGCTCCAGGCCTGAATGCCCTGTAGCCAGAGCCTGAAGCCTACTGCCGCCGCGTGCTTCAGCGCCTTCCTTCAGGTGCACTCACTCACTACTGTGTACCCCTAGAGGTGACACTATAGGACGACGCTTCAAGGGCTCATGCCTGTAGCACCCGTCTGACTCAGGGGGGAATTTCGTCAGGACCACTCCGACAGGTGTAAGCGAGGTTTAGCCTACCAATCCCCGACCTCGCTTCGACCCGCTCCACATTTCGCTTCGGTTCGTCTCCAAAAACAAAACGAAATGTATCGAACAGCTCGCCATCAACATCAATAGATATCAATGGGGAAAAAATAAGCAAAAATGTATCAAGATATCAGAGATATCAGGACGGCGCTAGCCGAGCTTGGACAATCAGGGAATCGAACCCTGGACCTTTCCCACGTAAGAACATTCGAGTTCGAATGTCGCATGCTAAGGGAAAATTATACCACTAAACCAATTGCCCCGATGAACAAGTGAGCCAATCGGCTCGCTTTTTATGAACACATCGCATATTCAACACTATATAGTATACCGGATAGATTCTCAAATCTGCGTTTCCGCCAAATAGACCGGCTAACAGGTAGTATTCTATTCCGGATTACAGAGTTATGTTATTTGGATCTTATTTCTCGGAACTCATGTTTGAAAGATGTGCTCCTTTTGCGCGACAAAGACAGAATGCTAGGCTTGAGGTGGTTCCCCAGATTGTGTCGCGATGCCTCGATTGGTCCTAGCGCGAATCGGCAACATTTTGCCCCAACCTCAGCTGTATAAAGTCCAGGCATCGACCTACCATCTTCCACACCACCGCCTCAGACTCGAATCGGAAGCTAGTTACCAAGTCCCCGTAATTGAAAATCATGTCTACTCCCGCCGAGACGGCCAAGGTTGCCACCATTATACCACGGGCGAAAAAAACGGATATACAAGTCACAGAGTTTAGAAGGCGTGAAATAATTTCATTAAAGAGAAATTAACCGTGTATCTATTACATCCATTACATCCATTGTATCTATTGTATTCATTGTATCCATCGTAGTCATGACACACATCACAAGCCAGTTCGATAAGCGAGTGCCGCGTCACTCCCCGACTCCCCGCGGCCGGCGTTGCTTTTTGATCACTCACCAAACTGTGATTTTTTATCAACCTGCGGGTTCACATTCACCATGGCTAAAGGCAAAATTAATATTGGGGATTCAGTTTCCTTTGTGAGGGAAGAAACGTCACGCTTAACCGAGAAAGCGGAGTGGCGACTGGAGGATGATCGTCTTTGGCGGGAGTTCCTAGTAAGATCGATACGCGGTTCGCTGTTTTAGTAGGATTAGTTGCCTAATATTTATCAGACCGACCGAAATACTTTCTTTGATAGGATAAATATCGCGAAAAACCTATCAGTAAAACAAAAAAATGGCTGTTGAAGACCAGTTTACGGACTGGGTGAGGGAGTCCGTTGAGTGGTGGGGAGGTACTTGGGCAGAGTACTATGGACTTGCAGCGTGGCATTTGACTAATTATCTACGGCGAAAAAAGAAAAATGAAAACGAATCTACTTCAGGTAACCTTCTTACGTATAGATACGTACAAATAGCTAAGTAATAATCAGCTTCGACTAGCCAAACACGCAACTCTACGGCGGTTGGTGCCGAAGATAGTACTAGCGTAGGATTCGACCCTATCCGTGATGTATAAGACAAGGGAGCACGGCTTTCTACTTATTTAGACTGGAATAATCAATCAACTCAATCCCTCTATTCCAAGTCCTATAGCCTCAACACTATAGGTTTAGACGACCAACAATATATAGACTTAGCTACGAATCTCTTCCTCCATAGAGAGGCCTGCTTCTTCGTTAAAGAGAACTCGTAACTCTATTATATATTCTTCTCGCTCAGCGACCTTTCTCTTAGCAACTAGAAGAGAACCTTAGCACCAATACTGTGAAAGTATCAGCTCGGTCTTTGTAGAGAGAGGAAGAAATCTAGGACCGATATAATCTAAGACTAGAGAAAACGTAGTATTTACAGACGTAATACAATGTCAAAACTATACTACTCCAGATTTCTAGCTATTATATATAATTAGTATCAGTGAAGGCGAATTCGTTGGCGTCATCTTAGCTTCTTCCTCCTTGAATATATCAATAAACTCCTGGTGAACTATATCAAATTCACTAAAGCTGTCTTCTATTATCTCATCAATACCGCACCCCGTAAGCTAATAGAGAACGGAAAGCACCTCGGCAAGTAGCGCACAAACCTACTCATAGTCTATAAGATATGTAATATTCTAGTCTTTGTCGACGAAGATATTACTCGTATAGAAATCGGTAAACTAAAGACGGAATAGTATATTACGATTTTCCCGCTAAATGTAGTAGTGTGAGAGTGCCCTGGGCATTGCTTTAGCAGCTATCTGGCCGAGACAGTCTTCCGTACTATGAGCTTTATTTAGATTACTAAGAAAGAAGTTACTATGAAATATGAGTATATCTGCGACAAATCGCTTAGTACAAGTATATATTTCATTTCTCGATATTGATCTTCGGGCGCCTTCATTCTCCAAAATGATAATCGAGCAAGACAGCGGTCGGTTTGACAGTGTAATTGTGCTGTTATTATAGAATTAGAACGAATGTGAGCTAAAGGAAAGATCAAGCGCGCTATACCTCGGAAGAGCTTTTGCTTCCGGACCAGGTCCTGTCAATACTTATCCCATATATCTGAGAGTACTTCGCCTTTATCGTCGCCGATGTACTCGAGGAGCATATATACAGTAGGTAGGCTTAGGTAAGTCGGACTTAGAGCATATTGAGACAAAGCTGGGTATCGAAGATAGTTGCGGGAAGATCGCTGGAACATACGTCAAAGACGAAGATAAAAAAGCATTTGTTACTCGTGTATAAACTATAGACGAAGTAACAATGTTAGCACGGAAACCTCAAGAAATATAATAACCTACGTGTCGGTTGTCAGAGAAGCCAAAGCTATACAGGTATGGAACGGGAATGTCGGAAATACCTCCTGATCCTTGGCCATTTCTAGGAAGGGTAAAGTAGAATTATAGGGGGCAGGGGTGATACGAAGGATTTTATGCAACGCCCATGTATCGCTCTTGCTTGCTTTATAAAACTCGAGATGGTCAGGGCCCAAAAGTACCAAGGCAATTTAATATGGCGGGGAGTGGCACAGCCCGACCACCTGAGATCCTTTCTACATTGGGGACTAGTTGTCTGGCATTCTGCGGGGGAGACACTGGTCCAGTCTATCTGCAACACTCTGTTGCTCAATTTAGCAATTTGTCAACTAGATGGATGCCCTGTACGTCAATTTCACATACAAATTCTTATAATTTGTATGTGGAATTGACGTACAAGGTGTTGTAGATCGCGCTCTAGTAGGTAGTGCGGGCACCAATCACACAACAAGCAGGATTTTACTGATTCTCCAATACTACCTAGCGATGTCTGCCGTGTAAATAGAGCAGACAATGGGGTACAAGGAGACGGGGGAGACTGGAAGAGTAAATGGCAATGGAATTGATACGACTGTGTCTCATATGGTTGTTTCACCTTGTGGTTCCTAAAACTCACAAAAAAACTGATAGAATTTAATAGTAAGTTTGTGTCCAGAGCTCACCCGAAGGTCTCCCAGTTCCACAGTTGTGCTCCTAGGTGAATACTCGACAACTATTAGGTACCTCAAGCTGTGCCGCCGGTCAGACTCTTGGCTAGAGCAGGTTTCATTTATTAATCCAGACGAGGGAGCCTAAGTTTAATAATTCAAGGTTAGAATCCAGTCAAGCCTCTTGCATATCTGTTTGAGGCAAGGGTTTAATTCAAACACCCCCTTCTTACCTACTACCTATTACGAAGTAGTAGTACGTAGTACGACCGAGCCAACCGATCGAGCGAACCCTATAGCTAGACGCTACAGGTGCGACAGGACTGTAAGCTTATCCACCTATAAATATGTGCTCTCCTCTCTCTTCTCTTCTTATACTCCTACATAGCTTTCAGAGTATTACTTCGCTCAGACAAGAATTTGAACTTGAGTCAACCGCTCATCTATCCGCTTTTAGCCTTAATTATCTCTTCAGGCTTAACAAATCCCAGCCTCTTAAGAAAGATGCGCTTCTCCCTCATCGTCCTTCCTCTCATCGCGGCTATCGGCGCCAACGCAACATGTGTTGTAAGCAAGCTTATCTTACGCCAATTTGTTCTAAGTAAGGCTTATTCTGTTTAGGATTACGCCGACAATGGGGGCCCTTGCTCCTTTTACAATCCTGTTCTTATCCATTTATGCGGCCGTGGAGACGGCTTCATGTCATGCTGCAGTAACAACAAACCCTGCTCGTGTAAGTAGAATGTTTTGATGTACTTCGATCTCAAAGATCACGACTAACCAAATGGCTGGGCTTAGGAATCTGCGACCCGGAGCTGCGTGGTGAATAGTGCCAAGGGGGAGTTTAGTAGTGGAGGTTAGAGTGTATCCTTCGTTTGTGGCTTATCCGAGTTAGTTTCGATGGTTTGGTTCAACACCGCCTTCTATGGTTTCACAGTCAATTTCTTTTGATAGTGCGACTCAACGTCGCGTTTAAGTAGGACTTAAATTTATACTTAGCTCTCGCTTTAGCAAGGAGGAATTTGCCATTTTATGAGATTTATTACGACTACCAACCAGGGTAAACAGGCTACCGACGCTTATCAGTCTGCTAGCCTTGTACTAATTAGTCGTTTAGACTTAAGTATTTCTTATTACGCGTTTGTGACATAATTTGTCGACTGTAAAGTTTCTTTGTATAGCTGACATCAAGTAGGTAGACACCAAGGTAACGGCAAATTAATGTCAAAAACCCACTTCCCCATTCCTTTAATTCCTAAACAGGGAGATCTGAAAAGAAAATGATTGGCTGGCTTTTTATGAACACTTTGTATATTTGACCCTATATAGCTGACTCGATAGGGGGTTTGGAAGGGGCTCTCGATATCCAGTGCCAATTGCGCATTTTTATTTCCTAGACGCTACGGAGTACTCGGAAGTCGTTAGAGAGACGCGACTGGATAGGAATGCCAGTCTTCATCACCGTGTGGCTAGGCGATGCTCGACTCCCATCGCCGCGCGGGCCATTTTCGAACTAGAAAATACACGATATGAACACCGCCTCGCTCTCAGCAGGGACAAGCCAGCCCTGGGCACACAACTTTGATGATTAGTAAAGGGCTTGGACTATCTATTTGCTACTTACGCACGATTAGAATCTCGACACCATCACACTTGGCTCACCACCTGACACCATTCCACGTAATTGATGCGGTAGTCTCGATTATCCGCCAGTCCTCTCCGCCAGACGGACTGTGGCGACACGAGCTATTTGAATCGGGCTCTGCATCCTATGAAAAGGTCTGTCTCGAGAGCACACGAGGTATGTTAAGGTTGCTGCGCAAAATGCGTTTGCGATAGTGCCTTGATGCTCGCAATCTCTAATCGCTCTAAGAATCTTTTAGTGTCAAGTATGCACCCTACATTTGGGAGCGCAGTCGAAGGCATCACCCTTTCCGCATACTTCGGGAACCGAGTCGTCCAGTCCACAACCTCCGGCGGGCATCTCGTGGCCGTCAAAGTCAAGCCGCGAACCTTTGCGAGATCAGAGGCCAAAATGATGGGCTACGCCTCGCAGCAAGCTGGCCTTAAGGCCCCGCGGGTTCTGGGCTGCTACGATGTCGAGGGAGGAGTTACTACAATGGTCAGCGATCTCGTACCTGGCGTTTCCCTGGATCAGGTCTGGCATAAGATGAACGCGCAGCAGCAAGAGTCTATCAAGACCCAGCTCAAGGAGCAAATTCGTATTTTCCGAACTTGTACCAAACCATACATTGGGCGTATTGACCATGAACTAACGCGCAATTTTTACGACCGCCTCGGAATTAGTTATATGGGTCCCTTTGATTCCGAAGTTGAATTCGATGAATGGTGCCTAGCACGGCTTAAAACTCCTATATCTCGCATGAAATGGAAATACCTCGTGCCTTACATGCGCGGTTCCGACTCGAAGAGATTTGTGCTAACCCATGGCGATCTTGCCGCACATAACATCATGGTCAACGATGGGATTATTACAGGTATTGTAGATTGGGAACACTCGGGCTTCTTTCCAGAATATGTCGAGTACGCGGCTGCGACGGTGATATGCGATTTTCATGAGGAGTGGTGGAAGCCGGTGTTGAAAGAGATCCTTGAGCCTTGCGGATCGCAAAGATTGAAGTTTCAGGGTTTGGTCAAGGATCGAGGATGGTGATAGTGTGGTTCCTTGACCCATTCAGATTTGCGGACCGTAGTAGCCTGGGTCCTAACGGTACAAGGGATAATAGTCAGAGCCTAATGTAGGATTATAGTTTGATCAGGGGGTTTTTGCCTTTGCAGCATCAAACCACCTAGTTACTAGGTATTCTAGTGATGTTCAGTGAAAACAGACGTTGAAGAAGTTAGATACAAGATCCACAACTAGAAATCTCCTCCACGGTAACACAAGGACTGATGCTGCGCAAGCTAGACCGCCGACCAATTGAAATACTTGATACATACCTACTTATAGAGAGAATTGCATCCAAATAGAGGCATCTAACTGCTTGCCAATTTATTTGACTAGAACTTATTATAGAGTGGTAATCTTTACAGAGATTAATCTCCACGCTCAGTCGCTTCAGGCTTCATGTGGGGCTTAAACCATTGACATATCCGCATTCAGCGGCCTCGCCCGAAAAGAATGATCTCCCGCAGACTCCCGTCCTACCCGCACTCGTCCAAGTTCGGGCCAGATATGGTTCGACACGGCATAGCACGACAGATAACAGCTTAAATATCAGTTCCCATTTTGTTGTGAGCCCTCTCGAGCCTTGATCACCTCTTCCGAATTTTTTGAGAACGTGAGGACGGGTCTGTTCCAAAGAAAGAGCCACGGCCTGGGTATAAAGCAAGTGTTTATTGTATCCTTGGTGAAACTTCCGAACGAAGTAATAAAGACAATACTAGCTTTTATATAACCTCATATTTTATACTACTGAGACCATAGTACTTATAACGATCCACCAGGGTCGGATTTAGGAGATAACCTCGAGACAGCTGCGCGTCTCGGTGCCTCTTCTAGACTCACAGTCTTTGTAAGTCAAAATTAATCTAAGACATGCGACAGATATCTCATTAAGGCTTCTTGGTTCTTCTCAACTTTTTCGGATTCAAATTCCACGGTATATATCGGGTAACTTTGCTCTCCACAAGATGAGGGGTATGTTCCACATGGAATAGGCCACTCCCCACACGGAGATAATCATGACCTACCCACATGAATTGGGCTGCCCGCAGAGGACCCACGACATGATTCCATGCGTGAAATCTATATACATAGATCAAAACAGAACCATTCTAACAGATGTAGGACCAAGTGAACCGCAACACGAGAATGGATGAATCACAATACGCACCAGGTATTCCTGGCCGGGTTGCCGACTACGCAGATTCTTACAAGAAACGATTCGAAGCCAACGCCACAACCAGCTCAAGTTCGGCACGTACAGAGTCTGCCGACAAACTGCCAATCCTCCCACCCGGGGTAAGTAGAGAGGCTTTCAATAAGGCGATTGTAGAACTAAAGCAACTGGTCGACGGGCAAGTTGAATTGGTCGATGGCGAGCTTAACGATGGGTGGTACTTGGACCGGCCACTCACTCATGATGCTTTTGCCCTGGGAAACCAGGATGACTACGTCAATAGCGCCATATGCTCGCCTGCGAATGTAGAGCAGGTACAATCAGTGGTTCGGTGGGCCAATAAATGGCTTATTCCTATCTACCCTATCTCTATGGGGAGAAACCTGGGTGAGCCATCCTCAATTGCTTTGGTTCCCAGGGGTTGCAGGACTGATAGGCATTAGGTTATGGAGGCGCAGCCGCCCGCGTGAAGGGCTCCGTTGTAATTGACTTGGGAAAGAGAATGAACAAAGTACTGGAACTGGATGAGAAGAGTGCGTTTTGTCTGCTTGAGCCAGGTGTCACATACTACATGCTCTACGACGAAATCAAAAAATCTGGCAAGGATCTCTGGGTCGACGTGTAGGTTCTTGTTCTATCTGATCTCTAACTATGTAATATCTAATCTTGGCGATAGGCCTGATTTGGGTGGTGGGAGTGTCATGGGAAACGCCCTAGATCGAGGAGTAGGCTACACGCCATATGGAGGTTCGTTCCAGCATTACCTCAGTGGCATCGACCTTCGTCCAACTATCTTCTATTAGATCACTTTGGAATGCACTGTGGGATGGAGATTATCCTTCCAAATGGAGAGCTACTCAGAACCGGGATGGGGGCTCTCCCAGATACCAACACGTCGCATGGAAGTGCAAACACGTGGCAATTGTTTCAATATGGCTTTGGGCCGTACCCAGATGGCTTGTTTAGCCAGTCAAACTATGGTATCGTGACAAAGATGGGCTGTGAGTGTTCTCTTTAAGCTTTATATTATGGGATATGGCTAACCTTTCCAACAGTTTGGCTGATGCCGAACCCAAAAGGTCATCAGACCTTTCAGATTACATTTCAGAAGGAGGATGATCTTCATGAAATCATAGAAACCATCAGACCACTTCGTATCCGAAATATCATCCCTAACGTCCCTCATCTTCGACACATCATGCAAGAAGCTAGCGTATACGGAGATAGAAAGTCTTTCTGGGATGGCGAAGGACCCATACCGCATGACCGTATTGACGAACTTGTAGCTCCAAAGCTCTGGATGGGCTCCTTCCGGTGGATCCTTTATATATGTGTCTATGGCCCAGCCGTCATCCGCAACGCACACATCGAAGTTATCCGAGAAGAATTTTACAAAATCCCGGGAGCAAAGATAATGTTTCCTGAGGAAACACCTCAATATTCGTACTTAAATAGCCGGGTCAACATCTACGCTGGAGTTCCTGATCTTCGCGAGCTTGATTGGGTCATGTGGCTTCCGAATGGCTCCCATACGGCTTTCAGTCCCATCAGCCCGACGACTGGTGAGGATGCAGTAAAACAATACCAGATGACGAAGCGAATCCACGAAAAGTATGGCTTTGACTACTTTCCCACCTTCTGCGTCGGATGGCGCGAAATACATCACATCGTCATGATCATTTATGATCGCAAGTGTGAAGACAGCAGAAACCGTGCTCATGCGATGATGCGTGAACTCGTAGCAGAAGGTGCTAGGCTAGGTATGGGAGAGTACAGGACGCATCTCGCGCTGCAAGATCAGGTTATGAACACCTATGATTATAATGATGGGGCGTTGCTCAAGTTCAACAACAAGTTGAAGAATACGCTGGATCCGAATGGGATCTTAGCGCCGGGGAGGAATGGCATCTGGGGTCAGCATTGGCAATTGACAGGCCCGGATGGGTCTCAAGCGGAGCGTTGCAACCCAGTGGCTGATAAATTGCCCAAGACAGCAAAGCTTTAGACAGATGTAACTTCATTCAAGCTTCAATTTCTAAATAGTCGTTCCTTATGTTATAAGCGGTAGCAAAGAGCTTAGAGAGGAATTCTGACTACATAGACAAAGTTTCTATGGTGAAATGACCTGACAAGCCCTTTCCAAAACAGCACGCCGGATAATATAGCTAATTCAGTCAACTTGACGTAAGCCCTATACTTTAATAGTATCGACGTATAAGTTCTATAGCTAGTTGTTTTGTTAAGATGTCAGCTGGTTGGTTTATCCCTTCGATTCCTACTACATTAATCATATTCCTCTACCATATTGATATGTTTAAATTTGTTATACAACTATCGGGCGCCCGTAAGCTAAACAGCAGCTCGCTGTGGTAATACAGAGTAGGTACTTGGATAATACTTTCTGAAATTGGGAGCAAGCATTCAAATAATATCAGCCTCGGTTCTGGTGATGATCAGGACGACGTGTAAATTCTGTGCGTAGGAATTTGAACATTTCTATCCATAGAGTTACTCCTTCGTATGTTTGCCAGTTTTAGTAATAGACTTACTCCCAGTGAGCTTGCTAGCAGTCACGCCTTACAATTTATATTGCGCCATGAGGATTGTTTAGTAGTTGAGCCTCTAACTCTTCATTTGTAAGAAGTCAATGTGCTACTGCTGACAGATAGTTTTGGAATTTGAAGTGAGCTGTTGACCCTGTTCCAACAGATCCAGTAGCCCCACTATGGCACTAGAATCTCCCTTCAATCACTCCAAGACCGCTGCTTGGATCTGTGCAACCATTCCCGTTGATTTCAGGCCCATAGTCAGAATCCAGTTGCGAATAGCTACCATAAATTGCGCGTTCTGCTGCCTTCAGAGGACAAATCCGGAAAGGTACCGTACATTATCCATTCTGGTGGTAGCCCGTCTGAAGTCTGACGGTCTATTTGTGCTCTTCTAACAAGTATTGGAATTCTCTCTATCCTCTCAACTTCTTCCCTTAAGAATTTCATCAATTGGGGGGGGGGGAGCACAAGGTAAACTCAGGTGAACAATTTGGCTTTATCGTTATGCCCGCACGGTGGTTCCTCTGCATGGCACCTCTCAACTAGATTTTGGAGATGGCTAACAAGAGATTCAACGCGTATTTGTTCGTCAGTCAGCTTGAACTAAGAATCTTCATAGAGAAATCCCGCTAATTTCTCGACGTCTAGCAAGTGCTGCTCAATTTCCTATGCTAGCATTATAGGCCTTGGCATAGCTATTGCTAGCTCTACAGTAAAGACCAAGGAGTCTCTAATATGACTTTGTATTATGTTGGAAGGAGTTCCATGGTGTAGTATCGGCAAAAGTGGCGAGGGAAGTAGTATATATCTTCCAAACAGAAGGGGAGTAAATCGATCTTTGCCATATATTTTGGAGCTATTGATGGATAGCAATAGTGGAAGGGACGCAGAAACTACGTATTCCAAATACTAGAACTTAAATCGGTGATCTCTTATATATTGCCAGCTTTGCCGTTGGTTGAGCACAACAAGCGAGTCAACCAAGTCAGGAAAAAAAAGAGATCTATTAAAGAAACAAAATAGCAAAAGAAATATCTTAGGGAGCTATGGATACCGAGAAACTTAAGCTGTACCCTTCTAGCCTTTGTTATCTCTATCCGAGAATCCAGGGTCATCCTAGATGGCCTGTTGATGGTTGTTTGACTACTACACCAGCAGGTCTAGTCGCCTGTCTCCAGCTGTTATGGGGATTCTGCTTATTTTGATATATATTAATACATACCTAAGTACCAAAAGTAAAGGAACTCAAGTCATCACATAGGAAACTCAACAAAGTCGAATAGGGGAATTGATCAACTCCACCCTTGAATCAAATACATGATTAAGAGGGTAATATCAATTTGCCAAGGGTGATGGATTGTATTTGACGGAAATTGTCGGAAATTCCAAGAGCGAAACCAGTGTTGGGGTAATGACAAACTACGCCAAAACATTCAACAACTCTTTGCCCTGGAACCACCTCTCCAAATTCTCCGCCTGTTCATCATACCAATTGTTCATCGTCTCTTCCTCAACATATCCCATGTGCGGAGTCAGCAAAACATGGCTCCTACCATCCTCCCCCCATTTGGTAGTCCTCCACTCATTGTCCTTTGGCAGCGGCTCGATATCAAAGACATCGATCGCAGCACCCCTCAACCTCCCCTCGTTCAGCACTTCGATCAGCGCATTCTCGTCAACGATCGGTCCTCGAGACGTATTTACGAAGAGCGCGCTCTTCTTCATCAGCTTCAAATCTTCCAAGCCGACGAGGCCGCGTGATCTCTCTGACAGGACATAATGTACACTCAAGACATCCGCAATCCGGAATAGCTCCTCTTTTGAAACGACCTTGAATGTCTTTTCCCCATCGTCATCTTCGGTCGGCAGCCCTGCTGCTTCAGCTTTCTCATCGGCCACATCTTGCGTTAAACTTGAACTCCACGCTACTACCTTCATACCAAACGCAACGTGCATAATCTTTGCCACGGAAACCCCTAGCTTACCAAGACCCAGAGAGGCGAAGGTCTTGCCCGACAACCCGGTTGCTACACCGGTTTGCCAGCCTCCGGCTTTGACAACGGCGTGGTCATGAGCGATATTCCTGGCAATTCCGAGAACAAGAGCAACCGTGTGCTGGGTGGTGCTATCCGGCCCTTTCCTCTTCTTCCCGGTAAGAGAAGGGGCATTAGGGCCGCCGGACCCAAGCGCACCAGTTACCTTTATTCCGAGCGTTTGAGCAGCCACCATATCGATACTCCGATTGCGGGTGCCAGTGGTAAGAAGGAGCTTAAGATTCGGGAGTTGCTTTAGCAAGACCTCGGGGAAAGCAGTGCGCTCGCGCATGGACGATATAACAGTGTACGGCCTAAGCCTTTCCACCAACTCATTCTTGGCGCTCTCAGAGGTGCAAGGGTGATCATAGGGAGGGAGCGTATGTTCAAAGGCGGTAAATTGAAACGTGGGCTTCAGATATTCGAAATGAGCGGCTGAAATGTCCTGGTAGTCGTCCAAGACCGCAACCATAATAGGGCAGGGCGGAATCGGTGGCATTTTGCTCAACGTTACAATTCGAGCTACGTTCAAATAGTCGGATAGTAGGTGGGGAAAGATAGATAAAGTAGCTAGTCCTCTAATAGCGATGGACTTAATAGAGGATCGCAAATGCAGGCGAACATGTCTGAAGCGTACTGAAGAAGTAGGCAACTAGATCAACAACGGTTGAAGGCTTGGCAGATGCCAAAACATAACAGGATTCTTCGTAACCCAAATCCCAAATAGGCGCTTAAGCATTCTTCCTAGCTTCTGGCGCAAAGTGGGGGAGCAACCTCGGAAGAGGAGAGAAACGACATCATACCTCCTTCATACCCTCTTCATACCCTCTTCTCAACAACAGATGCCAACAGCGTTTGTAGAACAGCCTCGAAGGAATAAGATCGAACAATAATCATCCCATGTGCAAGATAAAGGTTGCTAGGTGGAGCCCCGAGTAGGTCTTTAAAGCTAAAAACACTGCCAGGGCACTTACAATAATTCCTCCCCTTCATTGGTGCGCATGGAATGTTCAGATCTCCAGTGGTCCGTTCGGTCGGTTCTTGTTGTGCCGACTCCCCACCATCGACCCGCGAAGAATACGAATTAGTGCTATGAAACTCCCAGTTGAACATGCTCTCATTCGTGGGTAGTCAGTCCAACTAGCTAGATCCATTTATTACTTGTGGTCGCGTTTGGATAGACATATCTGGCGCTGATGAGATTCTGGAATGCGGCGGATAATTTTCAACCCTCCTACCACCACCGAAGACCCAAACTGATAAGTTGACAAGACATCTGGCTGTACCACCTTGTCCCTCACAGTAATACCTCCTCTCAAAGGATCAGGCAAGACATCATTCGCAAGGCCGAGGATAATCATGGCTCCATCAGCAATAGATATCGCCCATTCAACAATGGAGAAGCCAACTAAGAAGAACATTGGGGTTTATACAAATCCAGGGCATGACTTATGGGTCGCAGAGGCTCAACCATCCCTTGAAGCCATCGAGAAGGGAGATAGCTTAAAACCCGGAGAGGTGACCGTTGGCATCAAGAGCACCGGCATTTGCGGGTAAGCTCAACTAGATATTGCCCAGCTTTTGAGACTAACAGCTTCCAGTTCCGATGTACACTTCTGGCACGCTGGATGCATAGGACCTATGATCGTCACCGACACTCATATTCTTGGGCACGAATCTGCAGGAGTGATATTGGCTACTCATCCTTCTGTAGAACATCTTAAGGTCGGAGATCGCGTGGCAATTGAACCCAATGTCATCTGTGGCGAATGCGAGCCTTGTCTTACGGGCAGATACAATGGATGTGACAAAGTCCAGTTTCTGTCGACTCCTCCTGTCCCTGGACTCCTACGCAGATATGTCAACCATCCAGCAGTCTGGTGCCATAAGATCGGAGATATGTCCTTCGAAGACGGTGCTATGTTAGAGCCACTGAGTGTATCACTCGCCTGTATGCAGAGAGCTGGCGTACGGTTGGGAGACCCAGTCCTCATCTGCGGTGCAGGTCCTATTGGTCTCATTACACTGCTCTGCTGCCAGGCTGCCGGTGCATGCCCTCTTGTTATTACCGATATTGACGAGGGAAGGCTGGCGTTCGCAAAGAAGATTGTGCCCTCAGTGGTGACCTACAAGGTGGAGAGGATGGCGGGTGAGGAGGCTGGCAAGGCCATTGTAGCTGCATTCGGGGGTATTGAGCCCGCAGTCGCTCTCGAGTGCACAGGAGTGGAGAGTAGTATTTCGTCTGCAATTTGGGCTATGAAGTTCGGCGGAAAGGTCTTCGTGGTAGGCGTTGGGAAGAACGAAATGAATATTCCGTTCATGCGGCTGAGTGTTCGCGAGATCGACCTACAATTCCAGTACCGATACTGCAATACCTGGCCTAGGGCGATCCGATTGGTCCAGAGCGGTTTAATTGATATGAAGAAGCTGGTTACGCACCGTTTCCAGTTGGAGGATGCTGTGAAGGCTTTCGAAACTGCAGCGGATCCCAAGACTGGCGCCATCAAGGTGCAAATAAAGAGTGAGGACTGAGGAATGACACGATAGATGCTGTTGAAAATATCAATTTAAGATCGTATTGCTTGGACTTCCAAAACATTCCTGCCAAGGGACTCCATGTTGCGCATTCTATGAAGTAGATAAGGTATTTTGTTGTAATTGTGCTAGCACGAAGTATTTGTATATTGGCTCGGCATGCGAACTTTAAAGACAGCTCCGGCAAAGCCATGATGTTGACTAAGCAGCATCCCGTTCCAAATCTTCCCGACGGCCGGCAAAGAAAAGTCAACAATTCTCGTGCGATTCCCTTCCTGCGATCAATTGTGCGCCCACCACTATTCAAGAATCGGGTCATTTAATTCATTCGTTCTTCCGGGTGCATATCGATCGGCTTCCGTCATTATGTCGTTGAACGTCTCTCGCGCCGTGCTGCGGCGATCCGTCAAGCTCCCTGGGCGAACAGCTCGCCGATTCGAATCGACGACATCTAAAGCCGCGGACACAGCAAAGGATGCGACCTCCAAAGCATCTCAAGCTACCTCGGATTACAAGTCGAAAGCTTCCCAAGGTCTTTCGAGGGTCACCTCGTCCGCTGGCCCAGCAATCAGCGGCGCGGCCAAGGGTTTGGTCTCCTCGCTGGGAAAGATTGGAGGCCGAACTGGAAGGCTGATTGCGTTAATTGAGCGTAAGTCTATCTTCGAGGCATCGATTGGGCCGCTGCAAGGCATCCAGAACTCAATGGCTGATGTTGAGCCACAGGACAAATCCCACCTACTGTCCACTACGCACGTGTAGGGTTGGAGCTCTCGAAGCTCGTTTTCCAAGGACAGAAGATGTCCCCTCCGTAAGTTCATGTTTATACCCTAAGAATTAGGAACCGTGTGCTGATAATGCGTTAGGCCCGTTTCAACTTTCCAATCATACTACCAGAACGTACTTAAAGCCCTTCGAAACCCAGGCCAAACCTTCACACAATTCAGCAACTCATTACAACAACTGCGAAATGTGGACAAGGCTGGCTTGGCATCTGGAGCTGTGGTTTTGGGGGAGCTTTTGGGATTCTTCACGGTGGGCGAGGTAATCGGCAAGATGAAGCTTGTTGGGTACAGGGGCGATACTGAGGCCCATCACTGAGCGCCAAGCAGAGAGGCGATTTTGGGTCGATGGGAATGGATAGATGGATGCTGGCAATAGATGTCAGGGTATGAATGACCTGGGATTCATGGCAAAGACAGCTCTGGATGACTGGTGGCATTCGATGTTGTTGTATTCGCACATATCCTACAACACTAACACTTTTCCTTGAATGTCTGTACATCATAAAGCAATAAAAGGAATAATGGCGGATTAGAATTGCTTGCGATATTCAGCGGTAACTCTCAGCATTCTAAGCTGTTTTAGTGATACGGTAGGGATGGTGATCAGAGCGATAGTTGATTTATAATCTGTTAACAGGAACCAGCTTGCTTGTAGCATTTAGTAGGCATATAGAGTTGATATGGAGTAAGCCTCGCTCTATCCTACTCGATCCACCATAGCTTACCTTAGTAGTTGCCTAGTATACAGCGAAAACGCTCTTTGGGTCTCTATCATGGTGAACGGATCCCTTGTTTACAAAATTGATGAGGCTTACAAACTCATTCTCCCTGGCCCATCATGTAGCACGTATTAGGTACCCAGGTGCAGTAGGGACTTGTTAACTAACTCGGCGTCGGTTACGCAGGCAGGTTCGTCGTCGATCTTCTTGCGAATCCCTCCGTACGTAAAGAATGAACACTCGGACAAGTGCAAGTCCAGATAGCTTCAGCGTAACGTACCATCGGACTCCAGGAAAGCGTGACATCATGCGCACCGGGGCGTTTGATATTAGATTCCCCTCATTCCCCTCATCCCGCATCTACGTAGTCCGTGGATGAAATGGCCTGCATACGGCAGTGGTCAATTGATGCACTGTCAAACAAACCCATGGCGTATATATATTCTTTAGCCACCAAGATCAAGTGACGATAGCTTCACTTCCTACACTCTCGGACTTCCTTTTTCTCGAATACAATGAGGCCTTTGCATCAGCTCCAGACCGCTACGATAGCAATTTTCTGCACTGCAGCTGCAGCAAAGCGCGCCATCGATCTCAGCACCCTGGAATGGACGCTTTCAAGTCCGGTGTACAACATCTCTGTGCCGGGCAGGGTGCCATCGCAGGTCCATCTAGATCTATACCGTGAAGGAATTATTCCAGATCCATACTTTGGACTAGGCGATTTTGAGTTAAGATGGGTGACTTTGACAAACTGGACTTATAACGCCAAATTGGATGGACTGTGAGTGGAATATATTTGTTTCTAGCGATATTTTGTACCTTTAGTGGACCAAGAGGCTCCTTGGGAGGAGCGCCCACCAGCTTGATAAGTGCTAGGAAAATTTCGTGCTTTATATTATTCGCATACCACAGAAATATCTCATTGATGTCCCAAAAGTTTGTATGGACTTCCTCATCGTTTCTCTCATCTCAAGTGGCTTGGCATATACCTAGTTCCCATTGGCGTGGTTTCTTTTAATTCGATGAACTGGAGGTGGAATACTGAACCAGTGATTCGAGATGCACCCAGGAACTGATAGGCTCCAGGGACACTTCAACCAACTTATCGACATGGCTGCTCTTTGATGGACTAGATACATTCACTTCGATAGAACTGTGTGGCGAATATGTCGCTTCGACCAACAATCAGTTCCGCCAGTATTATTTTGACGTTTCGAGCGTGCTAGGTAGTTGCTCTGGACCACCAAATTTGAGTATAAACTTTGGCTCTGCAGTGAACATCACCGCAGATATTGCAAATGAACCTGGACAGGAAACTTGGCCAGACTGGGTCGAAGGGTTATTCGAGTTCCCAAATCGGCAGTTCGTAAGAAAAGGACAGAGCGACTTCGGATGGGACTGGGGTCCCGCATTTGCTCCTGCTGGTATTTGGAAACCAGCCTATGCCATTCAGCTCCCTTCAGCAGGCATATACATCCGAAACTCACTGCTAGATATCTATCGTCAAGGCCAGCTGAACAACCTACCACCAGACCAAGCGGCGCCTTGGATTCTGAACGCCAGTCTTGACATTCTCGGAGCAATCTCGAGCACAGCTACTTTAGCCATTGAGATCATGGATATGAGCAATAATACGATAACAAGTGGGGATTTGCAGAATATTTCAACTACTAGCACCTCTGTGGGTGGGAGCATAACCGTGGAGGGAGAAGCCTGTCAACTTTGGTGGCCAGCTGGGCTTGGACCTCAGAATCTTTATTACTTCAAGATCAGTCTCGTGGATGGAGGCAAGACATTAGCTTCCGTGACCAAGAGAAGTGGCTTCAGGACTATTGTATTGAACATGACGCCGATCTCCACACCACAACTATCTCAAGGAATAGCACCTGGCAATAATTGGCATTTCGAGATCAACGGCCATGAGTTCTATGCCAAAGGATCTAATTTCATTCCACCAGACGCTTTCTGGCCGAGGGTAACTCTAGCAAAGATGAAGCAACTTTTCCAATCCGTGGTTGATGGTAATCAGAACATGCTCCGGGTCTGGGCCAGCGGTGCCTATTCTCCAGACTTTCTATATGATCTCGCTGACGAACTGGGAATCCTTTTGTGGAGCGAGTTTGAGTTTGGCGATGCGTTATACCCTGTGAATCCAGAGTTTCTAGACAATTGTCGGGAAGAAGCGGAATATAACGTTCGGAGGGTGAACCACCATCCTTCTCTGGCCCTTTGGGCCGGAGGCAATGAATTAGAAAACTTAGAGCTTCCAATAGCCGAGGGGGCTGATCCAGGAAATGGGCAATGGAGGAAGGAATACGAGCAGCTATTCCTTGGTGTCCTTGCCCCAGCTGTTTTCCAAAACTCAAAGTCGATCTCCTACATTCCCAGCAGTACCACCAATGGGTACCTCGAATTGAATTTCTCGTCGCCAATTCCGATAATCCAGAGGTACGATAATGTGACTGCGGGGTCAATATACGGAGATACGGATCATTACAATTACCATTCGGATGTAGCTTTCAACCTCTCAAGCTACCCTGTTGGGCGGTTTGCAAACGAGTTTGGATTCCAGTCTATGCCAAGTCTTCAGACCTGGCAGCAAGCCGTCCTCCCAGAAGACTTGAATTTCAACAGTTCCACCATCATACTTCGCAATCATCATTACCCGGCCGGTGGACCGTTTACTGATAACTTCCACAACAGCTCCCTCGGCATGGGAGAAATGACTATCGCAGCAGAGCTATATTACCCTGTTCCCAACATCGCCGATTCGGTCGCCAACTTTTCAGCATGGTGCCATACAACCCAGATATTCCAGGCCGATTTCTATCGCAGCCAAATTTCCTATTATCGTCGGGGATCTGGGTTCCCTGAAAGGCAACTGGGTTCACTTTACTGGCAACTGGAAGACATTTGGCAAGCTCCCACTTGGGCGGGCGTTGAATACGACGGGCGATGGAAAGTGCTCCACTACGTTGCCAAAGACATCTACCAACCGGTCATCATCGCTAGTTATTGGAATTACACCACTGGTGATCTGACGGCATATGTGACCTCTGATTTATGGTCTACTGCATCCGGTTCCGCAACTTTAACTTGGTATAGCTATAATGGTACTATTCTTGCTGCTCCTACAACTGTGCCATTTACCGTTGGCGCTCTGAATACTACTCAGGTGCTTCAAACCAACACGAATGCATTGCCATTAAGCCTGAAGGACGCTGTCCTCAAAATGAACATAACCGCTACTGGCTCGCTTCCGAACAGTAACGAAGTCAAAATCTTCAAGCATGAATACTATTTCCACGATCTAAGTCTCGGTCAAGTAAACCTTCAGGATCCCGGTTTGATACTAAATTATAATAGCACAACGGGGAATTTCACAGTTGAAGCTGCGAAAGCGGTGGCCGCGTGGGTATGGCTCGATATTCCTGCCGGGACTTTGGCAAATTTTGACGAGAATGCATTCTGGTTGGTTCCTAGTGATGGGAAGAGAGAAATCGGTGTTACGGTGAAGGATGATAGCATTGGTGGGAAGTGGGTCAAGGGGGTGACAGTGAGGAGCCTGTGGAATAATACTTTGTCGTGATTCCCACCATTCTGCGCCATAATTCGGCATCCGCTAGCAATAACAGACCAGAGAACACCTTGATTTGCGCTAGGCCGTTTGGATTATATTTCGCCTAGTTCTGCTTCTCATTCTTACAAGTAGATTAATCGTTAGGCTGCCGACCTGGTACCTAGGTAGGGTAGGACAGGTAGCTCCAGTATTGCACCACTACTATCTAGTGCCAGCAAATATAACAATTTTAATGTTTTAGGTCCATTAGATGTTACCTCCATTTGTGCAATTTTCTATTCTCACGTACCAGAGGATATTAGAGAAGCCCAAGTCCGTAGCTGTGGTTATAGAATATCTGAATACCTGTCTTCGGAGTCTATGGCAGCGCAATAACAGGACAGAAAGGAAAATAAGAGGTGAGGTCCAAAGCCCAGCTTTATGTAACGGGCTGTGGATGGTTTACATCATGGGCAAGGTGACTGTACTTCGTATCTTTATCGGGAAAATACATACTACCCACCGGTGATACTAGAGCGGTAGGTGGATATCGAGGACATAGACTGCAGCGGTGTCTTGGTAGGCGCGGTCAATTACGACCATATAATATCTGTATGACCAGATCTTGCGCCTTTCATCGCCAAGAACACCAGTGGCAAAAGCATCGGTATCTTGCGCCGGTAGTTAAGCCTTATTACAATGGCTGTAACCGTGGGTAGGTGATCTCCTGTTGGGTCATCCACGGCACTCGATCATGGGGGCTAGGAACGGAGGAAGGCGTCCGAATGCCAAGCGGGAACGAGCCACAAACATAATTTCTTTCAGCCAAAAGCGCCAGCTCTCTCCTCCAAACGCCAACTTCTAAAATAGCACGGTTTACCTCATCCAGGAGTCTTAAGAACCTCCCCCGACTAGGCTATTGCCGGTCCAATCTCTAATGCACGAATGCGACTGCCGCAAATCCTGATAGCGGGTGCAAAAAATACACCAAAAGATCCGAACGGCTCCCTACACTATCCAGCAAGTCGATTGCGGTACAGTTAAAATATAGCGAGTGATTGATGGCACCTTGTGGGGGATGTAGAACTACAGCTCCATATTCTTCGATTTGGCCTTCAGTGCTTCAATCATCAGGACCCCGACCACATATCGCAAGGGCACAAACTATTGAGATTATCCCAGGGAGAGAGCAGCAATGGACATCGAAACATGGAGATAGGAGATTATGCTTGGCTGTCTTTGACTTTGGAATGAGGTCGGTGGTGAGCGGCCCACTCGAGCCTGTATAGCTATAAACAAAGCACAGATATCGGGAAAATGTGGGCATTTCACAGAAAATTAGTGTTGAGATCTGCCTAGGCAATTGTTCCAGAAGGTGGAAATAACATACCTAGGTAAGGGACCGTCCAAAGAAGGAAGATGAGCGGATGGTTCACGCGGAAATGTCTTAGAGGACTCGCAATGCATAGGCACTACATATTCACATAAGCTACAGGATCCCTCTGCGACGAGATGTCCGTCAGATTCTTAGCCACCATTTAGAATGTCCACCATATTTCGGCTTGGCGTCTCGGCTGCCATGCCAGCAGACTGCTGATTCATAGGGAAGGGAGTGATCGGTCCACTCTTACGATGAATTTAAGACTTTCAATTCCCGTTCGATTTCCTTTGCAGTTACCCCTGTTCACTTCCACCGTAACTTTTCTTGCTTTCCTAATCTTTCCAGTGCTTAAAATGCCATCCAAATGCTTTCCCAGTGCCAAAACAATACCAACTCCCTTTTTATGCGTTTAACGCCGTTCCTATTCCCTATAGTAATGAGGCGGCCTCAAGGATGCTTTAGCCGACCATTTCAAAATCTACTTGCTCATCTCCTTGTTGCAACCATCGTTCCCCTGCTTCGACAGCAACTCTACTGTCCCACCACCCCTCTCTTCTAGGCACCATAGACTTCAGAACATCAATTGCTTCTAGTTTCAACTCCTGGTCGGGGCAAAGCATACATATATTGACAAGTGAGGGTACGATGCCAACATCGAATACGAAAGCTCGTAGGAATTTGGGGTGGGCTACAAGGCGTCGGGAGAGCGATAGAATTGCGTGTACCGTTGGAAAGCTATGCAAGTCTCCAGCAGACGAACCAACTGGAGCTGAGTTTGATGATGCGAATCCGTTGGCGAGTAGATCGGTAGATAGTGCTTGGATATGAAGCATAACTGCCGCTACAAAGAGAGAGTCCCCAGCGGGAGTCATGGAATAATTCAAGATAGACGAGAATGCGTCATGCCAGTGTGCCAGCTCCAGGCTTGTATTCTTTGAATTCTCGACGCCGAAAGACTTGTACCACGCTCTTAATTGAGCAGGTAGGGTGACCAAATCGAGATTGGGGCTATCGTTAGACTCCATGTTCCATAAGTCTTTAATAGATTCGGGGGGCTGGCCAGACGGCATTATCCGCCATTTGATATCTTCGAGGTAAGCCCTTGCTTCAGTCGTAGTTTCAAATCCTCCAGGGATCTCAAGGTGTTCCTGAGAAAACAAACTGCTGAATATTCGGTTTGGCTCGGGCATTCGCGTTTCGTTCTTGCTCAAACATGTGAGGGATGGACGGTCCAGGCGCATGAAAGCTGTGAGCAGCTCATCATCAATCGCTGAGCTTCCCCTAGCCCCAAGGGTATTGGTACGTGTGAAGTAGAAGGATTGAGGGGTGCTGGATATTTCCTTAACTATCATTTCCACAGCACTCCGTACATGGTCGATCGCCCTGTCGAGATCACCATGGAGAGTCTCGAAGCAAAATATGAGCAGAGCGCTAATAAGGGCTATTCTGATAGAATCCTGACCGTTAGCCACCATCTCTCTTATCCCTTTCAAAGCCTCGCCATATTTTTGCAATGCATACTGATGATGCGCACTAGTATCGATATCTCGGGCGCCTAGTTCTGATTTTGTCATGGCTAGACTCAACGCCGCAGTTGCCACTACTAACTGCCGTATGGCAGGAATGTCGCAGGCCTTTAGGACGAGGACGTTCCACAAGCTTGGATCAAATCCGGTAGAAATTTCGATTGCCGTCTCGTCTCTAAAATGGAGAAAGTATTGGTGCTCTCTCTCATCCTGGAACACAACACCAACCGGGAGACCTAATTGACGAACCGTAGGGGCGGGCCTAGGGGCAGGCGAAGGAGTCCTGGAAGGTGATGGTGATCCTTGCATAGCCTTGGACAACAGCCTTCTAGGTACTTGTAGACTGGGTGCTTTGGGACGAGGATTATCTTCGTTCGAGGGATATCCGCCACATATCCGACCGAAATTTGAGCATCTCAAACAATGAGGCTTTGCCTCGTCGCATTTTACCCGACGAGCCCTAGAGGTGGAAGCAGTTAGCCGATGAACTTCTTGAGATGTCCATCCGAATCAGGTGGTTTTCTTCAGCAACCTGCTCCCTGAGCTGGAGAAACACCAAAAACAGTGAGTTTTCATATATCGCTTCTCCTCGACCCACGATACCCGAACATGACATCAAAGAGATATCATACATACTTGCAAGTCACACAGCCAGTTTTAACCTTTGGCCGGCTCGCTCGTGGCTTCTTCGCCTGCGACATCTCGCCCGTGGAGCCAGTATCGCTCATCGTTCTACGCCTTTCTTCAACTTGATATCGGATCAGAGCAGACGGGAACACTGAGTCCACAACCGCATGGCTAATATTCAATGGATTTATCATGAGTATGAAACAAAATATCTACAATCTAACGCTGAAATGGATCCTCTTAATATACATCTCTTAGCATCCGTTGCAGAAGGATGAGCCGAAGCCTGCTAAGGGATATACCACTGGCTGTGGATGTCGCACAGCCAACCATATCAAAGCTTAAGGGGCAAGGGTTCTTCGCCTCCTCATAAGGCTGTACCATACGCCAGTTACTTGCTGATGTAAGACACCAAAATAACGAAGTCCATCGAAAAATGAACGAGGTCCAACACAATTACCAATTCTTATCTTTAACTAGGCGGAATCCAGGTGGCTGTTGTGGTATATGCGAGGCTATTTTTTTTAACGCGAAACATTTCGGTACACATCTGACATGACCTGGCACTGTTAGCCTGCCTGTGCCTCATTCGGTGGATCGCTAGCTTTCATCGCTCCCTCCCTAACGAGGTCGCAAGGCTCCGTCTGACAGAGTCAGCCTCGTGGGAATACCATTCTCGAAAGTTGCCTTATGCAAGGATGCGTCCTGGAGCTGCGCCCTGGACTTGGCCAGGATATTCCTCTGGAAATGTTTTCGGGGGGGGCATCCGTCGCTCTCTTTTTACATCAAGAATCCGTTTGAGCTATTTGTATCAAGCAAAGGTCATCCCCACACCCCGCCACGTTGCTTGGCCTCATGGTTCCCGGGATGCGGCGAGAACACTTGTCCCGAATATTGGCCGGCATATGTCGGTACTTTCTCACTTGGGGGTAACGTTGTTTATGCAGCAGTTAGATGGCTCGGCTCATATATCCTGTTCCCCGGAAAGTCGCTCTACTCCACCCTGTGAGATCGCTGCAGCCATTGCTTCGCCAACTGTTTGTCGCCTAGACTTCCGATAATCACCACCCCAGGATGAAGCTGGTTGCTATATAAAGAATCCCACCGGTGAGCATCGGGCCTCGGAGTGGTCCGTTCTATCGGAGTTAACTATAAGGGATCCTACAGTGTGGCGGTGATCGCTCCATTTTCTTCCTACAGAAGCTTAAGCTTCGTGTCCTCACATTGACGTCAATCTTCTAATGGGATTATGAGGCTGTGAGGATTATAGCATAGGTTTTGTATCACTCTCCTTTCACGTGTCGGACACTGATTCCGGCGAAGCATCTCGGGGGTCCGGAATTGCAAAGCCAATTTTAATCTCATTGCCTTCTTGACTCCCCTCGGAATTAAATTCAATATTTGTACATCTCCATTCAGTTGCTATCTGATGTGTTGGCCATCCCGTTGCTATAAAAGAGTCTTGCCTGTGACGTTTTCGGTATTTGTGAAGCATGTGCTGCATGTCCCAGGTTGTACAGCGATAAGTAAGTCATATTTACCTCTACTTGTCTCAGGGATAATATTCCTGCAAGGCCAATGTTGCTATAATGCGGGTACGAAGGTGAGGGAGGCTGTCTTCCATGTGTTGCATGTTTCTGTTCTCGAGGTTGATGCCATCAACCTTACATCAAGTATGCCCGGCCAACATTATTCAACCCAAAATGGGCCTTGGCGTGATTTTGGCTGAGAATTCTCAGGGTGGCTTAGGTACCAAGTAGGATTCTTATCTAGCTTTTCTCTCCATGTCTCACTGCAGCTAGGGTGTTGGGTTAGTGCCGACCTATCCAATTGGAAGGATTGCAAATACATTCTATTTTGAGACGGATTTATTGCCAGGTTTCTGCCTTAACGATACCGATATGCTTTATCCTCTCGTACTTTTCACACACTTAACCCATCCTCGAGGAAGTGGTGCCACAGGGTTCGACCCATCCCTTTCTCTACCATACCCACCTGGGATCAACCCCATACATGAACTTACTAGATCTCCTTTTCGTTCCTCAGCATCGACGAAACGACGAAACCCGTAGGATTTTTGATGTTTGCACCAGCTGTAAAATGTCAGGGAGGGGTTTCATGGCCAATGACGAGGCCAATTTATGTGAGTCAATATAGCTATACAGCTACGGACCAATATGGCTGAATTGTCACATTGAATCTGTTCATACCACCGTACAATTAGGGAGTCCCATGCACTATTACTATACACCAGCAGAGTCAAAATATAACCCATGCTCACCACGGCCGTAATAGCTTCGATTCACACGGCACAGTACTATCAACGTTCGATTCTCTCGCATTTTTCAAACCCTCCAAGCCATTCCGACACATTATGTGTTCAACCCCCCGGTGTTCTTATCGTTTTCCTGCTCGTGCCAAACGAGAGAGGTACCTAGATAAGCTATCGTAAATTTGCTATCATCTGTTCTAGCGGCGGTATTTCGTGTACGACAAAACATCAGTTTCATACTGTAAGTATTACAGCAAGTTGTTACAAAAGAAGTGTATATATAAGTTATGGACAGGTCTGGGAGGGAATTCGCGCCGTGATTCACGGCCGAGAGAGTCCTGGATGCTAGGGCTGGAGGTTTTACATGTTGGAAACGATGGTTGCTACTGGAGTGCCAGAATGTGGATGACTGTATTCATTTTATTCCCATTACATCAGTCAATCGGGGTAGTACTCAAAGTTAATTCACCTGAATCGCATCTCCTGGCCCTTATACTCATTTATATGTGCAGGGAGGCTGCTTGCAAGTTTGGATATATTGTTTACCAATCACTATCACACAAGACTAGAATGAGTATAGCTCTTACAGTTTCTGCAAGCGGCTTCTCGTCTAGAAACAATGCTGCAGAATGATGGTCTCCATTTCGATGTCTGATCTATAGCCACTCCACCCGGCTTAATTTAACTGGGCATGTGAGAATGCTATGCCCCGTTTATCTTTATGCTCATTAAACGTCTTCCCGACTTTTCCGTAGCACACTAAATGGCCTTCTCTTTAACCTATTCTTATATTTGGGTATTAAACATGGATTTCCATGCAGAAGGAAACCTGAAAGCACCCTCGCTATGATTCGAAGTTGTTCAGTGGGGCATCATTTATCCCGATATTCTCTACATTCATATTACCTATTAGAGGCAGACACCTCTCTATCAATTATCTCATTCATACCTTCCTTCCACAGAGCCCTCGTAATAGAGAATGAAAGGGACACTTCTAATATTGGTGAATCATTCAAGTCAAATACCCGAGATTGGACGCCCCGTAATTGAAATGCCTGGAAGATTACTTCTACACCACTTGATTAAGAACCCTTCTTGGGTTGCAGTTTTTTATTGCAGAGTACCTAGAGGAAGGCCTTGCCTGATCTACCTTGCTTGGGGCACACGCTAAGAAGGGATGGGCTAATGCAGGGCCCCTAAGGGAGATGAGTTGGGAATCTAAAGAGGGGGCACTATGGAAGGTGATGCGCAAGGAGATGATGCCCATCTCCATTTGTCACCTTGACTTGGCGGGTTGGTCCCCCTACAAAGCCTACAGCGGTGGGTCATCGACAGAAGAGTCTAGTCGCCAAAGCTAGCACCTTAATTTCAGTCTGGTTAGTTCATTCCATAAAGACTGCCTAAATATATTTAAACCTGTTATACTAGGTAGCAGATACACTCGTGCCCCACTCCGATATCCGCGATAACAAACATAAAGAAATAGCAGGTTCATACCTCCAAAACCGAAATCTCACATATCGACCTCCACTTTTCAATCAAAATGCCGGGGGCTATGCTGTATCAGTTTTGCTATGTATACCTAGACGCATGATCCCCCCATAGCTAGGTATGAATGAGCCAGAGCACAACATAAGGTATCCCTAAATAAGAAGCTTTAGGTGTCCGACGCTCACTGTCTAGTATAGTGGCGGAGAGGTGAACTGTGATGTTGCCTTTCGTTGTTGATTTAAAATCATAGAACCAGAATCGTCATTATTAGAAAAGGGGGAACTATGAAGAGAGTGGGTCTAGAAAGGTGACCTTAACCCCAAGTTCTAGGTATCCCTCTCTATAGTAAACTCCCAATTGAAGCTATTATTAGTCTATCGTCGCCGTTACTGGGATTGTAGGGCAGAATTTTGGCAATTTAAACGGTGAGTTCGGTAGGCAATGTGGGAATAGAGTCGGGCCTGGATAGGTGAGGTAGCCTCTATATCGGGCCCCATGCGGTCGTCGACGTCTGGGACGCCCTTGTGCACGCTACCCCCCCTCTAAACACTTGGCTCGTGTTGGGCTGCTACCGCATTCGTCACGACGGTAGCGCCGATGTTCCTAATCTGCTGTTCTGCTCCTTTATGTTAGGGCCAGCATGACAACCGCGGCTGATGACATGGCCCTTGTTGAACCCCTTGTCCTACCTCAATAAAGTCATTTGATTATATTCTCTTACAATCAAACTAGAGGCTAGGTAGCTTACCCAATTAAGACAAGTAGTTTAACAAGGACCATTTGCCAGCGCAATACAAACACTTATAGACTATACAGCTGTAATTCACACGCCAAACTGCCCACACAACCTCATTTATAGGGGCTCATATGGCTGGACGACTTAGGAGTTTCGATATGTGGTGGCAACAAAGCCCCAATGGCCGTCTATGCCGGCAAAGTAAAAACGTTGGGACAGGGGGCCAGAGCTGCTTTTCATCCCATCATGGTGATCATCACCTTCGCCTAAAAAAATTATATTTGCATTGAAAACCAATACATCACAACAGCCAAATTAACCAATGCCGTTAAGTAAAGGTGTTTAATACAAAGCCTTGACTGGCACTATACAATTACTTAGAAGGTGTACCTGCGCATACTAAAACTAATCAAGGGCAAACTTTGTACCCTCGAATAGGATAGTTTAGACATCATATATGAGGAACAGTGAGATAATATAAACGCGGACACTCTAGGCCAGATGTTTCTCTAGCAAGTAAACTATGCCTAAACTTAGAGAATCAGAGGCTAAGAAGGTGAATAATTTCTTGCATACTATGTTAAACAGCAAAGTAAATGGAA